CAAATACAAATTTTGCGCCAGCCAAGCGGAAACAATCTATCTCAAATGTGGTTTCCATCCTTTCTTCACGAAGGAACAAGAGCCTAACAGGCGAGCCAGGGGCCAACGGTTACAACTCAACCATCCACGGAAGCAGCAGATGAGGCGCAGCAATAACCGTCTTCGTCTTCCTCCATCTTAAACCCTGTACAGAGGCTACTCGGAGGTCCACGCCCGGCTCCCGCTCCTGCACCTACCTCAAAGCCTCGGGTCGAGGAAACTGAGCTTGATCGTGATGACCTCATAGCCGAAGAGGAAATGCGGAAACTTGGAAGCAAGCGTAAGGACTTTGAATCAGCAGCCAGGGAATTAGATGAACTCCGGCGAAGAGCCGGTCCTAAGGAACGGGCTTCCCCTGCACAGGCTCTGAAAATTGCAAGCCTTAATATCTTTGAACGAGGAGAAATTATCGACTATAAGGATATCTACTTCTGTGGTACCCACAAAGCCAAGAAGCATGTCGGTGATCTTAATGCTCAGACCGCCAATTTTGGCTATGATGATGAGCGTGGAGATTATAACATAGTTATTGGCGATCATATTGCTTACCGATATGAGGTTGTGGACGTCCTTGGAAAAGGCAGCTTTGGCCAAGTCGTACGCTGCGTGGACCACAAGACCGGTACCCTTGTTGCCGTCAAGATTATCCGGAATAAGAAACGTTTCCATCAACAGGCATTGGTTGAAGTGAATATTCTTCAGAAACTGAAAGAATGGGTATGCAGTCCCCCTATCCCCAATTACAGGAATCGATTTAACATGATATAGGATCCACAAAACCGTCACAGCGTTGTCAACTTCACTCAAAGTTTTTATTTCCGAGGGCACCTGTGCATATCTACGGAGTTGTTGGGTATCAATCTTTATGAGTTCATCAAGGCTCATGATTTCCGAGGATTCTCTCTGAAGATTATTCGACGTTTCACTAAGCAGATGTTGATGTCTCTGGTACTCCTCCAGAGCCACAAAGTTGTTCATTGTGATATGAAACCAGAAAACGTACTTCTCGTACATCCGCTTCGTGGAGATATCAAAGTCATCGACTTCGGATCAAGTTGCTTTGAGAATGAGAAGGTCTATACTTATATCCAAAGTCGCTTTTACCGCTCTCCGGAAGTTATACTTGGCATGTCGTACGGAATGCCAATCGATATGTGGTCTCTTGGCTGCATTCTTGCGGAGCTATATACTGGGTACCCGTTGTTCCCGGGTGAGAATGAACAAGAGCAACTTGCTTGCATCATGGAAATATTTGGCCCCCCTGAAAAACATCTTATCGAGAAGAGTACTAGGAAGAAGCTTTTCTTTGACTCCTCTGGAAAGCCTCGTCTGACTGTCTCGTCCAAGGGGCGCCGGCGCAAACCCAGCTCAACAGATCTCCGACAAGCTCTCAAATGTGATAATCCTGTGTTCCTAGATTTCATTTCTCGCTGCCTGAGGTGGGACCCCGCTCGCAGAATGACACCGCGTGATGCTATGCAACATGAATTTATCACTGGTATCAGAGCTCCACCGCGCTCCAGCCGATCTCTGCACCATTCCCATTCTCAGTCACCCGTCAAGCGATTTGCATCTACCAGCGCTGCGCTAAACGGCCGACCACTTCCAAACCCCCCTTCCTCCACAACTTCAAACAGTGACGGAATACGCCTTCGGGACGCATCAACCAACTCTCCAGTAAAGCATGGCTTACCTAAGCGCCACTCTACGTTCCACCACACATCCACAACGACGACGGCCAATCCAGGAATGACCCCCAAGCGTGCATCCAACATCCCTCCATCAGGTGGTTCTGCTTTACCTCGTGTGACGCCAAGGAATGCTAGTGGGAAACCAGATCTTGCAGCTGCGGCGGCAACTACCAGCTTGGTAAGCTGATGCTAACAGCGTTCCTCCCCTTAGTAAATGGGCAATTTTCCTGTTTCCTTTTTTCTTTTTCCTTCTTTCCCCGCATGTCGGTAATACTGGATATCTAACGTTATGTAATGGTGCAGAAGACGAAGGTATAGGAATGATGTATGATGGTGCTGCTGTGAAGGCAACTGGGGTTTTTTGCCTTCGCCGCTTTCTGTAGCAAAGTTCGAATAAGTTTGGCTAAACGAGCCTATTTATTTGGCTTTACTACGACCAAAGGATCCATGTGTTGAGTGATGTTTATGTTATTTCATGTTTACTTACCACTTTATTGTCATTTTTCTCCAGCTATTTCTTCTTTGCCCCATACCCCTATATTCTTTTTAACGTCATTTACTTTGCCTTTTACTTTGCTTTCTTTCCAACGTTACTTCATTTCTTGTTTCTATTTTAAATACTGGCATTGCATGCGTGCATCTGTTTAAGTCACTGCAATGTGTTATAAACTGCGTTGCCTCTTATTCTGTTTTTAATAACGCCCTATTTCTGATTTTTCGCATTTCCCGGCTTTTGCTCTATGCTATTCTTTGAAGCCTTGGATAAAGACATGGTCACACATTATTTGCATCGCATCGGTTCTTTATTTCTGCTTCTTCTACCCCTATGATGCTGAATAGAGCACAGGATGTTAGCCTCATGACAAGTTCTAAGGATGAGATTTTAGTTAGAGCAACATTTATACGGTATCCAGCTTTTATTACCGAATACATATAAATAGGTATTTATATGATTTAGACTTATTCCTACGTATAGAGTACCGTCGTCAACAATCCTTCCTAGATGTCCCCAGCCAGCCGGCAACTGATATCACCTGATAAGTGAAGTCTGAATACAGTTAGTGCTCAAGCGGGTAGTCTAGCCTTATATGGATTAGATCAGGTCCATTGGGATACCTGGCCTTTTCGGCTGCTGACTAAGCTAAATGAGCTAGTACGAAACCAAAGGGAACAGCAACCTGCGGGTTGGAGCTGGAGTTATCCAGATACCAAAAACGCGGACGATGGGAGTGGAGTTGACGCTGAGGAAATAGATCAATTCGACGCTCACGCTACTCTTAGGGCAGTTGATGCGTGTGGCCGACGAGCTTTATATATATGCGATCTCATTGGCCGCTATCCAATGAACGGGTTCGCGCATGATGGCCTTGACGAGGCCAACTTCGGAGCACCTGATGGCATTGCAACCAAACTAAAGACATTTGATGCCTTTCGTAAGTTGTGACAGGGTTCCTACGCTCGTCGTCTTTTAGATACCATACTAACCAATCACTTGCAGCAAAGACGAAACCCTCATATACCTCTACCAGCCGTGGCGGTGGGCTATGGACAATATTTGTCGCTATCCTCTGCACCCTCCTCACCTGCTCCGAGCTCATAACATGGTATCGCGGTCATGAAAATCATCACTTCAGTGTTGAAAGGGGTGTCTCACAAGAAATGCAACTCAACATCGACACAGTTGTCGCTATGCCCTGCGATGATGTCCGGATAAACATCCAAGATGCGGCTGGCGACCATATTTTGGCTGGAGATTTATTGACACAGGAGCCCACCAGCTGGGCTGCTTGGAACAGGGAAATGAATAAACGACGCAGTGGAGGAAGCCCTGAATATCAAACATTAAACAAGGAGGACACCCTTAGGCTGGAAGAGCAGGAAGAGGATCTTCATGTCGAACACGTCCTAGGAGAAGTAAGGAGAAGCCGGAAAAAGAAGTTTCCAAAGGCCCCCAAGATGAAGAAGTCCGATGTCGTGGACTCATGCAGGGTATTTGGAAGCTTAGAGGGCAATAAAGTGCAAGGAAATCTGCACATCACGGCTCGAGGTTTTGGATATTTTGAATGGGGGCGGGCCACTAACCCTCACAGTATGTCACCCTACAACTCGTTATACATTATATTTGCAGACATATCAAAATTTCGCCAGCCAGCTAACCGAATTAACCCTAGGTCTAAACTTTACGCACCTCATCACCGAGCTCTCATTTGGGCCACATTATGGGCGCTTGCTCAACCCGCTTGACAAGACCGTTTCCACGACCTCCGTAAACTTCTACAAATATCAATATCACCTCTCAGTTGTCCCCACGATATACACAAAGTCTGGTCATATGGATCCTAGTCGTCGATCTCTCCCAGACTCAAGCACAATAACCGCAAAAGATTCTAAAACAACTGTCTCGACAAACCAATATGCGGTAACTTCATACTCTCAGCCGATACAACCACGAATCGACTCTACCCCAGGGATATTTTTTAAATATAATATCGAGCCAATTCTGCTTATCGTTAGCCAAGAACGGGACAGCCTATTGGGCTTAATGATCAGGCTAGTCAATGTCGTATCCGGTGTGCTCGTCACCGGTGGATGGTTGTTTCAAATCGGGTCCTGGGCCGTGGAAACCATGAAGAAGAGAAGACGGCTCACATCAGATGGCTTGTTAACAGGGAAACATGCGACCGATTAGCTGATTGTGTTTGGTTAGACCATGACGTATATAGGGACTGTTCTAATCTTCAACTTCCCACTCCTCACATTCCCCCCTATTTTCTTTCCTCTCTGTTGTCATTTTATTCTTTCTTTCTTTATTTATTTCTCTTTTCTTTGGTATTTTGGAAATATGAATCATATATCTCGGAGTTGGGGCGGTGGACGGCATTTCGACAATATTTTGTTACACCCATACTTATTCGGTCTCGGTTCCCAACAAGGCGAATATTCAGGGGTTGTGGGACATCCATGAATTAGCGCAAGAACAGTTCACTACCAAGCTATTTATCCCGAGAACCCTGCTTCCAATTCGGTCAGCGGTCTTCCATGGAGCCCGTGGAGGATCTACGCTCCCTCACTCCTCCCTCCCGCAAAAAAAGTAAGACTCCCGAGTACTCTGGGCAGCCTGGACCACTGTTTGGCCAGTACCAGCGTACGACGCTACGAGCTAAAAGAATATATGCCATGCATTACGCCGCAAACTGCCCCATTCCCCCAGCCCGGACGGCTCAGTGGCCCCTGTTCCGCGAGTAGTCTTGCACGCGAACTAAATCTATTCACCAATTGCATGTGATGATAAGCCCAAATTCTTGCGAGGGCAGACATTTTTCCGTTAGCATCGATGCAGGTGCTGCACGATATGGACACTAGTTGTCGATGTACTAGTCCTGTAATATCTGGCGGATGCAAGGGCAGACTGGCGAGCAAACCTTCCACGCTAAATGACGCATAATATCTTCCGCTTCGCATTTACACGGGCGTGCGACCTGTAATGAACCCCCGGTTCGTGGTTGCATTTGAAATACTTTCTGGAAGACATGGAGCCTTTGACAGCATGCATGCAAGAGATCTCCTTCCCAATTGCTCAATGTTATTACGCCGCCCCTGACCTTACGGTAGTCTACTAGCCTTCCATATGCGTAGCATGGATTAATTATCTGTGCGGTTTACTCTTGGTTAGAAATGTTTCCGCTCTTTCCATTGATAACTAGAGTAAACTGGTGACCCTTGCTTAAGTGGATGCGGCCCCTTTGATCTAGATTGGTTTGCATGGGAACAAATCTTTTCCCTGTCATGAATGCCTATATCGTGGGATGTTTAGGCCGTGACCTTCCCTCTTGCGCCCTCCTTGGCTGTTGAAATGAGAACCCCTGCCTCCAGCCGGTAGAACATGGGTCTGATCCCACTGTTTTCTTCGTTTCTTCCTTTCTTCTGGAGGCCAGAATCTCACGTTGGCGTTTAAACACGCTCTCTAGTCACTTGTTCATCTGCCTATCCATCTATCAACTCTCTCCGCTCATTCCCAGGCAATTACCAGCCGCAATGCTTTCATATCTCATCAAGAAGATGGCCAGGTGGCTTGGATGCGGTTTCAAACCGAAATCCATTTCCACAGGAACAAATACCCCCGAAACAACAACTATAGACCCAAGCACCAATCGATGGAAAGCTAAGCCAGTGATTCTGATCATTCATGGCGCATGGCAGCATCCAGCATACTATCAGACCTTTGTCCAAGTGTTACAGTCACGAGGTTATGAGACATATTGCCCACGATTACCGAGCTGCAACGGCCAGGTTCCGCCTACAAAGTCACTTGAGGATGATGTCCGCTTCATACGCCAATTCGTAACAGAGCTTACAGATGCTGGCAAGCTAGTTGATGTCATCATGCATTCATACGGCGGGATAGTTGGAACCGATGCCCTCTGTAAATTAGGTATCGAAGAGAGATCAAGAAGAGGAACAGTCGGCGGAGTAAGGAACCTGATATACCTAACAAGCTTTGTACCCCTTAAAGGGCAGAGTTTGGTAGGAATCTTCGAGGGCCAATCATTACCGACTGTCAAAATAAATGTATGTCCATTATGAGTTCCACGCTGCTTTCCCGTTGTCCCCTTATCCTCTTATTCCCGCTGTCCTGAATTTCAACGAGAATTTCATATTGAGGCCAGATCGATTTTTAGGAAGAAATGAATATTATATCAGCAACCGATCCAATTCCGATGTTTTATAGCGACCTACCGAGTGAAGAGGCAGAGTATTGGGTGAAACAAATGGTTTCCCACCCGTATTCGGCGCAAACCACTCCAGTCAGCAACGAAGCATTTCGAGAACTTCCGGCCACATACATTATTTGCGAGAATGATAAGGGTATCTTGCCCGAGGTACAGCAAATGATGATCGATAAGCTTAGGGACGTAGGTATTGATGTACATGTCGAACGATGTTCCGGGGGTCATAGCCCCTTCCTCAGTATGCCCCATAGCATGGCAGATATCATCGACAAAATTTCGAATGTTTAACACTGTTCCTGGCATTCTGTTACTTTTCAGGGGAATGACAGTACCATGGCGGATATATGACGTATCGGTATAGGAGCAGCCGCGCCTGTGAAAAACGCACCAGGATAGATGGTTCATGGCAGCCTCCTTTTTCCACTCTCATTCTTTTCTTCACTCATATTTGCTGTTTTACACTGACTGCCCCATGTATTTATTGGCCAACTTCAATGCCTGGTTGTAAGAAGATCGTCGAATCGTCAAACTGTGAAATTTTGACTACGGCCGGGATAAACCTTAAAAAGCGTTTTCGATTAGATAACTAAGTTTAAAATCACGTGAAGTTAATTTGTTTTGAAAGCAAAGACCGGTTGACTACATGAAACAAAATAATTATCAGAATAAAATAATAACTCGTCAACTGGCCATTGAGTGAATCATTATCCATCGCATTCTATTAGAACAGCCGTATTTTGAGTCAAGAAGATACCCAATTATACCACTCGTGCACCATCTAGGCATAGACCACAACTGCGGCCATGACGGCCACTGCACCCACAGCCTGATGGAGGGGGACGCGAACATACCCAGCAGCACCCGTGTACTGTGCTGGAGGCGCAGTCCCAGTTGTCCGTGGTCCATCACAGTGCCAGTGGTCTCCATGAGGCTCACACCCAACTGACTCGGTTGGGCTTGGCTTAAGAGACTGGGTGGTCATTCCGGTAGGATAGGATCCAGTAGGATGGGGTGCCCCAGTTCCGGTGGCAGGCCCATCACAGTGCCAATGATCACCATGAGGCTCACATCCGACGGATTCAGTTGGGCTTGGCTTAAGAGACTGAGTGCTTGATCCGGAAGGATGAGGTGCGCTGGTGCCAGGGGCAGGTCCTTCACAGTGCCAGTGATCTCCGTGGGGCTCGCAGCCGACGGATTCTGTTGGGCTAGGCTTGGTTGGGGTCTGCGTTGCGTGACCTTCATCGTGTGAAGTGGTCGTAGGAGCGGCAGCTGAGGTTGAAGGGACAGCCGGGCCATCACAGTGCCAGTGGTCTCCATGAGGCTCACAACCCACAGACTCAGTTGGGCTAGGCTTGGTTGGGGTCTGGGTTGGAGGAGCGGCGGCCGAGGTCGAAGGGACAGCCGGTCCGTCACAGTGCCTGACAGATATGTTAATTCATGACGCTCTTCAAATTAATCAAGGTCAGGCATGGTCCTTACCAGTGGTCACCATGAGGCTCACATCCTACCGAAACTGTTGGGGATGGTGGAAGCGTGCCTTCAGCGACAACTACGCTGAGCGCAGAGAAGGCAAGGAGGAAATATCCGACGGTCTTCATGATAGCAGAGTTATCGTGTCTAGTCCGTGTCCAAGGGTATCACACAAGAGGCTGCACAGCACGCTTGAACAGAGATGCTCCCGGGCGCCTTTTTATATTTGGTCATCTGTTCTTAGGATGTCTATACTCAACACTCGATACGAACTTATTTCCCCCCGGGTCCTTCTTTCCTAGCTTTCCTCTCGGAGAATACCTTCCAATCCCGCGCCATGCGGTCTCGGGGTCCGCTTTATCTGCCTCCAACCAGCACCTCCAGAGTCCAAGCTTCACACATGCAAGTTTTCCTTTTTCCCACATTATGACCATTTATCCAAATTGATTCGATATCGCTTCGTACTTCCAAGCCCGACGAGCAGTGGGAATAAACCCGAAGCGAAAAATAAGGAAATGTTTCCTTGGCATACATCAAGGTACTCAGGGCCACTTCCACACTGGTTAGCAGAGAATAACACTCAGAATTTTGGCATATCTTTGTCTCTGTGCGGCCCAGAAGCTCACAAGATAATAACTCAACTATTCGAAGTCATGGTCGTTAATAAGAGTCGCCAATAGAAGAGCTCGAAGCTTCTCTGAGTGACGCCTTCTACTAGCAAGGTTAGTGTAGAATAGTTTTGTTCGATTCTACACTGTTGTCAGTGCTACATTGTTATTCCACTCTACTCCATACGATGATTTTATATCACAAGGTCCTCGTTTTGTAGCTTGAACTAGCTTCTGTTCTCCGAATGAGCCGAAAGGGCGCCTTGGGCCTCTCCCATTGCTGGAAGGCAAGCCAGCCCTGAGGCAATTTTTTGATACCTTCCTTAAAATACCTTGGTCAATTATGCGACCTTGAATAGAAGCCTTCGCCCACAGGGTTCACAGAAACCCTCGTAGCTATCCCAAACTCAGCTGAACCCTTGCGCCATTGAAATTCCAAAGCTGAGTTAACGCAAAGCTCTAAGGCTACCCGACTTGTTGCGGTCTCTAATTTTTTTCTGCCCTCTACACTATACCCTCACATAGTGAACTCGCCATCGAAATGCCTCGACCATATGCAGTCATCTCCCTCGCTTTATCGATAGTAATCGGCTTAGTTCTGGTTTCAATCATTGATGACACCACTAATCCAGCTCTTCGCGGTGTTAAACCCTCAATTTATAAGCTGGTAGGGATCGGTGCCCTGGCCACCCCCCTTAAGCAATACATTCCCACAAATTATCTACGTCTTCCTTTCCTGGGAGCCGGCCTTCCGACATACTACCAGCACTCAAAGAGTTACGAAACTACAAATGTGAACACAGCAAAAGCAAGGGGAGAGGCGATCAGTACTCGACAATTGGAAGAAGAGACTCGCCTGAGAGATCGAATCAGGAGGGATAGCAAGAGAAAATGGGACTCATCACATCCTAGATATAGGTTATTAACCGCTATGCATGGTTTTGCTCGCTACAAAGATAGAAATCTAGCCGAAGCCGAACGATGGAGTACCCTATATTTGAACTCCCCCAAGCGACACCGCACAGTAAGCCTCTTTCTATGGTGCCTTCCTACGTTTATTGTCTAACGAGATATCTTCTATAGCTCATTGAATCTACTGTGGGGTACACTTCGAAGCTGGAGAAGGTTAAAGATCTTTTTGCAGAAAACAACGTCCTCGCTCAGGCAATTCTAGATAATGCACTGCATTTTTATGGGGTCGATCGAGCTGAATTGGACCAGTTCATCCAAGAGGCTGAGTCCAATGGTATTGTGGCCGATAAGACCAGCACATCTCAAGCGATGAAACACTTTGTCAGGGATTGGTCCACGGAAGGGTTGTTCGAAAGGGACGCAGCATTTCCCTGTGTGGTGGAAGCCCTGAAAAATTATTCTGTCCCTTCAAACAATAAACCTCTTCGAGTCCTAGTTCCTGGCTCTGGCCTTGGGAGGTTAGCACACGATATTGCAAAACTGGAAGGTATTTACTATCATATCTTTATTGGCTGCTTCGCATTTTAATGCTAACTACTTTATTCCCAGGTTTTAAGGTGACTTCCAACGAATGGTCTTCGTATATGAACATAGCATACCGTTATGTCGAGGGCTTACGGAACATAAATTCAGAAACCTTTTTCCCTTTTATTGACTGGTGGTCACATCAGGCAGCTACAGCAGACCTCCTCCGCCCCGTAAAATTCCCAGACTCTCCCCCTTTCCATGCAAACAGTTCGCTCGATCGTTCTCTCATCCACATCGAAGGGGACTTCACCTCCATGCATCACGGCCTACCAGCGGCAGAGACCAAATACGACGTTGTAGTAACACTCTTTTTCATCGACACTGCTAGAAATCTGATGTCCTACTTTGAAACAATTCGCGACTCGTTAAATGAGAATGGCACTTGGATTAATCTTGGTCCATTACTTTATGGAAGTGCCCCATTCTTACAACTTTCTATGGATGAAATCGTCGATGTGTGCGAACACTTGGGATTTGAGTTCCTTGATACGTCTTCAACGTGTGGTGTTACTACCCTTGACGGGAGGAAAGTCAGAAGCAAAGAAGTACCATATGGGCTGAGTGATCGATCCTTATCCAAGAATGCCTACAAGGCTCAGTTCTGGGTTGCGAAGAAAGGGAAAGCAGCCCCGGAATTTCAATAGACATATGTAGAATGAAGCCAATCATATATTATGCATTACCGCATCTTATAGTCAGGACAACGTTTGGTAGGATGAAAGCCTAGATTCAGTACAGATAAATGAGCCTTTTAAAACCGGACCAGCCAGGTATCCAAAGCAAACAGAGCATATATTAGTTGATAGGCGTAAAACAATCAAGCCTCAAAGATCTCCCCTAGTCCTATGCCTGCCCCTTGGGCTCCATACCGACATTCCACAAGATCCAACCTCCATCCTTTCCAATTCTTTAGCTTTGCTTTTATCTCCCGAGCCCATTCTACTCGTTTCTTTGCCTCTTCCTCCTCTTGCGCACGAGCAAATGCATCTTCATCGAACGCATCGTCGTCTAGGAATTCTTCATTTGGCTCTGCGTGGGAATCATAATCGAAGCCCTTGTATCCTCTATCCTGGTCTTGCGCGCCGGTAAACGCAGCGAGACCACTTTGCAATACTGTTGCAAAGGATGAGTGTTGCTGTGGTCTCTGGCTGGTACTGCGACGGCCGGCATAGCTGTGGCCTCCTGGTGCACCACCGGTGAGATCGACGTCATCGAATGTGCCTGAAAAGGATTTGCTATCTGTCTGAGCGCCCTCACCATCATGCTGAGAAGAGAGCTCACGTTTGCGTTCTTTCCATATGCCGCGCCGAAGATCAAAGACTTCTCCCTCCAAATCCCGAACTTTTCGTTCAAGTCGCTGTCTCTCTTCATCTTCTAGCTCATCTAGGCCTTCATCAGCCCCGACTCCTGATGCTTCACGTTTCTTCAGGCGGTCTCGTTCCTCTTTGAGTCGTAGATTTTCATTTTCAGTTGTTGTTATCTTTTTTGTAAGCATGGCCACGTCTTTCTCGAACTTATCCCGCTCCTTCATACGGGTTTGATGTCGACTTTCCGATTCTTTATGGAGGTTGCTTAAGGCTTGCAGCTTCTTTTCCAGTAGGTCTATCTTTTTATCAGCTTCAGCTTTAGCATCCTCTGATTCCTTGATTTGGCGCTCTAGGCTCTTAATGAGAGTTTCAGTGGATGTCTTATCCACGCCCTCTTTAACAGCCTTTTCTGCTGCTCGGCTTACAGCCTGTTTGGCATCTGCAAGCTCCCTCTGCGACTTCTCAAGTGCATTTTCACTGCGAGACAGCTTATCTTCCAAAGCCGAAATTTGCTCCTGGTGGGCTGAGGAGTTGGTGGATTGTGAGTTCAGCTGTGCTCTAAGATTGGATATTTCCATCTCCATATTTTCAATTGTTGCAGACTTTGCGTCTAATTGACTTAGCAGCTCAGATTCTGGCGAGTCTGCGTTGCCTGACACTGCGGCGGTGATTGACGGCCGATGAGATTTGGTGTGAAGATGAGAGTTCTGCCTCTGTAAAGCACTAACCTCCGCTTTCTATATCCAAATAAGTAACGATTTCACAAGAGAGGGATATAAATTAATACTGACAAGTTTCTCTACTTCCTCTGCCTGCTTTTCGGCCTTTGCAAGCTTCTCCTTTAACTCAACAGTTTCAGTACTAGCTTCACGTAGATCGTCAAGCTGTTCTTCAGACTTCTTCCATTTTGCGCTTGTCACCTCCACCTCTTTTTCCAGCCGTTTATTCTCCTTCTCAAGCTCTTCCAATCTTATGGCTTGTTTTCTAAACATTTCTGGCGCTGTGCTTCCATCAGGGCTGAGAGGTAATGGCGGGGATTTAACGCCCGAAGAGCTGGGACTGATTACCGGTACTTTCGAATCCTGGCGGAAGGACGAAGAACGAAGTTTGGATTGGACAGATATCGACGGCTGACGGCCATGGGATCGGACTTTGGGTAAAACTTCCTCGCCCTCTTCTTCCTTTGTATTGCTTTCATCTGCCAGTTCTTCAACAGGAGTTGATGTCTCCACAACTGCTTCATCGATATTATCCTTTTCGGCTGTTGTATCCTTCGGAGAATCTGCCTCTGTTTGCTTTTCGGAGTCTGGTTCCGCTTCCTTTTTAGAGTCTGGTGATTGCCCTTTAGGTCCCGCTTCCGTTAAAGCTGTAGCCTGTTTACTAGATTCCCCTTTCTTTCCCTTCTTGCCTTTTTGCTTTTGCATCTGCGCTACCTAAATTACAATCAAATGACAGTCAGTACTATATCGGTGATATTGATAGAGCTGGTGTATTCGCATATGGATGAAGAATTATAAGCGTACTCTTTTCTTAGCAGCAGCAAGCTTCTCAGCCCGGTCTTTGTCCTCTGTGTCCGCCATTGTGTGTTAAAGAATGTGATATTATGGAAACCAGCTGGGTATCGAAGCTCAATGAAGGTGTGTGTCTATCTTGTTCTCTATCCAAGCTGATGTGGATGATGCTACATGCTACGAAGTTATTGGTTGACGCATGATTATGTAATAAACAGTCAAATGACATCATGTGATGCTTATGTTATATTGATTGGTCATATCCGGTTTCATCCGGGCGGAAAATCTCGGATTAAGCATGGAGTGGAGGGCAAAGAAGAACAGGCTTGGAAATTGATGTAGAAAGCACCACGGCATTCTGATAATTGATAGCGTTAAGTAACAAATATAAGCAGCTACTTATGTCTACTTGCCGAAGGCATGGGAATCCATAAACTCCACGCCTAACAGCCAGCACAAGACAAAAGAGAGAAAAAGGCAAATCAAAAGAAACTCAATCACAAAGAATAGTCAATAAACACCACGCCGTCATTAAAAAAATTACGAAGAAAAAATGACATAACAAAGAACAGGGGGGAATATGATGGCGCCAACATGAGCATTAAGCTGAGCTTCGGTGGAACACTCAAGTAGCTAGTTACCTCGGCACTTGGGGTTTTGGCAGAGGACATATAGTGCCTAGATAACCAACTCAGTCATTGACTGGCGTTTGATATAAAAAATCGTCACGATCATGCATTATTGTGGGAGAGGAAATAAGAGCAAGTCAATAACAAGAAAAATCAAACAGGGGGAAAACAAGTTCCAATCAAGGTTGAACTTGGAGTGAATAGTTCTGAAAATAGGAGGTGTTACTATTACACTTCCATAGAGTCGGCAATTTCTTCACTCAGAGCACGGACGGTAGGTTTACTACCAGACTGCGAGCGTAGATCATCATCACTGAGGATATAGTTGTCAAATTCATCCACAACTGGGCGGGCGGGTTGAGATGGTTGCCTTTCTTCTTCGTCGGCGCTAAATTCATCAATCTCATCATGTGCGCCATCACCGAACCAAAACTTGGCGCGTTTTCTGGCGCCCGTATCATGGGAGACGTAGCCGTCATCATCAACGTTACGCTTTCCGGGGACTGGAGTTGCTGTTCCATCGGCTGGTAGCTGGCTTAGGACGCTAATGCCACGCAGGTAGATGTAGCAGACACGCTTCCTAACCTTGTTGAAGAAGAAATAGTTAAGGCTCCAGATGGTGCCCTCTTCGCCATCATATGGGTCTTCGTCCGGGCTATAGCAGTATACACTGCATTCTTTGAGGGACATTTGATTATCGATAATCCTCCACATTCTAGGACCCCATGAATGGGTAGTTGCCGACATGTGGGGAGAGGACGAGGCTGGGGTAGGTGGCGTGACATCGCGAGCCAGCTGCGGGCGGAGGTTAAACAGGGTTGTATCGATGGTATCCATGACCCTCCGCAAGTTCTTCTCTCTATGGAAATCAGAAGGCCGCAGGACGTGCGAAAAGTCATAGTCCGGGTGGCTCGCATTAAGTGTAGCGATAAGATAAGCGTAAGTTCTGCGGCTGGAGTGCTCACTCAAGGGTCCAAATGGGCTGGAACGCGAGAGATTGAGTGACATTGCTGCGGAGGATGCATTTGGTGGTGAAAGCGAGGCAGAGAGTCGTAAGAGCGATTCATACTGCGATTCCAAAGAGGTTTCAATGTTCTTGTATAGCTTCTTATCACCACTTGCGGCCTTTGTCGTATAAAGGTCACAGCCACCCACGACCATGCAGTCGGATAACAGTAACAGGATTTAGTGATGTCTTTTCCTGTCCAAGGTTAGACACAACCTGTATCATAACAAGCCCAATAACGTCATCTATCATGGCAGTATCGTTGTCGAGCAATGGATTTCGGTGCCAGACCTTCATGGTGTCAGATACAGGTCAAATAGGCTATACGTGCTTATATTTTCCCAACTTTGTCTGTCTCAGATATACGTCGTTGTGTCGGTGCGTTGTTGGAGCTCTTATCGCAGGGAGGAGGAGGAGGTGGTGGTGGTGTTGATAGTGGTTGCTACCGAGGGAGCAAAACAAGCGTTTCCGAGCTCAGCTCTGTATTAGTTGAAGCACTGCTGTGACGCGGACTAGCGCTGCAGCGGATGAAGCGGTTCTTCTTCTTTTTAGGATTGCTCTTGCGGAAGCAAGTCAAACAGCGGTACGAGTTATCCAGGCTGGCTGCAAGGACAACGCATACAGATCGACTACGCCAGACGACGAGGCCGTCTAGCAAGAAAGGGGGCTCATGGCAACGGCGATAAACACAACAATGTAAGTAAGTAGAAGAGACTATGGATTGGGCAGTGAAGAGCAGCGATGAGATGAAGAGATGAAGAGAGGAGGAAGAAGAAGAGGAGGAGGGGAGAAGCAGCAGCGCGCCGGGAAAGCGAAGGAAGCCCAGAAGTTGGGAATATGGGAGCAACGCCCCAGTCACGTGAGGATGTCTGACCAGTGACGTCGAGCCGTTGTTTCACGCGATTATGGCAGCAAGGAACACCGGGAGATAAGAGATGATGGGCAGGGACGGGCGGCGTCGAGGGACAGACGGCGGCGTCGTGGTGGATGACGCTGGAGTTGGCTTTGATGTTGGATGGTGGATGGTGGTGGCGATGATAGATGGCCTGCTGGAAGTGAGGTGATAGTTAGATAGAAACGATTCTGGAAGGAGACGGCAGGCCTCAGAGTCCAAGCGAATTCATCGCCTTGACTCTGCTGTCCTCGTCCTGTTTGTGATGAATAAGTCAAATTAGCCATGCCGTATATACACTGTCCGAGTAACGCCGGGTATAAAACTGTCGCCCTAAACAAGATACAACAAGCAAGCAGAAGAACACGAATCAAGATGTGTCCGGCAGCCGCTACATGATTTTCGTGATGATATCCTGTTCAACCTGAAGAGCAGAAACGAGAAGCAAGGGGTTAGCAATGAAAAAAACGCAAGCAAGACAGAGAACAGAGACTAGCAAGAGGTCCGAGTGTCTCATCGGCAACTGCTTCGAGTGCTCATTCAACAGCCAGGAATGGAGAACCAGAAAAATCCCCGCTTACCTCCATGTCTTCCAGGCTGTCCTGCTGGCTTATGCACCGCAGCACGTTCTTCTTGCTACTCTCCTGCATTTCTCCCGCCAGCAGGAGCTCGTCGAGGATGAAGTAGGCCTTTTGGAAGTTGAATATGATGTCCAGCTCGCACACATTGCCATAGTACTTGTCCATCTGCTCGACATATCGATGCACGACCTCTAGGGTTATCAACTCGTTGTCGGTGGACGAGCAGCCGGCGATGAAGAAGAGGGAAGCATATCGGCGGTACACCACTTTCGAATCTAGAGAAACAGCTCAATCATTAGCCTAACTGAACATAACAGCGTCGTAGAGATGTATGCTGCAGCAGAAAATACAAAACTCACCCTTATATTCGAGAAAGTTGCACATCCGCGTCCGTCGTGAGAGGACTAGCTGGGTGACATCTTTAATGATCTTCGCCTTATCCTTTGGGGAGAGCGTCGTAAACCATTTTGCCAGGCGCTACATGTACCACAATCCGGTCAGAAACAGCATCCCAAAACGACGGGCGTCTCCCGTGTGAGCAAGTGTGTGTTGTCTGCCAAAAGGGGGGCCGCTGGCTTGTGGGAAGAAAAGGGCAGGGAAGTTTTGCTTCAAGGTGGGTGACGAGCGCGGGTGGCTGGTTTAACTGACCACCTTGCCCTGACGAGAGAGCAGAATTAGATAGCTAGAGAGAAGGGGTCAGTCGGTCTGTTCCATCAGCAATGATCCGGGCAGTAGAGACTTACTTGATTGCCATTATGTTGCTTTCTGCGGTCGTTCGACGTGGGGAGAGAAGGAAAAGTCGACAAGTTTTGTTTTTTGCCTACTGGAAAATGTTTGGAGGGACTTTTGGATGCCAAGACACAAAGAGCCGCGCAAGGAGAAACGCCGGCAAAAGATGTGAATTTGATATTCGATATTACTGCGGGTTGGCATGTATCATTCCGGTTAATAAAAGAGAGGAAAGTTGGAAAATGGTGTCTGTTTGTTATTTTTGCTAGATGGCCCGAGAGAACTGAGTATTGTGCTGCATAGTGCATTACACATTAGGTAGCCTAATAGATATCTGTAACCAGATACACTCTGTGTACATTTATCAAGGAACAAATTAAGCCACAGTCGTCAACTGACTCCCATATCCATCCTCTGCGCCTTGAGTTTCTTCTTGTCTATCATCGCTGTTCTATACATCTTCCCATCCCATCTACTTATAGTAACCGTCGATAAATAGCCTGACTAAGCTCCAAAAAGCCGCCCGTAAAACTTCCGAGGCTTCCCCCCACCAAAGGGGAAAAAACCATCCCGCATTACAAATGCAAGAGAAGGATCCTGATTCCACAATATTCGGGCCTCTTTCGAGCCGGGATGTCGTTAGCCTGGTGCTCGCCGTGTATATAAAAGAGTGCACTTTGCGGCCGTGATACGGTACCTGGATACACACCCGAGGCAAGGCAAGAGAGTGACACCTCCAGCAAAGATGAAGCTAATTCTCTCCACCGGGTAAGTCAGCCCGCGCAGCTGTAATGCGCATGGAATTAATACTGACTCTTGCTGGTAGAAACATCGTCAGCAGCGGACCATCCGTCCTCAGAAGGCCAGCGACAGAGAAGTCCAATGTAGAATTTCTAAATTCATTGCGGTATAACTTTGTCTCTGCGCAAGACATCGAGCCCTCTCACACCAACTCGCCATGCGAAGAGACACATTCGCCGCCCCAGAAGCTTTCCTATAGCGACTATACTACCTGGACCTCTAGAGATGGCGACACGCTCTATGTGCCTTCCCTCGATTTCTCAATGTCTGGTCTGTCCGAAGATCGCTCACAATATGACGTAACCGTCAAGCTTTTCTACCTACCAGGAGTCCCAGCGCAGCGGAGGTGTCAGCATGCTCGTGAATCCATCAATCTGGTCCTCAAGGAGCTGCATATAAGCTGCATAGATTTGTTGATAGTTTCGTTCCCGGAAGTAACTTTTGACGCGGATGACGAGGGTGAAGAAGAACTGTCGAATGGTGAAGGGTCGGAGTCTGAACTTGACAATATTGTTAAGACATGGCGAGCCTTGGAGTCGATGCATGAGCAAGGAATAATAACGCAGCTTGGAATAGCTGAATTCGACAGTTCACGGCTCGCGAAGCTCCTCGCGCAAACAAAGATTCGGCCCAATGTCGACCAGATCAACGTCAAAGATTGCTGCGTTGTGCCGAAATCGTTGATCGTCTATGCAAAACAAGAGAATATCGAGCTTCTGACACACAATGACTGCACAGACATCCTTCCTCGGGGAACAACTCGAGACCTGCTATCTCGTACAGAAAAAGGCGCCGGTATACTTGCTGCCACAGCTGACGCCGAGGATGGCGGCATAAAGGGTGACATCGACCCGCAGTGGGTTATCAAGTATACCGCTGTGGTAAAGGACAGAGGAGTGATTGAGAATAAGGGATATTTCGCTCTTGCAGATGTTGGGCCTTGATATATGCAATCTTGTGGGTTGGTCATCCTCTATATATTTTTCTCTGTTGAAGCTTTTTTTTTTTTTGTCCCTCTCGATCTCTTCGATGTAAGCGTGAGCGTTTCCCAGTGCTCCAGCACCAATATAGACAATAATTTCGCAGAATACCCGCAGTTTATGATGCCAGTATATGAATACTTTTGCCGTTGCATGCCGCGGCTTAAATTTTGTTTAGACACTAGAAACGTCGAGCTGTAATCGCGCTTCCATAAGTGATAATACTTATCCAATCATGCTTCTCTTCCTTCCTCTCATGCGCACTTCCTCCAGTCTCTTCAGGACAGGTTTGGCAGCTTTAAAGCTTTCTCCGTATCCCTCGAGAACCTCTTGGAATAAGCCCTCGGTTCTTGGATGAGAACTGGCAAACGCTCGCTCCAGCACGTATAAATCCACAGCCCTATCTTCGTCTTGGATACTCTGGCTGGCAAGCCCAAAATCAATGAGAACTATCTCACCATCCAAGAAAGGTAGCCTGCTCCTCGGGTCTAAATTCTTGGTATTGGTTTCCAGAGAAGTTGTCTCAGTTGGCACGCCACCAGCTGTCTGTCTTAACATGAGATTGCTTGTCGTCAAATCGCCATGTATAATCCCAGTCTTATGCAGCAGCCCGACGGCACGTCCAATCTTTTGGAGAAGAGCGCATATCTTCTTTTCGCTTTCTTTCACAGTCTCAGTGTAGGTGCTAATATCCGTGCCAGCTGTTCCCCGCTCGTCTAGCGTACCACTGGACTTCATCCATTTCTCCCAGCTATTCACGACTTCTCTGACTACATCCCCATCTACCCATTCCATAAGCAGCCACCCGCCATTATTTGCACTGCTCCCTTCTTTTTTTTCCGTATCTGGCTCAGAATTATGGCCCCAGTCGGCTGCCAATATACCAGGAACCGGAACTCCTTCTCTAGCCAGTTTGGCCATACATCTCGCTTCCTGTAGAATACGCTGGCGAGTTAACCGGCGATCGAGTATCGGGTGACGGTATGGCTTTAATGGGCGCACTTTTAATGCTGCCGGAATGGAAGGGTCCAAAAAATACGTCCTGTATAATCGGGCTTCTGCGCCTTGGGCAAGTAAGACAGGTATCCTGGCGGGGTCACAGTAGGTAAACGGCCGTGGAAGCGGCGGAGGAGGCTGAACTTCTGCCATGTCTTTATTAAAGCACGTACGCTGGTTAGTATGTGTCTAAGGGATATGCTCTTGATTGCTCAGCAAAGTGGCCCTGCTTATGCTGTGATTCCACTTTGTTGATCTCGCATGGCTTATCTTTCTACGCAGTCAGGAGTTACAGTTTTTTCTAGACGACAGTTTGATTGATGACTAAGCTTGTGATCAAAAATCCCCAAGCTCCAAAAAGGACGTCAAACCGGCATCAACTTCTACGAGATGGTGATAGCCATGATAATGAGAAGATACTGAGGAACCCTTTGGGGAGATTTATTTTTTGGAGTGACAAGGCGTATTCAGCACATAAATCCAAGAACCCTGCTTTGGGGTTGTGGCTCTTCAGCTAGCATTGCTCCCTTGGCCAATATCCTCATCTAAGACAGAATCGACCTCAATTTCAGCCTATGGTTCTTACCCTCTTGCGAAATACAAACGCAGAGAAGTTTATAGATGGTATCATCGTGTTGTCAGCTTATGGGAGGCGTGGGGTGCAGAACATGGCCCAGTGCCAGACATGCGGCCAGAACAAGCCAAAAGCCCTTTGCATCCTTGTACACCAAAGTCACTATGCATAGCCATTCCTTCTCCCCGGTGCTGATACCAGCAAGCAGACAGACTTAGATGCGCCACAAGACTCCAATATTACGAGGTTGTCCTCATGCCTTCCGCTGAATACCTGTGCTCCCCCCTTACTCGACATGACCTTCCCGCTTGGGCTTCCTGCCTTGCAAAAGCAAGGGTATCGCGATGGGATCCTATTTGCCGAGATTATCTATAGCCTCCTCGCTTTTAGTATACATACAAACGTATGTCCTAACATGGAGAGCGGAAGTGGCGTGGGCTGGGATACGGATAGATCGAGCTGACAACCCCGGGTAATCCTCAGGTCTTCAGGAAGGTTCCCGGGAGAGCTCCACTGTCCGTCCCGTCACTTTAACTCTTTTGAAGGTTGTGGAACTATTTCTCTCTACTGGTTCACGTTATAATATGTATATATATATCCATCCTACTTAATGTTCGCTTCTGGCTGGAAATTTTTACGTGAAGAGCAAGTTGCAACTTGTACCCGTCGACAACGGCATTTTTGCAAAGAAAAGGCAGTGGACACTTTGTCTGTATGCTGTTATTTTGGCCTGGTGCAAGTCAAGTACAAGCCCCCTCGTATCACGGTTTTCTTCACTTTTCTGCAGACAGGACTTAGTGGCTCGCGCTAACAAGCGTTTGGTTCTTGGGGTCGAAGATCATGCAGCCTTAATATTGTTCTCTGCAGCAACACCTGCATGCTTCATATTGTTCCTGCAAGGCGGAACCTAAATATGAACCAATCTCGCCTCCTTTCGAGTACTTTGTATATCAAGCTCCTTACCTATTGTGACTCCGACCATCATCGACTCCGCTGACTGGCTATTATTCCTCTTTATTTATTCCATTTTCTGTTTGTCCTCGCCGGGTCTGCTTGATAGGCGCCGGGGAGCCCTGCGGAATTGTTCCCCGTGCCTGAATATGGACCGGGTCGATATTCAGTCCGGCGTCAATGTCTCTACTGCCTTTGTCCGGTAGAATTTTGACCATTCTTTCTAGACATCAATATGCATGTTCCCTCTCTGGCTCTTGCAGTGACAAACGGCTGCAATGAGAAGATCCTTCTCGTCCTCGGGGGCTGCGTCCTCTTTCTTCTTGAAATGCCTGCTGCTCTTCTATTAAAAGGCACAACATCTTGCTGCGAAGGGTCCTTTTGATCTGCTTTTTTCCATCAAGAATACACATACCATTTGCCATACGAAAGAGTATCAAAAATTATACACTCTAGAAATCACCGATAAGGTCTTTCCGAAAGCACGATACCATGGCGCCGCACTTCGATCCCTTCCAGCAGAGTGTCACCTTCCTCCGTGGTGATGGCAGCTCATTCCCCATTTCCATGGTAGAGTTCAACAATTTTTTCTTGTATGCTGTGAGAACTTCCATAGCAGCTGCTTCTCAGCTGGGAGCTTCTGTTGTGATGGCCGTTCTCCTCGCCTTACTTACTTCACCGGATAAACGACGATCAATTATTTTCTATCTGAATATTACCACGCTCCTTGTGAATGTCTGCCGAACCCTATCCACCGCAATTTTCTTTACCAGCTCCTGGGTTGAAGTATACACTTACTTCTCTGGCGACTATTCTCGAATCACACCTGGAGCCTATGCCAACTCTGTTATGGGGACCATAGCTACTGGTATTATGGTCATCTTGATCGAACTATCCCTCCTTATTCAGACACAAGTTCTATGTTCTACACTCCGCGATCTTTACCGAAATATCCTCCTCGCGTGGTCATGCCTGGTAGCAGCCGTTCCAATCGCATTTCGAATTGCCTTCATGGTTGCCAACGTCAAGGCAATTATGACTCAAGCTTCTTTAGGAAAGAACATTTGGATACAAAGCTCCTCGAACATCAGCATCTCTGTCAGCATCTGCTACTTTAGTTTGATCTTCCTGGCCAAGCTTGGCTATGCGATCTATACCAGAAGATTGTTGGGAATGAAGGGATTCGGAGTCATGCAAGTTATTTTCATCATGGCTTGCCAGACTATGGTACTTCCAGGTATGCTATATCCAGCGTCTAGTTATTATACATGTGGCTGCTTATACAAGAATCATTCCAGCAATAATGTCCATCCTCCAGTATTTCATTCCTGAGTTTGAGGTCAACACCAATATACTCACCCTGCTTGCACTATCCCTACCACTCACGACGCTCTGGTCAGCTGCTGCTGTTCGCCATAGTCATAATCACAATCACGGATCCGGTCGCCATTTCTGGGGAGGCAGCTCCGAAAAATCCCTATTCGATCACAACAAAACCTCGGGTGGCAGTTTCTCTCATCCATCGTCGACACTCATTGGATCCATGCAAGGCCCTGAGAAGATCAAGTCTGCGGACCACTTTGATCGCCTCTATCCTGAGCTGCATGATACAGGCAACATCACAATCGAGCGTAACTTCAGTGTTACCAGCAATAGAGTATGAAGCGAACAGCGCATAATGTCACAGAGCGACTTATGCAAGGGCCGGTATGCGAATGTATCTCCATAGACATCTGTACAGCCTTACATTCCTTCGCTTCTCTCTTTCATACTAAAATCTGATTTTCCCTTGATATCAATTCTTCCCCTTGCTTTTCTCAGCCTCGGATTCATGGAGTTTCCTCTTGTGTTTTTCTTTTACTTCTCATTCCCCACAGGTTATTTCTTGTAATGGGCCTGGAGTTAGGTAACTAGCTAGATCTTATAACAATTCTAATAAAACATCATTATAATCAGAAGTTATGGTCCAAAGCCTCTAGAGAGTGTGCTTTGAAAAGAAACGAAACACCTGCACTTCGGTCAGTTCTGCAAAATATACCCCTGGCCAGTACTCGTAATCGAGCCGCCAGGCAGCAATGACGCATGTGTGTCAGTGCTTAACCAACATGGAAGACATCACCAACCAATTATTTTAGGCGCCAGCCTCGAGCGAGTAAACAGGTGAAATAGCCTTAGCCAGTTGACTACGGTAATTATTTAATTAAATAGTTATTTTGATGAAGAAACATAGTTGACTCCTTGACGATTTTTGTTCTGGCTTTAATAGTGTCAGGATATGGCCTTCAACAATGCACCCACAGGTGTAAACAACCAAGGCGATATCTCTAAGGATGTGACGCTTAATAACCTGCCAGAGGACAGCGTCTCAGAGCTTGCCTGGTCATCAGTCGCCAACTACCTCGCCGTCGCCTCCTGGGACAAGGCAGTCCGTATCTACGACGTCTCGCACTCCGCCCAGGGCGAAGGAAAAGCGCTCTTCTCGTTTCCAGGTGCTGCCCTGAGCTGTGCATGGTCGCCTGATGGGACCAAGGTCGTAGGCGCTGGCACTGACGGCTCAGCTAGGCTCCTGGACCTTGCCAGCAACAATAATCAGGCTCAACAGATAGGTCAGCACGATGCGCCAATTCGAACGATACGAATGATCCAAGTGCCAGGCAGTCAGTCACCCATCGCTATCACCGGGTCTTGGGATCGTAAAGTTAAGTACTGGGACTTGCGACAATCCGCTCCAATAGGTACAATAACATGCTCGGAGCGGATATACGCAATGGAAGCCAACGGTAGCAAGCTGCTGATCGCCACGGCCGATAAAAATCTCGGCCTAGTCGATCTCAACCAACCTACAGTCATCGCTAGAACCCTACCGAGCCCGTTGAAGCACCAGACCAGAGCAGTCAGTTGGATTGCCGATGGCACCGTTTATGCCGTCGCGAGCATTGAAGGTCGCTGTGGCATAAATTATGTTGACGAAGCAAACAAGTGGTAAGTGGCAATTTGCGTTCGAATACTTCCATGGTTATCTAGCGACTCCTAGTGGCGATTATTTCTGGACGATCTGGGGAAGGTTATACTTGGAATTGAATATCCACCAGCTCATATGGTTATGTTATTTATCAACCTAGTCAAAACTTTACCTTCCGTTGTCATCGCCTGCCAAAGGACAACGATCCCAAGAACCAGCTCGTGTATGCCGTTAACGCTGTTTCCTTCCACTCTCGCTACCACCAGGTATTTAGCACTGCTGGCTCGGATGGCACATTTTGTTTCTGGGACAAGGATGCCCACCACCGCCTGAAGGGGTTTACTGCTGGAGGGCCCATCACTTCAACATCATTCAATCATGACGGCACGGTCTTCGCCTACTCTATCAGCTATGACTGGAGCAAAGGGTACTCTCACAACACACGGGATCACCCAACCAAAGTTGTCTTGCATCCAGTGTCGGACGCTGAATGTAGGCCAAAGCAGAAAACCAATCAGGGGTAATTAACACCACCCATCGAGCTCGAAGGAGGAGAGCCAATTTTGAATGGGATTTCTATAAATGATTTGTTCCTTTATACTCCGTATATCGCTGGCTAAATACAATTCTTGATGCTAAAAAGCGCCCAAGTATGAAAAAAAATCATATCACGTGAGAGAGTCTCTCTTGGCTTCACAACCTTAATTCGACCTGTAGCTTATGTAATGGTAACACTGTCAGTATTTTTGTGCGTCGAGACGGAATATCAAGATAAAAGCACCGTCTACGACAAAAATCGCACGATGGAGTCCTTATAGTCGGACGTTTGTGCTTCGTCGGGCTACCTGAAAGGGACAGTGTAGCTCAGGGAATATAGACACATTAGCACAGCGATGGTTTTTACTGGGGCGGAGTAGACGTGTGGGTAGAATATATCCATATTAGAGCTGTGACAAGAAGACAGAGCAAATAATTAGCATATCGTCTTTGAGCGACGAATACCTAACTAGATCACCAGCAAACCGATAAAGAAAGGATATCGAAAATGTAACTAGTTCCATCGCCAACTAGTTTTTCGGCCAGTAGTGAGCCATCGCTGCTTTTCTCTTTGGGGTATACATGTATGCTCGGTGCTCCTGCTTTCATCTAGCCATCAGTAGTCCCGTCTAGTTAATTGCAATATGTCCCTCAAGGATCGTCTCTTATGCGCGAGGATGCGATAGCTGTCTGCCTGTTTTGCTGCGGCGTTGTTGGTGTTGGTTTGATTAAATAGGAAGAGCAAACTCCAAGTCTGGGCGAAGCTTGGTGATCACCAAGCAATAATCCCACCTCAACACCACGAGCTAGCGACACCACCAACAAGTGTCTGATGATGCAGCCCTCAAGTCGACGAGGGAGACGACCATGGCAGCAGTGCCGCAGAAGACCCTAGAGTGGCTTTACCGAGTTCTGACCAGCGTGAGAAACACCCCTCCCACTGCCGCCTATTAAGGGAGTACAAGCAAGCAAGCTGACCACCCGCAATTAATCGTCATAGAACCAAGCATATCGCGACCCTAACAGGACATATAGCGACACTGCGCAGCTTTTAGCCCAGTTCCCTTCGTTTTCTCCCCGGACAGATGTTTACAGTACGCATTTAGTCACCTTTTCCCAGTTTGTCCTTTGTTGATGCCGAATCCATGTACTGAGTCAACGCCTTGTTAGCATACGAGAACGGTGCCTCAGCTCTTCTTCTACACTTGACAGGGACCTTGCCGGTACACTTTAGAGGAGCTTTATACTGGTTCCCGATTGCAATATGGGTCCCGAATACATATCCAGATGCATCTCCGATGGTCTATGTGACTCCAACGTCCGAGATGCTGGTGCGGCCAGGACAGCATGTTAGCAGTGACGGGAAGATATACCATCATTACCTCGCCCACTGGGCCGAGGCTCGCGATGTATGTGGTAATTACGGACCCGAGAGATAATTTTGGCTGTTGATACTGATAAACCTTTCTGTTAGCGGTCTACCTTGGTTGATTTTCTGTTGATATTAAAAGACGTCTTTGCCAAAGAACCGCCAGTGATATCCAAGGACGCTCCAGTCAGAAGACAACCGGTTGCGTCGCAACGGACCACTCCACCAGCAGTACCACCATTGCCAGCTGAGCTAACACGGCCTTCACCAAGCGCCGCATCCACTCCGCCTGTACAGCCACCAGCCCCCCCAAAGCTACCTCCGAAGCCAAGTGGAGAGAGACACCAAACTGCAGCAGAACGGCCAGTTGAGAATGTATCCACGGCACGCAGCCTGCCACCACCTTTACCGCCCTTACCTGCGGAGCTACAACCGACAACTCACCACCGAGATGGTATTGGGCCGGAAAGTCGAGGAAACCAATTTCTACCTCAGAGGTCAAGCAGCTTAAGACGGGAGGTCAACCCGCTGTCCCAGCCTCCACCTCCAACACATCCAAGCCAACATCAAACTCAGGGATTCGTTCCAGAATCTCAGAACCGCAGGCCATCAAGCGTTCAGAGCCCGCCAGTGGGATTGACACCTCACGCACCTCAATACCAACAAGCATACCAACCTTCATATCACCATCAGCAATTCCATTCCCAGCACCACAATGACGCTGCAATGCATCCGCCTCAGCAACAACCAGTTCCCCACCAGCATAACTCACTACCTGTTCCACAGAGGGAAGTTCAGCCACAGCCAGCCGCGAGCAATCCTCCAAAGAAACCGGAAACGCAAGATCTTCTTACATCTCCTTTTGATCTCGAGTTACCCACTCAGCTACCCTCGTCCTCACCGCCACCAATCCCTCCAAATCCAGAGAAAGATGTTCTACTACAAACTCTCTCAAGGACTCTAACTCAAACACTACACGCCAATATTGAACAATCAAATTCTCGCATAGAGCCTCTGAATTCTCAGTCTAGAGCATTACACGACGCCATTGCTACTCTTCGATCCGAGATTGCTGCTGTAAACGCATTCCATGCTAATCTCCAGTCAAATACCCAAATTCTACAGCAATCTCTACGTCGCGCAGATGGCGTCATTGCGGATGCAAAGTCACGCATATCATCGCCATCCGCATCGTCCTCCCAGCATCCGGCCGGCCTACCCGCCATAGATGAGGTGCTTGTTCCCCCTACAGTGGTTGGAAAGCAAATCTACGATCTTGTGACGGGTGAACGCGGTATTCACCGGGCGATATACGCTCTCCAGTCTGCACTCGTAAGAGGACGGGTAGGTATAGATGTGTGGGCCAAGTCGACAAGAAATTTAGCCCGAGAGGCATTTTTGAAGAAAGCTTTGATACGTAAAGCCTCAAATGGGATGGGCCTAGCTGTGTAAATGCTTTTGAGATATAAACTAGTAACACTAACGGCTTTATTCTATATGGAAGATCTCCCAAAAGAGGACAGTGCATTTGAAACGAGGTTAAAAATAGATGTCCAAAGAGGTTAAATTTTAGGTTGACACAAAAACGAGGTCTAGCTCCCAAAACGTAAGTATCAGAGTCTTAACGCCAGAACCAACTAACATATGAGTGGCGTTCTGCCTGTATCCACGTATGGAGAGCCAGTGAAACATCACTGTTCTAGGAAGTTCAATTGGAAAAGAATAGAAAATAAAATTGGACCGGAAAGTCGAACAGAGTATAACAGTAATACAGGTATCATCAAGCCGAAAGGCGCATTATTCAGCCGCAAAACAAAAGGCATTGGCAAGGATTGAGTTGAGAAAGTAAGAAGTAGAAGCAGGCGATTCAAAAATAGTAATGATTACCAATGGCAAAGGCCACCTTCGCCTTCATCCATAGACCAAGTACCAGCCAGGCCAACAACTTGCATCTGCCCATCAGCATGCTCGTCAAGTTTAGGCAAAGAAGCTACCTTGGGCCCTTGGACACCAGCCTTGTCAAGAAGCTTCTTCGCCCATGGTCCAATGGCTGCTTCACCAGTCTCGTCGCGGGCCTGCTTCAAGAAAGGAATGAGAGCTGTTCCCCCGGTGCCACGAAGAGGTGCTTTCTTTTCGTTTCTCGCTGGCCGGTTTGACATAAGCATTCCACCGGGTGTTGATAAAGGCTGGGATTGTGGTTTGGGTAGTCCTGCTGCCTTTCCTGGTGATGATGATAAGACCTTTGTATCCCGTTCTTCGCGCGATTTAACGACAATGTACCGTGATACCATTGTAATATGGGTTGTGCGAATAGCCTTGACCATAGCTACGGCAGTATTAAAAGCTGTGACTAGCTCGGTATTCGACTGGTGAGATTGAACGTATTCCTGGATGTTTGATACGCTGGAGACGTGCTCAAGGAATCTCCGGTGTGGACCCGGCATGTAAGTCCGCATTTCCATGAGAAAGTTATGCCACCTCTTCCTACCTTCTCCATTCTCATCACTTGAAGAGGATGGTGGGAGCGGAGAAGAGGATGTTTTCGGTCTAGATTCGCCGGTTGGTCTATGTTCAACGCCCAGGACTATATCGAAGAATTGGATCAGCGAGCTTTGGGCATTACTTCCGCCTCGATAGTGCTTGTATTCCTGACGGCCAGACCCGTCGTCGAAAAGGATACCGCGTGGAAGCTCAGCCATACCCTTGCTCCCTGCCAAGAACGGTCGAATGCGGTGGTAGAAAACATGTGGGTCACAGTGTTTATACATCTTCTGGAGCTCCAGGTTTACTTCGTCAACTACTTCCGCGAACTTGGACAAGCATTCCGTCACTTCCGCCGCTTCGTTGGCACGAGCTGCAGCTATAGCCTTGAGCATTAGAGGTATGGACCGAGCACCCCGAGCCTCAATGGCTATGGAAACAAGGTAGAACCACTGCTCATCCAGAGAGCCGGTAAAAGTGAACAAAGTAGCAAGATTTTCAAGCGAATCTGCAGGGCTATCAGGGAATATTGGCCTATAGTTCCATAGACAGAGGCCGGCGAAAGTAGCCACAGGTGGTAATTCCAGCTGAGCAGCAATTTTCAATAGTGGGATAGCAAGGGGTTGAGGGATTTCCTGCCGGTAAGTTTTGTCAGCAGACCATCATCACTCATGGGCGAAAAAATAATAAAAAAGTAAAATAAAAATTCAATTTCACCCCGGCCTTGTATCGGAAAATTAATGATGACCACGGGGGAAACGAAAATAGAGAGTACAACACGAAAATAGAAGCAGAGTAAGATGAAGGAAGAAGTGAAATAATGTATAAAAAGAATTAAAAAAATAAAAAGGATCAAAGTTTGACGGTCACAAGACAAGGGTGCTGCCACTGACGAAGGGAGGACGATACTTACATCTGCGGGCTTGTCGCCTCCCCAGATATAGCCATGCAGAAGGAATCCCAGGATGGAATATGCACGTCGCCATTCCGGTGTAGAGTCAAGATACTCCGGGGATAGCACAGGCATGTTTTCAATTGTGTTCCGCAGCCTGCCGGCCAGTATCAGCGGCTGGAGATTCCCAACAGCCGTCTCCCATGGGGAGTAGTATGCCGGGAGCTCTGTGGCCGGCGGCTGCTCTGGAAGGAAACCATGCTCGGGAGTGATGCCGTAGTCTGCGATATCAGGGACTGGACGTAGCATAGTCACAGATATTAAAGCCTAACTTGCTCGGGGTAGTAGAAATGAGTCAAGAACTGGTGTTTGGCCAAATATTGTAAAGCTGTGGGGTGGGAGGAGAAGGAAAGTGGGCTGATAGGAAAACGATCAACGGAGAGGTGGGAAGGGAGCACTAGATATAGGAAACAGGAAAATAAAAATAAAAAAAAAAAATAATAGAAAATGAAGGCCACCAGCAGGCACGCAGTGTGTCTAGAATGACTAGAACAGTGCAACCTGGGCCTGCAGCTATGCAAAGGTAAAGAAAGATATGGAAAAGAAGAAAAGAAATCTCGCAAAAGTTCGTGAAAAAAAAAAAAGGCCGTTAACTTCCAGTAAACTATCACGTGGATATGACGTTTTCATGTACCTGAAGCGCAGAATTTGGCTGGACAGGTACGGCGGCAAAAGTTAACGAATTAGGGGCGGCGAGGAGATAGTTATCGCATGGGCCAGAGGATCGAACGGTGTGCGGAGGGAAAAGCACGCAGAGGAACCGAGGACGTTGTCGACTGTTTAAGAAACCAGGCATTGTAGTAGTGTTTATGGCCCGTTTGCAACCGCCGTCTATATAATAATTCCTTCTATACCGACCGTCTCGGCGAGCATGGGGGAGGGGAAATAACGTCGATACAACGGGTCGAACGCTACCGGCCGCCCCAACGATCGTTGTGTCCCTGTTTCAGCTCCGTATCGTATTCGTCAGCAGCTCGTCACAGGCTTTCCTAGGCACGGGCTTGTTATCTCCACCGTTCGCTCAGTCAGTCAGGTTGGGGCTGGGGGATGGAGATGTATTCCGGTTGGCCGTGACGTCGCTGTTCAGCATGTTGGCGATTGGGGAAAGATGTGCTCTCTATCACAATGCAAAGACATGCCCTCTGTCGTATTTAATCCCTTTGTTTCACGAGTCATCTCCATGCCTTTCGGTGTGATGGGCGTAAGTATGTGTTTTGGCTTGTCACATCTGTAAAACAATATATTGCGGACGATGGCGGGCTTGGTATCTCATCCTTGGGCCAGATCATATGTAGAAGTCGCTCCTTTCCCCCAGCCCCATGCTGAGCCGGAACGGCTTGTCAGACAGAGCGCCGACTCAGAAGAGGCAATAGAAACGATTCCAAATCATCAAGCCTTAGCAGGATGCGGTCGTTTCCTCTTGCTGCTCGGGCAGTTCTCGCGCAGCCAGACGGAGGATTCCATGCTGCCTAGAAGTACTAGGAGGGAACGTCGCGTCCTCTGTTTAAGCAGCCATCCATCTCTCAGCCCAGCAGTCTGAAGACGGAGTATTTGGATGATAGTTTCGTCTCCTGAGGGTATATCTTTGCCGGCGCTGGGCTGTATCGCAGTGTCGATGTCGCTGTTGGTGGTTGTTGTTTGGAGGTGAAGCGTAGACCGCAGAGAAAACGAGATGCGGGGAGAGACAGGCTGTGGCTTGAGAGTATTTGAATTAGGGCCGCCTCAACGCTGTTCCATGCGAATATCCAGGGAAATAAGAGGAATGAAACCGACGGGCGAGAGCTGACATGGGTTTATGGACAGTCGATGTTCGCCTCGTGGCGTATTTCCGTACAGGCATCTGGCGAAGGCGATCTCTCCGAGTAGATCATAACAGTTCTACCAAGCCGCGATGAGCGCCTCAAACCCGGATCTACGAGTGGCGGCTGTGCTAAGAATTTAGGAGGACGGACAGAGGTGCAAGGAGCAAAAAAAGAAGGTTGATTGAATAGTGATCATCATCAAACGCTATGATACATATTTGCTATGAGAGTTGCCATTTCAATGCATGGCCCATACATAACAAGCAAAGAGAAGCATGAAGAAGCTGAACTGTCAGCCGATGGAAACCCCATAAGAAGGCCAGGGCTAGTGTGGATGGTTTGGTTGTTGTCACTGATCACTCCGTGTTTTGTTCCGGGATCAAGTAACATAATTAAAAAAAATACAAATGGGTATTGGAATATCAAGGATTCATGTATGTTGAGATAGTAGAAGTGCCTGGGTTAGTTGGTAGGAGGAGAGGAGGCAATCATAGCGAATTAGGAGAGTAAGGGGAAAAGGAGTATGCGGATCAATGCTGACTCCATTCAATGGTGTTCAAGTCAACACCTTCTTGTACAAGCTCCCACAGCGGACTGAGCTCACGGAGGAAAGTCACTCTCTCCTTAACTGCCTTGATCACATAGTTGATCTCACTTTCGGTAGTAAATCGGCCAATGCCAAATCGGATACTGCTGTGAGCACTTTCGTCACTATTTCCAAGTGCACGAAGGACGTAGCTAGGCTCGAGAGAGGCAGAAGTGCAGGCACTGCCAGACGATAGGGCAATGTCTTTGAGGGCCATGAGGAGCGATTCGCCCTCGACGTAAGCAAAGGATACATTTACACAACCTGGGTAATGGCGGTTAGGATCACCATTGAGAGTTGTGTGTTCAAGAGCGAGAAGGCTGGAGAGAAGTCGCTGGGAAAGAGCTGAGATACGCTTCGAGTCATACTAAAGGCTCAGTGTTAGTCAAGCTAATCATAATATTTCATGAGGACGGATTTGGGGAAAAGAGGAAAAGAGTTATGGGCCATGATCATATAGTTGCTATATCAAACACAAGTCGTAGGACTTTCAGAACCATGCATGTATAAGAATTGAAAGAAGCATTTAATCATCTCAGGCAAAACTCGAGGATAGTTGTTTTGATGGGAGTGATGGTAGTAATCGTGGGGATGAAAAAGAAAAAAGAAAAAGAACATACCTCCATCTCTTCCTTGGCGAGCCGACAGGCTTCACCAAATCCAACGACCAGGGGAGGAGCGAGAGTTCCACTGCGCAATCCACGTTCCTGGCCACCACCGGTAATGAGAGGGTCAAGGCGAACTCTGGGACGACGTCGAACGTAACAGGCTCCAATTCCTTTAGGGCCATAGAGCTTGTGGCCGGAAATGGACATCAGGTCAACGTTCCACTCGTTGATATCGACAGGTATCTTCCCAACAGCTTGGGCAGCATCAGTATGGAAGAAAACCTTCTTTGAACGACAGAGAGCTCCAATCTCTTTCATAGGCTGAATGACACCAATCTCGTTGTTAACGGTCATGATGCTAACCAACGCCGTTTCAGGTCGAATGGCAGCCTCTAGATCTTCAATCTTAATCAACCCATTACTCTGGACCGGCAGATAGGTCACCTCGAAGCCCTCGTCCTGCAGATGTCGACAACTGTCGAGAACACATTTGTGTTCTGTCTGGGTGGTGATGATGTGTTTCTTCTTGCCTGACCGCCCAAAGAACCGAGCCACACCCTTGATGCTCATGTTGTTGCTCTCAGTAGCTCCGCTAGTGAAAATGATTTCCTTTGGATCAGCTCCGATGAGAGTGGCAACGTGTGACCGAGCCTGCTCGGTGGCCTTTTCGGTCTCCCAACCATATGCATGAGTTCTCGAGTGAGGGTTACCATAGAGTCCAGTGAGGAAGGGTAGCATCGCATCGAGAACTCGGGGATCAGTAGGGGTTGTGGCTTGCATGTCCAGATATATCGGTCGATTTCCTTCATCCATGATTGTAGCCTGTTTCAAGATACTCGCAGACGGATTGGTCAGGGCATCGCCAGACACAGAAGTGCCTGGGACTGATACCTTCTGTGCCGTCTTAACTGCAGACTCAACTGTCGTCTGGGCTTGGGCATTGTGCTTCTGCGAGCTTGACACGTACCTCCTGCCGCCCGAGCTGGAACCAGTGACCGTCCTCGCGCTGTATGCTGGTCTGACCAGGCTTGCTGACAGCGACGAGCGCCGCAAGCAAGCCCGGGAGGCATGCCTTAGCACTTGAGGTGCTATATTCGACATGGCTGGTTGATGAATTTCTTCCACACGAAGAAGAAGTAAGAAAGAAAGGAAAATTTTGAAAAGTTTGAGAAGAGAGAAAGTTGAAGAAAAGGAAAATTTTGTTGGCGAGGTTCGCTTATGTAATAAACGTTGACAAATCGGATTTTAGCCTCGGCCGACATCAGCTCCGGATCACGTGAATATAAGTTCGTATTTGGTGTTTTTCTACTGGAAGGAAAGAAGTGAAGATGAAGTTGGCGAAGGATGAAGGATGAAGACAGGAGCCAGAGCTGAATTGAGATAAAGTGAAGGATAGTGAGAGGTAAGAAAGTCATATTATTAAGTCATGAATTCTAGATGGTAGCTAAAGTTACATCACAGCGCCTTGAACCAGGTTGAAGAATAGAAGGGAATCATGCATGGAGATGAAAGGATGAACAATTCAAAGGAGACCAATCCAGGCACCGCCCATGGCGACAAGGGCGGCAGCACCGTTGAAGGTCAAGCTAGAGGCAGCGTTGCTGGTGGCCGCAGGAGCGCCGCCGCTGGTGGTAGGAGTGCCGCTTCCGTTGTTGACCTTGGGGGGTGACTGGCCGTTTCCAGCACCTGCAGCAGCCTCCTTGTAGGCTTCAATAGTGTTTCCGCTGGATCTATTGGTGTCGAAGAATGCCAGTTAGCAAAGAGACTGCTTTCCTATTTTGAAATGTGAACGACTTACGGAGCGTTGATGACAGCAACCATTCCCTTGGCACAGTGCTTGCTGACGGAGCAGTAGAGCCAAATTGGGTCGGTGCTAGTGATGTTGACGGAGAACTCATCACCCTCGTTGAGCTTGCCGGAGTATAGTGAGTTGTCACCAGGCTTGCATGGCTTGTCGAATGGACCAGAGGAGATGTCGTGACCGCTTTTGGCGAGCTTGAAGTGGACTATGTCATTGACTGCGGCTGTGATCTTGTTTGGGGTGAAGGTGAGGCCGCCATTCTCAGCGACGACAACCTCAACGGTCTTTGCGGTAGCAAGACCAGCAAAGGCGACAGTGGCGAGGATGTTCATGTTAACCATTGTTGCGGTTTATTTATGGACTTCGTTGGGATAACTAAGTTTTGATCTTTTTTGCTAGTATTGTGAGATAAGAAGATGCAGAAGTTGCTTAATTGATTAGAAAGAGAAGCTCCGGGAGGAATACTCTCCTGGCTTTATATGCTGCTAGAGGAGGATTCAGATCGCCAGCGAGATTAAGCATATCCGCAAGGCTGTAAGCCACCGCGTGAAATCTCGACTTCCCCAGGAGCTCCTTGCCCATACAATCGATGCATGGCCTTACGGCCGGCAGCATGTATACGAGCCGCGTGCAGGCTGAAACACCAACATGTCAGCACCTGTTGACAAAGGACATAGGTCAGAGAAATCGCCAAGGGAAGAAATATAAAGAAGTCTCAAAGGCTGAGAGACTCGAGACTTTTGGCGAAACTCAGTTGTCGCTGTCAAACATGGTTTACTGTAAACCCCGTAATCCTGCGGAGGGATTACACACTGGACTGAGCACCACCGTTTGGCCAATTATGCCGCTGCTGGTACCCTCTGGAGCGGCTCGGCATGGTGGTTAAGATCCCTAGGGACTTGGTGATTTGGTTAGGCATCCCGTCTCTGCATCAATTAACTATCATTTTTCTTTTCACCAACATCTCATTGTGTTCTAAATCGAGATGTAAGTGGCTGCTCGGGGTTCACGTACTTGGCGAAGAGAGCTTCGCCCCCAAGCTAGGATTCCTAGCCAATGTCACTTCGCCCGTATCCAAGCAAGCAGATGCCCCGGTATGTACTCCGTACTCCGTACGTAAAATGGCTTTGCACTTGGTGTCTTCCAGCATCCCCTGAGCTTGGTAGTAGTTGCGTGGTCTGCGCTGTGGCTATGTAATCAGCGTTAAGCGCCAGGAACAGCTTTGCAGCAAACACGCTACGTTGGATTTGGCACTTGGGGGCTGATCATACGTAGTCCCTGGTATGCAGTTAAGTGCAGATCATTGATAAAGCCCCGATTACGAAGAGGTATTGGCGAGGCTGTGGCATGGCTGCAAAGTTGTGAGCTTGAATTCGTCAAGCTGGTGGCTGATTAACCGCCGAGACGACTCTGAATGGCTATACTCCGTACGAATGGGCACTGCAGATGATTAAAAGTTGGACATCCACTTGTTTCTTAGGCTCATTCTAATTATATCTGTGGTTATGTGGCTAGATATATGCATCCTTCTATATGCCTTCCATCATATCTATTCTTGTCTATCCTTTATCCTTCATAAGCCTATCTGGCAGCCGGAACCCGCTCCAACTACCAAGGCTTTCCATACCTGGCAAGGGTTTCCATTGGGTTGCCGGTTTGCAGCCAGAGATCCAAGACCTCATCTGAAGGTATCCATATCATACCTACCATAGCTGCTGCATTGACGATCTTAATACCTTCCTGGCTCGCACGAGACCGTGGAATTACCATCATCCAGTCCTTGACTAAAACTAGGTTATGCGAATAGTCATTGTTATCAATACCAGCGGCAGCCAAAAGGTCGGTGTATGTTCTATAAACTATCTCGGCCGTTGCTGAAGAAGGTAGTTTTCGAACAACATGCTGGAAGGGGATATTGGGGACCCGTCCTAAACAGTCAATTAATTAGTCCTGCTATATCTTCTTCCAACAGAGTGTCGAAAACTAACCGTTATCAATGCCATATATATCCGGGAACAAGTTGTGAACATCTCTTGGGGGACGTGGCAGTAGCTGCATATGCCTATGTGGTAGAGACCATCCGCCTTGCAGGCCACCGTTATATATGAGTAGATATTCGCTTTCCATCCTGGTCAGTACGCTCCATCCGGCGGCCAAATCCACAGCATCCAGGGGTTCGATTTGAGGTTTGAATTCGTTGCAATGCAGGATGAACTGCGTACGGACGACGCAGAATTTATTTAGGCGCAAGGTATGCTCAGGGCCAACATGCTCGATAACGAACTCAGGAGGGTCCTTCGCAAATGGACTGGCCTTATTAACTGGTGGCTTCTTCTCTGCATCCTTTATCGGTATCTGTGGTTTCTTCGTCAAGCTTGATGCAATTCGGAACTGGAGCTAATCTCTTGGTGCGGATTCCGCAACTGTTAGCCTGTATTTCGGTGTTGTAGCAGAGCTGCTGGCTAACTGGCGGAAAAATTGAAACAAAGGTTGCCCTCACATTAAATGGCTTTGCGGGAACATAGACTGGGTCACGGGGAGAGTATATGACATCGCCCTTCTCGACTAGTGCGTCAAACTGGCGAAGTGCCTTGGCTTCAAGTCCTTCCATCATCATGAACTTGCGTTATAGGGCTGGAGATGCTTGATATCTGAAATAGACCAGCACGTTGAAGTTTTATGATTTTTTTTTTTTCATGGCAACGTTGCCCCTCGGCCGTTTTCCCGGGTCTGGCTAACTAACTTACGGAGTTGGGTTGACGGACGAGCCAAAGTGGATTAGGGTTCCAAACTTAGTTGGAGCCGCCTTATCTAGACCGACCGCCAACGGTGTTATTCCATAGTAAATAAAACAGACGTGAGCCTCAAGTTGCAAGCTTGTAATGAATTAATAAAAACTATCAACTCGTTAAGATCAGGTTCAAACATCCTTCAAAGCCATCAGCTTATTTACATTCAATTCAATATGTACCAGCCTTGGAACAAGGAGTAAGTGGATCTGCCGATACCCTCACATCATACTTCCCTAGCCGTTTCTTCAACGGCCATAATCTGAGCCATTGACTTCCTTATATATTCTAGCCAAAAGGTCCCCAGACCTAAATTCCACGTCACCTTTTCGGCATTGACACGACGAATTGTTTCGTCTAGCTTGGTTATGATCACATCTGGTTCACCTCCGGCCTGAAGTTGAGCATTGGCAAGACTATACCTGGCAACCTCTATATAGTAATGGGTGTTCTTCCATTCTTTCACAGTAAATTCGCCGTAATTGATTGTTTCTATCCATCGGGACTGTGCCGCTTCCCAGTTCATCTGTAAATGTGAAATTTGGGCAAGATATGCGAGCACCGAAAAGTGGCGGGTCTGATCATCGTGCCATAGAGCGCCCATGGCCAGCATATTTTCGAATCGGTCCTTTAAGCCAAGAAGTTTTTGTTCTGCCTCTGCATATCGTTCGGGACGGAAGGTACCTTCGCGAAGGATGCTGACGGCATGATTAATTTCCAGAAACATCGTGTCGCTGTCTCCAATATTGTCCAGATTGTTTTGGTGAGAATGTTCTCTGGTAACCATGCGGTTTTCTATGGCCTGAGAATATATTTGAGAGATGATCTCACATGGTTTTGCGTCTGGCTCAGAGATTGAGTGGTCGTGGCCACACTTAATTCCGTTAGTCCTTAAATCAGTTAGGGCGTCACAATCTTCGTTCGTCGCTTCAAGTTCAAGGACGGCTTGACCGAAGTCGCCAATGGCCCACCCTTCTTCACGGCTTCCATGCTTAGCATACTGTTCAATAAAGACTTTCAAGGAGAAATACGCTTCGTTGAACTGTCCAAGGTCTTTAGCAAGCTTGCCTCGCATTCTTATGCCCATGCCTTGAGCGTATCGCTCAAGTTCTGAAGGGTTGTATGGCTCTAATGGTTTCCAGGCATCCATATATTTCACACGTCTCTCCCATTCCTCCTTATCCGAGAGGCTCTTATCACGGGCCAAGTATTCGACGGACAGGTGGCGCAAGAAGCCTACCTGTGCATTATCATTGTTCGTGATCCTACCACCAGGGCCAAAACTTGTATTCTGTAAAAATGTGGCAGCGGCTTCGCATCCATCCGTGAATTTACCTTTACTATAAAACTCCAATGGAAGCCTTGTGCTCCACAGACGAGCTTGGAGCCCTGTTCTCTCTGAAGATTTGATAAGGATCTTAGCCCACTTAAGAAGGGTGAAATCTAAATGATCTGACCCTTCACCGTACCCACGGGCAGCTTCCAAAAACATCTCAGCAGTTATCTGTGTAAAGGTTTTCTCTTGGCCTTCTCGACTATCAACTTTCTGAATAGCCATAGTTAGATCCAGGTTTTCCTCGGCAAGGTATTCGCAGTTGCGACTGAATTGATAAACCTGTTCAAGGACTGTTCGTTTGGGGCTAAATAACATATCAGCTATGATTTATTAATACTAGCATATTTAAGCACTCACCTTTGATCTAAGCCAGCTTGCACAATAGGGTACGCATGAGCAACAAGGCTGAGCGCATTTATCGCGTTCTCTACCATCCTATTGGGAGGGAGAGCTTCTCGAATATAGAAATATGTCAGCGGATGCAAAACCATTGCATCTTCATTTCCTAGGTTTCTTCCATCTTCCAACTTCCCACTCCTAGCAATCAACGAATATGATTGTAACTCTCTCAGGGCAAGACAAAAACCTGGTCCGTTTATCAGACGAACAAGATCCAAAGGTACATAGCTCCTTTGCGGTTCTATGGTTTCAATTTGACCATTAGAGCCCCATCGACGTTGGGGAGAGACTGCACGTTTGAGGAAACTGATTGTAGTCTTGTTTCGGTCAAGCCAGACGAGGATATTAAGCAGTCTAAATGCATCCGGACTCTTTTTGACTTCATCCAACGCTGACTGGATAATGGTCTCAACTGATGTCTGGTATATAGATGCTTTGGGCCGATAGGAGAGTAGCCTTCGTGAAACTTTCCTCCCCTTAAGGACATGGAGATACTCGTCAATAGTAACCCCGTAACACAACATATATGCAGCTGCTGAGTCAACCGCGAGTGGCTGACACCCTATATGTTTGATAACATCCCCTGCTTTAGGGCCCCAGTTATGCCGCTCTTTTATATCGACACCAGCTCTCGATAATAAAAACTCTGTAGCATCCACTGGCTCTAGAGCATTTGTAGAAAGAGCCTTCGCGACTCTGGAATCGCTGGTGTGCTCGCGGAGCCGAGAGGTTATGATAATATGACCGTGCGTAGTTTCCGGAAATCCAAACCAGTTCAGTGCCAGCCAGTCCTTGTCATTATCGAGTATCATTAGCCAAAAGCGCTCTAGGCGGAGAAATTGCTTGATATCATTTACAGCACAATTGTTGCTCGGAGGTAATTCCAATTTGCTATGAAGTCTTGTAAAACCACTCTCCAAAGACTGGATGTTTGTTGAATCCACAAAAAAGATATAATCATAACGATTCGCACTCTCTCGTGCATATTTTAATGCAATTTCAGTCTTTCCGGTGCCGCCATCACCATAAAGGGCGACTATCTGACGGTCATTTGAGCCTGTAAACGTTTTGTGGATTTGTTGAAGGTAATCTTGCCGGCCAATAAAGTGTGGAGTAACATCAAAGGGAAGAAAGACGCGAGAATTACTGCACAAGGGGCCTAGATCTACTAACCGTTGCAAGCGGCTTGTGACATCACAGAAAATTGGATTATCTGCGTCCTTGTACCTGCAGATCTCGCGGTGGTTTGCATATACTCCAAGTGCATCTTCACTTGGAATACGAAGGAGTGCTGAGTCCTTACTGACGACGACCTTTATCCGGTAAGTTAGTTTTTAGGCCTTTTTGTACCAAAATTCTTCACATACAACATCATCGAAACAACCAAGCCGACCTCTTACTGCGAGCAACTCGTAGAAGCTAAAAATTGGCAAGTTTCTCTGATTGGCGATATTTTGGAAGTCGCTCGCAACATTCCCTCTATTAACAAGTTAGTAGTTTATTTAGTGTAATTACATCAAAAAAGAAAGAAACCCTCACAGCTCGATTGACTTTTGCTTCAAGGCATTTATAAATTTCCGGGGCAAACGCAACCTCAGTTGCTTTATGAGTCGAATTGCAACATTGGCTAAAGTATTGCCCTGATGGGGTGCAGCGAGGAAAACTACTCCGGAGAGTGCGGCAAGAATGTGCCTCAGGGAAGGTTTATTATTGCAGAGAATAAGAACCTTTTAATATTGTGTTAAGGTATGATGAGGATTTTAAAAATCATTAGATTTATATATTAAACAACTTACCTTTTTGAAGACAATTCCGCCAAGTGAGTATGCTACGGCGATTAAAGGCCTCGACTTTTCCTAAAAATCATTGTCATCGAATGCTAGCGTTAGCACTACGGAGTAAAGGGGTGCTACCGCCACAGGTCTCACTCTCTCCAGCTCGCTAATGAGATGTAATACGATGTCGTCGATGTCTGGATACACATTGGAATGCCTGCCATTCTCATACCCGAAGCTCAAAATACGGACAGGAGACGAGAGAGCTTGCGGCAAAAGATCTCGAGGCCAACAGACATTGCCATGGCTCCATGTATTGACAGCATCCCCAGTTAAACTAGGCACCAGGAGAATGCTATAATAGACTTGTTAGTGCTCCAACCTAGCAGAGTTGAGATGGAAGTGCATACTCAGCAACAGCATGTTCCATCTTGATTGGCTCGTGGAGGGGGACAATCCTAAACACGGCGCTTGCATCATCTTTAACTGCGGATCTATAGGAGGCATATCTGCTATTTTCCATGTTGGCCCTCCCTATCTCCAACCTTTATGTCCTCTGCGGGCTTCCACTTGGGCGCTTATTTCGTCTTGTAAGCTGGCGCTCATGGATTGGACAGGAACAGACCTTACCTACCTAGGTAGTTAAAGTTCCGGATAAAACACGGACCGTATCCGTTCCCACTCGGGCCGAGGTCCCTCCGGGTTGAGCCGCAGTCCCCCTTTTTCTTCCTTCGCCTATGGATGCTTTCTTCGGCCACATCCCCAAGTGTTATTTCCTAGTTGCTTAGGATATACGAACTATCAACCATTAGGCGACTGCTGTAGAGAGGGGTTCAGACCTTCAGAGCGATAGTTTAGCGGAAATCATTGGGTCGATATCCCCCTTTCTACGGAGTATGGAGTACACAGACAAGACCCAGCTCGCTGTGTATGGCGAATCGCAAACCAGAGTCGCTCGACTCCGCTGTTCACCGAACCGGCTGCTCGGTTTGACCTTTCTGGAGTTCCGAGATCCGTGCGATAGTTAACGTGGGTGCCTTGCAGTGCTTAACATCTCCACCGCAGCTATGCTCTAAGATATGGAGCAACTGATAGTTAGATTTCGCTCCAGCACTTCTTATCAGCGGTGAAATCTGTGTCCCGTACCCCGTATTCGACCTGATCTCTCCTTTCCACAAAAAGGAAATCGCTCGCATTTTTTTTATCTCAATGGCTAGCCCTTGGCATGAGCTCAACAAAAAATATGATCTACAAATGCTGAGGCCCGCTTAGAACATCAGGGGTGGGCAGAGGCGATGATGACCTGCTTGATTGTCACGGTGATTTGCGTCCACTCCGGTCGTCCTCCCCAACCTTCAAAAGGCATCTCGCCATGTCGAATGACTAGCGTTTTCAATATGACAGCAAGTCGCATGGCAAAAGGGAACTTCTCAGCGCCATAGATCCACAGGGGTGCCGCAAGCTGCCTGTGTTCAGCAAACTCCTATGGCCCGGAGATATCCATACCAGTTTCTGTCCCACCAAACCAAGCAACTAACCAGTTATCTTCAGCGCGAGTTAAGGGGGCTGAGTTACCTTTTCATTTCTCAATTTGAAACGTTTGTCTCTCGGCAGATGGAAGCTCTTGCGCACGTATCCGAACAAGCTATTTTATTGTCTAACTACTCAGTCCAAGACTTATACTCCGTAAAGCTGAGCGGTCAATGACTGCCTGTTGGCGGGAGTGGCTGCATTACTAAAACTTGCCAGGTGGGTACTGGTTGTACAGAGAAGAGGCAGAAGCAAAGCTGTCGCTGTAGCCAGCCACACAGCATAGCTTATAAGAAGGTGTGCTGCCCAGCTTTGTCGTTCGCTTGTCCCGTCGCCCTCTCAAAGTACCGAGTTTGACTGCTCACTACGATTGCTCACCTGCAGGCTGCCCCTTAGCCTCCAATTTGCAATCACCAATGTCAGATATCACCATCACCAACAGCAACGTCTGCGCGTCTGCCAGAAAACGTCCCTTTACGATACAGGGTGCCCTCGATGAACGATCTCCAGATAAGATTACGGTATGGGGACGCAAAGGTACAACTTCGGCGCTTGGAGGTATTGCGTGTCTCGCGATGATGGTAGTCTGCCCGATGATCACGATTTTCTGGTGGACCTCGCTGAGTCATTATGATGGTTCTCTTTACCGTGCTGGCGTGTCCATGGTGAATACTGGATTGATACCGTTCTTCATTCAGAATACACCAGGAACAACTCTGCCTGTCGTGACTGTATATGCATGCTGGACCCTGTCGCATGTCATCCTCTACTCTTTCTTGCCAGGGACGCGATGCAAGGGCCAGCTCACGCCAGCGGGAAATCTGTTGGAATACAAGATAAATGGCTTCCTTGCGTGTATTATGTCGCTAATACTGGCTGGAGGGCTTCACATTTACGGGCTCTTTGATTTGGCCTTCGTGGCTCAAAACTGGGGGAGTTTTGTATGCCTGTTTAATATCTACGGCTTGCTACTGGCATTGGTATTCTACATAAAAGCCCATGTCTCTCCTACTCACCCTGAGGACAGGAAATTTAGTGGTGAGATATATAAATAAAGTATACATGGCTTATGCAGTGTATGGGAATTGCTAATTGTGTCGGTTAGGATCTATATTTTACGATTTCTATATGGGCATAGAATTTAACCCCCGCCTCGGTTCGGATTGGGACATGAAACTCTTCCACAATGGGCGTCCAGGCATGATTGGGTGGTTGATAGTGTAATATTTACCTTTCTCCTACTTTTCACTTCTCCTACTGTTTCTATGTCACTGGACATTGCTGATGATAAATAGTGACATGTGCTTTGCTGCATGGCAATATAAGCAGTACGGATATATCACCAACTCAATGATTATTACTAGCTTCCTTCATGCGGTATACGTCATTGACTTCTTTTGCAATGAAGGCTGGTATGGCTTATCTCTAAACTTGATACAAAAAGAGGAGAAGGTTTAATTTTTATTATGCAGGTACCTAAAGACGCTCGACATGTGCCATGACCACTTCGGGTTTTACTTCTCTTGGGGCATTGCTGCGTGGCTTCCCGTGATGTATACTCTTCAAACACAGTATCTGGCCTCCCACCCAGTCGACCTTTCCAACTGGACCGCAGCGTTGATCTTGACGACCGGAGTGTCAGGATACGTCCTATTTCGTGCGGCAAACCATCAGAAATACATCTCCCGCGCCACGAATGGAAATTGTAAAATATGGGGTAAACCTCCCCAATTTATCCGTGCTAAGTATAAGACCGCGGAAGGGTCCATGCATGAATCCCTCTTGTTATGCTCAGGTAAAGCCCCAATCATTCATAGTATCATATCAAGTCCCTTTCCTGGCTAACAGGTACTTCATAGGCTGGTGGGGGCTTGTTCGTCATGCCAATTACCTCGGTGATTTGATTCTTTCGTACTCTATGTGTGCTTCTTGTGGATTCACGAATTTGCTTCCCTGGACGTATGCAATTTACATGACAATATTGCTTGTCCATCGATGCTATCGCGACGAAGTGAGGTGCTACAATAAGTATGGAAAAGCTTGGAAGGAATACTGTGCAAAGGTTCCGTACCGAATCGTCCCAGGAATTTTCTAGTCGCATCATTCACCTTCTGTTAATGCCTTATGTTTTCTTGATTCCATAAATACTGCATGGGACAACTACGTGTCGTTGTTCACTACACAGAAAGGAAGAGAGGTACTGGGGGAATGTCCGGCAGCTGTGTTCTATTTCATGATAAGATTGATCCTACGGTAGAATAGAACGAATAGACCATGAATATTTCACATATCCTTCCTTTGTACGCGCCACCGAATAACAATGGTGACGCCTCGAAGGTTTTACTTCAAAAGTAATGCACTTCGAGTCGGCAAGGGTTAGGCAGTCCCCTTGATGTCATTTGCAAGGAGAGCTTGCCAAGATGGCCGGGCAAGAATTTCCTTTGCCCACCTATTAGTAAACAAGTTTGTTAGCTAGAAGTTCACCACATATACGCTACGTGAGCTTACCTGGACACTGCAGGTTTGTCGTCAATTGCATGAAATCCAACTTTAGGAAGGAGAGTAAGGTAAGGAAGGTGGTAAAGATCAGCTAGGGTCAACTCCTAGGTAGAGTGTCAGTTGGCCACCATAACTTAGGTAGGTCAGCATGTTCGAACAAGACCACTTACATCGCCTCCAATGTACTTCTGCTTGCTCAGAATTCTTTCATAGCCATCCAGGCAGCTCATGAGGTTAGCTTCAAATATCTTGACTGAGTGTTCATCAGGGCTCAAGCCTTGGTATCTGTTTATCCGTTAGAGTCTTAAAAAATAAATGTAAGTGTATAGACCAGGCTTACGGTTTGAAAAGTTTTTCATAAACGAACGGGGCAGCCGCAGCCTCAAAGGAGCCTGCTTCGAGGTTCAACCCTTGCACATAGAGAGCATTTGCTTTTAGTTCGGTCGGAACTAGTTCAGTGCCCTGGCTTGCGTATTTGGCTATGATGTAGTGGCAAATAGCCCTACTTTCATAGAGAACGAAGCCATCATCATCCTTGAAAATGGGTTAAAAATAGGCTAAGTGTAGAAAGAGGGGCGGGGGGCGCATACAATGCATGGAACGCAACCAAAAGGCTGGATTTTCATATACTCCTCACCCTTATGCTCTCCCTTAGCCAAATCGACAGTGATATACTCAAAAGGGACTTTTAGTTCGTTTAGGACAAGGACCACACGCTGCGTGTTAGTTGAAGGGGAAAACCCATATAATTTGAGAACCATAGTTGTTTAATGTGAAGCAGCTGTAGTTGATCTGCGTAGTCGTGTAGATGAAGAGAATCTTTCGAAGAACTGGATTAAGTACAGCTTTTTATTTCATGTATTGCTCCAAGTAACCACCCACTATTTATATTAGGCACCTCGGGTACTTCAAAGGGCGGGGTCAAAACCTGAAAGAGGGTTATTCTGCCGCTTGTATGCAGAAGAACATACACGTTGATGGCATCGTGTCTGGAATACGAGCCATAAGGTAGCTTGTGGTTAGAGCTACCAAGCAGGCAGCGATATAACTTTGGCAGGCCAAAGGATTTACGCCAAGAGGGGCTCGGCTTCTCGATGGATTTCAGCATAGCCTTGTTAACTGTGATGTCAGAAACTCAGAATACCCCAGTGTATAAAATACGAAGTAACCAAGCAGAGGCAGCAATTGCTCTCAGACCATTTGTCACCAGCGATAGATATCTGCAACCAAATGTCCGTAGCCATAGGGGAAACTATCACCTTGGTATCCCCCTTGGATCCCCACACCGGCGGATAACCCCTGAATATACCCAGGAATTCGACGAGAATATCCTCAGCCTTTGACAATTTAGTCGCGTTATTGGTGAATTTTGATTGCTTCAGCGATAAATAAACCTCAGCCCGTGAATTAAAGTTATCGGGTATTATATTCTCTTTTCCCGGACCCGAGCTAAGAAATTCACGTGATTTGCTGATTCAGCGGATAAACTCTAATTAATTCTGGTTGACAAAAGCTAAAAATTAAACATCTTCATTCTTCAGTGTTCAGCTGTCGATGACAACATAGGTAACTTGTAGGTACTTGATGCTCGATGTACGCCAACTAAGGTGCGATATACTCTATACTATATGCCCTATCGATAGCAATAAGCCGGCTTTAAGGATCAATATACCCCCAAGGTCACCTGCAATCACCCATTTCGATTTGTTGAAATATCCACCACGCATGAAGAAGGCCTTGTCTTCCTGATCGTCTAGACCTGCCATTATGCCTGAGGAGCAAAGCCAATGCGAGGGCCTTGAGTGTCCCATACAACAAATTGGCTCTTCAAGAATACATCACCAAATATGTTTGGTGTACTGCCACCACCACTCGATTGAAGACCACCGAAACACATCGAATTATCGATTTCCTGGAAGTTCATAAACTTACCGGGAACAACAGCATTGTATCCGCCGATGTTGAGGATAAAGTCGGGGAGATTAGCATCACAAGGGAATACCCAGCCGCCTTGCATCTGATCTTGTGTCGCACCTTGGACGTTCTGGTAGTAATCCCCAACAACATCGTCACTGAGGAGCATGAGAGTGGTACCCGTGTCTAAATGGATCAGTATAAATCCTTGAGAGCCCTGCAGGAAGATGCTTACCAGCAATGCCTGAAATAGAACCTCCATTGGCTCTCTTGTGCTGAGCTCCATAGAGCGAATAGGATGAGTTGGAACCTCCTCCAATAGAATAGCCATCCGCAGTGAATCCCCACCATCCGTTGCTATTGTCTACCTGGGTATAGGCGATCTCTCCAGTATGTTTCGAATCATCGATATACCCAAAGTCATACGTTCCCGGTTCGCCATGCTTGAGGGTGCATGTGAACAGAGGTTGCTCAAGCTGGCTCAAGACATTATCAAAGAAGGTCTTTTGAGGCTGCGGTTGGACTGATAAGGCCGTTAGCATTCTCATGACCGCCAAATACACAGGGCATGAATCTTACCGGTGTTAAGGACGCTGAAGGACAGTCCCATCAAGCCATCAGTGGCTTTGTCCTTGACAAACTGGCTGCTCACTTCTTTCGCGGACTCGACGGCCTGGGAGGAAGTGGTAACGCCTCCGACTGTGACTGTGTCGAGGAAAACATCTCCGTGAGCTGAGCTAGAATCGCCATACTTAATCTCCCAGGAATATCCATCGAGACGTTTTGCCCCCGAGCTTGGCTTATAGATGTTATGTCCCTGGCTCTCGTCTTGGGGGGTTTCGGTAGAGAATACCCAACTACATTATGTTAGTCAAGAAATAATTACCACTTAGGTATCTGGGGATCAAGCAGCTAGATACTTACAGATCAGCTGAACCGGTGTCAAGGTCAAGGTTCAATGTACTCCCCCCGACTGTGACCTGGGTCACGTATTGTTCATCATTTTGGGTTGGGGTGGTAGGCACACTTCCCTTGGCGGCATCACTCACAGCTTTGGGGATCTTCATGCCGAACTTGTGCAAGGCACGAGCATAAGCCGCAGCAGGATGGTGTTTCGCCTTCTTGGGAATTCCAACCTGGGGAGCGCTGAACCGTGCCTTTCCTTTCGTGGGTGCAGCTACGGTCAGGGCAGAAAATACTGCCAGGGCAGCACCAAGTTGGGTGATTAGGACCATAGTGAAATAATTCACAGTCTCTAAATGGGCTTGATTGTGAAAGTAGGGGGGGAATTAGCAAGGCTAGCTGCTGGATTCAAATGGGTAAAGAGCTGATTGAGATGGATTTAGAGAACAGGCAGTTGCTCTTATTTATACCCGTGTTGCAGTATTACGGGACATTGCTAAATATTCCCCGAATAACCAGAAAGGCCCCTCTTCGCCCAAGGGGCTCTCTGACGCGTATTCCTCCGCCCATATCCTGCAACAAATTCCCACATGAGAAAAGTAATCCATATTTTCAACCATGACGCGGACTTGCATCAATAGCATTTCAAAAGGCGAACTTTGCCATTCTTTCGATAAGCGGGCCGCTTGAGGTCCTCTATCACGAGAGCTCGTGCATGGAAACGACAGAACACCCTTCGAGATAAGCTCAGCCAAGGCAATACAAGCCTTGCTAAGCCTTCTCAAGCTTTGATCTACGGATACAAGGTCCCGTCAAAAGCGCATTGTGCTAACTATCTGCAAGTAAAACTGTTCCAGAAACATATTACCGATAGCGTGTTTGGGGTGCATAGTCCGGGGGGACGACAGGGGATTACGTAGCAGCGCAGAGTTACATGAAACCCCTAGTCAACTGAGCGACAGAGACGAGATGAAGAGGACTATTTTCACCCGAATTGCATCAGGGGTACAATAATTATTCGGGTCAACAAAGGGTATTGTCGGCGAGGAGAGCATCACAGAAGTTGTCTTTTGCCGGTTAGTATGATATTGGCAAGGATGCAATTGACACATGAGTCGGTGCACGCTTTATTTCGCCGTTTGATACGTAAGGTGTAGGTTTTTGAGATGCCGGGACTAAAACTTATAGTACGGAGAATACCTGGTACAGGGGAGGAAGAGACGCCGGTTACGGGTACGCAGCACATCATGAGAGAGACCAGGTGTTTCGCTTCAGAATGAGAAAACCGTGCAGGGATAGTGTTTAGCTGCTCCACATACACCTAGACATCGTGTATCCAATACTGAAGAAACAAGCTTTCCTCCTCGAGGCTTGACCTGGATTGTTCAACCCAGTCTTGCTATTTATACTCTGTTGGCTCACCTCGAGCCGGGCGAGTGATACAAGTATACTTCCTCTTTCTTTCACCAGGCTGTATGCCTCGTTAAATGACTATTGTGATTGGAGGTTGCTTTATTTCCCCAAATGTCATGGCGGGCAAGTTCCAGCGGCTTTGGTTTGTGAAGCACTTCCAAAATTATCGACAGGGGAAATGAGCGACTAGAGAGCAAGTGGCTGCAACTCCGAACCGTTTCCCCACCCGGACAGATGGGATCAGCATTCACTGACAATTCCCGTCAGCTCCGAGGAGGTGTTGCGAGAACACGGAGTATATGCCTCCTTTTGTTTAACGGATAGACCTCTCTCGCAGAAGTCATGGACACAGAAGGCCGCAGGGTGAGAATTAATTGTGCGATTAACGGTCACGCAGTGCAGGAAAAGGGGTGATGAAAATGGCGTATGTAGATCAGCGCTGCTTTCTGGTCACACACTAAAGTAATCAATTTAACGGTGATGACTGTCTAGAGTCGTCTGCTTGACCACGCCTTGAGATACTTGTAAGGATGATATTTCTAGATACTTTTGTGTTGCTATCGAGTTGCTCCGTAAACCCGGTAAAAAATCCCGGTAACTAAAAAATCCCGGGGATATTCTATATCTATGCCTGTGGTGCAGTTGAGGACTCGATGCTAGTGTGTTAAATCGAGTGGAAAAACTACGACTAGCTACATGTTTCTTAAACGCAGTCCTAGAGAGCTTTCACGTCTTGCACGTCGCCAGCCAACATGCACATGTGTAGGTTGACAAACGCGGCCTGCTGGCCTGGAAGGACGAAGAAGGGGATAAAGGTTACCACGCGCCGGAGATAACAAAGACGGCTCTTTGCTCCATAAGTTAATGGCAAGTCTGGCAGGCGGATTGATGGTGCTCGTTTTGGTTTATCATCTTTCTTTCTAGCTGTTAATCAAAGCTTATATCATTGGCTACATTCTAAGTAATCTTTTTCATTAGATAACTTAGTACAGAGCGCTCTCCTGACAAAAGGGTATACATATGTATGTGTCCCAACAGAGAACGCCCTACTTAACTATAGAGAGCTCATCCATCAGTAGGAAAACTCCTGCCCAACAAGCTTCTCGCTCAGCCGCCAGAGTCTTTCTGCTTCGAAGCTGCTGGTGGCCCACGGCTTGACTGTGTCAACTAGAGGGTCCGCAACATGGCAATCGATCAGATAAGCCCCATTGTTGGCTGCCCAAACGTCAGTATATTCTTTTATAGTATGGCATAGCCACGAGAGCTGGTTGTCCAAATAAAAAGTAAACTTACCCTTGAGACTCGGATCAAAGGCCGCATAGATATGGGTGGCAGCACCTCTTTCCAGCGGCTTCATTTTGAATTCTCCCCAACCTTCGGCATTACCTAGGGTCTTATCCGCGTTTCCTATTGCAGTATCGTGTTAACCATACATGTTCTGAATAAAAGTAGATGTGTATCCCTGGAAAGAAAGAGAGACACACGAAGCCCACCAAACTCAGTATTCCAGTCCAAGTGGCTCCCCAGATTGGTCCAGATGACCCCCGGGTGAAGACTGAAAGCCTGTAGTTTATACTTCATGCCGAGCTTCTGTGCTAATGAGATTGTAAATAGCATATTGGCGGTCTTGCTCTGTCCATAGGCATACCACTTGTTGTATGTCTTCCCTTGCTATATTAATGCTCCCTGGTTAGTAATTTGTTCTCCAAGTGTACTGCACCTGATATTGGCCAACACATACGTCAAAATTGTAATCATCGAACCGGATCGGGTTTAATCGATGGCCATCGCTACTAACAACCACGATCCGTGGTTCCTTAGCAGCCACGAGCTTCTTCATAATCAGATTGGTAAACAGGAACGGGCCCAGGTGGTTGGTGGCCAGATGGGACTCGAAGCCGTCCGGCGAGAGCTGGTATTCCACAGCCATGATTCCCGCGTTGTTGATGAGCACATCGATGACAGGGAGATCATCCCATCCGTTAAGTTCGGTGGCTGCAGCACGTACGCATTGCAGGGAGGCCAAGTCAATTTGTAAAGTGCGCACCTTCACTGTAGGATGGGCGGCGGTGATTTCTGCGGCCATCTGGGCTAATTTTTCGGCATTGCGCGAGGCTAAGATCAAACACTTCGGGTTGGCTGCAGCGATTGATTGTACGAAAAAGCCGCCGAGCGACTTCGCAGAGACTCCTGTGGTCAGAACGACTTTGCCCTTGATAAGACTTGCATAGTCGAAGACAAGGTCGTCTGTCGTGGTGTCGGTGTTGTATAGGCCTAGCATGTTGGCTGTAATTGCAAGTTACGATGAAATGTAGGTAACTGATGAATCTGAACATAGAACGAAGCCGTTAGAGGCTGCTCGATTATTTATACTGAAAGGAGGCATGTTTCTTGTGTATTCTGCTCTGGGGTTTTATTATTTGGAAGCTCGGTGTTGGAGGTAATGTTATCTCCATCTCTCTCGTCGTTATTCCACGATCTCTCATAACTAGAACGAAACCCCTGGATCCTTCCTGCTCGGTCCGAAAGTCCCCAATGCAAGTAACCTGGACATCCCGGAGTTAGCGGAGTATATTTTTAAAGCCATTAGATATATACCTAGGTAAGCTCTGTAATTTCTTATATCCTATTCCCATTAAGCAGTATGGAAGGTGCAAAGCTAAACGAGTAGCTAATAACTGAGGTATCAAGGACGAATAGTGAGTTAGCTAGTTAGTATGCGTATCCAACAAAATGGGGAAGGATGGTCGTGAGGCTGATGCTCACAAGTCCCGCATGGACAGCAAAACCAATGGTCAGATATGTCGCATTGACAATAGGGATCGCTAGTTATCTTATGATGGTCGTTGGATGGATGAGTGCTTTTTGATGGACACGCTATGCGCAGCGTCTTTAAAGATACGCGTTACATGGGAAGTCGCTGCAAGAATCTCGATGTGTGCTTTAGGTATGTAAGGTACTAGGTTCTGAGGCTGAGCAGTGCTGACTAACAACAACAATCTGCTTATCTAATCTGTCATAAACATTGGACGAACTCCACGTGACAAATGACGTAATAAGCTGATCACTTCCCTGTCAGGGCTGAAGATGACTAAGCCACCCTGCGCCACGAGCTTAGCCACTTTCAGCGTCGCGGCGGAAGGAACAAGGAGAAGAACAAGAAGAAGCAAACAGCCTGATCCGTGTTTGTGCTCGAATTGCAGAGAACAAACACATTGCTACTTCGCCTGTTCTTCGGCTGCAGACATTCTCTTCGCCCTCCCCCCTTCAGTACAATACACTACCTACTCCGCGCAAAAGTAGCATTTCCTTGAGCTCCCGACGCTGCCGAACCACCACGAACAACCATACTTGGCGGGGTTGAGATGAGTTTCAAGGGCCTTCAGAAGGGCTTCGCCAGAGCTCCCCAGACCTTTAAACAGAAATTCAACCTAGGAGAGAACACAAAGGATCCCGTTTACATCGATGCGGAGAGAAGATTCCAGGAGTTGGAGAAAGAGACGAAGAAGCTGCATTCTGAATCGAAAAAGTACTTTGAAGCCATAAATGGTATACCTCGCTTTACTCATGATTATCCCCTACCCTCCACTTGGCGCAGAATGACTCTAACTGCTATTACTGCAAATAGGCATGCTAAATCACCAGATTGAATTCTCAAAAGCGGTCGCAGAGCTATACAAACCTATATCCGGCAGAGTATCAGACCCTGATGCTGCAAAGCCGGAGGGAAATCCGGAAGGTATCCAAGCATGCGAAGAATACGAAACGATTGTGCGCTCCTTACAGGAGACATTGCAGCCTGAATTAGAGCTGATAGAGTCTCGTATCATCAGCCCTGCGGACCAGCTACTGGAAATTATCAAGGTCATCCAAAAGGTCGCTGTCAAGCGTGAACACAAACAACTGGATTATGACCGACACCGCGCATCTCTGAAGAGACTACAAGATAAGAAGGAAAAGTCGCTCAAAGATGAAAAAGCGATGTATAAGGCTGAGAACGATGTGGAAGCGGCAACACAAGAATTTAATTATTATAATGACCTGCTGAAGGATGAATTGCCGAAGCTGTTCAAGCTTGAAGCGGAGTTCATTCAGCCGCTTTTCCAGTCCTTTTATTACATGCAGCTGAACGTATTTTATACCCTACATGATAAAATGCAAGGGTTGAATATTGGATACTTCGACTTAACGTCAGATGTCGAAGAGGCATATGAACGGAAACGCGGGGATGTAAAGGAGCGTACAGAAGCCCTGAGCATCGTTCACTTCAAAACGACAGCCGGCCGCCGCCCTGGCTCAAAGTTTACACCAAAGGATAAGCTTGCAGCCGAATCAAAATACCCCTCTCGACGAACAACCGATGCTTCATCCGATCCTAACCCTCCGCCTCCCTACTCCGCCCATACCTCTTCCACCCTGATCGGGCGTGCCAACAGCACAAGCCCTGCATCCCTCGCGGCCGCTGCAAAGTCAAAACCAGCTCCCCCGCCCCCGAAACCCAAACCGGCGAAGTTTAGCGCTGCGCCGGTTGAGACTGCAACTGCTCTTTATGACTACGAGGCCCAGGCTGTGGGTGATCTGAGCTTTACCACTGGCGATATCATCGAGATCACTCAACGAACAACTAATACTAATGAGTGGTGGACTGGAAAAGTAGATGGAAAGTCGGGACAATTTCCAGGTAAGCATTCTTTGAGAAGTTCAATCCTTACTGGCGAATATTACAATTACTAACCGTGGTTCTATGAGCAGCAAATTATGTTAAGTTAAATGCGTAAACAAGCACTTGCACTCTGATATCTATAAACTAGAGCGTTCTCCACGTCTACTATCTGCTCCTATGCACTGCCATTCCTCTCCCCCATCCGCACACCCAGTACACCATATAACTCCTACCAAACACGGAGACCCAAAATACCCCAATACACAAGGCCCCTTTAACACTGGGTACATACCGCCTCGTTCACCATATACAAAGCACTCTCCAGCCGCTCTACCTCACTCGCTACATCTCTGTCACCAGCCGATCAAGAGCTTTATTGACCCCTATATGTCCCCTTCAACTCATCACGACCTTACCTCCAACCTACCTATCTATGTTTATTGCTATTTTTAGGCGTTGTGTACTTAGATAGCGTGCCACATATCATCCCCGACCTCCAATTACCTATCATTGCTCTTCTTTTTATTGCAGAGGTGATCGCTATAATCTTGCTTCTCTTTTCGACAAGTAAAAGAATGCCACCAAGGGGGCTTATCTTATCACCACGTGATAGAGCCAGCGGGGCCCGCCTGAGTCATACAACCAAAAAGGTACAGGAAGCATTCCAAGGTTTTATATTTCCCTCCAGTCCAGTCATATAAGTTGACAATTCTTCCTTTTAATCGACCATTACCGTCAATTGACATTCGTCTGATAGTAAATTCTGCTCAATTGCTTTCAATATCCCCTCCTATTCAGCATGGCTCCAACAGTGCTTCACCTTCGTGCCGAGGACAAGCCCCTCGAGCATAGGTACGTGAATCCGCCTTGTGTAGCTACACAGCTCATCTATGCCATCATGGGATAGTTTACCTAGAATATATACTTTTTAACATCTCAATTCCTCCTACGGGTTGCCTGCTACTTTATGTCTACGCCTCTAACAACTATGCTATAGATCAGCTCTCACCCCCTCCACGACCAAAGCTCTCATTGCTGCCGGCTACAAAGTCAACGTCGAGCGTTCTCCTACATCTGCCATTCGTAAGCGAATTTTCGATGACTCCGAGTTTGAGAAAGCTGGCGCTACTCTTGTACCAGAAGGTAGCTGGGTTGATATCCCCTCCGACCACCTTGTCATTGGATTGAAGGAGCTTGATGAGACCAAGGATTTTCCCCTCAAGCACTCACACGTTACCTTTGCACACTGCTTCAAGAACCAAGGCGGTTGGGAGAAGGCTCTTGGACGATGGAGCAGGGGTGGCGGTGTGTTGTATGATTTGGAATTTTTGCAGGTATGTATTTTATACGTATGGCGGTGAGTATCTATAAATGTGATGCTGACTCATGGAATGCAGGACGATAAGGGTCGAAGAGTTGCGGCTTTCGGTAAGCTATCTGGGCCCTCTATACTATCTTCTGCCCGTAACTAATGATCTATTAGGCTATCATGCTGGTTTTGCTGGAGCTGCTCTCGCCATCAAGACTTGGGCTTGGCAGCTAGAGCATCCTGACGGTACTCCACTCCCAGGAGTTGATGAGTTTACCGATGGGAAGGGATACTATGCTAGCGAAGAAGAGATGCTGGAGCAAATTCGTGGTGATGTCGCCAGAGGTGAGAAGATTGCTGGTCGAAGACCACAGATTCTAATCATTGGTGCTCTTGGACGCTGTGGAAGGTACGTTCATCTCCCCCAAGGGAGTTCTTAGAGTATTGAAGGCTGATATTTGTGCGTTAGGGGTGCCGTTGATGCTTGCGTCAAGTCTGGATGCGAAGATCTCCTTCGATGGGACATGGCTGAGACTGCGAAGGGCGGACCCTTTACTGAGATTGTTGAAGCTGATATGTGAGTTTACTTCATCACCCCCTTCCCAGCTTTGTATTATATCTTTCTAACTTGCATAGCTTCATCAACTGCATTTATCTTAGCGAGAAGATTGCGCCATTTGTTGATATGAACAGCCTTAAAGCTTCAAACCGCAGACTGTCTGTTGTTTGCGACGTTGTAAGTATTTTCGAACTCCGACCTTTTACGAAATCCAAGTGTCTTACAATTTTCTTCACCACACAGAGCTGCGATACCTCCAACCCAAACAACCCAATTGTAAGTAACTGGCTCCCCAGCCCTGTTTTGGGAACTTCAACTAACTCATTATAGCCGATCTACAACGTCAACACCGTATGTATCTTCAATCACAGAGAATCTGTCAATTCAACTAACCCAGCTTTAGACATTTGATAAGCCTACTATTACCTTGAGCTTATCCAACCCGCCTCTCAGCGTGATTTGTATGTTTCACTCTCCCTACCCTCAGTTTGATGGACAACTTAATCTAACTTGGGATATAGCAATCGATCACCTCCCCAGTCTTCTTCCAGCTGAATCGTCCGATGCATTCTCCAACGATCTGCTTCCCTCCATGCTTGAGATCCAAAACCGAGCTTCTCACCCTGTTTGGCAGCGCGCCGAGAAGCTGTTCAGAGAGAAGGTTTCTACCCTTCCTGCCGACCTACAGAAGGTTGAACAATAATCTACGAAATATGGTTTCCGCTATATTCAGTAATGGCGGTGAAAAGTAGGCATGGTAGACTATTACCTATTTTAAAGGCATAAAAAATATGCATTTAGTCAAATAAAACAGTGTGTAATATGGATTTTCGGTATTTATTTTATTTTTCGGTATTATTTGTTTTTATTTAAATATTTCTTTTAAAGAAAACTCTGCTGTTTTAGAGTGACTGGGGCACTATGAGTAAAGCAGCAAATGCTGCTAAACATGAAGATCCCAAGTTATCCTTCAACCCTCCCAAATGCAAATAAGAAATATAAATTTAAGGTAAATAAAATGAAACAAAACATCAAAGGAAAGATGGAGAAAGTGGGAAGTGCTGCAGAAGGGGACGAGCAAAGTGCTGCCTGACAAAGGGAACTTCTGAAGCGATATGATTCGATGCTCCTTAAAAAAAATTATGTCTTGAAAGTGAAACCGCCGAGAGGTGGGAATCGTAAATGCGCCGTGAACTCCTTCGCTAAGGGGAAAGTTTTTCTTTTCCTTGAGAATGGAAAGGTGCAGGATGGAAAGGCTTGTGCCGGGGAGATATGGTAGGTAACCAGATATTAGCCGCTATCTGAGCCAGAATCCGTAGTTAAACTTCAAATACTCAGCAGGCTCCATTTTGAACCAGGTAGGTTCCGGGTGGGTAGCAAACATTTTCTGAGCAGTCGAGATTTTCGCATCTGGCTGGGCTTTCTTGGAACGTAACACTTTTGGATGAAATTCAGGGGTCTTTCGCCTGAGAGGCTTCATATGCTTCAAACCAAATGATGGGTCGAAGCTGATCAAGACAAGTGCCTTGGTTCCATCATTCATCCCGGCATCAGTTGAATAGACCATGAATCGTTCGTCAGCAGCGGCAACAACCTTTCCGGATTTTGGAGTAGGACTCAAAAGCTTCAGTAGCTCTAGTGGTGCATCATTCGGAGGCCACATCTTTATTCCACAAGATTGATATCCTTCTTCATTTTTGGAGGTTGAATAGCCACTGATGTCTATGACGCTACGAGGGTACATCGTAGCACAAGAGCCTTTATCGTCCATTTCATATTGTTGAAATTGACGTTTTCTCGCTCCAATACGTAGCCTGAGTCTGTCAGGAGGTGTGGTGAATGATTTGACAGGTTGCGGGGGGTCATTAACAAGATCAATAAACGCAGATGCCATGAGATTGTATCCATGGAATTTTGTGTTAGAGAGGGTGAAATCTCGACGGCTGGGAGACTGGGCTTCCTCAGGAGTATATTCGAGATGATAGAATCTCTTGTGTCGCTTCTTAGGAGGCTCATAATTTGGACGGCTGGACGGATCAAGGGTTTTAGCTAACTGGTCGTCCGGAAGAGAGCGAACTGGCAGGTATTTGGGAAGGCCGCTTTTAGGGAGCGAGAACTCCGTTCCATGGGTACCATCGACAAGATCAAAGCAATCGAGGGGCTGACTATAATGAATACGAAAGTTCTCACTTCCACTGTTTTCCCACTCATGTCTGCATTCCACAATGGTCAATTGACGCGTTGTCGGGTCTACCACAAGAGACAGTTTCGTCCAGTTATCGTTAATCGGACCTTCACGGTGCTGTCGTCGCCAAATTCGTTGCCACTTGACCTCGACTGGGTTGCTGAGTGGGAATCGTACACAAATATAGTAGGAAGTCCAGTCAATTTCTTCATCCTCAAAGGAAGTCTGATTGGAAATGGCGTAGAAGTAACCATCCTTAACCTCAAAACACACAGTCGATCCAATCTCAGATCCCACGAAATTTTCGAGCTGGATAGGCTCTAGGGACGTATCTGAGCCCTCCACAAAGCTGAACCCTTCTAAGACCCACTCACGGTGTCCATGCCGCCCACGGCCGGAGTGGGTGCCAAAGTACATAAACGAACGGTTGAGGCGCACGAAAAGGTTCCGAGTAGAGGTTAGAGGACGACAGAATCTGACACGGTAGGGTTTCCTGGCAGTCGAGTAGTCCAAGTTCATGTCTATTGCAAGTAGCCACGACGAGTCCCGCCCGCCAGGCTGGCACACAAGTGCAACCATTCCATCGCAGTAGCACAGTAACTTGTACCTGAGTTTTGAATAAGGTCTTCCATTTGATATAAGGGGATAGGAGTCAAGGATTTCTTTCAGGTCGACAACCTCTTCATATTCGGCTGCTTTTAGAACGTTCAAAGTTCGGATACGCCCGTCACTGATGTAGCATACGACCCCCTGGTTGAAAAGGAATTCATTGCCCAGTGCAAGTAAACTTGCAGAGTATGGCTGAGCACTAGCTATAGCTTCACGTATGTCGTACACCCTTCCGAGTGCTTCACGATTTGAAATCTTCTTCGCCGCAGCAAGCTCACCTTCAACAGTATACGCGATATGAGCCTATACACTAGATTAATATCATTTATAGCACTCTTGAAAAAGGGGAAAGAGGCTGGCCTTAAACCCTCCATACCTTGACGGCTTTTCGAGCTGTAATCTCATCCTTTAGCAAGCGGTAAAGTGTGCGGTTGGCAAGACTTAGGTTAACATAGTCGTTTGGATCAAGATAACCAGCGATTTGATGCCATATATCAAATGGAACTGCATCAAATACTGGTGGCATGGCTCGCTGTCAAATTGGCTTGTCACCGAGAATGAATATCTGAAACAGCAATTCTTAGACCACCCAGCCTTGGACCTGAGTAGGATGGCCTTTGTAATGCGTTTTCACCAGCAAGAGAAGAATATTTATACCAGAGCCATCAGCGAATGAGTGAATGTGGCGGTAGCAGGCCGTAGAAGAAAGGAGAAAAAGCAAGAGGTTGAGGCTGAGGTTGAAGTTTAGCGGACGGAGAAATTCACAAAGTCCTAAAGCGGAAAAGGGCAGAGAGGGAAGCAAAGTGAGGCCAGACTTCACTAACTACCAAGTAACAACAACCACAAAGACCAGCACAGCAGAGTCACAAACAAGCTGGGTATCTAATATTTCTTCTTCGCTTGGAGCTGCTATTTATTGAGTTATTGGAAAAGAAGGTTAGAAGGTATCGTGAGGCTGCTGCTCCTTATTTCAACCACGCTGGCTAACTTGGAGGACAGAGACCTTTCTCTACATCCGGGAACTGGTGGATGGACCGGCTCTAATAAAGAGTTATCAGGTTGGGAAGAGCCCGGCTAGTGCCTTTGTGGGCCGCCACGAGGCTCAAGAGACGAGATCCGTCTCATCCTCCCAACACAGCTGCTTTACGGAGCATGTCGCTAGTTAACGGATCGTGTGGCGGCAGGAACTTGGTGGAGGGCAGACTCAAGCCCAGACACTCGTTGATTGGGTTTGGAAGGGATCAATAATGACCGGAGTCGCTGTGAAACTAGGCAGGGACGAGGAAAAAGCAAAGCAGGTCTGAGACGGGAAGAATGAATCATGGCCAACCATACACCGGCTTGCAGCAAGGAATGAGGCTCAAAGGAGGAGAAGAGCCTCCTTTTAGTGCGTAGGGCCCTACAAAATCACGCCCACTCACGGCCTGATCATCCTTGCACACCAGGTTTGTTGGCGCGAAATACCGAGAGCTAGCCGTGTTTGTCATCCTGCAGGACACCAGAGGCGCCCTCCGGCTTGTCTTCCGCTTTTCGGGGCCAGGGCGGACAGATAAGTCCGTGTTCATGGGTGTCGAGGGGATGCGAACGCCGGCCTCCTCATTTCGAGTCATCCGAACAAATCCGCAAAGAGGACCCCTTTCTGGTAACTAATGATGGAAAACATGCTCGAAGACGACGAAGACTTACTCCCCAAAAACGGTTACACCAGCCCTCCTTGATCCCACAACACCCACCGCGCGATCCAGAGCATTCGTTGCCGTTTGACAGCTAAGCCGAAAAAGGATAAACATAGAAACTGGCAATCACCTGATTGTGGCTGAGCGAAGACGCCCCCAGCGGACGAAGGAAGATGATGTGCTTGCTGACATGGGGGAGTTTTTGGGAAAATGACCCCAGGCAAGGGGAATACTGTCTCAGGCACGTAAGATTCCAACAGAGCCGCATGGCTTTTCGACAAACTCTGGCCAACGATTCGCTCAAAGGTTGGCCAACCGAGCCGCACAGGGACACTAACAGGGCTCGGATGGCGTATTATTGGCCATTTACGCATTCCCAGGCTCCGAACTAGGCTGCAATATTACGCCCCTGTTTCCTGTCAAGGGGATACTCCGCAATCTATTTGATGACAGAACATCTCGCACTGGGTTTCCTCTTGTGGTAGTCAGCTCGTACCCTGGCTAGCATTATCGGTTGTGATTTTCCGCTCTCGGTCCCCGCTCAGGCTCCAGCTCCAGCTCCGGTTCCAAATGTCACTACCGCAGCTGAGGTCACCAAGAAAAAGAGTTGATCCTGGAGTTTTGATTTGAGGCATAGCTCTCCACCATCCAACACTGGATTCGTAAACTTGAGGCTCTGTTAAGTGACAGGTTCAAATTGCGTGGGCTTGTGGCTTCACTGGCAGTTCGTGGCAAAAACTAGTCATTCAAGCGATTTTCTGGCCACCGCTTGAGGCCACATATCTTTGAATCTTGGGTTGGGGATGTCAGGCGGAATGTGCCTCCCTGCCAGGGAGCTCCTGAAGGTTGATTCCGACCGCACTATTCCGTACTGCCAGAGAAACAACTGATAACGCCAACCCAGCAAACACATTCTGTCAAAAAGCTAATAAAATCAAGTGATAGCTAATACAATAATAGAAGCCTTGGCCGCATCCTCAAGGATTTGGACTTTCAACTTCTCGGCATTTTCAACGCATTCTCTCATGATAATTTCATACGCGGCAATATCGCGATACCAGTGCAAGGAGCCATTGCAGCGATTATATCCCATCATTTGAAGGTTATTGGGCTTGGCTTCAGATCGAAAGACCATCTTTGACACCTGCGACTGGAAATTCTGAACTACTCGCTATTTCATGGCGGCATCGCTGGCCAGACTAGGAAAGCAGGTGTTGAAACCACCACGCACCAAAAGTGACGGCACGAAGTAGGCTCTTCCCATGCGTTCGGCGGACTACCGTTATCAAGAGACGTTCTCGACTATTCAATTTCTCCTCTATCAATCCCTTCAAGAGAGAATATATATATCAGGCATTACTGAGCTAAACGGGCATCTTATGGCTAACACGACGGAGTATGTCTACAAATTAATACTGTGCCAGCTAGTGCTTAGCTCTTGCAACTTTCCAGTCTGTGTAGTTATGCTGCGGCTGCACTTAACTATTCTCCAAATCGCTCGTTATGTGAATACCTTGGAAAATAGGTTGGCTTCACAATTTGATCAAAAGCAGAGCTGGTGTAATTTTACTCTTGCAGGATACCATACGACACATGGGGTGATATTATATCTCAGATATAAGCGAAAATTATAGCATTGATGCAGTGATACTACTGAAGACTGGGAGGAGGTGAGTATTCTAGGAGATTCGCTATAATCTCACATTGGAGGGATTGGGGAAATCTAAATCCAATCCTCTCTACAAGCATGGTTGGATAGAGAGGCTCCTGAGTAGATGAGATTGGTTGAGACGGAGACGCAGCTGGTCGGCTGTCCCCGTTCTAACAAACTAGGATGATATGGATTTAATCGTCTACTAAAAGGAGCCAAGTTTTATTATCATGAGAGATTTTTTATCTCTGGAAAACAAGTCTTGTTCAACAAGTCACCGACTCTCACAGCCAGGTATCTTCGAGCGATAAGGGGGAACTCGGGCAGTCGGTATACGAATGCCCGTTCGATCAATGCACTCCTTTTATGGTGGGGGGAACGGCGACCTTTTTGCATGGCAGCGCCGGCGTTCATAGCGAGACTTGGAAGCTTCCCTGACCTGCAGCACAGGCTGGCTACTTGCATATCCGTAACTCCGGCGTACACCTCTGCGAACTCTACGAATCGAGACTTGCACTGCATAAACGGCAAAGAGAGCATCAGCGTTCAAGTAACAATCGTCGTTGATGGCAGCCGGATAACGGTGTTCATAACATATTTGGGCATACTCTTCTGCCAGGTAAGGGATGCATCTCAACTAGATCTTTCTTGAGCGTGTGACCCTCCAGTATTTTCTTCCGGATCCTACCTCCGCTCCATATATCCCAGCATGGTTGGATCTGATCTGCGTGCATACGCGAGGCTGGCCCAGCAAATAGCATGAGCGACAACTTGATATGTCTGCAGGCGGAACTCCCGATGAGATATATCTGCTCTTTGCCATTTCTGCTTAGTCCAGAGTAAGATCTGGTTATTAACAAGCCTTGTTGTTCCTGTGCACAAGCTGGATGTGTAACTCCGCTGGTGGAGAATGAGAGTGCCATCGTCTATGCGCCCTAACTCATCCAACTGTTCATGCGGTATAAAAATTGCGGGCTTTCACTGAAACGAGATCAGATTAAAGACGCCGAATCGCTAACAGTCGCAACAAATAACTAACCTGCAAGTTAGTTGTTATCATAAGGGTGGGGGAATACCCTCAGTTGGAGACGATGTTGTTCCGGCGATGGGTAAACTACCCGAAATATGATGCAGATTCCTTGTCTGGGACCGAGATGTTAAACTCGGCGGCTCGGTCCTCGTTACACACGGTACGAAGAACAAGAAGATTGTTGCTTCATCCGTTACACAGTGACCTCTGACATCCCTCCCAGTTCACCAACCAAGACTCAGTTAAAAGCCAATCGGGTGGCAAACAGGGTGTTATCGCTGTATACTAGCCTGCTATCCAGCTCACCTTGCATGGTACGGCCTAGACTTCAACTTAAGGCCAGATCACTGTCATCCGGTTCTGTATACCTTGGTTATATCTATATAACTCCGTGACAACCTGCCAACCCCGCCAGTTCGACCCAGAAGCCTCCATAGCTACTGGGTCTGCCACTACGGATCCGATAACTATTCCATTTGCACTCCTAGATGGAGCATCACGGGGAATGGCCGGTAAAGCCCGGCGCTGCAGATCTGCCATGGGCATATGAACTTCGATCTTCTGAAGGATTTGCAATTTTTGCGGTGGCAGTTGCAATGTTTGTGGTATGTCCAAGTTATATACACTGATTTGTTGAAAATACATACTTATCGCTCGTCTAGGATATGTTCATATATTCCATGGTATTACCCTATCAATAGGAAGCTTGTTCTCGCATCCCATTAATTAATATTTAGATCGTTCCAATAATTCCCAAAGTACTAGGAAACCTTGGAAATTTACCTACAGACGAAGGTATGGTCATTCTTCAATCTTAACTCCCCCACTAGATTTCACCATTAACAATATATTCTACTTTAGTTCAAACATGGGTTGCCATTCTACTTGCTTCATATGGAGCTACTTTAATCATTGGATCTCGTATGTCACTGACTTCTACTATCTAGTTAACATATGCATTAATAGGGAGATTTAGTTATCTTCGGATATATATCAGACCATTCTAGTCAACGTAAACCGGCTTTTTTAATAGGATTGATATCCATGGCTGGCGCAGTCACGCTATTCATCGTCTCAACCTCACCTCCAGTGCTAGTAATTGCGAGGCTTCTCCAGGGTCTTGCCGCGGGCGGTGTATGGGTGGCTGGACTTGGCCTTATTGCGAATACAGTCAGCAAAAACCGCATTGCGGAGGCGATGGGCCATGCAGCTCTGGGAATGACATGGGGAGGCCTTCTTGGTCCGCTTACTGGAATAATGTGAGTCCAATGCAATGTTCACTATCATTCTGTTCAGGGATTGATAAGTCTGTATAGTTATGATGAATTTGGATACCACGCTTCATTTGCAATTCCATTATCGCTGCTGGGATTAGATATGATCCTACGTTTTGCTATCATCGAAGGTTCATACTTCCCTCTTTATAGATACAAAATGGATAACCTGCTGACCACCCTTCAGGACGTTCGGAAGATTGCCTATCCAGTGGTTATAAAGCATGTCCGGGAGACTCGTCTGAGACAACTCCATGTCTTGCAGATGACGACAATAATGACCAGGCCACTCCTTGCCAATCTCCCTCACGGTTAGATTCCGAGGCTCAACAATTAAAAGCTACTACATCCCAATACCGCTTGCCGCCGATGGTACAGCTTCTTCGAAATCCAAAAATACTAGTTACCCTCCTTGAAATAGCTGTTGCAGCCTCTATCCTGTCCGCCTTCGAAGCGGTATGTACTCTATTTACCCACACCCCTGTTCCCGGTGGCGATATCCGTCTACTAAACTTATACTCCTATTTTAGACCCTGCCAATATTTGTAATACGGCGATTCGGTTGGGGCTCAGCTGGAGCTGGACTGATATTCCTCTCCATAACTGTTCCTAGTACTGCTGGCATTCTCATTGGAAAGCTCGCAGATAAAGTTGGCACGCGTTACTTTTCACCCCTTGCGTTCCTGCTGGCTGGCCCTGCGATCTTCCTTATGCGCTATGTGACGGAACCGAGCATAATGAATATCATCTTACTGGTTTGTCTCCTAGCCTTGGCTGGGTTCTCTGTTGTGATCATAGAAGTAATCACAATGACGGAGGTGTTCCACTCAGTTAGAGATGCCGAGAAAAATACCCCTGGGGCATTTGGCCCACATGGAGCTGTTGCTCAAGCTTATGCAATTCTGAATATATCGTTTGCATGCGGTCAGTTTGCAGGCCCGCTAATTGCGGGGATGCTGAAGGATGGCACAGGCTGGCAGGGTATGACACTTGCTCTCTCCTTGTGCTGTCCTCCCATGGCTCTTTTTGTCGGATTGTTCAATTGGTGGACACAAGTATCTACACCAGCTGTAGACTTGGATGAATAACTATAAAGGCTTAGTTATATGGAAGGCAATGGCGTTATTACGAGAATTGAGGGCATACTTGGGTATATCTACCTCCGGCTCATGAAATGACAACCGAAAACGAGAAACGAGCAATGAGAAATGAAACTCAACCTTTAAACTTTCATTGACCGAATTGTTCAAATCCGGAAGTAAATAGAACGGAGATGCATACTAGAAGAGAGACCGCTGGGCGTATCGAAAAGTGGTATTAGGCGGAAAAACATGTATCGCTAACGCCGCATGACACAATCATACCAACTTCGAGCCCACATCGAGGCACTAATGACCAAATGAGAAGATGGTATGAACAGAAAAGGTGAAATCGACATCAGAAGTATTAGCAAGAAAAGTGCAAAGAATGTACATAACATGGTATAAGCTGGACCAGCAATATTTTAAGACAAGGGAAAATATGCTTGCTAATCAAAAGAAATTTCCTCAAAATCGCGCATTAGAATGCCCATCTGAGCCCGCTTCGCAGCTTCGGCGACAAGATTGACATTCTGTAAGAACTGGGCAGTAGCAGTCCTGCCGCACGTCTCCTGCGGTTGCGCTTGGAGCTGCTGGTCCGATGCTGGCTGGCTTTGCATCTGTGAGCGCATTTCGGCACCTGTTTGAGGATTAGACGGATATAGTCGTATATCTTGTAATGAATTCGTTTGCGAGGACGTAGAGGTAGATTGGCCGTTGAGCGCTGCTGTTTGGGACAAAGTGGTAGCTGATGCTTGCTGATGCAAATGTTGCAAAGGATGGGCGAATTGGCTATTGCCTTGCAGAGTCTGATTTGCCATTGTGAAGGGGCACAGCCGACAAAGTAATTATGCAATGCGTGGGAGGATGGAATAGTTTCCCTTCGAGCAGGACTCTCAATGCTGCTTGTAACGATCGACAGGAGTATGCTCGTTCTCTACGGAGTAACTTCCCTCTGTCAATAAGTACCCCGTAGTTGCCAACACAGGAGAGTTACCAGCCAGCCCAAAAGTGTGGATGAACTGAGGTTCAAGGCGAAGAAGAAGAAGAAGGAAAAGAAGAGGAGAGGAAGATCTAGCAGCAGTCCCGTCAAAAGAGGCGAAGAACAGAAAGTGACAACCTGGAGGCCGAAAGAAAACGATCGACGATCATGCAACGTCGGGACATCTGCGATCGTGCCTCGGCAAGGGGCATGTAAGGACAATACACCAGATGGCGGATAATTTGCGGGATATTCGCCTTTCGACCAATAAAAAAAGGCCACACTTTACCGGATATCGTCGCCATAACCGTACAATACGTATTAAGCTTTATCATCGGGTTATTACGTCATGTGGGGGACCATGACAGTCACGTGTAGATCTTATCTTATCTTGATTAGGTAATCATATGAAGGTTGCTAGAAATTTTGCAGCTTTGACTAACTGCAGCTTTAATACAGGGCTCTTTGATGCATGGATACTTCGTGGCATCGTCGAGTAACTATCAATTATATCACTGAGTAGGGAGGCACAATGGGCCTGGAACCTTTAGAGGATGAGCTCGGGTTTGGGGATTTTTTCAAAGAACCAGAGGGGTTTTTCCCCCCACCAAAGCCACCGACCTTCTCAGAACATCGCATGCTTTGCGGCAATACCCTGAATATTCGACTTGTTGGAAGCCACCCGTTATATGTAAGAATAATTCAGGCCGCATCATTTATTGTTAATAATATGTTATTTGAACAAGCATCTTTTCGACTGACAGTTTTCTTGATCTGGAGGGTTATCTTCTCTGGAACGCAGCAAGAACGATATCAAACTTTTTAGAAGAAAACGCTTCAGAATGGGTTGAAGGTAAAGATATCCTTGAGCTGGGCGCAGGCGCCGGCCTGCCGAGCATTATTTGTGCAATTATGGGGGCCAAAACCGCTGTCGTGACCGATTATCCTGACTGGGACCTTGTCGACAACATGCAAATAAACGCGTCCGCCTGCGAGAAGTTTATTAAGAAACAACCTTCACCTCTTTATGTTGAAGGTTACAAGTGGGGAGACTCTACCGACCGCATATGCAGCTTTCTGGATTTACCCTCAGCTGGGTTTGACGTTTTGATTCTCGCAGACGTCATATACAATCATCCACAGCATCACAGCTTGATTGAGAGTGTAAAAATGACTTTGAAGCGGTCCAAGACGTCGGTAGCATTTGTAGTGTTTACCCCATACCAACCTTGGCTACTAGAAAAGATAGCGGCATTTTTCCCTAAAGCCGAGCAGAGTGGCTTTAAGGTGAACAAGATATTCGAGAAAGTTATGGATAAACTCTTATTTGAGGATGATCCTGGGGTACAAGATGTTAGCTCTTCCTACAAAAATTACTAAGATTGCTAACTATGCACAATAGGACGAGCTACTAAGACGGACAGTTTTTGGATACGAACTTAGATGGAAAGAGGAGGAGCTGGACGGGCAAATACCCCGTTGCTAGTTTTGTGAAATTTTTACCTTGGATATATTGGGCTCATTGAGAAGTGAAAATAGATTGGTGGGAGCTATATATACGTATTACCACAGACCGGTGTAGGTGTCTCGAACGGCGGCTAGAACTGTTCCGCAACCAATCTTTAGAATTCTTGTGATAATGATGCACTGAAATATAAAAGATGATAGGAACTGAACTTTTCTCTTAACTTACTACCGCTATATGATCGTTTAAATATGTAAACTCTATATAAAGCCACTACCACTGGGCATACTTTACGCGAAGTAAGCCAGTGTAAGGACAAAAATATCAATTGGGAAACCGCCAATAACAAGCGCCGGCGCTTACGCCTGCTGACATCAGTGAGCTTATACAAACGGCTCACCAGAAATCCAGCGGTTCATCAAATCAAACGCCACGTCAGGCCGATCTTGCGGAACCTAATGGATAGCAGTTGTTGTTAGTTCCACAAAGTATCGTAAACTTTTTCAGGAGGGTGGTTAAACTCACCATGTGGCCAGCATTGTCCACCGTTACGAAGGCGTATCTAGTAGCAATCGTTGCGCTATCCGTCACACGAATTTTGACTTCTTTCATGCTCCCCACTGTCTCATTCTTCCCTGTCGATGAGAGGACAGATTTCCATGGAATTAGAGGTTTAGAAGACAGCTCAGCTTGTCCTTTCCAGGGAATATCATGCATCCATTTCAGGTTCCCTGCGGTATTGCACGCAAGGTCTAGATTACCCTGATAGTTCATTACGTGAACTTGGTTTGCAAGGAGAAACTCGACTTCTTCGGTTGAAGGTACCATTGAGTCCGAAGTTAGGTCAAAGGCATCTTCGACAGGTTTGGAAGCATACTTGTACTCTTTGACTTCTTTTGGAGGGGAGAGAGCATCCCAAATAAGCTTTGAGTTCAAATAACTCTGAAGGTGAACGCCTTGAACATAACAGATATCGTCAACCTGACAAGGGACGGTAACTACGATTCCTGTAAGTATGTCGTGCATAGCAATATAGGTTGAGTATACATACTGTCGAATCTATTGCGACCTCCTTTGACATCAGACTCTTTGTCGTACATTCCAGTAATGCCCTCATCGCAGACAGATTTGGCCGAGAGACATATTGCTGGATCTGGGTTGCGACGACAAACTTCAGCTAATTTCATACATCTTGGTATGTTCTTTGCCATGATGTCGCATCTGGTTTCGTTGAAGACAGGCTTCTCAACGCCAGGGTTGGTCGTGCAAAGGGTCTCCCAGTAGCCGAAAGCGGTATGCATGTGTGACATGCAACCATTGCCTATTAAGCAGGACTTGAGCTGTACTTGCGGCTCATTGGAGTAAAGTTTGTTCTGTCGCACAATTTGGGCTCCAAGGTACGGAATATAGTGTCCCTATGTGGAGAAAAGTGGCTTAGAATTGCTTTTTGAAAAATGTAGGTGGATACTCACACCATACGATTCTCCCGAAATATGAAATGGAGTATGCAATTTGTTCGGAAAAACCTCAGATACGAATAGCTGAAGGAATCTATGCATGTCCACTGCTGCTAGATATGAGTCGTTCGGAATCTCATGACCTTCATCGCCATAAGAAAAGCCGACACCAACGGGCTGATCAACAAAGAGCATTGATGATTTCTTGCTCCAGCCCCATGGATTGTAGTTCGTGCCATTACCATGCTCATTGACTGAACAAGGGCCTACCTCCTCAAGCATTCCAATCATGCTGGAATAGCCTGGTCCTCCAGTCATCCACAGCGTGAGGGGATCATTTTCAGGATCGCTCTGGCTCTCAAAGTACCAGAAGAAAAGGTGTTTCGGTCCGATATCCAGCCACCCGGTGTACTGGGCGGAGTGAGCATCACAAATTGAGTCATCTTGTCTCTTAATGCGGATGGAATGCTGAGGAGAATGCTTGCTTGTAAAGATCTGGAATCCCGCTTCACTTGTTGCCCTTTCAGACTGGCCAGCCGACAACGGAACCTGGTTTGCGGCCTGGATTGGGCCGAAAAACGACGCGGCTAGGAGAGGAATAAAACACCAAGATGACAGCATATTTCACCCAAATACTGCTTAGAATGGAATATATTTGATTCATTCACCATTCCCGGTGGGGAAACGTGTTTTATAAGGTTGCCTGAATAAAGCACATCACGTGATATAAATCCGAGCGGGGCCCCCAAGGTTATGGAGATCAAGCAATGCCAAGGCTAGGCATCAACTTTCTTACAGGAGATTTTCGCATCAGACATTTTTCCAGAAACACTGTTAGAACCATGAAAAGGGTGGAAGACCTATTGACAGATTTCATAAAGCCGAGAAATGTTTTATTTAAACCTATGGCCTGAGGGGCAAAAGGGGGCATATTTATTATCCTGTCCTTATGCTAGAACACATCAGATTATGAAATGTTTTCTCCGAGCCATAGCCAAACTTCCAAGTCAAAGTTGAGGCCATTAATGAAGCTCAAAGGCAGTAGTCTCTGCTACTGACCATTCGCCATGCCACATTAGGATATACCCAATCTTTGCTTCAGTTGATTCTTTGACACATTTTTAAGGAGTTAGCAATTTCTTTTCTATGAGGAGTAAGTATTTAAACCCTAATTTCGCAAATTCCGCGAAAGTGATGCTGACCAAGACAGTGAATAGTTACGGTTTTTGGTTATGGTGGCCATGCAACCTCTATTATTGTAGGAAACTACCAAGGAAAGTTTCATAGTTTTCGTATCTTCCGAGCACTGAGAATATAAATACCAGACTCCTGCCTGTTTAACAATGTTCAGGACTATCCCTCAGTTATCGCAAGCTGGGCTCTTCTCTCTATTCATCTGCAATAATCATTTATACCTGATATTGTAGACCAAGGCGGCAGTATGCCACTATCATTCAAGAAGACTTACACTTTTCAGCAGCGTAAGGACGAGGCTTTACGCACCTTACAGCACCAGCCGGATCACATTCCAGTAAGTCCAAGCACACTCATACATTACTTATCATTCTTGTACGATGTTCGTTGAGGTAGATTACGATGAGACTGATATCTTTATAGCTTGTCTGTGAAAAAGAAGAGAACTCGGACATTGTGGCCGTCAACCGTTGCAAGCTGCTTGTCCCCAAAGTACTCTTGGTTGGCCAGTTATTACATGTGCTTCGTAGCCGTTTGAAGCTTCCATCGGAAAAGGCCATTTTTATCCTCATTAATGATGAAGTACCGTCCAACTCCTCTCCTTTATCTACGGTCTACGACGTCCATAAGGACGAAGATGGATTTTTGTATATCAAGTCAGTCCTCCACCAATATACGAGTTCACATAGGAGACCTTAGCTCCTGGACACTAACAGCTGCATAGATTCATGGGAGAAAATGCATTTGGATTGTCCAAAGAGAATTAATTACATCCGTGTTTTCTATTTCGAGCAGGGAAATTTCGGGGGGTGAGGAATTCTGAGAGTCTGATTCTTTTATCAACCGCAAAGCTTACTACCGGAAAAGTACATTTACAAAAGTACCAGAAATAGGACCAAAAAAACCATTTTTCTATTAAACCTACTATAATATGTATTAATCAAAATAATTTCTTTATTATTTCCTCCACCACCGTTGGCCTTACTTAGGCAGGCTTGGTATCTCCATATGCTATAACAGTTCTTAAGAGCCTGCTGGGAGCGAGCGTTGACTACTGGTAACAACTAAGTACATTTCGCAAGGTGTAGGCCATCGGGCCCTGAGTCATTGACGTCATCTATAATTCTCCACTTTATTAGAAATAACTAAAGGGTAAGCATAACTTAAAAAGTCGGCTCGGGCCAGCATATAGAATGCTTACATAAGTAAAACAGGATTATAGTAAATCCGATAAATCATGTGATATAGTATTAGTCATCATTTACTGTCCACACAAAATTCGAAAATGATCGAAAAAAAACAGGATGTCATTTCACAACAACAACATGCCATATGTTTATCTTCATGCTTCCCTCTTCACTCAATGGAGCACTCTTGTACAGAGTACTTTGTATTATGATGAGGTAATGTTATTCTCTCAGGAATAAGTAAGAAATGCATACGGGGCTGGAGAAGGGCTCAAAGTAAACAGCAATGTTTACTTTGCTGCCTCCAAATCCTTCGTACAACTAACAACTTCCTGGAAAACGACTGAAAAGATAGCAAAGGTACGTCTGGCAATTGTTTCTTCCACTTTGGCAAGCTCACGCATCACCTCTGGCCTCTATGATGATCCCCATGTACAAAGCATAGTTCAACTGAAGGTCTTCGGATCGCTGAACGAGAAACCCATCACCATCTTTCATCCTATCTGACATGGCCAACACATGAATACATACCTACCCAGTTTCTGCCTTCTGCACATGCGTCGTCGGACTTGCTAACTGGACAGAAGATATAGGCTCATCGTGACATCTTCATGCCGCGTCTTAAAATTATGATCTAAAATGCCTACTCATGCATTGCTGCCCAACCTCCTAAGACCATACCATCCTTGGCCAATCATCAACACTAGTCCTCGGCGACTCGCACAGGCTGACATTCCTCCTTTCCCTGGTAAAAAAAGAAAAGAGCGCGAAGAAAAAGCATCTCAATAAAATGGATGAATTTGATGGCAAGGGGTTTAACAAGGCAAAAATTTCGTATTTTGGAGCACCGTAACGGATAAAAGCATTGGACAACTTCCCCTTCGACTCCCTTTCGACCACGTACCACAAAACTTCATGCTGCTGTACTCTGTAGTTTGCTGTCCCATTCTCATGTGCTGTCAACATGCGCCTTGTTCGCACTTCATGCGGCCCGTATAGACCCTTGCAACCTCCTTAGATTGGCTCCTCGCGCTTCGAGACTAGGATGCAGCCCCAGGGACGGCTTTCGTCCATTCCGTCCATCCGACACCACCACAAGTGGCCGATCCCGTCTCTTCCATACACTATTATTTGTTGTTCTTTTTTTGTTAGAGATTACTGAGATTTATATGGAGTAGGCACATTATTCCTTTGCTCCGCGTGTTACAACTCCACCGACTATCGAGGATCTCTCACGAAAGCCGCTTGGGTGAGGACCTCACGGCTAGCATCCGTTTCAAAAGCAAATGAAATATCCCTCAAAAGCCACTCTTTCACCGCTGTTTTTCCAAGGTTCCCTTGGCGCGAATCGACTGGCTGGGAAGGTCTCGCAGCGGGCAAGTCCTGGACAGCGAGGGTGCCACGTCGAGACGTCGGTGGTGACTTGTCTTCGCGGGCTGCTGCAACAACCCTGGCGCTATCACACCACAATATGCAACCAACAAATAAACCACCCGCATGATGTCTGCGAAGCAAACAACGTGCACCAATCCCCTTGTCTGGATATGCGGGTTCTCTTCCCTCAGGACGCACCCGCCCCGCTTTGTTGTGCTTGTCTTTCGTCCAGATTTGCAGGGTGAGGCGGCCATCCGCTGTGATGTGCGCTGGAAGATACGCTGAAAGGGTAGTTAAAGCCCGATGTCCCCATTTCTCCTCTTAATTCTGTTATTCTTTTCTCTCCCAACCACCACACATTCTTACCCAACTTCAAAACCTTCCAACTTTTTTGGCCACCGGTTATATTCTGTCCGCACTTCTTACCACTTTCTGCAGCCCTATCACCGTGGATAGTGAGTACCAGTTTTCTTGAACGTGGACGACTTCAGACTCAACCCTCTCGCCTACTGGATCAGCGTTACAACCCAAATATTGGCCGCTCCAAAAGAATTACCGGATTATTCTACCTGCCCATTAGGATTCATTGCTTTGTTTTGAACAGACCTGCCCAATTCCAGGGGCTTGAGGATAACTAGTTTTGCTTCTAGCATTACGGCATCGCATGCCAGAACATCAGGTAGTACCCATTGATTTCTATTTTACAACTTTTTATTTTGTGTTTCTGTTTATGCCTTGTTGTTGCTTCTGGTGTGCTGTGCTTTTCTTGCGTGTCTTTTTTTCTATATGGACCTGTACCAATCAAATCATGTATTGCTCTGCGACTATTGCCCACGGAAGCCTCAGACAACGACCAAAGCATGCCACTGCCACCTGGATGGATACCACAAATTATGCCGTTGGCCACCCTATGGAATGCTCACCTGGATGATCACAGCTTGTTTAGCAGCACAGCCTGGCGAACCCGTCAATGGAAGGCTTGTGTTAGTCATATGCATAATTCTGCATTTGGCGCAAATAATGACATTGATTACCAGAAGGAGAATTTATGATGAATGATCTTGACTTAACGCTGAAACTGCCAGCGAGGAGCCACTAGCTATGTGTGATGTTTCCCCAGTTTTCAACCGGATTTTGACCCATGGATTTAACAAAAAATGATGATGCTTCTGTCTCTACTAATCGACCAAGTGCCCTGATTTGCCCGGAGACATGCAATGTTTATGCAATTATATGATGATGCAGTTGAAATGTGTTCGATCGTTTTGATTTTTGATTCCGTTGACGGATTTCCAACTACCTCTGGAACGGATCCCAGCTGTGAATGTTACCACAATGATTAATGAGCCAGCCACGCTCCATGGATGTTTTCCGGATATATCACAAATAATGTTTCAGTGGTCTGCAGTGGATTTTCCATCAGCTGGTTGACAATTAACAACAGCCATCGCCTTCCTGGTCAGTTTACAAACTGTATGAATGGAAGGGAAATGAGAAAAACTAACCTTGATAAATAGGACACCTAAACGGACTTTCTTTTCTTATTCTTTGTTTCATTTATCTTTCTTATACAACTTGATGACTGCCGAATATCACAATACTAACTTGAGCCCACAGTGCTGTTTTTAGAACTATCAAGGATTCATCTCCCAATCACACACATCACAATGGCTTCAAAAGGAAAGGCCAGCATTTCAAAACTGTCAATTCCCAAGAGACACACCCAAGGATCAAGGTCACAATCATATCAAAGCTCTTCAGCCCAAGAGTTTGTGGACATTCCAGCCAGGACACAGGATGATGATTTTTCCCACAACGACAATTTTTCTATCTCTCCTGGCCTTAACGGATCTTGTCAGTTTGACAGCCTGGGCAACTGGGCCATCAGCGACGCCATGTTGACTTGTGCTGATATTAGCACGGCAAGCGAGGCCACTGATGAGTCGTTTGACACCCAATCACTATCAACCACTGATTATGACATGCAAGAATCCCAAATTTTGACTTTCGCCCCGTACTCTCAGCCCCTATTTGCAGGATCTGCAGACCACACTACCTTTTCGGATATCAACCCAATTCAGGATGCGACCACCAGCTGCGAGAGCCCGCAGATGGCATTTAGGAATTCCCATGGGTTCCAAACTGTTGCCGGTGCTATGGGATTTTCTGTTAAGAATGACTCAGGCCACATTGCCAGTGAAAATGGACATGAAAATGAAAAATGCCAGATGGAATTCGACCCAGCTCACCAAGGTATAAAGAACTCTGACACACTGGCTACCACCAGCCCATGGTGCCAGTCAATTAGCGATGATACTTCCGCTGGAAATGTAGTCCACATGTCGAACCTGTACACCCAGATACCAGCCACTCCTCCACTCACCGAGGCCGGTCAAGATATACCCGTTACTTCAGCCTGCTCCCCTTCAAATTTTTCTCCTTACACTGGACATGATGATTCTCCTTTTGTTGATACCGCTTATCTCTCGGGCCAGAACTTCTCCATGAACGGCTTCTACCCTCTTAGCCCACCACTGAGCGCCCGCGACTATAACAGGTACATTGGTTCTTGCATTTCTTTATATATACGCATCGGGGCATGAAAAACTAACGAGTATTTGGAATAAAAGAACTATCAGACCTTCTAAGCCAGCCAAGAGATCCAGCTTATCCACTGAGGCTACCGGTGATATGTCAGAGGTATCCGATGGCGATATGTTTTCTACATCAGTTTTGAGCTCCAGAACCAAAGATGGTACAGAGACCAGGAATCCAAGAGACCACCCATTTTATTCCCTCCCACCTGAGACCGACGGGAAGTATTACTGCCCATTTGCATCCAGGGAAAAGCCTTGCTCTCACGCCCCAACCACTCAAAAGTGTGCTTACCAGTAAGTATATTCCTCCCTTTGCAACCATGTGAGCTTCGGAATATTAAGAGCCGGTATGTAGTAAATATCTGGATTCGCACCTTAAGCCATACAGGTGTAAAGTCCCACAATGTGTGGACGCCCATTTCTCTTCCAATGCTTGTCTATTCCGCCATGAAAGGGAAGCCCATGGTATGCATGGCCATGGAGAAAACCCTCATCTCTGCCACTTCCCAGCTTGTGAACGGTCAATTCCCGGAAACGGCTTCCCCCGCCGTTGGAATCTACATGATCATATGAGGCGTGTCCATGACTACACTTCATCTGACAAGGCCAGCTCTCCTGAAGGATCTCCAGTCACCGGAACTACTGGGAAGAAGAAAGATGCCGCAGTCCGCAAAAGGAAGGGTGGCTCACCGAACAGCCAGACCATGAAGCGAGTTCGCCCTGTTCAATCTCAAACTGCGGCAGCCCTCAAGCTTGCCCAGGCACACAGCGGCCAGCAGCTTCAAAACGCGGAGAGGAGTTATTATGCATGCCTTGCCCAGCTACAGGAAGAACTCAAGGATATCAACCCACAAGACCCCACCCTCCATGAAAAAGCCAATGCCAGGCTGCAGGAACTTCACACTCTTAGCCTCAACTACCGCTATATCCGAGCTGGCCAGCTTGCTAACGAGAGAGCATCCAAGTCATCCTAAACTTCGACAACTTGCTCATATCGTTCTTCATATTACATTCTCCTTTCTTTTGCATTCGTCATTTTAAAAGTGGTTCGCATTTTCCCCTGCCTTCTTCCCCTTTACTTCTCATCTTCCATTTTCTTAGAGGATATTACAACAGCACTTTTTTCAGTTTCTTTCTTTATTTTTCTTTTCATTCCCCGCCCCGCCTTTGCAGCAATTCTTGGATATTATTATGCTCGGGAAACCCAGACCGGGCTTACGATGATATTTTTTTGTCTTCCTTGTTGTTTCAGTCATATTTGCATTTTTCCCTTCCAACTCGTCTAACAGCACAGTTTTTGCATTGTTTATTGGTTTTTTATGGAATTGGCCCTTTGCATTGGTGGTATTGGAATTCTCAGAAGAGGCGCCTGGCGTGTGTAGTAGGTAGACACCACGCTGCGGACAGAAGTTATTGTTATTTAGTTTTACATTTTCATCTTTTCATCTTACATTTTTTTAGGACGAAAATGATCCTACCCTGGATTTGATTTGGTTACTTATTTTTTTGCGAATATTGTTTCGTAAGACGGCGCTTGCCAGGAGAATCAGTGACCTGAGCAAGATAACAAAAAAGAAACGCTTGAGATGCATACTTCTATAACCTTTATCCCCCTTTCCTTTCTTTCTTGATGGTTCAATGATTGTTTCATGCCTCCTATTATTATTCCCCTTATGCATCTCTTTTCACGCCGCAACTATGATTCACGACCGCTATGCTACGAAATTTTCTATAACTTAAATATATTCGAATTTTCAACTATAATTATATGCTCCTGTAATATGTTAGTTGTTTATCATAATACCTAGTCTAGAATTCGGTCATGCCTTCAAACTCAGCATTTAAAAATCTCACAAACGCTTCGCCGACTTCTTCTTCATTCAGCCTGCCTTGGCCCATACCATGGCCATGCCCAGCAAATGCCCTATTCATTCCAACCCACTGTCTTCTTAGTCTTTGTAGGCGTGGGAGCGTTAGAACTCCTCCTGCGCCGGCTAAATCATCTGTAGGGGCAGAAGCAAGAGTCGAAGGAGGTATATAGACAGATGTCTTTGTAGAAGGAATGGGTATCGTTATGCCAGGGGCCTGTGGGTTTGCTAAATAGGTGGAAGAAGATGGTGATCGGTTCTCCAAGGAATATTTGCGTATTGTTGATATTATTTCTGATGTGGTTTTTTCAATCGCGTATAGTGCGGTTGGATCCGTTTTTGGCGGCGCTGCCGTCGCTTGGTGAGGGACTATTTTTGGTCGAGTTGATGTAGGTCGCTGGAGGGAGGTTTTTTTAGCGGAAGTGGCAATGGAGGGTGCATCAGCCGTAGAACTCGTCTCATTAGGCCCAGGGTCAGTTTGAGAGAATAAACCGGAAGCAGGCTTATTTTGGTTCTCTTCTTTCGTTATCTTCTGCCCGGTTATGGCAAACCATATGTCATCAATGGGGGGCGTTGTATCAGCCCAGGGTACAGTAAAAAGCGGTTTATCCCAACGGCTCGCTGTAGAGGGTTCCTCATAACGATATATGAGGTTAGTCAATAGTTCTGGTGGGTATGGTTCCTCATTATCCCCAACCGCGGCACCCGTTGTCGTAGCCTCGTCGCCAGATTCGGCCTGCTGTTCTGCTTCAGGATCGACAGAGGCTGGTTCCGGCTGCTGATCACAGGTTTCCATAATTTCTCGCTTTTTTTTCAGGCGAGCCTCATTCGTGGAGATGCACTGGTCTATTGGAGTTCCTATATGGACCTGTTCGACATGCAAAGATTAGATTAGCGACTCCCGGTAATCGCAAGAAAGAAACAGTCCAGTGTGCGAAAGAAAAGCCATACCACACAACTTGTTGTCCTGGCTTCTTTACTCTCACACCACAGTTGATACCGCCAGCCCTTTATATAATTCATTCCATCCACAATAACAATGCTATCTCTTCCTAGTAACCTTTTCACGCGAGCGTACACCACAGCTCTTGCCTGCTTTTCTGATCTGGCAGTATCGTATACAGTGCGTGGGTGGGCTTCATCGTGTGAAGTGACGATATGGATTTTATATCGAGATTTGGAGGTAGCAGGGAGGGACGATTGCAGGTCTTCGAAGAACGTAGCTAGTTGGCGCGCACGGTAGGTCAGCCCCGAGCAAGGGAAGCCGGTCAACAGAATTAACTGCTCGTACGTTAGAAAGAGAGTAGAGAATATGGAGCATATGGGACTTTTGTACGGGCATGGTGATCTATGATCTGCTTGACGGGGCATGAATTGGTTTGCAAATAACCCCCGCACTCGACTTGGCCGTCCTGCCACAGAAATTCGCTATTTGACGAGAAGATCTAAATAAAATATAATACCAGAAATATAGCATAGCCTGAGGATTACGCCCGTTGCTTGAAGAGAACAGCTGGAATGAATGCATGCATGCCTCTTTTCAATTTTTTTTTTTTTTTTTTTTTTTGATTTAACTAACTCTTCTATCTTCTGTCGTTCAAATTGACTGCTTAGTCATCATCGGCCTCCTCTCTAGGGTGTCCAGCGACGTCAATTGCCGACTTCAAGGGCGACCTTCTTACAGTTGATCACGCCTCACGCCCAATAATCGGCAAAAGCCAGTTTGGGATATCGACCACGTTCTTTGAAATATAGCCCGGGAAACACGAGCTCGACCTTCGGGAAAGTGTTTGCGGCACGCTTTTGGGCAACGCTGTCGACAGTGGCGAGGCAGATCTGTCTTCTCAAGGATGGGTGACGACTCTTGCTTCATAACGTCCGGTTCCATTGTCCGAAAGGCCCTATTATGAAGCATCCCTGCCCTGATTTTGGCGTCGTCATCGATGAGAACTCTCTGAGCTGCCTGCGCCCAGTTAAGAACAGGCTGTTATCCAGAACTCCTTGAAGACCCCAGTCAACCAGGTCAATTAAAACACCTGAAAGATCTTCACCTTGTCAGCTGCGTCATACGAATTGCGGGAGAGTAAGGTGAGATACCTAGGCCAAGGGTGCCTTATTTTTCTAGCTGTGGAGAGATGTTACCGCAGCTTCCTTGAACGCCCCTGGGTTCCGGATGATCTCCTCCGTCATGTTGATGGCTTTGTTCTTGGCCCAGCCATGCACCTTTTCGAAGTTTGTGCAAGCGTGAGTTGCGCTAAAGTCAGCCTCTACCTCATGGAAAGGGCTCTTTTGGTTGAAGGTGATAAGCGTGGGGTCGGCCGAACATGACAGAGCCTGACGGATCATGTCGATGCAGTGATCTACACGAGTTCGATTAGTTAGGTGAACCAGCGGTCGAGTCATCTAACTTACCGGCATGATCAATTCCGGAGATAGTCGCATGGCTATCATCGATGCGGTAGTGCTCCCTATGCACGTATCGGCGCACATAGTCCTATACGCCTATGAGCCTGGGACTCTACAATAAGACCGTGATACACATACCAAGCAGTGGAGCTGATGGAATACTGCCAGCTTAGCCAAGTGCTTTCCGGGACGCGATGGCAACTCGATACTCTCCTTCCCGATAGCCTCGAGCTCTTTTTTATCGACCAGAAGTGGGCCGACTGTCTCATCAACAGTTAGGATATTTTCTGGCTATCATGCCCCGTATCAGCCGGGCGATGACTTACTATCGTATAGAGCTTTCCAGGCCTCATCTAGCTCCTTGCTTGGGACCCCTTTATACAGGTTTATCGTTTGGACGCCCCCATCGAAACGGATTGTCAAATAATCCTGCACACCCCGAGCAGGCGCTAAAATTCGTTATCAGCCAAAGTTGCCTCTATGCGGTTATCATTACACAGCCATTTAACCTACAGTAAACGATGTCGGGATAGCCAATCTTGCACTCTCTTTGTGGGCTGAGTTTCATTCCAGCCCAAAATGCAAGCCCCATCAGGAGTAGAAGACCCCAATATCGTGCATCAAATTTCCACGGCAAAACGCGATGGATGGCATTCATCCTGGTTCCATATTCAGCTCTCTCTGCGGCATCGGCTGAATTTGCAAAAGTGGCTCTTTCTTCTTCTCTAGCTAAGGAAGGCACTAGTCGGGTACACGAGCTAGCCGGAGATGCAGTTCTAGATGGTATCTTGGAATCCTCATTTGGAAGTGCGTCGCTACCGGTTAAGGAACCACTGCTAAAAGAAGGAGTCACTGTGCCTCCCAGACTAGTGCTTGAGGATGGGGATGCCACCCTAGAGCCCTCTGTTACATAGGAAATGTCATCAACTAGGGCATCATCGACAGCTGGGTAGGCCCGAGACATTTTTTCCCTTTCTTCGTATCTATTTTCAATTTTTAGGTGCTGTTGTGTCAAAAAGATAGGGTATACAGAGAAGGAACAGGCAGTATACCTTTTTGGATGGATGAAAGACGTGAGAGAAACTGAATACTTTGGAAAGGAAGCTAGATAGAAGCTGTCTACTTTCTATTTCCCTCAGTACTTCATTCCCAGACAAGACGATGACGACTACGATGAATGTCACGATGAATACCATCTCAAAATCATGATGTTATCTATCCTGGTCTTCCAGCAGCCTGGGCCTGCCTAGTATCCGTCAACACGACTGCCAAATGCGTCACTGATCTTTACGAATGTTATGTTTGCCACATGAATTCCATGGATGATTTCCTCACAAGGTAGCAACTGGACGTGGAAGTGTTTCGCCTTGTCGGCTTTAGGACTGATGTGGCCATTTTAACATACCCTTTGCGCTTCCCTTCACTGTGCCGGTGTATACGCATACAGCCTGAAGTTGGGAAGCTAGAAATCATCGGCGTCAATCTTCAGTTCGTTAGCCAATAGGCATTCTATGTTTTAAGATTTCCACACCCGAGATTTCCCTACAATACCTAGTGCCGCCCCATTGGAACTCTCCTTAACTTTTTTATAGTCGATGACGATATAGGTACCGAGTTCCTGTCGGTGGCTGTACCTTAAATCCGAGTCAATGACGGCATATCGGTTCCTGCCTGCGTTGGTATGCAAGCATGCCATGTTGACAATAAGACTTTATTCCGGTAGCAGATCGACGGAAGGTGCGCTGGAGGGTCTTTTCCCTCAGAAGGCCTAAGTGCCTCCATTAGGATCTACAGAGAACATATACAAGCGTCTGGAGGAAAAATGAAATGGCCATATGCCCCCCATAGAGTACTTGAAGGTCTCAAGCTCAGCAGACTTCAAGAGTGCGCCAACCTTCTGCCACTACGGGATGTTAGTTTCCTGCCACGAAAACAACATTCGCACTTCAGTCTATGACGGTTGCCTCCATCAGGATCTACAGAGAACGAACATCTACGGACATAGTCGAGCGTCTAGACGAAAGGGAAACGGCCCTACGATCCCCGATCAGTACATAAGGCGTCAAGCTTAACAGACTTCAAGGGTGAGCCATCTTCCTACCATTGGTTTTCCGGCACGAAAACAATATTTCACACTGCAGTCTATGACGGCATACTAGCTCCTACCTTGCGATGGCATCATCTTCTTGCCCATTTTGGCGTGGCGACTCTTTTTCTTCTACAGGACACATTTGCCCGACTACGAAGGCACGATGCCACCTTGCTGTCGAATATCACAAAATCTATGATATCATACCCTCTTCCTGCTCGAACTGCGCTCCATCATCTTATGTCAAAACTCTGTTTCAAAAAGACATAAATATCTCGTCCTCGACCTCTTCCTCCTCGAATATTTTTCTTTCCTTTCCCATCACGCTTCCTCATCACAGCCTTCTACTCTCCCATACACACCAGCAACCAACAACCAACAACCAAACACCACGTGTAAGTCACTTCACCTTTCTACGCTGAGCTATAGTTAATGACGAGGTGTAGGCGACACCGACTATGCCAGCTTTCAGTAAATTTGCCGTTGCTACCCTTGGAGGGCTTAGCATGCTGCAGTCAGCCTACGCCATGCCAGTCATGACTGGCAGAAGTGGTAAGTAGTAGTGTAGCAACTATACCCTTATCCCTTTGCTTCTTGAGCTAACCCCTTCTTTAGAAGCGCCCCGGCAGAAGACTCTTCACATAGAGTGCCTGGCCGGAGAATGTTCAGAGGAGGACCTCGCGGCGCTTCGTTCTGCCGCCAAGATGGTCCAACAGGACCCATACGGTGCGGGATGGAGAATCTCCTCCAAGATCGAGCCTGTCAGTGGCGGCAAGGTTCGCCGTGACGAAGGCCTTTCCGAGGCCGAGATCAACACCATCCTCGAGGGGATGGACCATGCCGACGCGGATAGTGTCGCCAAATGTGCCGCAGGCACCTGCTCGGAGGCCGAGCTTCAACTCCTCAAGCAGGAGCTGAACGTGGCCACCATCCCAAACTGGCTCTGGCCGATCATCGGCCGCATACGTAAACTCAAGTTTACGTATGGCATCGAGATTGGCGGCGACCCTGAGCCGGCTCCGAAGCCGACTCCAACTCCAGCCCCGACGAGCTCCCCGCCCCCCAAGAACCCGGGCCCAACCAAGGAGCCTGAGCCCACCCACAAGAGTTTGTAAAAAAAATATATAAAAAGATAAAAAAAATAAAATAAGGCACAGATGCCTGATTGGGGACAATGGAGGAAACCGTTTCGCTATTTGTGCTTAAGTGTATATAATTAAACTCTGCTACTTCTAATTAAATATTGTTGCTACTTCAATTTGAGTTTGAACCTTCTCGTAGATAGTCATAATCATCATAGATGACTATAGGTTATATAGTTACGTACCTACCTAGGTATGTAATACCGATATCAAAGTCCTTAGTTAGTAATCAACAAATGTAGTTAACTAGCTTAACTAAGTCACTAGTAGTTAAACTTGTAGCTAACAGTTTGGAAGGCGAAGTTAAAATTGAATAAACAACAACTAAACATAAACACCAAGCGAAGGTGACAGCGGACAGACAAGACGAATATACAAGACAGCTCTACACTTTTCGAACCTCTTATTTGACAAATTTAACGATTGATACCTGCATAACTGCTCGTCCCTACACGATGAACTGGACCGGAGGCCGTTTGCACCGATCCTCATATAAGATGAAGTCATCGGCCAAACACATTGGGAAACAGCGTGTTGCTCAGGCCAAAACACAAGTATTAGATCGGTATGGAGATGCTGTATCGCCTAAGGTTGCTGCTGTGGTAATAGGCAGAGAAAAAAGCTGCGATGATGGACCCCCTAGCACGATTGGCGTGCTTTGTGCAAGCACCCATAAAGGAAAACGCTCCACATCACCATATATCGAAGGCCTTCGACGAAAACGATGCCGTCACTACCAGATACTGGATTCTCCCTCAGTTGGAGTTGATGAGATGAGGAAGAAGCTACTTGATAAGAAAGACTGGGCCTGCCTTAGCCCATCACGGCCATATCGGCTACCCATAGGGCGCGACCACGACGCAGGTCAAGTTGAAAAAAGGCAGTCCTTATTACATATGAGTAGCCCTAGTCGGTGTGTTCCTCAGCAAGATCTTCCTTCTCTTCCAACTAAAGGGCAGAAGACAAAGACAGTTTACCCATACCCTACTCAGCTACGTTCTGATGATATTGAGGTATGGATTGAGCAAAAAAAAGGAGTCACTCAACCTGAGACTCCCTACACTAGAAAACACACGGTTACCCAGGAATTCATGGAGCCAATGTTGTCTGGTAGTAACCCAAGCGGAGATAGTGCGAATCCTATACATCAGTCAGACGCCAATATCTCGCAGTATACTTCTTATGGTATCCATGAGCAGTACGAATTAGGTAAACGGGCGGAAAACTCTCCAAGCCCAGACCTATCAGGCCTACCCATTCTAGATCGTCGAGGCTCGTTTGCTATAGTTGACGGCCAGACACGATATGTCCCACCATCGCCATGTAAACCCCCGAGTTCGGGGTTTCCAGGAGACAATGGTGGCATGGGACTATCCAGGGATGTAATTGAGCCCTACAATTGGAGAAGAACAGGGCCATACCATTATCAAAGAAATGAAGCCCAAGATGTACGTCCGAAGAGTCTTGAATGGAGCGAAGTAGCAGGCAATGTCACAGAACATTCTTCGAAATATTCGCGGGGCGACAATTCTGCCGTGGTGCAGCAGAGGGAAGCCATTCACAGCATGGAACAGCCTAGGATAGGGTGTTGGGAAACACCCTCTTCTGATCAGGACCCCTTTTGGCCAAACATTTTCCGTCACCGTTGAGCAGTAGGCCGAGATACCGCTACGACTCAATAGTCTCTCCCCAGTTGAATAGGCAATATCGCTGTGTTAACCGAAACAAGAATCAGAAGTACAGTCGCTTAACTAGCCCGAAATCTGGTTCGATTCTTTATCGTAGCCCTCAGCCAAGGGCTTGTTTTTCTGGATCATTTTCAAAACCAAGGTCTTATCACAGCAACTACTCCTCAATCAGTGCGCCCGTTATTGGAAACCATAAGGTCCTCGTATACGGCCAGGCAATAGACACCTCAAAGGAACGTTACCTATAACCATAATGGTCCACAGAAGAGTTTCTTAGGTCTACCATAGAACTAATACTCTAGTAACTATGAGATAGGCGGCCCTAACGAACTTCTATTTTAATAATAAGATATGGTAAATAACGAGTGTATGGTCTCTTTAGAAGACCTGTTTGGATTTAGAGCTTACCGTTGCAAGCATGTAAAAGAACCCAATGCAAGGATGTGTCGTGGTAGCATCAAATGTTAAAAATGTACTCCGTACAGGCCTTAAATGCCTAGATTCTGGCTAAATCGCACTTTCAGCCCACTGAAGCATATGATAGTTGCCAGACGACTTTAATGTTTGACTGTTTTCGCAGTGTTGAGTAGCAGCCGGGCATTCAGATATCAGGCCGCAATTTCAAGATCGGCATCAACCGCCGACAGCTCTCGGCCCAGGCCCCTGGCAACATCCGGAATTAACGATGATCCGACTGAGGATTTAACTAAGAAGACCCACTCCTAACCTTGCAGTAACAGCTCTTTTGCTGGTTTATTAGGCAGACACATACTCCAGAGTTCGGAAGATATTTGATATCGTGCTTATTTGCCCTGTATCAGAGCTTCGACACAACAGTTAACCCGATGGGCGACAGGATTATATCTCTTCTCTCTCTCTCCCTCCTCTCCGTCCTCGCCTCCGTCGTCCTCTCTTCTCCTACTCGGCCGGGTACCAATCCCTTACCTCTTGTGATATGGCATGGCTTGGGAGACAGCTATGAAAATGACGGGATGAAAAGTATTGTGAAGCTTGCAGAAACAACAAACCCGGGCACATATGTCCACCTCATCCGATTCGGCGAGTCTGGCAGCGAGGACCGAGAGGCCACATTCTTTGGCAATGTTACTGCCCAAGTCGACGAGGTTTGCCGGACTATTGCGTCGGATCCCATATTAAGCAATGCCCCTGCTATAAACGCGCTTGGTTTCTCGCAGGGCGGCCAGTTCTTGAGAGCTTACGCCCAGCGCTGCAACAACCCTCCGGTTCACAACTTGGTCACATTTGGCAGCCAGCATAATGGGATTGCGAGCTTCACATTGTGCAAGGATTCTGGCGACTGGTTATGCTGGAGTTTTAACGCCCTGTTGCGCTTTGGAACTTGGTCTAGCATTGCCCAGTCTAGGCTAGTGCCAGCACAGTATTTCAGAGACCCAGAGGAGCTAGATGACTATCTGAAGTACAGCAACTTTTTAGCTGATGTCAACAACGAGAGGGAAGTAAAAAATATGACGTACAGGGAGAACCTGATGATGCTGAACAAGTTTGTGATGTATATGTTCAAAGATGACACTACCGTTGTCCCAAAGGAGAGCGCTTTTTTCGCGGAGGTCAACGCCACGTCAGGAGAACACACGAAGCTGCAGCAACGACCGATTTACAAGGAGGACTGGCTCGGACTGAAAGTACTAGATGAGCAGTCGCGCTTGGAGTTCCTAACAATACCCGGTCGGCATATGCAATTGAGCGAGGCCCTATTGGTGCAGACTTTCCGCAGCTACTTTGGTCCTCTTCAAGAGTCAGCAACTGAAGCGGTCAGAACAGCGGATTTCAAGGTCCAGGAATAGTTAATGTACAACTCAATACAAGTCTAATGTTCTGTCTTTGCAAATGTATTGCTTTATTATCGGTTAGTCTATCAAGCTAGAATGTAAACTCGCGATATTGACAAAAGGTTGTCCTCCGGCTTCAGTTTTTCGGCTTGCTCGACCACACCAAAAAGTGTATCTCGGCTTTTCGGCATCTATGCAAACTTGGCCAAAGGCCGTAAGTGCCGAAATGAATACGATCTATCCCACCCGCTAACTAGTGTTGAGTCAGACCTGCATACTCAGCGAATTCCTCTATAGCATGTCGATACCATCCAACGCAGCAGTTGAATAAAAGACTATCGTCCTTGAAGCAAGGAGAAAGGAGTCCTTTAAAATTCCGAGTCAACAACGAAAGGCGACGTCTCTCACTATGCCGGACACAATTGCCTCGGCCCCAAAGTCGTGGGTTCGCCCAGCTAGAAATGGCGAGAAGAAAGAGTTCCTAGTTTCTATGGATAAATCACTGCTTTCGGTTGCCACGATGAACGAAGAGTTCGACAAAGACTATATATATTGGGCCAAATCTATGCCTGATGAAGCACTACAGACAGCAATCGACTCATCAATGTGTTTCGGCCTATACGAGCGAGCCCAGGGGATTATGGCAGATGATGGGAGTCAAGAAGCATCTCTGGTGCAATTCCCTCATATGAAGCAGATCGGTTTCGCTCGTTTGGTTACAGACAACGTAACATTCTTCTATCTTTCGGATGTGTTTGTCAAGCCCGAATATCAAGGAGGGGGACTAGGCTCATTCTTGGTCCAATGTATCAAGGAGGTGTTGGACGACATGAAACACATGCGACGATTCATTCTGATGACTGGTGACAAGAACACAGGAAAGTACTATGAGAGATTGATGGATGTTACGCTGCTGGGTGAAATTGGGAACGCGTATATCTTGGGCCGCAAGGGACCGGGGAGCTATGTGTAGACGGCGGACATATGTTGATATTAGTCAAATTTCGCGACGAAGTGAAACGCATAGTTAGTCATTTTATGCATGTGGATAGAGACACAGCCTGCGTTCGTTCATAGATTTGGTGCATATCTACAGGGGTTCTTCATCTCCGTGGTCTGCTCAAAGCTTCCGCGGTTACATCTACCTTGCCAGTCCTATGTCATTAGCCAACTTCTTCGGGGTCAAACCGATGCCGCCCGTACCTCTAAGCCTCAAAGATAGCCCATGGAATTTCTGCTCTTGTTTGGCGAATTTGCTTTGACGGTGTTTGATGAAGAAGACGAAAAGCTTACATAATAAACAGTCAGGTGACTCTTCTTGGCTTCAAGCAAGGATTCACGATAATCCTCGGCCAATAGAATCGATATATTCGAATTACATCAGCGTATTACTGATATTTCCCCTTTATCCTCAAAGTATTGGAAGTCACAACCTCAACTCTTTGCAACGCTGAATTGCAGCGAGTCTTCAATTGCGGCTAGCTGCGATCTATAGCATAAACTTGCCCTCAAAGCGTTCTCAGCATGAGCGATGCATTTATTACGGACTTCTTAGGAGAGGGAAACCCGTTGGCAACCAATTGTGGATATGGAATTCTGGGGATGTACCAGCATAATGGCGTCGGTGACGAGGCCGGGATCTTGCAGCATTGGCTCCAATATCCCGGCTATGGAACAATTTCATAAACCAGATGACTTAGTAAATACCAAATACCACGATATCTGGATGATAGTAAGCTGGGCGTTAGTCGTATATCTCGACAAGTCCAAAGATGGCTCACATTATGACTACGCAACACCAACTTCCTGATGGGCTTTGACCAATTACTGTTTGATACCATGCATGTATGCAGGCGCTACTGCATGTGGAAATTTCCGTGCGGATAGGCGCCTAGCTCTAGTAGCGCCCTAGTTATTGGGTATGTTTGGTTTCTTTCCAGCACTTTCTCCCCTCCCAACACAAAACATCAACACGAAATATTTCTTGCCAGAAGACGCGATCTGCTCAACCCAACCCAGACATTCCTCTGCATCTATCATGTCTGCATTGTAATTTTGGGGACCATGAAGCAGTATTACCCGCCCTCTGCCTACTCCAAGCTTGAGTACGTGTTTAATCACATAGTACTCCCTCCTCGCCTTCCAGGAAAGGAGGAAACCTGCGAGGATGAAGTCCGATATGAGCTTCTAGCATTTCTTCAAGACGCGACTCTGTCTCTCAGAGCTGATTCTGATAAAGAGATCAATGCTGTTGGAAGGTCTATCTTCCAGATTCTCGAGATTTGCAAGGCCACCAGCGTGGGTGGTAAATTGGATAAATCCACGCTCCTGTGCCAGTTCCAGGAAATTCTACCGAATATTCCTATCATCCTCCACGTCAAAGAGCAAAATGCTGGGCTAATTATATGGAAAAGCGAACGGTAAGTTTTGCCCCTTGTTGATTGTTGTTCTGTATTTACAGGCCTTTTATATCTAATTATACTGTTACTGTAGCGATGGGGAGGAGATAGTCACCTTTGAGCTTTCGAGGCATCGGCAGTATCAGAAAAGTCCTCTCAGCTGAAGGCCCATTGCAATGGGATTTCCCAGGCGAAGCCGTTGTCATTCATATACCGTGTTTACCCAGCCCTCGTTCAGGGAGTCGCTGTCCAACTTCTTAGAGTGTGCAAGCACCGAATCAATAAAGAGGTTTGCTGCCTCTGTTATGAAAGGTGGCGCAGTTGCATTCGAGAATCGTGATACCACAGATCCAGCTTTAATCACACAGATGCTCATGACTCTGCTAGAAGCAAATGGGTCTCGAATATTCCCTCCACTATTAAGGAAACGTGTGCGTGATGAAGTTTCCTGGGCTCCTGGAGGTGGCAAGCCATGGAGGAGACTGCCGTTTTGGTTAGTCCTCCGAGTGGGAATTGAGCGACATCTACACTTGCAATTTGGTGCTATAAAAGGAAGAGCGTACTATAAGTTCCTTCTTTGCCTCATGTTCTCGGCCATCCTAGGTTCTGGAACTGATTCATTCTCACCTGACCAAATTTCACATCTTACTTCCAAACTAGCAAGACGTTTGGCCAAGTTGGAGGTCCATCGTGAGAAAGCGCTCCATAACGACAAGATGACATACAATCGATTGTTTGACAAATTCGAGCATGTCTTCCAAAACTCTATTAGTGATGCCAGGAACCACATTGCTAATACCTGGAGCAAATATAAAAAAAGTATTCGACGCAGGATCCCACGTCTTCCACTTTATGCGGATGAGCAGTCTCAATATCTTTCTCTAACAAATAGTGAAAAAGAGATAGAGAAGGTATTGTTACAATACAGGGCAGATGGGGCATCGCGTTCAAAGAATACACCATCGAAAGACTTCAGTCCTAAACGTTCGAACGCTTTCAAAACGTTTGCCAATTCTTATAACGCACTTTCGAGGCTAGAGATAGTACGCGACGAAGCCTTACAGTCTTTGGGGTCCTCTACAGAAGAAACATGTATGGAGATTGCGGCAATGATTCAAAAATATTATAAGCTGGCCGCCCCTGCATATGACGGTGATCCAGAACAGAAAAGCATCATGGTCCTAAATATGATGGTTCATTGGATGGAACTTGACATGTGTGCCACCAAGCTTTACCCTTTGCTGCTTGAATATCACCCTGGGATTTCATCGGACTTGCTTGATGTGCTGCAGTTATCAAGTCTCCAAGATTTAATTCGTCTAAATACAGTTCAGGAGTACATAGATACCCGATGCACGCGGTGCCTGTCTCGAATGACTATTTTCGAAGATCCAACCGAAGGATGTTTTGCGGAAAAATATTTTGATTTGTCAGAAGATACCTTTAAGCTTCAAACTCTTCATTCAAAGATTGTATCTCAAGCACGCAAGGACTATGATAGGAAGGTGGTCGAGTGGCAAGAAAAGAGTGAGGAACATGAGGCTCTACAGAGAATGGTAACCCTTTCTTCCTGCACGTATGTTTCCAACCGGTTCGGGGGAGTTGACCACGATGAAAATTGTGAGAAGTGCGACAACCAACGTCGTGCAAACCGCATGACTATCAAAATCCACGAGCATCCACTTCCAGACAATCCCGTCCATGCTAAAGTAGTGGTGTTTGAGCTACAATGCCCGGAAGCGTTCAAGTCCTACCGTAACACAACCTGGCTCATATTCGGTATTGTGGCTTGCCCTCACGAACAACCTCCAGCCTACCCGAAGTTACTGGTATCGGAATATAAGGAGCTCAGCAAATTTTTTACTGGAAGCTCAGGCGGAATCGTTCTTGCATCAACAACAAAGTCGTTGCTTTTTACCCATTACAGGGGAGTTCACTTCCCAGTAAGGCTGGATGACATATGTTTCGACAATAATCTGAGGGTTAAATATTATGATACCGTCAATAATATCTTCCCAAACCGGCAAAGTCGTTTTTTAAGCTTTTCTCACCATCTTCAGATGCCCACCCTTACGAACTCTCCATTTTCGTCCATCACACCTCAAGGCAGCTTGTCTGGCACTTCATCTTATGAGATCATAGCAAGTCAGCCATCTTGCCCTGCGGGGTTAAATACTCATGAATTTCTGGCATACAAGTCTCTGTTCTCTGGTGTGGTCAGACGTTGGCCTACAATCCTTATTGAACTTGGATCTTCAAACCTAAACTTTAGCACCAAGGGCCCTTCTACATTCATTTGCCAACTTTCAATACAGGCAGGACCAAGAGATAAGAAAGATATATTTCGGGTGGTCCACAAGATCTTTCGAGATGAGGTTTTCTGTATCCGACTAATCAAACTACTCGAAGAAAGACTGATTGGGGTCGCATCGAACTGGCGTGAGACCGATTGCATGGAGATGCTAATTACGTTGATACTCCGGCTATGCGTCTTGTGTCCACTTATAGTCCTTGAAAGGACTGTCATCCTACTGAAAATGGTCCAAGATACCCTTTTAAAATGGACCCGGCTGCTGCGTAAGGAAATTTGTGCTGCTCAAGAGCCAAGCGTTATTGGAAACTATTCTGATTTTGCTTTCACTGTCGCGCTGTTACTCAGGAGAACATTTGTGGTTTACCCCGAGAATGTTCCCGGATATACGGGAAACATGACTGAAAGCGATATACGGTGCTTTATAGAGGCTTCGATCTCACTACAAGATCATGCTCCCCCTGACCTGAAATCACTTTCGCATTTTCAATGGCGTGCACTTGTTCGAGACTTGAAAATGGTGTACAGAATGCGTTCTTTACTGCTAAAATCCTTGAAAAACCACCCGGGAAGTCTGGGTGCTGTAATAACAGAGATTTGGGCCCAAAGCACTCTCTCGGTAGGGCAAGTGTCTGATATTCAGCTTCTAGATGGTGACGAATGGGCTCAGCTTGTGATAAACCCTACAAATCAAACAAAAAGTCAGGTTGTACATTTCCATTACCTTGAAGGACATTTACTTGTCGACGGCAAACCCTTAGCAACGCTCCCTGCAAATTATAGAAACGCCGTGGTCCTAGATCGACTATTTGGAAAGCAGAGACTTCAAGTCTATCCTTCATCACTCCATGGAATGTCCTATGTCCTTCCATTCGAAGTTAATCAGCAAAGAATTCATATCGGTTTCCGCGATGGTAAACCCTTTGTTCGAGCCGAGAGTAGGACCACGATTTATGAATTCCTTCCATATGAAATATTTGGAACTAAGAGGAACTTTGACCTCCCTGGTTCCCTAGTTGAAAATTGCATCCACTGGCTTGATTTAAAGTCCGGCACCATCAAAATTAGGAGGAAACCTAACATTTGGCACGATAAGGATAGCAACTGGGAAGTCGATTTCCACAATCGGAAAGCATGGCGTCGCACAGTCGCTTTGGTTGATCCCCATAGCCAGTTATTTCGTCTCGTTGCCAACGTTTTCGACGGATTTGAACATCCTGGATATATCACAATATACCAGCCAGCTTCCAAAAACCTATCCGTGGAGTTACGTCGCCTGGAGCTAGACTTCATCGTCACTAAAAGTGGCCTACTTAGGTGCAAGCAGTTGAACACGTTAATCGATATGAATCAAGATGCAGGCACATGGTATGGGTTGAAAAGTAAGCTGGTGCTCCGCGACGTGGTTGATATCGAGCAGCGTAGCATTCTTGTTCCTATGGGTCCTCTGCACTGTAGCAGAAATGGGATCCACGTTAGTGTTTTTGCAGAAAACTTAGGAGCTTATGGCCGATTCTTCATCAATACATCTCTTGGAAGACTAGATTGTCCAGCTGAACCATGGACTTTATACGCCAAAGCTCAGTTTCATGCATATACCTCTTTCGTTCTACCGGACGAGCTCACAGGCCGTACTGGGACGGAAGAAGCAGTACACTGTCTAAAGTCAGGATACAGCCAGCCTTGGACTACATTGAACCCTGGTCCCCTTGGGACCCTTCAAACAATTGCACTTCTCGCCCCAACTAGGGTGTATTACCCGCCTGGCTCCAAAACCGTTCAACACACTACCTGGAACGAGAATCTAACGCCATGGATTCAACATGAAGTTTTCTCACCTCTGGTTGAACGAATCTGTGAAACAGAGAGGACGTTAAGGCAATTTAGTAGCAAACTAATTGACCAGCCTGCAATTCAATCAGTCAGCAATGATTTTTTGATGAACCGGGCTTATAGGAGGAGAAATACTTACCAACGACCCAATGCGGGCTTTGACGATCTACCAGTTTTGAAAGATGCAATTTACCAACCACGAGATCGATTCCAGGGGGGTCTGAGTCGCTCCAACGTATTTGAAATAAGCAGCTTAGTGAAAAATTGGTCAACAAACACAGGACCCCCTATTGACTTGATTAAAAAGATGGAATCATGGCCTACGATTGGAGGATATTGTACCATTTTCGACAAGGTTCTCTTAAGTGATATGCTTGACGTACAATTCGACGTGTCCTGGGGCTCCATTGTGAATTTCTGCCGCAATTCGGAGCAGACAAATAAATATCACCTTATGACAATGATGGCCCTTATGTCCTTTTCCAACTCCGCCGACATGGAAATCATACGCACTTTGCTACTTTTTGCCACTATTCCAAGTCTAAAATCCCTCATACCACCTAATTGGGTTCATTATAAGGATTTCCGTTATAATCAGCAGCCTACTGTGGTGTATCTGCGAAGATTGATCAGCCATTGTTGCGTTCCATACACTGGGAACGACTGGGGCAATGTAAGGCTGAGCTTGAAGTCAAGAAAGAAGTTTGAAGCTGATGAGAGAGAACATAAGAAACGAGTTGAGGCAGATGCAGTCGCATTTTCAGAGTTTATCTTTGCTCAGTGGCCCTGCCCTGAGCCAAGCACTCAAGGGATGCCTAATATTTCGTTGTTAAATGTCCAGTTAGCCCTGAAGGTCATTCTTCCGGACTGGTCCCGGATATTCCAGAATTCAGAACTTTCTAACTACCTTGCCAAAGTACGAGCGACTTTACTTTCCGGTAGCTTCGGAAAGTATGAGCAGTTCAGCTGTTGCATAAAATCCACAAGTACGGAAATCTTCCACACTGGAACTCGAGGAGAGGATATTCCCACACTTGCCGGAAATCTTTTACGCAAGTCCAGCAGGCCATATACCCTTGAGCCCCGTCCTACGAAAAACACAGCTAATGCCTGTTTGGTCTCTCGCAATGGGGATGTTAGACGTGGATTTACGGGTTCTGGTAATAGAATAAATCTTCATAACAGATTTCCATCGCAAAGCTCAAGTTTCTCACAGATATCCGAATTGGAAGACATTATTGGGAGAATTAAAGATTCCCCTTCATTGGTCAGACAGCAATATGCAGATGATCTAATGGCCAGCCTCAAGGCGTTGAAAAGCGCCAAATGCGTCTCCGACCCAATTAGTAAAACATTTGATGAATCCACTCTCTATACAAACATCGGATCAGCCACGCAAAAGGTTGAATGCCATGCTGAACACGTCAGGTCAGCCCTCAACAAGGACGATTTGCGGTTCCGCTGGCTACATCCCGCAGGCCTATGGCCTTGCATGACAATGGTTACTCTACTTGAGCAACTTCGGTCCACCTTCCAAGGGGAATTTGGGACTGGGATGAAGGAAAGCCTTATCGCACTAGCTGTTGAAATGGTTCACAAACAACGCTTTCTTAGGATTAAGGATGCATTCTTGCGAGGAAAGGATAGGATACTTGAAGATGAGCAAAATTGTATACCCCATTGCAACTGGGACCCTGCGGTTCATCCGGACTGGCTACTATTACAAATTGATGCAGATATTTGTATTCGGCCGAATCAAATTGAAGTTGCACATGCAACAATAGCGCCATCTTCAAAAGCTAATTCTGTTTTGCAGATGAACATGGGCCAAGGTAAGGATCCCTGGACAGGCATTGAGCAGCTTCATTGTTTCATTTCCAAATCAACTCCTGCGTGGCTATAGTTAGCTGTGTGATGGAAATTATAGAACTATTTTACTGACGTTTTGAAACCTAGGAAAAACCTCTTGCATTATACCGATGGTAGCTGCCGTTTTATCAGATACCACAAAGCTTCTACGAGTTATTGTACCTAAGGCATTGCTGCTTCAAACCTCACAGGTACTCCAGGGAAAGCTGGGGGGGCTGGTAGGGCGAGAAATACGGCATGTTCCATTTTCTCGCAGGACACCCACGAGTATAGATATGATCCAAAGCTATCTCAACATTCACAAAGCTGTTATGTCATCTGCCGGTGTTATGGTGGCTCTTCCAGAGCATATGATGTCTTTTCAGCTCAGTGGCCTCCAGAGGCTGGTCGACAACAAGTTACCCGAAGCGAGAAAAATGATCAAAATTAATGATTGGATGCAAGCAGTTTGCCGTGATGTATTAGACGAATGCGATTTTACACTCGCTCCTCGGACACAACTCATATACCCCAGCGGCACACAGAGCACAGTCGATGGCCATCCTCATAGATGGCAAACTGCAGAGAAACTCTTGGAACTTGTCTCGGGTCATATTTGGGGGCTTTGGCAAAAGTACCCTGGAAGTATTGAGGTGATTCAGCGTCCTAAGGGCGGTTTCCCAATCGTTTACTTCCTACGCAAAGATGTAGAGGAAACTCTGATGTCCCTTGTTGTTAGGGACATAATCGATGGTCGAACTTCCATTATTCCTGTTCGGGGCTGTCGTCGTTCTGAACTTGTCGATATCAAAACCTTCATTTCAGAAGCGTCGATATCGCCTAAAGTTGTGAAACGAGTATCGTCTTTATTCCCTGATAACTCGGCTGCAAGGCAGAATATGTATCTGCTGCGTGGGCTTCTAGTTCATCGTATCTTATTACTAACCCTGAAGAAGCGCTGGAATGTTCAATATGGCCTCCACCCTCTGCGAGACCCTATTGCAGTCCCGTTCATTGCAAAGGGTGTTCCATCCGAACAAGCTGAATGGGGGCACCCTGACGTTGCTATACTCTTTACTTGTTTAGCATTCTATCTCGGCGGTTTGGAAATTTCACAGGTACGGCAATGTCTTGATGATCTCCTAAAATCTAGCGACCCGTCAACTATATACGAACAGTGGATTACAAACTCAGAGACGCTCCCTGAAATCCTTCGAGATTGGAACTTGATAAACACCGAGGATGAATCGCAGGTCTGCCAACTTTGGGACCATCTCCGCTACCAGATGCCTCTCATCAACTATTTTTTAAACCAGTTTGTGTTTCCAAAACATGCGAAGCAATTTAAGGTGAAACTACAGGCTTCAGGATGGGACATTCCATTGTCATCAGCCCAGGCCAACCCTGGAACAATGACAACCGGGTTTAGTGGAACAAATGACAACCGTACAATCCTTCCGTTAACAATCAAACAACAGGACCTTGGCTCTCTAGTGCACACAAATGCGGAAGTGTTGACTTTTGTCCTTAGGGCCCGTAACTATGTGGTTGCTAAAGACATTGAAGGGAGACGTTTAACGGAAACGGGACTTCTCACTCTTCTAAGAGATATGGGTCTACGCATATTGATTGATGCAGGCGCCCAAATTCTAGAGATGGATAATCTGAGCCTAGTAAAGGAGTGGCTACGAGTGGACTGGACTGCACCGGCAGCGATGTATTTCGACTCTGAGAACAAGCCGTATATCATATACCGCAACGGATATCGGGTTCCTCTTCTAGCTTCCCCTTATGCTGACAACCTGGAGGGCTGCCTTGTGTATCTCGATGAGGCCCATACCCGAGGCACAGATTTAAAGATCCCAGCGGATGCAGTTGGTGCCCTTACACTTGGCCTAGGGCAAACCAAAGATCACACTGTACAAGGTAAGTTCCTTCAAATGCCCCGTACAAGAAAAACATGTATGCTGACCATACATAGCTGCCATGAGGTTAAGGCAACTCGGGACTACACAGTCGATTACCTTTTTTGCTCCCCCTGAGGTTCATCATAGCATACTCGATTCTCGAAAAATACATCCTTCTATTCCTGTATCAGCTGCTGATGTTGTCTACTGGCTTTTAGTCCAAACCTGCATTGGAATCGAGCAAATCCAGCCCCTATACTTCTCACAAGGGATGGACTTTTGTCGTCGGAGACAAGCAGCGGTGGAAACCCCCAAGTACTTAACTGATCAGATCCAACGGCAGCAATATTGTAAGGCTCTCCAACAAGAGGAAATGCAAACCTTACAAGAGCTTTTCAGGCCAATCGCAAAATTGAAGTCTAAGGCTACCGTGAACGCCTATGCCCCTCACATTGCAACACATGTGAAGGCGCTGGAGCATCGAAAGAAAGGCTTCCAGGATTTTGGGGATGCCGTTCACAGCTCTACTCTCCAGGAAGTTGAACAAGAAAGGGAGGTTGCATATGAAGTTGAAGCCATCCGAGAAGTTCAAAAAGCTCCACGCTTCAAAGCTTTAGCTTTCCCTGGCCTTCACGAGGACATAAAATTATTCTGTCGCGCGGGAACGCTGACATCATATTCATCAGCATACCAGCAAGCGTTCATTGCTTTGAAAAATACCGGAATGGGACAGAAGCACAGTATCAATTCATGTGCTACTTCGTCAAAGCTATTTCTTTCCAGAGAATTCTCGAAAACTATACGGCTACCTGTTGGCGAGTACAACGATAACTACATGGTAAGTAGTTCTAGATTCGTCTCCACGGGAGCAAGTACCTTGATTTTACTGATTAGCTGCTAACATGTCTCCAGCGCCAAGTGAATTGGATATTATGGAATCCTTCTATACAGGCCGCGCTTGTCATTATTCCCGAGGAAGCAGAGATGCTAATCCCATATCACCAGGGAGAAAAACGTCCGCAGACTCACCTGTTAACGTACGCTGCTCCTGTAACTCGTGGAATGCGACACTTCAGTAACTTGGACTTTTACTCTATTCCGCCCCTGCCTACAAATTGGAAAGCACCTTCCTGGCTTACCATTGAGCTCGGGATTTTAGCCGGTCGGGTATACTTTGATTATTCTGAATACGGGCCCATCTGCCAATATCTTGGATGTACAGGCTCGATGACGGAAGTTGCCGCGGACGTGGTGGAAAGTGAAAAGACATCGAAGGAACCAGAAGAGAATATGGACACTGAGAGCGTCATCCAAACCAGCAATCTTAGTTTCACCCCCAAACCTCTCTCTTTCCTTCAGGAGTGGCTAGCTCTGAGGCGAAAAGGCCAGGAATTCAGCAACACACCAATGGGCTATATTTGCCAAGGCAAAATGTTAAACGAAAAAAGCCCATTCTTTTCCTCTGGCCCGGGTATACGAGCGAACATACCAAAGCTCAAAGCTGCTGATAGCAGTTCAGAGAATGGCGATCTCGAAAGCCCTGAGGCGAGTGACTGCGAACCAGAAGATACTGGAGATCAAAAGCGAGGACAGGTCGGTAAGGGAAAAAGCTTTGCGGATAACAGTAGTGAAAGCGAGGAGAGTGATGTCTTCGAAGACGCCGGGAGCAACAGCGAACACCACGATGTCAGCGAGTGAAGTGTAGGTCTGGTTTGGTCGAAGGATAGTTATTGGACAAATGTTGATAGAGAGGGGAAAAATACAGAAGACAAAAAGAGGTACTAGCGATAGATAGCATAAATTTACGAATATCAGTGTCAGAATGCACTCTTCATAACCAGATATTGTTTGGCCGTCATAACTACATGTATTCAGCTACCTGTTGTAATTTGGCCAAAGAGCCCACCCAACCTTTGCCAGCCTAAATAAATAACTTATTTAACTAGTAAGGACCACACCAACCAATTACTCAATTACAACCATCAGGTCAAGGTATTTAATCATTACACAGAAAAGAAATGGCTCAATCGGGAACAGAATTATTCTCAACATCTTGGACCTTACATCGACTATCACCTCTGTATCATGGCCAGGACAGCAACAGCTCGCTCCTGGGTGCGCCAGAGTGTTTCCGCGTCTACGCCAGCCGGCTTCGCGACACGCTCACAGGAAATGTACTTGGTGGGATTGTGCAGACTTCAATACCGTCTACCAGTATAGGTGGACTCGATGACGTCCTCGCTAGAGCTGGCGCGCTCAAGGAATGCAAGTGGACGAATATCCCGACGTGGAGTTACTGGAATGAAGAGCATTCTATACTGGAAGACACGGACCAGGAGGCTTCCTTGACCCTTACTCCAGATCAGTCTGCTGGCATCCTCATCAGCCTACATTATGAGAATGCAACCTATAAGGCTGCCCTTCTGGCTGGTCCGGACGGGTATCATAGCGAAGCGGACGGGACAGAGGGGACTACATTTCTACCGCTGCTGGTGACTCGAATGCCCAACGCGCTAAGACAGTCACTGATATCTTTCTTATCTGAGACTTTTGATACTCGGGTTTCTGTTCTACGGCTTCCATCAAGCTTCTTATGCAGAGCTCTTGAGAGATACCTGGCCACGCTTAACCGGACAGCTACTCGAGCGAGGAGACACACTGCAAATCAGACGACAGCGTCAAGCGTGGAATCACGCGCATTCATAGAGTCAGTCATTAAGGAAGTGCAATTGACGCTCTCATTTCCACCGCCGGTCTCTACGGATCTCAAATCGCTAGATGTACATCTTCCAAGGGAATCTCTTAGCGCTTTCTACGAGCATGGGCTTGGAAAACCTGAAGCTGAAAATGGCAAGAGGAGTAAAGAGGCAGACACTCCTTCGACCCCGTTTTTGAACGCTTTATCGGAATATTTTGATCGTAATCTTGCTATGAAGTTGGATCTAAGAGATTTCATGGGACAGCCTACCTCATCAAAAGGAGACTCCAGACGGACAAATATCAAATTAACCAGAGTCTCGTGTGGCGCGTTCGTGCTTGGTTCAGAAGGCCGAATTAAGTTTCTTGCTAATCCAGGGCGTACCATCCTTCTGGATGACTCTGACGAGGAAGAAGGGGACGGGATTGATGTCGACGAAAGGGAGAAGCGGTTGGTGTGGAAGGCAAATGAAGAGTTATTGCGAGTTTTAATTGTGAGGGCTACGGGGTTGGGAATGGTTGATAATGATAGTTGATTCTTGATCCTGTACAATGCACTCAAAACATGGACTTTACTGTTAATGGCGGTGGATGATATAGGATAACATTCTTGGTTGAGCTACGAATAAGAGGAGTATGGAGTGAAGACAAAACGTGTTATATATTCAACGCTAACACGGGGTATATATAAACTATGACTCTTTTTTTGTAGGCGCTTAGAGGTTTACTGAAACATTTAACAACCATCACTCGTAGTTTACATACTCTGTCTCTGCCAGTTGGAGTGCGTTTTCGACGGTGGGTACGAAGTGGGATATACCGCCGCAGGTATCGATGATGCCACTGTTCTCCATCATTTTGAACACTTCGCTTCCAGGAAGTGGAATGCGGCAGAAAAACACCCGCACACCATGAGAGACGTATTCCTCGACTATTTCGCTGAGCACTTGCACGCCAGATCCGTCAATGCTTGTCACGCCGTGAATGTCAAATATAATATTCTTATTGTGCTCCGGTGCTCTGACGCGAGGCAGAGCAGGGTGTGCCGCATTCGTGCCGTAGAACTCCAGCCGGCGTAGCCTGTTCTTAAGGTCGCCAGTATTGGCGAAGGTAAGAGGCTCAGGAATCTTCACGATTAGCGAGCCAGCAACATACTCGACACGCTCAGGGTGGATTTCAGCGTTCTCAAACCGGTCTCGCGTTCCGTGTACTTTGCCCAAGATTTGGATGCGTGGCTTGGTAGCGTGACGGATTATTTGCAGAAGAGAGAGCCCCAACCCAAGGGCGATGCCGAGATATAGGGAGTAGAAGAAGGTTGAGAAGAAGATAAGTAGCATCAGAGCAAGCTCTGACCAACCACGGATTCTGATAAAGAAGCGAATATCTTCGGGACATTCCTCTATGAGTGTATAAGAAACCACCGAGATTAAAGCAGAGAGAACCGCCGTCTAACCAGGATGTTAGTACACATTACGTAAACGACAGCGGACATGGAATGACATACCGGGAGGTAATAGAAATATGGAAGCAACCATATGACGGATGCTAGGGTGATCAAGGCAACAAATATTCCAGCCATTGGAGTTTTGGCACCGGTTAGGGCACTGAGCTTGCTTCGACCATATCCACCAAAGGCGGGAAGACCTAGGAAGCACCCGCCAACCATATTAGAAACACCTAGAGCGACGAGTTCACGATTGGGGCTATAAGTCATGCCCTCGATGCCGGCTTTAGTGGCAGATCTGATGCCCTTTGCTGCGACGGAGGACTCAAAGAAACCCAGAAGAGAGATGATGAATGAGGTGCTCATGGCATTGCGTATGTTTTCGAGGTTGTGTGCCTGGAAAGGCCACTCAAACCTGAATAGGTTGCTGGTGCCTTTGATGTTTCCAAGAATAACAAGCCCCTTTTTATCCCACTCCAGTGCCCAGGTTAAGACCGCAGATAGCACGACGACGATGAACTGTTCCGGGAAAAAGACAACCCATGAATACCGCGGCTGCAGGTGCTTCTTAAGGACCCTTGAGACAAGTCAGCAATTGGTAATATGCGTAGATAATCGCCAGGAGTAACCAACCTGAAGACCATGATGATCGCAATGGTGCTGAATGAAACGGCGCAGGTAAGACCATGGCTGTAAGTCACATTCTGGATCAGGAACATCAACTTCTCTGCGGAGCTGCCGTATGTACCAAGCAGCACCTCTCTGGCTCGGTCACTCAGCCCCATCTCGGGCACAAGTTGGTCAACCATAATCATGAAGCCGATAGCACTGATAAACCCCCTGAGGAATGGGCGGCTGAGAATGTTATCGACGAAGCCTAGACGGGTGATTCCTCCGATAAGAGTCATGGCACCGCACATGCCTACCACGATACCGGAAATTGCAGCATTACCACGAGGATCATCATCGATGCCTTTGCCGTCCTCAACCGTGCTGCGAACAACGGTGCCCACCAATAGAGAGCCGGCCGCTTCGGGTCCAACGATCAAGAGCGGGCTACTGCCGAAGATGGCGTATATGAACGGATGGAAGATAAACGAGTAGAGGCCGTTGATGGCAGGTATATGGGCAACATTGGATGCCAACGAGAGGCACATGGGGACGTAGACGGAGCAGACCGTCAAGGCCGAGATGAAGTCACCGCGGAGGTAAGACCAGCGGTACTGCGTTATCCAGTTGAAGAACGGCACATAGTATGCGAGGTACCTATACGGCAGACCAGAGTCATATGGTTAGCTCTCTAGCCCATTTAATCAATATCAGGTAGAACATACATCGCTCTGTGGTTCTTCAAGCCATGGGCCTCAGCTAGCTGTTTGGTGGCAGATCTCCCACCGCTGGGAGCAGACGAGATGCCGTCTCTGCCCTGAAGGTATCCTGTTTCCGAGAGCTGGCTGCCCTCCCCGTAGCTCTGGATAGACGCCGGAGTGAAGGTGCCATGGGAGCGGTTGCGGGCATCACCACCGGTCTGCTGCTGGTTGAAAGTATGGGAGTCGAGAAGCCTCGAGCTCGCACTGACTTCGTTGTTCCCTGGAGGGTTATCCATCACCGCGACCTGCTGCTGCAGTATGTTGCTGTACTTGTTTTAATTTTTCTTTTATTCTTTTTTTTGCTGTCCCTCCAGTTACGGCTGTGGTGATTGATATAAGGCAAGCTGTCGGGGCCAGGCGTTGGCCAGGCGCGGGCGTTCACTGGTTAGCTAGAGAGAGCTCGCGGGCAAGCGGACATCCCTGCCCAAACCAACCCTCTGCTCCGTCGCCTCTTATATAAGAAGTAGCACTCCGGTAGCGTCGTAAAAGGTGCACACGCAGACACCAGGCAGGCAAGTGAGCGCCATCGACGTCCATCTCCACCCTCTAGTTGCTCAGATGCAGCCAAGTCTTCGCCTTCTTCGTCCTCTTCGTCTTCGTCCTCGCGTTGTTCAGGCGGCGTTTGCTCGGGAGTCGCTGAAATTTCCTCAAATTCTTACTGGTTGGTGGAGCTGACTAAGGAAGAGCAGCCGCTTTTAGTGAACTTTGGTGCCGCGCTTAAAGCGGCCATTGAGACAGCCCGTTTGAGCGACAGCGACGGTGAGGCTGAAACTGATATTGGTAGGCTTATTGTTGTCTTAGACACTTTGATGGTGGATTGTTTGCAATTGCTAGGCTGTTTATACTAGTATCATTACATGTTTGGTCGATGTAGCGGTAGAAAACAGCATGCTACCACTTTGCACCAAGTGCATGTTCAAACCAGGCCGTATCTTGACATTTTATCATCTACTCCGTACAGCTAGACTTGAAAGCTCAATTAGCTGCAGAAAAGACACAAAGAAGTGAAATCGTCTACCAACTTCGCTCCAGCCACGCGCGAACCTGCCAAAAGGCGATGCTTACATAAGTCCATGCCACGTGACTGTCCCACTATCCGTCAAACAAACGGAAAATGATTTTGCGGATTTGCAAGGATCGAAGAAGAGGAACGAAGGGGATCTTTTTGCACAGAACAAACAAACCGACTCGCACGAGCTGACCAGTCCCTTCGACGCCCTGCTGTCACCCGGAATAGCATCCTTGCGCTAAAGGAAACCGCTGCCAGCCTTTCTCCCGTCGCGAGAGCCGTCATCCCCAAGCCAGTCTCGAGCTCACATCACCTTTTCTTTCCTCTGACACACAAGTTCGACCTGCGCACCAGCGCCTCCCCGCCACGATGTCGCTCACCAACTGTCGCTTCTACGAGGAGAAGTTTCCGGAGATTGATAGCTTTGTCATGGTCACCGTCAAGCAGGTGAATTATATATTTTTGATACCCTTGTTTCTGTGCTGGCCGGAGTGGGGAGGGGGGTGTTGGAGCGGGAAACGATGCTAACGGCTTATCACTGATTAGATTGCGGAGATGGGCGCATATGTCAAGCTTCTCGAGTACGATAACATTGATGGCATGATCCTACTGTCCGAACTGTCCAGACGACGTATCAGAAGTATACAAAAGCTTATCCGAGTCGGACGCAACGAGGTCGTCGTCGTTCTGCGAGTAGACAAGGAGAAAGGTGCGTGGCTGTGTGAACGATGGGCCATACCCGCTACGATATTCGTGCTGATGAGGGGAATCTCCTTGGACTTTCAGGTTATATTGATCTTTCGAAACGTCGAGTGTCGCCCGAGGATGTCGGAAAGTGCGAAGAACGGTATAACAAGAGCAAGTCGGTACATTCGATTATGCGTCACGTTGCCGAGAAGACAAAGACCCCCATCGAAGAGCTCTACCAGCAGATTGGATGGCCCCTGAATAAGAAATACGGACATGCTAACGATGCCTTCAAGCTTTCTATCACGTAAGACGTATCCGAGGATATTGGGACGCTGATGTGTTGCGCTAACACCACGGAATGTGTAGTAACCCTGCCGTATGGGAAGACGTTACCTTCCCGAGCGCCGTTGTCAAGGACGAACTCATCTCGCACATCAACAAGAGGCTTACCCCTCCACCAACCAAAGTCCGTGCCGATATCGAAGTGACCTGCTTTGGATACGACGGCATTGACGCCGTGAAGGACGCCCTCCGTGCTGCCGAAGCCGTCAGCCCACAGGTGAAGGTCAAGCTGGTGGCGCCCCCGCTATACGTCCTGACGAACCACTGCCTAGACAAAACCCAGGGAGTCAAGCTGCTGGAGGAGGCGATTGAGAAGGTCCAGGAGAAGATAAAGTCCACCGGAGGCTCCTGCGTCATCCAGATGGCACCCAAGGCAGTCACTGAGCAAGACGATGCCGACCTGCAAGCTCTTATGGAGAAGAGGGAGCGTGAGAACCAGGAGGTCAGCGGTGACGAGAGTTTCAGCGAGAGCGACGAGGGCGTTGTCGAGTAGAAAATTGTACAGTTTCATCCAACCTGTCTGTCCGCCAGCCTCTTTTCCTTATTTTTTCCTCCCATGCCCTTCTTGTCCTCCTTTCTTTTTCTTCTGTCTGGGTTTACCAGTCTACCGTTTTATTTCCTTTTAGAATATGGACCGTGGGATACAAAAGCAACGATTTGGGCAAGGCATGAATGAATGTGCCCGTCTGGCCTTCTACCAGCGAGCATGTTAAGAAAGCGAACGAGCATTAAATGAACTTGAACTCCTATACTTCGCTATTCATCCATAACTACGGAGTACCCCGAGGCCTCCTCGGAAACGAGCTCCTGGCCAGCATTTGTTTTTTGATAGAAAGCGAGGGAGAGACCCTGTCGGCTTCTCCCCCAGCGCCAATCGTATTGCACTTAGCCAGCACCACCGAGGGCCGAAAAAAACAAAGTATTCACAGGCGAGCAGTCCCTGTTCGCTGTTCGCTGACACCGCCAGCTGCTGCTTGTCCCGTCCCCAGTGGCGACCTCGTAGGCGCAGCGAGCTAGCTACAGTAACTAAGTAGCCAAGTCACTGAGCTATTCTAGCTAAAACATGGGGACCCAGCCCCCTCACGATCAAAACTCCAAGCAAGCCGGGGGTTTGGAGAGAGAAGTGGGAGAGAGCGATCTACTTATTTAACGACCGGCCGCCCGCTTCTTCTGAGTCCTGGTCTCCTTTCAACTTCCGTCAGCTAGAGTCTAGCTAGTCTTCAAGATGGTTCAGTGGGCGCGGCTGTTCAGCGACGAGCCTCGGCGAGGCCGGCACTACCTGCAAGAGACCAGTCGATGTACGTTGCTTATCGCCGCCGTGGATGGTCAATTGAGTCGCTAACATGGTATATTGACTGATATAGTGCTTCCTCGTACTCGCGATCAAGCTATCACGCCTGCTCTGCCAGCAAAGGAGGTGACAAAGGTAGCTCTGCGACTGAAGCATCTGGTTGAGCAGGTCGTCTCCTGCGAGCTCGAGGAGTCTCTCATCACCAAGGCCAACAGCACTGTCATCACCAAGGAGGTTATCCAGACTGCCAGAGAGGCCGGTGGAGAGGAGAACCGCGCCTGTGTCGTCTTCTGTTTGCTTGTCTGCGTGCGATGGTTCAAGATTCAGGCACTGGTAGAGCTCTGGGACTCCGATCTCCATGACCTCCGCGCAGTCGCGTGCGAGATCCTTGCCAAACGAGTGTATGTGCTGCCCCTTTGTGTTACTTCCTTCCTACGGGGAAAATATATATCTAACTATTCTGCTAGGATCGAGGCAGAGGAAGACCAGGACTATCTCATGCTCGAAGTGCTTCTCAAGCGGTACTCGATTCTGCGAGATGGAGAGGCAACTTCGCCTGCAAACGTGATTGAGCGTGCGGTCGACCTCCATGCATTGAGTGTGATCGGATCTGCTGGATACCAGAAGTGCATCAAGTACCTCTGGCAGGGCTGGCTGTGCCAGGACGACCAGGATCCTACCAACTTCATCGAGTACAGAGAGAGGAACAATCCTTCTTACTGGTCCCATTTCAACCCGGACAGACTCAGAGCACCAGTCTATCAGAATGCCGTCCAGGTCTTCTTCTCCATTCTCTACCTTGTCCTTTTCACTATTGTGATCAACACCGTCAACCCAACTGGTGACCTGGACGTGGTAGAATGTATCCTCTATGGCATGACTCTCGGCTTCATCCTCGACGAAGTCACCAAGTTCTGGAAAGTCGGCCGTTTCTACTTTGGATTCTGGAACGCTTTCAATTCCTCCCTTTACACTCTCCTCCTGGTCTCCTTCATCCTCCGAATCGTCGCCTTGACACATTCGAAGGATGTCGACAACGAAACACGCAACTACTACAATCAGCTGAGCTACAACTTCCTTGCCTTCTCGGCCCCAATGTTCTGGGGTAGACTGCTTCTCTACCTGGATACCTACCGCTTCTTCGGCGCCATGCTTGTGGTCCTGAAGGTCATGATGAAGGAGAGTTTGATCTTCTTTGCTCTCTTGGCCGTTGTTATCATTGGCTTCTTGCAAGGATTCGTTGGTATGGACCAGGCTGACCCTGACAATAATATGACTGCCATCATGCTCCTCCAGGGTATGGCCAATACAGTCTTGCAGAACCCTTCATTCGATGAGTTCCAGGGCTTCGCTCCGCCTTTTGGTATCCTACTTTACTACCTATTCACTTTCGTGGTGATGGTTGGTGAGTACCATCTTCCCCTTTCCTAACTCGTATAGTTAATTGAGCTAACCTTTTATGCAGTCCTACTCAACATCTTGATTGCTCTATATAACAGTGCATACGAGGATATCACTGGTAACGCGATCAATGAATACATGGGTCTCTTCGCCCATCGAACCCTCCAATATGTCCGAGCTCCGGATGAGAATGTCTTCATTGCCCGTATGTAGGCCCCATCGCAACTTTTTTGTAGCCTTAAACCTAACCAACTTCCCAGCATTGAACTTGGTCGAAATCTTTTGTCTTATCATTCCTTTCGAATGGTGGATGCCTTCTGACCGCTACGACAAACTCAACAATTATGTCATGGGTATTATCTACTCTCCTCTCCTCCTGATCACCGCATTGCTTGAATCAGCCAATGCTCAACGGATCAGACTCAACCGTCGTCTAGGCGAAGAAGACGACGACACCCAAGAAGAATGGGAAAATGCCGCTGAGTCCGCAGGGTTTGATTTCAAGCGAATTGACGAACATCCCGACGCTGATGCCTGGGATAAAGTTGTTACCAAGACCAAGCCTAATGTTGAGGTTGACCCATGTGTCTTGGAAGTCAGGGAGCTAAAGGAACAAGTCAGACAGCTCACTCAGTTGGTTAATACCTTGATGGAAAGCCAGGGCATTTCCGCCGCACCGGCAAATGAAGAAGGCGAGTCTAGCCAGCCAACGAACGGGAATGCGTAAATGAGCCTTCCCGCTTTTGCTCGTTCATATTAAGTCTTTTTCCTATCGTTTAATTATCCGAGTTTATGCGTTGTCTACGAGTTCGCTATATGTTTGTATATTTCTCCTATCAATAGTCGCCAATTCAATACCTTTAAGTATCTACGAAGTCCTCATAGAAACAAGATAGGGTTCGATCCTTATTGCTCTCGTCTGCTATAATTTTATATGTAGGAAGTTTTAAATGTGACCAATTATGTATCAAGACACTTGCTATTATAAACAGTAAAGCTCTAACTAGTAACTAAGAAAGCAGGAATCGGATGTGCATGCAAATATGTAGATAGTAAGTAATATTGCCAGAAACTTGGGTAAGATTTGGATCATCAGGGTCATTAGTATTACTCTCAGTCGAAAGAGAGAAACAAAATTGAACGCCAGCCACCGACCTTGAAAATGAGGAACGCTCCAAGGAAGAAACAAGAAATAGCAAGACCAGTGGTCAGTCGCTGTACTGAATGTGAGAAAATAATAATAACCTACAAGGATATAGCTGGAGGAAAAAAATGCAACGATGCAATAATCACTGGCCTATATCGCCGGTGAATAGCCCTTCAAAGTCTAACTGACTGATCATGCCGTTGACATGATCTATTTCTTTATTCAAATCCGCAACATTCTGCGCAAGGCTACTGGCCTCGTCGAATTTACGCAATTTGTTGGCGTCGGCAATCATTTCTGACACGAAAAACCTCTGTTCTTCAAGAACGATAAGTCTATCGCGTAGTTCTTTCTCTTCCGCTTCAAGCGCTGAGAGCGCACTGCTGTTATTACTAGCTAGGCTAGTGGTGCTGCCACCCTGGTCAGGGTTTCCGTATTTAATGGCGGCAAGGGAACGGGGTTGGGCAGTGGCCCCATTCACTCGTCTGCCATCTGAAGATGTTGAATCAAAACTAAAATTCCTGCCATGGGGAGTGGCATGTTTCAATATCTTGGGAAGCGTTTTGAGTGGAAGCATATGTAGATGAAGGAAGCTCGTGGCTTGGCGGTATATTGCTTGTTGGAGTTTTGCTTGTGTTGGCGATTCTGTCGGGTGGTCACGAATACGCCTTGCGGCTACATCGTATTGGGCAAAAGAATCAATTAACCGTTTACGGACTTTAGATGCCTCACTCAGTTGAGCCGGTTCTGGAGGATTGTCGGGATCTCTGGTTGTATATATTGTTAGGGAATAGCGACGGATATAGGTATAGGAGGGAAACGAACTGTAGAGCCGCTAAAATCTTGTGAAATCGAGGTAATAACAACCTAATCCCTCGTTCAAATTGCACAAGGTTTTTATAAGCACGAACATCTGGTGGTTCCTTGGTGATATCCTCCATAAAATCCCTTTTGCTAAAGATGGTGGTTTTACAATCTTTGCATAGTCGCACGTCAACATTGATTTTATCCGGAGCCGGCTTTTCTGATAATCGATGGTTGGCTTTTGATGGTCAGTATGTATCACCAATAAAGCGCAGGTAATATAGTCAAACGTACATTTGCTCACATCGAGGCTTATTAAAGAAGAACATCCAGTCGCCGGGTCGCCACAGACAACCTTACCGCATGTTCTGCAATGGTGTCTTCGGAAGATATAGGCAGAGAACTCTTGCTGGCAAAAAGGGCAGTTAGAAATGTCCACGTCATCCTGCCAACTGACGACAGACTGTTCAAGCGCCTTCTTCTGGTCTGTTTGCCAACCAATAGACCATTTTTTAGACTGCACTTGCTCTAAAGGTAGCCCGGCAAGGAGCTGAGTTAAACGTGTTAATCTCTTCTCCAACCTAGAGATTTCTAGAAACGCTTTGTCAACTGTAGGCTTTCGAAGAGCCTTAAATGTATCCGTATGATCACGTTCCGCCCCTAGCCAATCTTTAGTAAGGGTGAAATGTAGGTTAAAAGTGGCGTAGAGCCTACCGGTAAAGTCGTTATAACCCTCTCGCGACTTGTAGCATGTTTCACAGACACGGCACCAAAACCCACGGACTGGTTCATGTTGGGCAGACCGGGAAAGCTTCATCTGATACATTGTATGATCCTCACAGAATAAACGACCACACTTTCTGCAGTTGATACAGCCATTTGTTGCGGTAAGCCTCTTCTCACACATGGGTTCCAGACAAACATCATTAAGTGACCGCTGCTGCCAGTGGGACTTGCTTATCAGATCGTCGGGATCAATAGGCTTGGGAGCATCCAAAATCGTGTTTTCGGTGGTTGGCCGTGTCGACGGCGGTATAAATTGAGCGTTCTGGTTGGATTCAAAGACTTCCAAGCCTTTAAGTTTTTGGTTGAGTACAGCAAGAGGTTGAAATCGTTTGGCCTTTTCGACCTGCGTCTGGAACCAGTCCTTCACCTCCACTTGCTGTTCGTCTTCGAGATTCCGATGCTCGTCGTCAAGATGTCTGGGGAGAAGTAGTAAGTATGGGCTGCATGTGAGGGAGCAACAGGTGAGCTATGTGCTATTACCTATTCAGCTGTAAAAGCGTCACCTACTAAACTATCAGTACCTAGGCTATTTCAAGGACATTAAAGGAGACAAAACATCTTACCATCCCTTCATTGCAGATGGGGCAAACCAGTGCCCCAGTGTTGCGGGAAGCCTTAGCTATGGACGAATCTCCATTTTTTAGAAAGATCCTCGAGGAGAGATCCTGCGTATCTGACGATACCTGCGAGTTGGAGGTCTGAGAAGCCAAAGACACACTGCTGGCGGAGGGCGATATAGCGTTCGACGAGCTACTCTTCGGCAGTGGTTTTGGCGGAACAGGATTTATTGACCTCCCACTGCCCAGGACTCTGCCCCCGCCTATAGATCGGTTAGGCATGGTATGCGGAGGGTTATAGAGAGCAACAGCTTGCCCTCACGCATGCTGATGCGGCTGTATTGAGCGGCTGTATTGAACGGCTTGACGGTGAACAGGCACAGGCACTTATCATGCTGCTTCCTCCTTGCACAAAAAGCCAAAACCGCCCTTTGCCCCATGGTTTCGACTTATGTAATTGGAATTATGGGTCCGGTCGACTCGGAACGCTGAGGTAAGCATCTTCCGGTATTCCTATTGGCTTCCGATAAGCTAATATCTTAACTTTATTTAAACCCACAGCCTCATTATATAAGCATCAATGAAGCCACGAAAAGTCCAAGTTGCGTTTGGGCGTTGAAAAGGAGCAGCTTTTCTACCAACTTCGGCCTTGCAAACCCCCTCCATGCGCTTGACACCTGGCGTCCTCGTGGTATTGATGTGGATGATTTAACCGATATTTTCTGACGTTTCTTTATCTTCTATCTCCTGACTGTTAATAAGTATTTTAATGTAATTTACTGGTTCCGCAGGGACACATGTCAGCTCGAGTCCACCCTTATGTGAGTTCAACGCAAGGAGAGAAGAAAGCAACGTGTTAGCTAACTAGTAGTCCGGTTTCACAGGTCTAAACTTATAGATAATCCGCAGATTCAATCTGCGGCTCTCCGGAACCCCTTGCCGGTTCAATTTCGCATCTACGTGTGGCCATTTACGATATTATGGCCTATTTTCCTCGCCTTCTACCTTTCCCCTGAACGATATGAGACATATATCCAGGCCCCTGAGTGGGCTGCTTTGTGGACCGGATCTATTGCTACCCTGCAAGCTTTACTATGGCTAATGACGAAGTGGAATATCAACATTGACGCCCTCTTCACCACGATAGCAGCCAAGTCTGTGAATGAAGCACAACTCATCAAAGTCATCCCAGCCGCGAACGCAGGATCCGCAGAGATATGCAAGCTCGTAAAAGACAATGTTGGAGGGACTGAAGTTGACTCATTTTTATTCCAAAAGAGGCGCTTCCGCTACAACCTAGAAAAGGGGTGCTTTACCCCCTTACAGTATGTTCTTGATGCTGAGCCAAAGCCAACACTGGGATACTTCCAGGAATCTCGTGGCCTTACATCACTTACCAAAGTCAACGATGTTCAACAGCATTATGGAGATAATACCTTCGATATTCCAGTTCCTACCTTTGTAGAACTCTTCAAGGAACATGCGGTTGCCCCATTTTTTGTCTTCCAGGTTTTTTGTGTTGGTCTCTGGCTTCTAGATGAGTACTGGTACTATTCTCTATTCACCCTAGTTATGCTAGTGGTATTTGAGAGTACAGTGGTATGGCAAAGACAGAGAACCCTCACGGAATTCCGAGGCATGAGCATTAAACCTTATGATGTCTGGGTTTTCAGGGATAATCAATGGGTGGAAGTGAGCAGTGAAAAACTTCTTCCAGGCGATCTGGTGTCGATAAATCGGACCAAAGACGATAGCGGAGTTCCATGCGATATATTACTTGTGTGGGGAAGTGCCATTGTTAACGAGGCCATGCTTTCTGGGGAGAGTACCCCCCTGCTCAAGGATTCCATTCAGTTACGACCAGCAAACGACCGTATTGAGCCAGATGGTTTGGATAAGAACTCCTTCCTATATGGAGGCACTAAAGTCTTGCAAATCACCCATCCAAATTCGCAAGCCGGTCAAGAGAATGGCTACCAGCCATTAAATGGAGCGCCTACTGCACCCGATGATGGTGCCCTTGGAATCGTTATCCGGACTGGCTTTGAAACTAGCCAGGGAAGTCTTGTTCGAACAATGATCTATTCTACGGAGCCTGTTTCTGCTAACAATGTGGAAGCATTCATGTTTATTCTCTTCCTCTTGATCTTTGCCATTGCAGCATCTTGGTATGTTTGGGTGGAAGGTGTTGCTCAGGATCGAAAACGATCTAAGCTGCTTCTCGACTGTGTTTTGATTATCACCAGCGTCGTACCCCCCGAGCTTCCGATGGAACTGAGTCTTGCGGTCAATACCAGTCTTGCGGCTCTCAGCAGGTTCGCAATCTTCTGTACCGAGCCATTCAGAATTCCGTATGCCGGACGCGTTGATATTGCTTGCTTCGATAAGACCGGAACTCTTACGGGAGAGGATCTAGTTGTCGACGGGATAGCGGGCCTGACTCTTGGCCAGACAGGGGTCCCCACAGACAAATATGGAGCACACACGACGGTTGCCAAAGTTACCGATGTTCATGATAACACAACCCTCGTTCTTGCTACCGCACATGCACTAGTCAAGCTGGACGAAGGTGAAATCGTCGGCGACCCAATGGAAAAAGCGACTTTGACATCTCTTGGATGGACCCTAGGCCAGAACGATACGTTGACAAGCAAAGCTGGATCTGCTGGAAGAACAGGCGACAATCTCCTTGAATCAGTTAACATCAAACGAAGATTCCAGTTCTCGTCCGCATTGAAGCGCCAAAGCACTGTTGCCATTGTGAATACATTTGACAAGCGGTCATCCAAGCGATCCAGAGCCACCTTTGTTGGCGTTAAGGGAGCCCCCGAGACCATAAGTACTATGCTTGTCTCCACCCCTGAGTATTATGAAGAAACGTTCAAGCATTTCACTCGCAATGGCGCAAGAGTCCTTGCATTAGCTTACAAGTTCCTTTCCGAAACCGAAATTGGACAAGGACGTATCAACAACCTGAAACGTGAAGAAGTTGAGTCGGGATTGCACTTTGCTGGATTCCTAGTACTCCAATGCCCTCTAAAAGACGACGCAATCAAGGCCGTGCGAATGCTTAATGAAAGCAGTCATCGAGTCGTAATGATTACCGGAGACAACCCGCTGACTGCCGTTCATGTAGCGAAGAAAGTAGAGATTATTGACCGCGAGGTTCTAATTCTTGATGCCCCTGAACACGACACTAGTGGCACTAAGGTCGTTTGGCGAAGTGTCGATGATAAATTCAGTGTCGACGTTGATCCTTCGAAACCAATCGACCCCTCTATCCTGGCCGAGAAAGATCTTTGTGTTACCGGGTATGCTCTAGAAAAATTCAGAGATCAGCCGGCTCTCCTCGATTTAATTCGATACACTTGGGTATACTCCCGGGTGTCTCCTAAACAAAAGGAGGAGATTCTGCTCGCCATGAACGAAGCTGGATACACTACACTGATGTGCGGTGACGGTACCAATGATGTTGGGGCTCTCAAACAGGCTCACATTGGTGTTGCCTTGTTAAACGGAACCCAGGAAGATCTCAATAAAATCTCCGACCACTTCAGAAATACAAAAATGAAGGAGATCTATGAGAAGCAAGTGCAGCTGATGCAAAGATTCAATCAACCCGCTCCGCCTGTCCCTGTTCATATCGCCCATTTGTATCCCCCTGGCCCAAAAAACCCTCACTATGAGACGGCCATGCTGCGTGAAGCCCAAAAGAAAATCGCGGCTGGAGCAGCGCCATCAGACGCAAACGGTGCACTAACTGTCATTTCCCCTGGACCCCAGGCACCACAACAACCTGATGACAGCCACCTAACTCCTCAACAACGAAAGCAAAATCAAGCATCTCTTGCTGCTTCTTCCCTGGCTGATAAGTTGAGTGCGTCCATGATGGAAGGGATGGACGAGGATGAGCCGCCGACTTTGAAATTGGGCGATGCGTCCGTTGCTGCTCCTTTCACGAGTAAATTGGCAAATGTCATTGCGATCCCGAACATTATTCGACAAGGACGTTGTACTCTGGTTGCCACCATTCAGATGTATAAAATCCTTGCCCTGAATTGCCTGATTAGCGCCTACAGTTTGAGTGTCATTTACCTCGACGGTATCAAATTCGGAGATGGACAGGTCACGATCAGTGGAATGCTGATGAGCGTGTGTTTCTTCTCCATCTCTCGCGCAAAAGTAAGATTTATAAACCTTGCTCCCCTCTCGTTATCGCGTTTGTATGATGCCCCCGCTTACACTACAAACAGGCAGTTGAAGGACTATCAAAAGAAAGGCCACAACCAAATATTTTCAACATATACATCATGGGATCAATTCTGGGCCAATTCGCGATTCATATTGTTACTCTGATCTACATTTCACAATATGTATACTCCATTGAACCGTATGTCCCCTGACACGACTTTCTATCCCAGTAACAGGTTAAATTTGACTCTAACCGAAAACATGTAGACGCAAAGAAAAGATCGACCTAGAGGGCGAATTTGAGCCGTCACTTCTTAACAGTGCCATTTACTTGCTCCAACTTATCCAGCAGATTTCCACATTCTCAATCAACTACCAGGGCCGGCCATTCAGAGAGTCTATTCGTGAAAATCGCGCTATGTACTGGGGACTTGTGTTAACCTCAGGTGTAGCACTGTCTTGCGCGACTGAATTCATCCCGGAGCTCAACAGCCAGCTCAGGTTGGTTCCATTTGAGCCCGGGTTCAGGGTCAGGCTCACATTGACCATGATCTTGGATTATGTTGGCTGTTGGCTTGTGGAGAATCTACTGAAGACAAATTTCAGTGACTATAAGCCAAAAGCTATTGCTATGAGGAGGCCTGACCAACTTGCCACCGAGGAGAAGAGGAAACAACAAGAAGAGGAGGAGAAGGAGAAACAGAAAGAAGCCGAGAAGAGCACATAGATGTCATAAGACCATGTCAGCCCCTCCAATATTTCCCTTCCGATGAATGATTGTTACTCAGCACGCCTCGTGCATTGAAACACAGTTGACGAGGAAAAGAACTGCAAGAAAGAAGCAAAAATTTCTGTGTTATGTATGGGTGAAGGAAACGGGGAAAGAAGAAAAATATGATAAGTACGGCTTTCTTTTACAAATGGTTAAATCTGCATTTTTTATAATTGGGTTGCTCTCACTTTTTTCATTTTTCATAAGTAGTTGGTTTCTTTGTGTCCCCGATTTTCCCAAGAAGGCGTTCAGCACAGGACGGTAATAAAGGGAACAATAAAAATAAAGGAAGCATGGAATCACTCTGTTCAGCATCTCATTTTCCATATTTTCTTGGCATATAGGTATAGTTAGGCCACGATACGAGTATTGATCAGCTAACTAGTGTCTACAAGCAACTGCCTCTAAGATGTTTTGGTTAAATAGTTATCCGCCATGTTGTTGTTTTTAGCCATGCTTCGGCAACTCGTCATTCGCTCCGTGGTTAGCTTTGATATCGGCGCAGCTTCCTGTGTAACTCTGTAGTAACTTTGTTATCCACCGGGCTTTCCCATTCAGAATATCAAAAATCATGAAAAGCAATTATCATTCTCTTGTATTCGCCGTGGGGGCCCGAAAGGGGGAGGTAGATCCAGCTGGCTGGTGGTGAGTGAAAGTACCCCGTAAGCTATGTTCAAAATTCGTGGGACAAAAATCCGCCGTCTATGAGGAATGGATAAACCTCCGTAGTTATCTTATAGACCGTATATTGATTCCGTCCGCAGTTGCGAACCTGATTTGGACGATCAGATAGAATTATCCAAAGGGCGGAGTAACTACTCCGTAAATCTTGCTGGACTCGTTTTAAGTGATAAATGAGTTTGCCAGTTACCATTGCTCTAGCAGAGCCCGGCGCAACCACCAAAGTCATAGCACTCTAGCTACAGCCAGGGGATTTGATCGGAAACGGTATTGTTGGAGCTTTGTGGCTGTTTTCTTCTTTCTAAGTTTTATTTTTTTATCCACCATAAAGAGAGACTGGTCGTTCAATTTCTGGAAAGTATTCGATATAATTTGGGAGGCCTTGACAAAGATGAATCGTTTATAGATGATGTTAGGAGTTATATGAAATGCGCCCCTTACTGAGATAGGGCGATGGTTTGGACCACTATAGCGACATTGGATCACCTCTGGCAATGGGTTTCTTTCCCCATATGGAACGGCAGAAGCAGGTTTGCATGACTGCTTTGAATGCTGTAGGAATTTTTATCGATGACACTGGCGAAGTGTCGAGTGAAGTCATTTGTGCCCTGCGGCCAGTAGAGATTGATGTGTTCGGATTGTCGAGCGCCTTCGTTCGATATCGACGACGGATGAGGTGAAACTCTTGGTGGAAGCTCTTATAAAAGGGGATACGTCTGTGTGCACCTGGAGGCACCGCGGTATCGGCTGAATGACCTGGCCGTTTTATGAGTATTTCTTGTATTCTGATGAAGTCACGATTGAAGCCCAGAAGGATCTGGGTGCTAACTAACTAGCCGACTAGTTATAGTTAAACTAGTTACGGGCACTGCCGCCCGCTAGCTTAAAGTTACTTGGGTTAGCGCCGTATATACGGGGTACAACCACCTGGCGTTTACAATCCATGTTTGCGAGAAGAGGATTAGGTACGGAGTATATACTCTTCTTTCCTTTACCTCTTTAACTATGTTTTCTCTACCTCATCGTTACGTGTTCTTCTATAGGCCTCGGAAGGTCCTGGTACGGAGTAGGCCAAGCTTTGATGATTAGAGGGGGGTACGCCTTTAGGTATTAGGTGAGAAGGAAAATAGAAGTACATCCTGCTACCTAGTAACCTTGATATTTATGTAAGAGAACAACTAAGGTTTTAGCGGTGTTCTAGTGGTAGAGCCTGCAGCAGGGCTAGTCCCTGGGACCTGATGCTTATACTGACTCTGTATAGGCAAGCCCTTTATTAGGCTGAATGGAGATTATGCTTGCATATGCGAGCCCGACCACGAGTTGGTGCCGATACGTTTACCGTATTAGTTAGCCAGTGGTATTCTCTAAAGTGAAGACAGGTTCATATAACTAACTAGCATTAATATGGCTCACTTCTGACACCTCAACTGTCACAGCCAAGAGATTGGATGAGAAGGGTAACTAAAACCGTCAGCGCTGGGGAAGGAGGTTCCAGCCGACCAAGTGAGGAAGTAAAGGGGATGTGCTGAAGGCTGCTGCATAGTCCTGATGATAGGAGCCATGCCACGCGTCTTGGGAGGGCAAGCAAAAATCGCCTACTGGGCGTTCCTCTATCCCACCTGTACCTGACAGAAGAATGGCGCAAGATTAAATTGAAATTGGGATTGGGATTGAAATGTGATAGACACGATAACGGGAAATGATATTGGATAGATCGACCATTCAAAACGTTACACCGCTTAGGGGTAGGTCGTACAAACTGGATGAAGCTCCCGGGCCCATTGGCTGTGATAACTACTCCTCCAGACAAAGCTCGAGCAGGAAGAAGCATGAACAACAAAACTAACGTCTCGTGCCCTTTCTTTCGGTATATAAATAAAGAAGTATATGATGTACAAAAGCTGAAAAATGGAGCACCAAGCTCCCGGCTACACTGGGAACGAGCAAGGAGAGCCAGGCATCCAAGCGTATGTTCAAGCTGGGGACTCGGAGCGGTGCCTAATAGGGCGACTTGCCTCACAGCCCTTATGAGTCTCTGTTATGATGTACTCCTTGTGCACCAATAATTTGTCCTAGATCGATATTTCCGAGTAATCCGTTCTGTGCAATTGAGGCTTGCTTGTCACAAATCCGATCCAACCAGGGGGGGAAATACACAGGTAAGGTATTCTTCATCGTGCCGTCAGGATGTCGAGACTTGAACTGCGATCATCGGGCTTTGGTCGGGCGACTCCTGACCGTAAGCTCCGCTCCCAAAGGAGGTCCTGTAACTTGAATATAGGCGTTTTGCAACTAGGTACCTTGGATTCGACAACATATCCCTTGTCGTAATGTTCCTTTTTCCCCATGGTGTAAGCCGTCTCTGGATGTAGATGACGCATAGCTGAAGCATTTCCAGCAAAAGACGACATGGTGGGTGTCCCAGAAACGCTCCCTCCGGAGGTTGAAGGCCGGGGTGTGCCATTACTATAGTTCTCTTTCGAATAAGATGTTTTGCCAGACCGTGCTTGGGATCCTGATGTCCCGGCCTTACTGTCTCCCCCAGAAACCGAAAGCTCATAGAACTCATTGACTGTTCCAGCCATTAGCCCTGTTCGAAGGACAGCCAGTAGCCGTTTTAAGTTTGGAATGCAGGTGGCCACGACGGAAACGCAGAGGATGGCTTGCATCCAGATTGTTGGCATAACAGCCAGCCATGATCTCTCTGGCGCAGGGGAAGAGAAGTAAGAGCGTGATGTAATAGTCATCACGATAGTGAATGACGGAACACTATTACGCACTTTTGTGTTAGCCCAGTAATTCTCTTAACTTCAATGGTTATCGGAGAAGCTCTCGCCTCTCTCTTCCTTCAACTTACATCAGCCTCATGCCAAAAAGCGCAGCAATGGCAAGTTTTTTGATGAATGGTATTTGCACCTGAGATACAAATAGGAATGGCAGAAGAACTAGCGCGAAATCCGTAATCATGCTCCCTATGTTAAGGCCAACATGTAGGGCATATTGGTTGAGCCAACAGTTTTCGGCCGATTTCCATGGCTGAGCGAGTCCACACTGCAGCGAAAGAGATAAAACACCTGCCAATCCCCAGATAGCCAAAATCCCGAGTAAAATACGGCACATCAACAGGATGCATTTCAACGGCTTGATTGAAATTAAAAGTAGAGTAATGGAGGCCTTTGAACATGCCAGTGAAGCAAGTGCTAAAATCTGACCGATGTAGATAAGCTGTGTAGTCAAAGATCGGTCAGTAACCCATTCGGTAGCTAGTTAACAATGCGCAAAACAGAGGGATTATTTTCATACGATTTCAAACCCTTCCATTGGCATTTTCCGGAGAGCACTTGGCTTCCGCCCCAGACCTCGTAAACAGGCGAAGTTTATGCATATCCCCTGCGCAGTTGACAGACACTTCTCCAGTCAGCATACGGAGTATTTGGATATCACTTTTGGAAAGGGAAAAATGCCACCACGCGAAAGGGCAGATTCATCATACAGCAGCAAAAAGTAGGAACCAGTCACTCCATGCCAGTGTCCTGAGAACCCTGAATCGCGCAATGAGTGTTGTAGTTGTCACGGAGAAAGTAATGATCATGAACAAACAGGTTGACACGATGACCCACGGACTGTGGTTCTCGGATGTCGGCTGTATAAAAGGTTGATAGAGCGGGTCTACGCTTCGTTTAGACATCATGGCCCGTATATGATGGATATCAAGCGGCCCTTCGGTGGTCGGCCGGTGGTTTGGCGCAGGCGGCTCGTTCGCCCTTCGCACCAGCGATATAAAGCTGGATATATATCGTTGCTCGATGTCCAAATCCGACTTCGATTTGAGCCATATTATCCATCCCGCAACAGTAGAGTAGCATGCTGCTTTTCTTTGAAGCATTTAAAAATAGCGGCGAAGCGACGTAGATCCCCTTCGGCTACGGGTCGGGTCTGGGGATCCGCAGCGATAGAGTTGCATCTGTGCCTGAGCCGCGCCGCTGATATTTCAACGATGACCAGGAGAACTAGTCGACTGGTCACTTTTTGTGGACTGCATTCTGTGAAATGTAACTACTCCCGTCACCAGCTCCAGATTAGGCACATTGCTCCTTGCCATCCTCCTGGTCTTCTTTTGCTTCTTCTCTCCTTCTCTTTCTCTTCCTCTCCTTCTCACTTGTGCTTCCATGCATTGCTTCTTCCTGCTAGATGCCGGAGCTAGAGACCAAATGCAGCTCGCGTACCAGTTTTTCTCAGATCATCCAGGCATGCGACTGGCCAGCATCCCTCGCGCCTCACGCAGTTCATGCCAGAAAGGTCCTTCCAACGGCGCCACCATGATGACCCTCTTTGTCTTGCCATTGAAGGCCTGGCATGGGCATGGTCGCCATGGCTTTGTTTGTGTAGCCATTCCAGTCCAAGGCTGGCCGACGATCCCATCTGATATTCCCAGTTCGCGTCCAGCTTGGAAGCCGAAGCTGCTCGCTGAATGAGAACTTTGCCCCTGTTGTGGCGCTTCCTACAAGCTAAGCGAGCTTCTTTTATGATTCTTCAGGTCCTTTTTGAATTTCTGATCCAGGGCCGTTTGCCCCTGAGCTGGTGAACCCATGTCGAGAGGCCCGCTGTATTGAGCAAGGGAGATATGGTATTGTGCAACTGGTACTTCGTAAGTATCAAGTAGCTAAGTACCTCGCCCAGCTACTATTAGTTAGTTACTCGACCAGGGGCGCCGTGAAGCCGGGGGAAATCGCCTTGCAGCAAAAGCAAATATGGATTTGATATCCTGCAGCTCGTGTCTAGCCCAACGGAGGATGATGTTACCAGTCGACTCGCGATGCCAGAAAACGATGTCCATGTTTGACATCCAAACGAAATAGTGCGTTCTCTCTTTGTGATGGACAAAAAGATGGATCACACAGCGTCAGGTCAAAAGTCGGCTCCCTTTCTCCTTTTTCTCTGTGCCTTTTCCCTCCCTCCATCCCTCTCTCCCTCCCTTCCTCTGCTTTTCTTTCTTTATTCTATCACTTGCTTCTATTCACCGTGTTCCCCTGCTTCCTCCTCCTCTGTACCGCTTCTTTCTGTCGTTTCAGGGTCTTTTTGACTAGGGGATAGATAGATATCTATCAACCGTCCTCGTCTACTGATATCCTCTCTCCTTTTGCTACTTTTACCTTTCTAACCAGCTGGTTTGATAGCTCTCCCTCTGAGAATGGACGGGAATAGTCTCACGTCCTTGGACAAAAAGGACGGCTATTGTCTGAAGCCATATGGAGGCAGCTCAGAGAAAGGCATCAAACTCAGGACAATGGCTGAGCCGGGCTCTCCGGCTGGCGCTGCTGGTGGTAACCAAGCTGCCGCAGACCAGTCGAAAGTGAAGGTGATTTTACCCCTTTGGAGCCTTTCTCGTCTTCCCCCTCCCATGAACTATCCAGCTAACACAAATGTATTAGCAACTTTTCAATTTTACTCAAATTTTCTTCTTCTCCCTGACGTTTATGTCTAGCTGGGAGTCGATGGCCTTGTGCGTCCCTTTACCAACATTATATTGCTGCATTGCATTCCCGCATGATATCTGCATAACTGACCCCACTGGTTATGCTTGCTTTTCCTCAGAAATTTAACCGCTGTCTTTACCAATGGCGGCCCTCGGGCTTTGGCTTGGGGTATCATTGTCGTCGTCGCTGGCGGGTTGGCTCAGTCTGCCTCAATGGCAGAGATGGCTTCCATGCAGCCCATTGCCGGTGCCCAGTACCACTGGACCCATTACCTCGCTCCTCAAAAGCATAGAAAATTCATTACTTGGATGCAAGGTATACACGCCTCTTGGGCCTTCACCATTTGATTACCATAACATTAAATAACAATACTTACTGACATGTGGTATATAGGCTGGATTACCTGGTTTGCTTGGGTATCACTCCTTGCGGGCGTGGCCAACACTACGGCCAATATGATCCAAGGCCTAGTGACCGTGAATTTTCCCGACTATCAACCTGAGAGATGGCATCTTACATTTATCATTTTTGCCATGTTGGCAGTCGAAGGACTAATGAACATGTACACCTTCTGGCTGATCCCATGGATCGAACTCCTGGCCGGAATCCTACATGTGGTTCTTTTTATCGTCTTCGTTGTCGTTCTTGTATCTATGGCTCCTCGTCATACCCCTGGCTGGGTGTTTGGAGACCACTCCTCATCCTCAGGATGGAACAGCGAATTCATATCTTGGAATTTAGGTTTACTTACACCCACTTGGGGATTTGTAGGTAAGGTCAACCTCATCCACCAATATTGCTGGCTGATACTAATAACTATTTACACCAGGGTTTGACGGAGCCGTTCACATGAGCGAGGAAGTCCGTCGAGCAAAGCAGGCTGTCCCCAGGTCTATGGTCTGGACAGTTGCAACTAACGGGGTTCTTGCATACGCAATAATAATCACCATCCTTTTTACCATGGGCCCAATTGACGGCGTTCTAAAGTCAAACTTCCCCATTATCGAAATATGTCGACAGGCTACTGGCTCCGTGAGAGCCGCAACAGCCATGGTATCGGGTTTACTCATCATTTCCCTTGCCGTTAACCTTGCTAGTATTGCATCAACATCACGTCTTACTTGGGCATGGTCTCGAGACGGGGGTCTTCCAACCTGGTTCTCGGCAGTAGGTGCCTACTCACTTCTGGATATTATTTAACCTTGCTAACCTTACTCCTGTTAGATTGACCAAAGACACTGTGTCCCCGTTCGTGCTGTCTGGCTTTCTATTATCATCGTCATGGTGCTCGCGTGCTTAAACATAGCCAGTACTACTGCTTTTAGCGCATTCATCGCTCTCTCTAGTATTGGGCTGTTTAGCTCTTACTTCATCGCCATTGGCTGCATGGTATTTGCGCGGTTCTCCCGAGATCGCCCCCTAGAGCTCGGAGAGTGGAACATGGGCAAGTACGGCCTGGCTGTCAACTTATTTGCAATGTTTTACACTGCATATGTGACAATCTGGCTACCCTTCCCCTCCCTTCTCCCAGTTAGTGCGCAGAACATGAATTACTCTTTGCCAATTTTCGCATTTAGCACACTATCTGCGGTACTATATTGGTTCATCAGGGGCAAGAACCACTGGGGTGGCCTGAACAAGGAGGTTATCCGATTGGTTGTTGAACGAGGCGAACTGAGTTTGATCAGCTGAAGGAGCAAGAACATCTATGGAGTATCTTCATAACTTCACAATTTGCTATCTCCGTTGCCTCACAAAAATTCTTCTATCCCAGCCGTTGACGGCTGTATACCTTTCTGAATGTTTATTTTGCCATGGTGGTTTATGAAATGCCTCCAGACAGAGCTTCAGGGTTGCTTTACTTACCTTCCGTTATAAGTTATGATGCATTATCAAGTACATACATTACACCACAAGAATTAAAGGAGATTGAACCACCGATCGTTTCAAGCAGAGTCAGCTCATATTTATGTTCAGAAGAACCTATCAACAAATTTACCTTGCCTCTACTAAGCAAACAAGGCAAAAATTGAGTCTATATTGACGAGAGGCTTTACCATTTAGCCTCCTTTCGTGCCAGGAACTCATTCAGGATTTGAACTCTTTTCTCCAAAGCAGATATCTCCTTTTTCATCGCCGCGTGTATCTTTTGCTCATCGCTTCCGAGTTTTGCATAGAAATCTTTTCTGTACGGAGTTGCCGACATGGCAGCACTGAAAATGGGTTTAACCACAAAACTATGGTGTGGCTTTAGGGTGTTGGTATAGGCATCTCGGAAGGAGGATGACAGTTCTTCACTGTCTGAAGCAAGGTTCTTGCTGAAAGCCTGGGCGGTAAAGTCAAGGCCGCTGTACGTGTTTTTCTTGTAAGCCACTTTGCTAAGTAGACGCGTGCTTTTCAACCACAGGAATTAGTTACCGAATAAGCCAGACCAGACCTTCAGTGGCTTTGTGTTGCTTGGCCTTTAGTTCATTGAGTACGAGGGCCTGAAGAGTTTCGGATTCCGCAGGGGCAGCGAGTTGGCGGTCTCTAATTTTCTATAACATGGGACATTCTCCCGTAAGCTTTAAGTCGTTTTAAGAGGCTTTCCCGTACGTATGAATCGGAGCACACCTTGATGTTTCCAAGCAAATCATTCTTAACAGGCGTGAAAGCGACGGAGCCGAGGATATCTAGGGTAGAAGAAATAGAAAATTGCACGGTTAGTGCATATCTCACTGTTGGTATCTCTCTCAATGGCATAGTTACCGAATAGTTTAACGAGAGACTCAGCAGCTTCAAGGAACTCAGTGGTTGAGATGGCATTGTCGGAGGATTCGTCGATTGGGACGTCCTCGAAGGACCTCTTCATGGTGTCCAGCCATGTGCCGCCCTCGGGGATCACAGCGGTAGTGGCCATGGCGACAGACTATTGCTTCGATTCTAACTGAAGTGAAATCAACGGGTTTATTTCTATCTATCTCTCTTGGGGCAGCAGGTGTTCAAAAAGAAGGATGGCCGGTGCAAGCATGAAATACACCTGAACCGCCCCTTTCCCTCTCCCCGTCGTCCCCACCGCCGCTTTGATGGCGGGGCGTTTGGCTCCAAGACAATGATTGATATTACGTCAGCTAAAACATGCAAACACTGCAAACTGGATTGAAGCTTGGACCAGTCCAATATTTACGGCCTTGCACTATTACGTCATACGCCGAACCTTAAATCCAAAACAGAAAAGACCTTAATTAGTCCCTTGCCAAGTTTGTTTCAACTTCCCAGCTCTAACGACAACAACAACAACAACAGCAACGACAGAGATCGAGATAATGCCCTGTTAGCGATAGGCGCCGATGTTTCGTAGAATAACCCTTGTGGCCTAGGACCGCTGGTCAGCTATGGGGAAATGGATTCCACTAGCCCACCAAGCGAGCAGCCAGTTCCAACCGTCAGCCATCAGTCTCGCTCCAGATATGATCATGACAGCTTGGAATGTGGCTCCTTCACCGCGCAGAAATTGGTATACGAACCCCTGAGATGAAGCACGAATGAGTTCTAACTTCCTGGAACCACAGAAACATGCATCGCCAGACCACCTGCATATCACAAATCGGCGTTTCTTCATAGGACCGTTACCCAAGGGCTGGGGCCAACACCGCCGAAGGCATTGGTATAAATCATGCCTTGGTATCAGAGACTACTCGTCTCGTAACCAAACGTTCTCCGCAGATATTTCTGTTGGGTACCAGCGCCAATTAACTCGGTACATGGGCTCTTCGTCAACTACGCGGTTCAAGCCGAGCTTCCCACAGCCAGATGATGTCGAAGCCGAAGACGAAGACGAGAACGATCAAACTTCACCAGCAATGAATGGTCAAACTACAGGAGAATCTTCAAGAGGTAACCATGTGGGACCAAAGATAATCAAATCAGTAGAAGCCGGTCGGCAAGCCCAACGCCAGGATGACGACACAGGAGGTTTTGGTCTCTCTCATCCAAGCATTAAACGTCTACAGACTCAGCATCGACCTAAGAACAGTCCTATTGCTACAAACTCTAGTCCTGTCGTACGAATGTCGTCCGACGAAAACGTACCTGAAGCTTATTTCACAGCTCCCGACGCCGAGCCGCAGTCGGCAACTCCTGAAGCCAACCCTCTGCCACGAAATAGCACCACATCTCAAGAGCTAAGAAGCCCAGAAAACGACCATTTGCAAAGCTCCTCGTCATTACCATATCGTAATAGTTATGCAACAACTGGTGCGTCAGCCGTGTCAACTACTGATGGGGTAGGATTAGAAGCAGAGGTTGGATCACAGTCGTCTTTGATTTCCCATAATAAGCAGCAATCATCTTCGATCTCGGAAGATAGAAGGAAATCAAAGACGCAACAGCTAGAGTTGCAGCGTCAAGAACCTCGTGGAGAATCCGACCAGACGGAAGCTGAACTGGCTAAGTCTCAGCAACCTCACAGGCTTATCAACCGTGTTATTTCTGACCGAGTCCGCTTTGGAGTAGAGGAAAGAGTTGAGAGTGGGCAGCGTCGTTTACAGAACCGCCTTGGGCTATCGGATGACTCTAGGGCCAGCAGGAAACAAAAACGACAGACTCGTCGCCACGGAGAAGTTCTTAGAGCAGAGAAAATGCTTGTACGGATTGATGTTACCGCCCAAACTGTACCCAATCTCTATAACGACAATGCTAGCGTTAAGATTGAGACACGGCCAATAGAAAACTGGAGGGAGTATCTTGTAGTTTGTCGGCAAGGCTATGACGAACAAACGCCATACCTTCTCCAGTTCTACAAAACACGCGTGATACCCCAGGTTCAGGGCGCTAAAGTCAAGAGAAAATATGCACATGAGGTGAAGCTTTCCCAAGGCCAAGCCAATGTAAACCTATTTTCCACTTTGGATAAGACTGTCGTTGTGTGGCATCCAACCAAGATGAATGGTACTCGCATTTTCATTATGCGGGCCCGAGCGGCTGCGCATTCAGTTGAATGGTATACATTCATTCGAAAGGTCCTGGGTTGGAAACAACCCTCCAGTTTATTTGTTCATGCGCCTGATCTGGACGTTTCTCTTGTTCTACAGAACCCGTTTGAACGCTATGCAAAGGATAACACTGAGGAGAGTGAAGGTACGCTATCAAACAATACGAGTGAGGAACAAGCTGTATCTACGGCAATAATACGCACTTGTATGAACACACTCTCCGACTGCTCTGAATGGCCTGAAATTCTTGATATCTGGAAGAAATCAGAGAATATGGGTTTAGCATGGCGACGGTATGATCGAATAGAGTGGATTCAAGGGGGTAATGAGGAGAGAATGTATGGAACAATGGCCATGAGAACCTCGCACGACTTAGAACTACGTCCAAAGCGGCACTACCCAACCTCCACGGCCATGGACTCGTCTGAAGTCTTGATGGAGGAGCCGTCTCCAGTCGAGGGGTTTTTGATTCTCCTCACCTCCCAGCAAGGCACCCACCGGCGCTGGGGGAAAAACTTTTCCAGGCGTTTATATCTTTACAGTGAGGACCAATACCTTTGCTTCTGCAAACCGACAAAGGCATCTACCCCTCCGGCCCCAAAACTTCCCAGTACTCTCGGAACTGGGTCTTCCACTGCACCTGAAACGATCAGAGGCTCTCCTGTTATATACCCAGTTGACCCGTATCCGCTTGAGGATGGGCAGATTCCATGGCTACGCGACGGAGGAAATAAGTCGTACGCTAATTATTGTGACCAGACTGCGTACGCAGAGGACCGCCGAAACACGAATAACCTAGGTCAAGCGGAAGGGTATTTCAATTTGTGCCGTGTGTCTGAAATAAGGACTTTATCGGAGACAGAAAGCAGAGGAAATCAAGGCAATGAAACAAGCTCTGGTTCTCAGGAGCCTGTCAGAAACCATCCCACTACTGGCAGTTTCTCTCTTGCTGACCAGGATCACGTATTTGAGCTTCAACTTGATGATGGGCTCGTGGTTAGATTACGGGCTTATAATACAAAAACCCGAGATGTCTGGATCCATAGGTTGCGCCAGTTGACAATGTACTGGAAGGCTCGAGTTAAGGCTGATATCACTACATTGAAATCAGTTCGACAACACAACCTGGAAAAACTTGATATAGATGAGGCCCAGGAATCTATCATTGGACAGTTTGCACAAAAGTGGGAAGTTGCGCGGGCAGACGCCTCACCTGAGCTCTTCAATGTCTGTGGCCCATCTGGATGCCGGGCAATTAAGGTATGTATCAATTTTCTGTGCTCTATTGCCATTCATGCTTAAGCTAACAACACCATATTCAGAGATCCGGCTACCTCTATCGCAAGCCACGCAGACGGGGCTCATTTGCGAAATGCGATGTTATACTTGCCGAAGGTCAACTGCTCATTTTCCAGGACTCGGTCAGGACATTTTCCGGAGAACAAGTACCACACACGCATCAGTCTAAGCAGAACATTCTCGATCTACGCGATTGCTACCTGTATAGCGGTGTCCTTACCAACGCTGATCTGCTATACCACAGCCAGACCTTTGACAATAACCACCCAGGCCACAATTCAACGCCACGCATATACCCATCTGATGGCTGGACATCTGCTGATGAAGATACAGCAACGACTTTTGTCATCTGGAACAATACTCGCAGAATATTATTTCATGGGGAAGAAGAGGGTGATGGAAAGCAGAAGAAGCGAAAATGGAGGAATGTATCTCGCCTGGGTGCATCAGGCAGATCAATCGTATTTAAGGCTCGAAGTAGAGCAGAAAGAGATATGTGGGTTTTGGCTATCGAGACGGAGATCGACCGGCTACAACAGGAGGAAGACATGAGAATTGTGCCAGAAAAGTGACTTTTGATTTCGATGGTGCCCTGTCTTATTCTTATCAAGACTGTATTATTTTATAGAGCATTTTTTCGGTGTAATTTTGGGACATTCGGAGCGTTTCGCAAAGTTTGGTTAAATCAAAGCGCAACTAATATTCTACAATGTTTATTCTTCCCAATTCACGATGTCTCCGGCTACTAGATTTAACCGACAGCCGTATACGTTACATCCCTAGTTCACGTTCGGGTCATAAACAGTAACCGCATCTTTCTTGACCCGCATTCTCTGGCTCTTTCCATGACTTCCACCACTTTCTACAGAATCATTCTCATTCTCCCACTCCCACCACTTCAACGTCCTCGATTTCGGGCGTAAGACACACATAACTTGCCCCTTTATCATTCCCATGGATATAGGGCCGTAGGTATTGCTGTCAAAAGTCGAGTCAGGGTCGGTAGCATCACCTTCGACCCAAACGTGATTCCAAGGCACAATTTGGGTTTTCTGGTCCCCCTCGCCAGACTTGGACGGTCGTGTAGTAACAATATCGCCAGGCAGGGCTATGATACGTTTCACTGACAATTTGCTTGGTTCAGCAGTGGAACTCGAGCCACGCAATGATCTGAATATAAAATCAATTAGCATTAAATCTTTGAAATATAAATGATTGAGCGAACACTAACGGGAACACCACCACCATTCCTCGTTGTAAATGCATTTTTGTGGCATATGTGACGTCTACAAGCACCATCTCGCTGTCAATATTGTCGATATTATATCCCTTATTTAAATATGGCGACATAGATGCACCGCTAATCCATTTGACGTCCAAAACATGCTCACGGAGAACTATGAAGAGAGCTAACCCCTGGATCGTGAATAGGAAAGTGTCGAGTGCAGCATTTCTGCCGAAGGAATATCGTGAGCGACTCCGCGGTTCGTCGGCGTTATTCGTATTGCTGTCGCCATCGTACTGAGCCCTAGGGCCTTTCTTTTCAGGTGTATCGGTCGAACTTCGTTCACGTACAGAATTGAGCTTGGATATATGCGACTGTGGTCTGAAAGGGACTGCACTTGGATGCGACAATCGGCCGATAGTGCCGAGTCTTGATTTCTTCAGGGTCGATCGGGAAAGGCGGGAGGCCAATGGTATGAAGAAAGCATTCAATAAGGATAACATGAGTAGAGGAAAATCCCCTATCCTGAAGGGCCGTTGCTACTATATCTCATGCTCTTTGATAATGGTTCATCTTTTGGCCCGGGAGTTGCTGCAAGCGAGATTGTTGCGGCTCTGATAAGATAAGAAAGTCTTGGTAACTAGTTAGTTATTTAACTGCCTAAGAGGCACCTATCTGGGATGCAACTTCAGTTTTAACCACAAAATACCAACTTCACATCCGCCAGTTCTTGCAAGATACCATCTATACCCAAAATATCACACCTGCAGAGATGAACTCACGGTTAATCAAAGCCTTTTAAGTCATAATATGGACTCGGGCCCAGAGAGGCAAACTCCTGTCTATTGCGGTCCTGTTGCCAAATAGTAATTATGGTATCAAAAGGCTTTATAATTAATATTAGTTTAACTGCAGTTGTTTGCCAACACTATTATAAGCTATAGAGAGCCTTATAATATTATTTCTCTTACTTCTATATATTAATTGATACAATGACCAATATGATATAAATTTAGTTTGGAGAAAGGGAGGATCTTATACCACCTACCAACGGCCTGGTATTCACGTTGTTATCACGTAAGCTGCAATACTTACTCACTATCAAAGAGGACAAAATATCAAACTCTTTACTTTATTTCTTTACCTTTTCTGTGTGCTCTCAATGCTCTCAGTGCTCTTATGGTCAGGTATATTATTGACCCTGCTGTCATTCGTTTACATTCAGTCTCAGCTTTCTAACTCTGGCGCATATATCCCCCTACACTGTCTACCTCTCAGGTTGGTGAATTCAAAGCATGAACGCGTCAATATATGAGATACATCTGTTTCTCATTCCGCTGCCGATATATCTACAGTATAAAAGTGAACTTCTATGTCTAACTGACTAAATACAACAGGAGTATAGAGACCTATGGCTCTTATTTGGAACCAAGATCCTAGGGCAGAGAGAGCAACTCTAATGAGTCTCTCTACTGAGCTTCTGTGTATGGTTGCTGCAGAGCTCAGCATGACTGATGTGAGCCGAGTTGTCCGCTGTAATAAGCGCCTTAATGCTGCAGTCACCCCGTTTTTATATCGATTTAAGGTCAAGCCTTATATGTGGACAAAGATGGCTGAGATAAAGCCTGGCCAATACGCGTACAAGTCCCCAGTAGCAACCTGGGAAACCGCTCGTGTTACCAGCATCCTTGTCACCCATACACCCCTCGAATGGGCTGCTCTCATGAACCTAGCCAATGCCATCACTCGAATGATTGGACCCAAGCCGGATCGGAACTTCTTTGTGGACATGCGCTTTGGAACCGCTTTGGAATTAGCATCTATGGTTGGCAGTGCCTCTGCTCTGAAAGCACTTGCAGCCACCCATGCGGGGAGATGGCCTAGAGGGAAATGGGGATATTACCCCATGCATCAGGCAGCATTTAACGACCATATCGATGGTATTCAGGTTCTGCTCGATGCCGGCTGCCCCATCAATAAGTTTGACGACCGTCATATGACACCTCTTGCCGTGGCTACAGCTCGCAAGAAGGTCGTTACTGCAAAATTTCTCTTGGAAAAAGGGGCTCGAAGAACAAAACTCAGCCATGATGCCCAAATTGCGCTAGCTACATTACTTAGAGAACCGGTACTTGATCAGGAAGGCGAGAAAGTCAGCAGCGAGGCGGGAGATGCACTCAGGTACGTATAATGGACGTCAATAAATGGTATCTTCCACGGCAAAACGCTAATTCTAAGCTCAGTACCTCTCCAATATTGTGATTCCGCCATGAAAACCATCGAATTCCACAACGTATCCTCCTTTTCTATATCTGCACACCTGCTGTCTTTTTTTCTTTCCAGGTACTCGTTGATGTATCTACAAGGACGAGGCTATCCGCGGATCATCAAGCACATTATGTACCCCGTCCTGCAACTCTGTCATTTGTAAAATATGGCCGGCAAATCTCACATAGCTACTCCGTAAATGGCGTCCAGTTACGGATGTTGAAATCAATCTACCAGCATAAGCTGTGCGCTGCCGAGAAACAACCACGGCCAATAAATTGATAGGCCTTTTTATATTTCGTTCTTCCCATCTGCCATCTGCATTTCTTATTACAGATCTCCAGCTGAACCGCCCAACGGGCTGGCTGACGGACGTCGCCTCGTTCGATAATGTACCAGGTATGTGGTGCTTGGACAGCATTCAATGTCGTCTCAATATGTGTGTAAAAGTAATGTGACATTCCGATCGTCTCCGTGTGTGAAGGACTCCATTACTCAATTCCATTGACTTCCGTATATCGAAGATCAGCGAGGCGATCCAACCTCGGGATGTACCCCCGCCTTTTTTTCCTTTCCTTTTTCTCATCCTTGGCCTGTAGAAGGAAACATAAATAATCTTCAGCCTGAAGGATGATACTACAAAAACCCAGTCTGGATCGAAATAGATACACAGCACCGAAGTTTACTTCGCGGCAGCCAGTCGCCCAGTACACTGCAGACTTCGGGAAGCATACTAATCAATATCCAGAACCGTATCGAACTGCACTAAAGTTTGTGCTCTCACACAAGCAATTATGTGTCGTTAATGGGTATCCATTTTGATCGCAATCTGAAGTCCGATCAAACGAGGAACTAGGCGCCTCAGCGCTCGCCAGGGGCGGCATAAAGGTAAATATTGTGCCAGTGGTCCCATCTCCCTGGCACACCCATGGAGAACGGAGATGATCATGAGGTTGTGCATCGATCCTCGATTTCTGGCCGTAGACGGCGGTTCAGCCCAGCGTATATTTGGCAATGCCCTTTGATGGGATGGCATTGAGCCACAATCGATAATTTCATCTTCAAACGAAAAAGAAAATATAACTATCCCAAGTGGTAGAATGATGCATGCAACAGTTACCGTATCATGCGCTGTGTAACTCCGCAACTGCAGCGAATGACCTGGGGACGGGAGTGAGTAGAATGTATGTATGTGATCTCGTCGCATTGCAGGTAACCAGTGACTTCCAGGAGCCGCATCCATGCATCCCCTGTAATAAACGAGATGTGTTTTCTACGCTTGAGTAATCCAAATTGATAGTGTCAAGCAGCTTGGAAACTCTCTTCACCGCCTATGAGTCTGTGCAAACGGCTCCTCGGATATCTTTGGGTCTTGGAAAGACACGGTCCATGGCGTGTACTCCGTACGGAGTATTGACAGAACAATGCCAACTTGGTAAGGGGTACTCAATGGTATTGGCCGAAGGACTTTGGCCTCATTGACGCCTCTGACTATTAAATCTATCATACTCCGTATTCCTTGTGGATTGGTTCAGCTTGCTTGTCTGTACTCCGTACCTGTGGAAGCATAGCATCGCAGCTGAATTCGCTGTCTTTAGGAGCACCGCCGATGTAACAAGACAAACCGATCATGAACATCTAAAACGAAGACGTCAATCCATTGAGCCTGGCTCGTGGGTTTCGGCGATTATGAGGCACTATTAGACAGGCCTCCGACCTCGATACTGCGGCTAAGCTTCAGACAAACATTGATTTATGGCTTCTGTATGGCTGGAGCAAGGCTCTGCATATCTGGTCTTAATGGGCTGCTACACCACCAAGGGCAAAAAGTGTCAGAATGGCCGAGTCCAGCCTGGAATGTGCGGGAAGACAGAGAGAACCGCCCACCCACCTACAGGGCCGGAAGACGAAAGCATGGCACAGCATTTTGTTTCCATAGGGCTTGAGAAGTGTTCCCCATCAACTGGCTGGCTAGATGATCTTCCGTAGGCCTCGGTTGATTCAAAGTGTGAAATATTCTGTCCTGATGGCCACGGAAATCGCCGTGAGCAGATTTGTAGCCCATCGATATGGACCTGCCTTGAGAAGACTAGCTGAGAATCCTGAACTGTGGCCGGCGACTTAATCGGTAGACATTCTGCAACGATGGAAACCCGCCACCCCACCGTTGATGGCTGGATTTCTTTTATGGAAGAGCTTCTTCTCTCGATACGCCAATTGTGAAACGAGAATACCTACCAGAACGATCATAGAAGCCGTGTCCTACAGATAACGCCAGCGAAGCAATAGGTGATGGGCTTTTAAGGTCTCCACCAGCTGAGAAGCTAGAGATTATCGAAGTTATCAGTTCCTCGGGAGTGTGAGAAGCATGTGTTAAAGGTTAAGAAGAGGGAAAGAAAAGGGGGAAGATATCCGATTCAAGCAAGTTGAATCGAAAACTGGCGGAGTCCAAGGCCAAAAAAAACCCAATACAAAAATTAGAAAATGGGGGAAATAAAACTTAACAAGAGGATAGATGAATATCGCCAGTGATATACGGAGTTAAAGTGTATGTTTTGAAGCTTACCTTTTTAGGGAAAGTGTTGCCTGGCCTGAATACACCACCCCCCGAAAGTCGGGTATAATAGTCTAATATCAGCATATCTGGCAAGATTGGTCGAGCCGTGTTCCCAAAGAAGAAAAGCAAAAAACGAGAACCGTCCGCATAGGTCGATGGTCTGAGCAACAGTGAAAGTTTGGAAAGGTTTAGCGGTAGGTCTAACCGAGCATTGAGGCGTGAGAGGTCATAACTGTGTTGAGATAGTTATCACCAACTAGCTGGCCTGTTTTATTACCAGGAAAGCTAAATCTCCACAGCAGCTGGGGCCGGTGGCTCTTGGTGTGCACTTAGTATGCGACTTACACACGCCCTGTCACCTCACCCTTGCAAGCGAAGTGGTCTTTTGCCGGAGATGAAAGGAAACGAAGCGCCAGCGCCAGCGCCAACGGCCAGGTTCTAACTTTCGGGAGAAGGTGTGTTAAACAACTTCAGCCACGCATCGCGATCCACAAGCCAGCCAGTGGGCCGTTTATTGTGGGGGATAGCTCCTTCGATTTTTGTAGATATATAGTGGAATATTTCCAAAAGGCTTGTATTATTTGTCGTTAATCTTTTCTTTTCAGGCTCTTCCTCTGCTATAGACCTGTATGAGTATATTATATATGGCTATACGTTAGAAAAGGGGCGTCGATGCTTACCATTTTGTATGTATAGTTGAGCGTTTGATATAGCAGTGGAAGGACAGGGTTTCAGATAGAAGTAAAAGCTTCAGAGTCAGAAAGGGTCTCTGTTCCTGCCTTTTGAGATCCATCAGATCTGCCCTGCCAGGTGGAATACTCCAACCTCCAGCATAAGTACACTTACGTACACGGAGGAGGGTGAAGCTTGTGATAATAAGAGGCGAGCAGCCTGTCTTACAGGTCTGATATGCACGTTGTTCATGGGTAAGCAACTGACAGCAGCCGAGGTTCTGCAGAGCACAGCACATCTGCCGCAGCCTGCTACAGTCTGCAACAGAGTGCAGCTTCCCTGAGACAATGTCTTCTGTCATCTGCCTTTCTTCCTCCATTTTATTCTAGATCCTTCAATCTCCCTTCTTTTTGTCCCTCCCGCCGCCATCTTCATCTTCATCTTCATCTTCATCTTCATCTTCATCTTCATCTTCAAGTTTGAAGTTGAAAAAAAAGAATGAAAATTAGGTTTGAGCTTTGTCTATTATTATATAAGCCGCATAAATAAAATTCCGATCCGAATATTGGTCACGTGGAGTTTTCCCCACAAGAGCTTCGGCAGCTTTCGAGAGGACGAAGACGACAAAAGAGATGAAGACGGAGATGGGGACAAGCGAGGAAGAAAGTCAGCCAGGAAAACACCTTGAGAAGAAGCAGAAGAAGAGAGTCAGTCAGAGAGACAGACAGCTGGATGGTGAGGGGGCGGATAATCATAGAGTGACGGCCTAGTCTGCAGGCATTCACATTTATCCTCCTATAAAACAAACGTCATATCAAATTGTTCTGCCTATCTATAATAGCTATCACCACATACTACACCGACCTACCTACAACACAGACAAACACAGATAACAAGACTGAGAACATGGCGTCTGCTATCCTCCCGCTTGCTGAAATTCCTACACTGTCTCTGCTCTATCGCCTAAGACATCTTACAGCAGCAGCTACCCCGCAGGTTTCCACGGCTTCACAGCGATTCAACGATATTATCAGTCATGTAACGCATGATATCACCCGGCTCGAGGTCGACTGCATCGTGAATGCCGCGAACGAATCCCTTCTCGGTGGCGGAGGCGTCGATGGAGCCATTCATCGAGCAGCGGGCCCAAACCTGCTGCGTGAATGCCGTACGCTTGATGGATGCCAGACAGGTGATGCCAAGATCACCGATGCCTATCGATTGCCATGCAAGAAGGTCGTTCATGCCGTAGGACCCGTGTATGTGATGGAGAGGTTTCGCGGAGGGCCTGGTAGGGGTGACGTGCGAAGACCAGAAATGCTGCTGAGAGGCTGCTACCAACGCAGCCTAGAGCTCTTAGTCGCCAGTGGATTAAAGAGTATCGCTTTTTCGTCGATCAGTACCGGGGTTTACGGGTATCCAAGTGTCGAAGCAGCTACTGTGGCGATCAAGGTAGTGAGAGAATTCCTTGAATCCCATCCCGAGTCACTGGAGAGGGTAGTCTTCTGCACCTTTGAGAGAAAGGATGTCAGGGCATACGATATGCTCCTTCCGTACGTATATTTCTTGCTTTCCATCTTGTTATTTCCACTAGGGGTATTTTTGCACCGTCAGGGACAAGATAAAAATAATTGAAAAAAGGAAAAAGAAAAAGAAGGAGGAAAAAAAAACCAATCCAGCTAATGAGTTGCTAAATTTTGCTTCTATAGCCAATATTTCCCTCCCACTGAACAGGATCTTCCACCTTCCTCAACCACCAAGGCGGAAGAGACAGGAACCGAAGCTGGAAGTCCACATGCCCCCGAGATCCTCGCCGCCAGTCTTCCTGATGCGCCAACATCTGAACCAGTAAGTCAGGACGGCGGTTCCACGGCTAAAAAGGCAAAGCTAGCTCCGGATGACAGCACCATCACCGCTCGAGATCTCGAAGATGACGATGATTGGGAAAAGGTGGATCAACCGGTGAACACCAAGGAGAACCTCGACGACGATCCTGTGGAAGTTGACAACGGTCCAACCGCTGCGGACGTCCAGAGCGTTTCCAGCGCTGCCGATCTTGAATCCTCTCATGAAGGAAAACTCAGATAAATCTGGTCTTGACATTGACAGCCCGAAAGGGTTCCTTTGTTTTTCCTATTTCCTGTCCATTTATTTCATTCAAAACCATCAATCAGTACCCTTGTACACCGTACTTCAAGCCATTACACCCCCTCGTTGGTTCTTTCCCTTCCCCTTTTCCTTTTCCTTTTTCTTTTCTTCTTTATCTCTCTTTCTAACGAATGTGATATACAATACGGTCAATGTACTCTGGAATTGCGGATTTGGCTTAAGGGACTATAGGGTTGATTGGAGCATGCCTGTCTATCAGATAAAAAAAATATGCGTGTTTCCTAATGCAGACATCGGACGGCCATGTTTTCTTTTGCCCTTTGCCCTTCATCGCGTCAATCCAACCCTTGCAGTTCCGTTTAGTCAGGGGAAAGCGTAGCCTAAATCTCCTCATCTCCTCCACTGGCTGCCCCAAGAGGATCGTCAAGCCATGAAACGGCCGGGCCACCTTGCATCCTCACATATATGTATGCATTATCTGTTAATCATTGTCGAGGTCCGAAAGTCCGGCCGGAAAGTTGAAGCGGCGCAGAGAGCCACGTCTGGGCGTTTGCTCCGGCCAGCTAGCCACACCACCTATACGGGCAACCAAGTATATACATTATTATCATTCTCTAGCGTTGTGGTACTCCTCGATCGCTTGATACCATGGCACGGGGACTCTACTAGTTATCTTGTCTTCGTCTCTTATTGATATGGCCCTGCAGCTATTGCCCCTGTGCTAGATGCCGATTTGTCGATTCCCATCTATAAGACAAACGGCATATATACGGGTATCAACCAGCACACCGGCCCAAAGAACCAAGCTGAAAGGGGAAACTCGAGCAGAGCAAACAGCCTCCCGTCGTTCGTAAAAACAGTGAATTCAGGGAAGAAGAAAAGAAAAGAAGGAAGAGAACGCCCTCGGAGATTTTTCTCCTTTTAGCCCTTAACTAACGGGGTAACTCAAGCTCTCTTATATCAGACCCGTTAATCATAACTCTTAGCTAAAATTATCCATAATAATCTGCGTAAAAGGCCAGACAGGCAGGCAGACAGAAGAGCGTGAGCATGAGATCTTTGTTTTTTGCGGTTTTATGAATGAAAGTGTTATGGTTTCGTTTTCGTGTTGAAGATTGAGATGAGATACGATTCGCAGGGATTGCAATGCAAATCCCGATCATCGGATGGTGCTACCGAGGAGAGCAAGGAGCCCAAGCAGGATTGACGATATTATAGCACAGGAATATGCCAATATATATATTCCCTACTTTTTGCTGTTCCAGGGTGGAGGGTTAAATGACGATGCACTGCCCCAGAAAACCTGACTTGTGCCCCTTTTCTTCCAGGTGCAAAACTTGGAAAACGAGAACGAGGCGGCGTTGGGAGGCAGTTGAATGAAGAAAGATAGTGAAAACGAAGAGGCAGACGGCGATGTTGGAGAGAGGTGACTCGTTCCTGCAAACCCCGAGAGTAACGGCTTTTTATATCAGCGGCACCCAAGCCTCTTGAGATGATCGGGTTGGGAACGGTTCTGCAACGTCCTTTCCCCGCCCCTGCTGGCGCGGCTGGCGCCCTATTTAGGGGCTTTCTTTCTTTCTTTTTTTTTTTTTCACCCTTCGCTGTACATGTGGTTTTCCCCATGTCTAGTTTCGGGCTCTTTGAAAAGAATCCAGGGAACACAAGACGGGAATGGGGATTTTGCATCAACCTAATCTAGGCTGCGTGATGGTATTGGGCGGTAAAAAGGAACGGGTGTGGTACATGAGAGGGGGCAAGCAGTGAAGGCGCAATAGGCATATGCAGTGTGCTGGTTGAGTAGAAAATTGTATGCCTTTTCTGGGGCTATATGTGTGGGATCTATGCTTCATGCATGAGCAGAGGCGGAAGAGAGTGACCAGCAAAAAGAAATGCTCTAGACCTCTGGTGCAGCGAGGTACGCAAGGAGGCGTTGCGGCTGTGAGCGAATGAAGATATTTTGTCTCCATCGACTGGTTGAGCTCAAGAAAGCTTGAGAGTGAACATCTTGCATGAAATCTGAACTTGTTCAGTCACACCAAGCAGGGATGGGGAGGCCATGTTGGAAACATGTGGGAAAAAAGGAGTACAAGAGGTCGTGTTCCTTCTCGTCGTATGTACAAAGAGCCCCTGTTTTTGTAAATCGTTAGGAGAGGCTATTTTGTTTGCAAAACCAAGATTTCACGCTCGTGGCTGGGTTGAACGTAGATAACGTAAGTGTATCTGGCAGACTTGTCTCAAGGAAGCCGTGAAGACCATGCCCGGAAATCTTTCGGCTATTGGCAGGGTTCCTTCAGGGTTTATTTTGGTTGACTGAAAGTCATGACATTATACTCCGTATATTTATATGTATATGTGCTGACATATTATATAGCCGGGTCATCACTCAAAACTAGCGCATTCCGCCAATAGAATGCTGGGGATGGCTATCTTTTTCGACGAAGCAGAAATAGGGAGCCTAAGGGAGGGCAGATTATGTGAAAATCCTGGCCATTAAGATGAGAGAGGGCAAACTCTGCCTCTTGTTTTCTTTTGCGGTTCTTTTTCCTCCTCGCCTCGCCCGTTAGGCAATGCGAACCAAACGGCGGCAAGCGCAAGATGACCGTTGAGATAGACATGTCATTTTTTGCCCTCTTCCTCCCCGTTGCTTGCCTTTCTTCTCCACTTGGGGTCTTTGTTTGTTTAGTGCATATGACGACATAAAGTCCCATGCATATTTATCCTTTTTCTCCCTGGCTTCCTTTCCCCCTTCTTTGGCCTTCCCATGCAGGAATAGGGATGGATCATGGATTGGGGAGGCGGGAAAGATCCCTAGAAGACCTTGGCAGGCTCCAGCCGTTGACATCCAATCTGCAGCCTGTTGCATCCTGGGACCAGCAGCAAAAAGTACTCCGTACGTAGAAGTATTGTAAAGACATCCTAGAGGAACGCCGCAACTGGTACGAAAAAGGAAAGCGGCCTGAAAAAACATGCTTGAAGCGTAAAAGTGTTTACATTACTTCTGGAATCTGAGCCCGCCGGTTCTTCTCGCTCTCGTGTTTTGATTATGGCCTCATTCTCCCGATCCGAGGTGGGTAGAAGTATAATAAAAACGGATTTTAAATATCCCTGATGGCAGAGAAAGCCGCTAGACGAGCCCATCAAATGTTGAGATTTTCCCCTGCTCACCTGCCAAATTGGTGAGGCGGCCCGTTGATCAGGCTTAGCGGTATGGAGAAGAAAAAACATGCTCGGGGAATGGTGGGCTTCTCTGTAAGCCCGATCGATCGTATGTTCCGATCTAAGACAGTAAAGTTAGCGCTCAGCCTTAGTGAATTTATAATTTTATGTAAGTACGGAGTAACTATAACACCCTCTGACCCTGGGTATCTCCATAAAATTAGTAGTCGGAAACCCTGTTATATATAGAGTGGTTTTGTCCCCCCAATCAAAACAGAACTGCCAGTCCGACCACATGGGACGGGGAAGGTAGAAAGTGTTCTGTATGCGACGGCAGCAATCTTAGAGCTCGCCTGTGCCTGTACCTTCTACTCCGTAATCTGTCCCCCGTGGCCGGAGTAAAGACAACATCTCGATCTTCAGTGTAACATTCTCGGGACCGATAGGGACGGAGGCAATGCCGTACGATCATAGCATCATGCGCCCTCGCGTATACTATGTGAATGCTGGCTGCTGTACGATGTAAAAAGGCAAATGGCAGCCCATGATTTGCTGACTGGCTGAGAATTGAGCCACGGTTCTAGCAATCCCAAGTGCCTGGATGAAAGCTTTCAATCCGTCTCGCCAATGGCCTGGTTTGTACGGAGTAAGTATTTTGCTGATTTTCTTACAACGCAGCAAGCAAATATGCAAAAATAGTTAATCTGTCTCACCTTGGAGAAAGAGGGGCGCTTGACTGCCTCCTGAGTTGCGAGTTGTCTGTTGTCTGTTGTCTGTTGGATCCATATGCTATTCGCATTCCAGCTGGCAACTTGGGCCCAGATATTCGGCTTCACCTCCTATTGTTACACTTCCATTCCACACTACTAGTTTAGCTTGATTTAGCCCTGGTGGTGAGATGAGGATGGATATTTGTAGATGACGATGGGGGAAGCAGGGGAGAATATTCCGAGTTTGGAAGATTTCAGGCCTGTCGTACTCCGTATATGCGAGTGCTTGTCGTCCGGCCTGCTCGCTGATCGTTTTAGACATGCACCAGCATCAGGTCAAGTCAGAGGCGGAAGAATTAACCAGAGTCTGTCTGTCGTGACAGTTTCCTGGATCAGCGGCCCAAAAAAAAATCCACATCCGCGTCCCATATATTCTTCTCTCTCATATTAATCTCTATCTCACCCCCTTTTTTTTTTCTTGATGCCAGTCCATAGTTACGGAGTCCAGTCGTATCCGTGTCTCGGAGCAACTTATTGCACAACTTCATTATCGCCAAAGCGGCTCATCCGGCGTTCAAAGCGATGTTGTATCGTTGGTTATGGAGAAAGGCAGCAAAAATATGATTTCTCTTTGTATATGTGTGAAAGATGCATCTGTGTGTGCATGCATTTGTCCTAAGACTATGTCCGCACATCCACGCCACATCCGCCTTCCATCTGGCCGGATTACTATCGTGCATGGACGATAAATCAACTAGTGCGTATTTGACGGCGTATATTATGCTGTATAAACACCGTTTTATGTACTCCGTGTAGGCAAAAGAGAGGCCCTGTTGCTTTTTCGATCGTGCTTCCCGCTGAAGAGAGCAAGGTCACCCTGTCTGATGCTGCTTTTTCGAGGCCTCTCCCTCTACGTCCTCGTATCCAATCCCTGCTAGGGGAAAGAGCCCTAATCTCGATGGTTCGCGGGCCGGATTCCCGATCTGTCTTCCTTTTTCTGTGTGCATTTGTTTTCTAAATTTTCAATTGCTTCTTGACGGGTTTTTGCAGGTCCCCATGTTCCATCTCTAATCTGCATCTCCATCTGCATCATCATCACCGTATCGAGCCAACCCAGGTATAGTCGCCGTTGCCTCTCTTGCTCTCTTTCCTCCTCTGTCTTCCGTATGGCTGTCTGAGTGCGTGTCTGTCTCCTCCGCCCCCCTGCTCGTCCCAGAGCATGGCCAGGAACTCTGCCTCCCCCCCGTTCCATTGCAAGAGAAGGCTGGTGGTCAGGTCAGGGGGCAACCACCACGCCATCTGTTCATCTTGCTTTTTTCCATATGCTCTCTTTGCTTCTTCTGCGTCTTCTGCTGCTGCTGCTTCTTCTTCTTCTTCTTCCTCCTCCTTCTCCTCCATCTCTCTTCCTGAGACTCGCCGGTTGTGCAGCTTTCCCTGTCCCACTGAATAAGCGTGAGTGCGAGATCTGATCTATCTGTTCATTCACGCCACCGGCCATCGTCATGTGTGATCTTCGTGATATCTGGGAATCTCTGTATCTCACGGCTCTGCCCAGGTAGCCTGTCTCTCGTCAGCTTCGCCGTCCTCGTCTTCTCTGGCGCAGGATTGTAAATCCCCGACGCTAGGCCCTGTGAGCTATGGATCTGCTTTCACAAAAAGAAGGAGATAATATAGTACTCCGTAGTCATAATGGTAATAGTAATAATAACAATAATAAAATAAAAATAAATGAAAATAAAATAGGAAAAACGTGTCTCTGACTGATCTCAAAACGGCTGGCACCACTCCACAGAGAGTCAACTTGACTCTTTTTTTTTTCTTTAAAAAAAAGACATCCCAGGCGTATATCAAGGCCCGCACTATAAGGTACACATGTGCCAAAAGACCAAAGGGCCAGGGATGTCAACTGTCCGGCAAGAAAAATAAGAAAAAAAGGAGCAGATGAAGACGAAGACGACGAAGAAGAAGACTGCAAAAAAGGGACCCCGTACTGCAAGGAGTAAGCAAGCACGAAACGGTGTGTAATATCCGGTCCATCGACGATAAGCTGGTTTGCGTTGGTGGTGGTTGTTATTATTCTTGCTATTATTACTATTACTTTTTATATATTACTGCGATATTGACGTTGACGTCGACTTCAACTTCATAAACCTCGACCTTCGACTTCATCTTCACCTTTTGTTTGCTCCTCGTATTTTCCTCCCTTAATTCTATCTACTACAAGTCCCTACTACCTCCTTCGGCTCCTCCCGCTCAGAATCCCTTGACTGTCTACCTCGAGTCTGCCTTTCCTGCAGGTCCCCTTCACGTGTATCCGTCCGCCATAGACACAGGAACTGCTGGACGACGAAGCAGAGGATAGAAAAGAAGGACAACAACGATAGAGAGAAAAAGAAAAGAAACGACCTCTGTCCAGCAAACCCCGAAGCCCGACCAGGGACGACAGCAGATTCAAAAGAAAACAAAGCAGAAGCAGTTGGCCTTGCATTGGTTGAAGGACGAACCCAGGGCAAACAGAGGGAGACGCAGAGAGAGCCAACCCATATCCCCATCCCAGGAGACTCGACTCCAGAGAAGCCAGCCCCAGATTGAAGAAGAGACGACAAGAAGAAGCAAAAGGGAAGAGTGAAAAAAGAAACCACGCACAAGAGTCGAAAAAGGAAGCAGGATAAGAAAAAGCATGGTTCTTTTGCGTGCGCTGTGAATCTGATATCCGATCTGATCTGAACCCAGCCCGCATCCAACCACCACACGCGAAAGAGAGATCCGTTCGTACATTTAAAAAAAAGGGAGAACGATCTTTGTACGCCCTCGTCTCGTCTCCTCTCCTCATTCATCCACCTGGCTGCTGGATTGGCCCTCTCCTCCGCTGGCGCCGTCCGTCCCTTTCGATCTGGCCAAGATCCAGCCCGCCGGCCCAATATTTGGCTACCGTGCTACGCTTTGGCCGTGAACCTGCAACAGCCCGTCGAAGCTTATACGGGGACGTCGCTTTGATATATTGTCGTGTGTGTATATATATACATCTATATACATATATCGATCGATCTATATACACTCGGACTGCATCTCCGTGTGTATACAAGCACATATACATCTATACATCTAGATACGGTCTCGATCCCTACGCCCGCCATCCAACCGATCTCGTCCGGGGAAGAAGAAACCTTTGTCTCGCCGTCTCGACACGCTGGCCCTTTTGCTTTCTTTTTTCTTCTTTTTTTCCCTTTTTGCTTTCTCCTCCCTCTTGCTCCTCGAACTGGCGAGCGACAGCCCCCGGGTACTCGCAGCAACGGAACTGTGAGAGAGAAGGACCGCCTCGTATCACCGGGTAGTTCTGATACTGTTTCAAGTTCACACACCCTCGCCCATTTTCGAAAAATATGAGCTCTGTCTCCCCTTGGGCCAAATAAGGTTGACCGATTACGTTATTTCCCGTCCCTTCAAGAGCATATTTTAAAGTCGACTTTTAGCGCCGCAAAGCAGTCCCAAAAGGAAGCAAAAAAAAGATCGAAGAAGAAATTAAAGAAAAAAAAACATTCAAAAAGGAAATAACAACTGAAGAAAAACAAATATTGCTGCTATCCAGAATCCATTCAGAGGCCATATACTATACACTTGATCCCCCCCTCTGCCTCTCGAGTCTCCCTCAAAGGAGAGACCAGCTGGGCTCATACGCACCGCACGCGTGCCACTGAAAGAGCACGGCGGACTCTGAGAACATAAACAGACGCTGGTCTGGAGCTGCTCCTGTACCTGTACCTGTTCCGGTTACCGCCATTCAGATTTGCTCGTCTTCTGATCCACGGGACGCCTGCTGCAACATCACCTCTCAAACTGATATTCTGCTACCCCTGGATTATAACAGCCCTTCTTTCTCCCACAAACAACCCCGGTTTCTCTCCCCCGTCACATCCAGCGGCAAGCAAACATCCTGCTACATAGCGTCCGTCTCCCATGGCGACTGGACTCACTGCCTCTTCGACTTCTACTCATATCTTCCATCGACAGTCCTCCACCATGTATCACAGCAATCAGCCTCAGTATAACTTCTCTCCTTCCACTCACCATCAACCGCCTCCACCTCCGCCATCATCCAGGTCGTCGGCAGAAATATCCCCCTCGACTCGTCCGCATAGACTAGCCGATGTTCCAAGTACCGGCGTAAAGTCGCTACCGTCCATCCACGAAGCACTCGGAAAGAGCAATCCTCTACCATACCCTCATTCCCAGCCGTCAGTATGCGGCCCCTCGCAGACACCGGGCCACATTGCGCCTTCATCAAATCTCATGACTGGGCCTAGTGCAGAAGGGCCTAGTGGACCATCAAACCCATTCTCATCAACAAACTCTTCAGCACCGTCCCTGCGAGATTCTATCCTTAACTCACAACACCATCCGTCTGCTCCATCTCAGTCCGAAGGCTCAATAATGTCCCAGGACTCGCACGCCCGATCTATACACTCGATAGGATCGGAGAAATCATCTACTAGAGGCTCGGTTGCTGACAGGTCGTCGATATGTACTTCACACGCACCTAGCTTTGACATGCTATCTACAACTTCTACCGCTGTATCTTCGCCATCTAGCTACGTATCGCCAGTGGGCTTCAACCCGTCATCTTATTCATCCCACCGCAGTGGCCCGGCTTCACAAACTTTCCCTCCACCGTCCTTTGAAACCAGACCTTCCCATTCGACGTGGAATTTTGGTGCTTCAGACCATACCTCAATGGACAGTGTCAAGTCGATGCAGAGAAGCAATGGATTACCATACTGTGATGCGGTCAAGAGACACCTTGATGATTACGACGTCCGCGCATCTCTCAATGAGGTATTTAATCTCCTTTTCCGTCATGCTGCTACAAATTGACTCGTTCGAAAAAGAGAACAAACAATGGCTAACTTTATATACAGGTCCGAGACACGAGTTCCCGGACGCTAGATATACTTCGACCATATTCCCAACGTCCCCAACCTAGGACAGAGTCAATCGACCCAGCTAGCTTGATGCCCTCGCTAGCTGAAATCGACGAATTGCTCCACTTGCATCGCCACACGGCAGAGATTCTCGAAAGAATCCGTTCGGCCGCAATCTCCCATGAACATTCTCTAAACGAACAGCGGAGTCACCAGCAAATCTTTAAAACAGATTATACCCGCGAGAAAGAGCGGATGCCCATGTACGCCGACGAGTACAAAAACGGAACCACCTTGGCAAGTGGCAACACTCACATCATGAATGGGTCTAGCATCGAAAAGAAGCGCAGGGTACGATGCACTTTCCCCCTCTTCTCCACCCGAACATGATCTATCATCTTCTTTCTACCCTTAATTGCACTCTTGCTAACCTTCAAACTACAGAAAGCTGCCCCACCTGGCCGCTGTCATAGCTGCAATCGTGCCGAAACCCCTGAATGGCGCAGAGGCCCTGATGGTGCACGAACACTCTGTAATGCTTGCGGGCTTCACTACGCCAAACTCACCCGCAAACAGGGTATGAACAAGTCAACTTCATCTACCGCTCCCACCTCTCAGATGGCCATGGCTGCAAGTAATATTCGGCCCAGAGCTGGTGTTGGCCGATCATCGCCTCTCCAGCCTTGATGACAACAACTTGCAACCCCTGAGGATAATCAGTATGGCTTGATTTCCTCCACCGAATCCTCCATATACCATACCCACACACACACACACATATATTTATGCGATGTATTTTTATACATTTCTTGTCTGTCTTTTCTCCCACCACCCCTCCCTCCTTTTCCCTTTGGTTACTGTTTTCCAAAATTGGGTGGTTCGGGAAGGTAAAAATAAACCTAAAGATTTATTGCAACATACTGGGGGCGTTTCTTCCTGTTCGATTTTACTGCACCATTGTTCGTTCGATTTCTCACTTGTTTTAGTTTTTCTCTTTTCTCTACTATTGCATGTTTATTTCTCTGGAACATCTGGAATACAGGGTTGTATGTATGCTGGGAATTGTCTCTTTTCGTTTTTGGAAACTGGAGTTACCAATTTCTTTTACATATTTTGCATATGCGTGTTTGCTCTTCTGTTTGGCCTGTGTCTCTCAATTCTTCCTTTTTCTTTCTCCTCCGTGGTTCCTGGATCTCTTTAATTTGTTGTCACATATACCCATCTACTGTTAGCAATTCTATCAAGAATCGAAGATTTTACTCCTATGCTAGATAAGCCTATGTTCCAAGAAATGTGCTGTATGCTGCGTGCCAAAGGGAGAGGAACACACAATAGAGAAGTTCCATGGTGGCCAAAAGCAGACCCAAAGTGGGTTCTCTAGCAATAAGGTAACTACGGGTACCTACCCACCAACCTTATCTGAACCGTTATCCAGCTTTCGCCTTCAGCCAGCCATGAAGCGTTCGCTCGGCCTTGACATCATGACTGTTATATGTACGCGCCTACTTGGCTCGGGACAGGTTGCAGTCACTCCCTTTGACTCAACTTAGGGCGTCTTCCCCAACTTCCGGTTCCAGGTGAATAATTGAAGGTGAAACTTCAAAAGTACAACATCAGACAGGCTGAGATGAAATACCTCCTGATCAATTAGGGGGGATAGGGAGAGAAAATTAAGGCATGGAGAAAGAAAGAGTTATCATTTCCTTCTCGAAGCTGTCACTCCGATCACATGGATATAGTTATTCCATGGATTTCGAGTGCTCCACTAGATCCCGCCCCTCGAATCACCGGACGATGACACTGTCTTTTGACAGATGGAGCCCGCAGTGGCAATATTGAAAACATATCCTTGACGCTGACTCACTTATATGCCGGCGTTCCCGAAAATTCTGTCAGTGGAGTTTCTCGGAGTTTCTGCTCGATCTCCGGTCTTGTCCTTGGATGAAATAATAAAGCCAGCTACGTGGGGTATGGGTGCGTTTCAACCTCTTTGGGAGTTAATCGCCATCTATTACTCCGTAGCCTTGGAACTGCCCTATATATGGAGAACGCCGCTGACTAACAATTCAATGGAGACGATGATCTTGCATGATCTTTGAACCATCTCTACCACAAACAACACCCGTTAATATACATACCCAGATGCCGATTTGGTAAAGTGGTACAACTATGTGTCTTATTATCAAGATAACACGACATAACCACGAGACCTCTATAAAGTACAGCTATAAAAATGTCTGTATAAACCCATGACCCCGTTCTTCCCAAGTTTGTCTCAAACTTATTGAGGGACCATTCGAATTTTCTGTGACCGCCTTTTGACCCAGGGAATGTTCCGGTCTGCCTCATTTACCCATGGACTCCCCAGCGTGACGAGTTAGGGACTTAGATACGCTCAATCTGCAATTTTGTCTGATTCAGCCCTTTCAATCTAATCTCTATGCCCCGTCCTGGCCCACGGGATAAGGGGTTGGAAGGGGATATCCGACCCAATAACACTATATACCCTGAAGATGATAAAAATATCTTTGTCCCGTTAGCGGAAAAGCAGGGACCTATCAAACTCCCGGGCGCGAATCTGCAAATCTATCATCGCGGAATTCGCTTTCGTATCCGGAGATGGATGCCATACATGTTGCAGCATGGATATGGATATCTTGAAATGGAAACATCCGAATGCCATCTCTCTCCCTATGACGTCTCGAAGGGGGGAAACACGAAAACGAGAGATAAATGAATTACGTGATGACAACCCTTTCATATTAACCACTATTGCAATGATAGAGTGAGGTCTGTATTTCCGAATAAAGGGGAAACGTATCAGAAGAAAGGAGTCCTTGGAAACGCAACGACCGAATACCGAATATAACCCGACCTGGCACTTCTGAGCAGAGCGATCCCTTTAGGCTTGTGAAGGCATTACCAAATAGTAATTTCTGCATATTTTCACATTCTAATAATGGCAAGTATCGTGGTTGCATTGTTTCATATACATTGGTTGGAGACTGTCCTTATGTCCAAAAAATCAAGTCAAGCTACACGTGATCATACAAGATCGCATTGATGGTTTAGTGGTAAAATCCGTCGTTGCCATCGACGGGCCCCGGGTTCGATTCCCGGTCGATGCACTTTTTTTGCTTCTGCATTTTCGCTTACCGCGATTATTTTTTTAGTCGTTATTTTCAGTGCCTTATAAATAATTGACGCCCGTAGCGAGTGTCGAGTCGGTAAATGTAAATGTAAGATAGAAATTCAATATATATTGAGAAGACTAGAGAGCCTATATGCATGCTTATCCCTGTGTCTAATGAAGATGCAATTGAAGTAGCTATGAATTACAAGAAGTCCGCTGGCGCTTTTGGCGGACGACGATGCAGGTAACAAACGAGAATTAAAAGCAAGAATAACAGGCGGTAAATGCGCTCATATACCCTGGGAGCAAATAGGCAGGCAGGCAGGCTGGCAAGAATGAGGAAAAAGAAAGCAGAAAAAGTGTATATAGAAGGAACGAAAGGAGAAACAGCGTAGAAGAGCGGGATGGGAAAAAGAAAGAAAGCATCATTTGCTAGAAATCCAATATGCTGTTTTTGGATGTTTTCGGTTCCCGTTTCTGTGCTGTTCGTGTCTATTTTATTTGTAATTCGTCAAGGCCGAGGTCTGAGGCTGATTCTGGGATGAGCCTTGGGTCAGGGCCTCCGATTCTGCGGTTTGCGGCTTCCATTTCTTGGGGGGTTACGTATTTGGTCGGTTTGAATATGTCGGGCGTATACTGGGGGACTCCTGGGCTGTGTCCAATGGACATGCCCACGCGAATCTAGAGATAAAGTCGGTTAGAATGCTGTATAGGAAAAAGGAGAAGTAGTAATTAATGAAAAGTGGCTAGCATACCAATGTTTCCAGAGCACCCTTTGAATTGTCAACCAAATCGGTGTCAAAGTTCATTCGTCCTGGTTCAAATAGGACTAATAGGGTACTTCCTCCAAACTTGAAGTACCCAAGTTCGTCGGCCCTGGATACCTTCGCGCCGGCCTCTTGCGTGATCACTGTGCTACCGACCATCATCGCACCGACGCAAATGACCATTACACGACCATGAGCAACAGAGTCGATAGGGACTATAATTCGAACATTCTCGCCGTACACGTCCAATGCGGATCGAATAGCCATTGGGTTCACAGTGTAATATTCACCCTCAATGGTCTTTGGGGTACCCATGATTCCATCAACGGGGATATGGAAACGATGGTAATCCTGTGGCGCAAGACGGAAGATGCCGAGAGCTCCGTTCTTGTAGCGCTCCACGTCCTCTGGATAAGCTTTCCCGAGAAGTCGTTCAATGGAGAATTCACGGCCCTTGACCCAGATCTGGGTGGCTTCAGTAATGCGGTCGAAGACCACAGAGCGACAATCAGCGGGTGAGACGATGATGTTTGGATCATCTGGTGCTGAACAGGGGCGTGCGCCTGGTTTTAGGGCGCGGTAGAAGAACTCGTTGAATGACTTGAACTGGTCCAGGGGGAGAAGCACTTCGCTCATGTCAAGTTGGTGGAATTCAATGAATGCCTCAATTTGACTGGAGGAGGCAGGGTCGTCGTACTTCCGACCTTGCTTGATACTCAGCGACTTGAGCATTTTACGAACTGCAGACAGAAAGTCAGGTCAGCTATTGGCTTATTACTCGCCGACTGCATCAGGGGCAACCAGGCAGACGAACTTCTCTTCTTCTCCATCTCTCTGCTCTTCAATCCCTTGTAGAGCAATCGAATACCCAGTCGAACATATACGCTCATCTTCTCCTCGTTGATCTGTCCCGTCAGGCGGTCCTGCACCAAGATATTGGCCGAATTGGCACCGATCTTGTAGCCTCCATATGACAGCTTGGTGATGACCTTGCTATACCATTTCCTCTGCGCCTGACTGGAGGTCACGAAGCCACCCATAACTAAATTGTCTACCTGTCTCCAGTCCTGGCTGGCACAGGTAGCAAGATGGGTGATGATATCTGCATCGGACCGCTTACTCAGGCGAGGCTGATGGCATAAGGGGCACTCTCGAATCTCAATGACATGCTCTTCACCTCGCTCGTCTGAGAGGTCACCCTGAGGCGAGCTGGTGCCCTCTTCGCTACCAGAAACCGATTCATCGCGACTAGCTGTGGCAGATACTGTTGTTTGGTCAACGTTAGTAAGCGCAGGGTTCAAAGTTAGGTGAGTACGGCCGCCCCCAGCAGGGGTGAGGGGAGCATCATCCTCGTCATCATCTTCATCATCATCATCGGGTAGGATCTCACTTTCTAACGGCCCTGAAGAGGACGATGGGAATTGCACTAATTTAGACATGGTGGCGCCCACTGTCTTTTTTTGCAACTCCTGAAGTTTCTCTTCAAGACAGATCACCGCCTGGTCAAAAGTGAGATCCATGGTATCTCCGGACGACTCGTTTTCTGCAGCAAATCTGTGGAAGAATCCGTCGATCGTTGAGTCTTTCAATGTCGAGCCTAGGGTGTCCAGCATGGTAGTCAATTCGATTTTACTAATACGTCCGCTCTCATCTGCATCGTACTGTCGTAGCATGACGCGCCAGAATTGCTGCCTCAGAGCTGGATAAGGCATGTACTTTGCTTTTATATGGAGTTCTGGATTATGTTTGTCTTCCCATCTGTCCTTGTTCTTCAGTAACAATGGAATAACGTAGTTTTTAAACGCATCTGTGTCGGGGTTAGTAGAAGGGAAGCCAGTTTTGTCTGGAGAAACCGGTGAAATGTTCCCAGGCACATTCAGCGTGCTAGCGGAATCAGGCTGAGATGCAGCAGGATTGGAAGTTGGAGCCGGCTGCTGATTGTCCTGCTGGTACTGGCTTGCTAACGAGGCAGCTGAAGATTTTGATTTCAGAGACGGTTTTGCCATTTTGGCGAGGTTTGATGCGGAAGTAGAGCGAGATAGGGTTAGTCTGAACCTAGACTTGGAGGAGGACTGAGGAGTGGTGGGCTCAACGGGATCCTGAGGAAGGTCGAAGAGTTGGTATAAGCCTGTCTCTGGGTCGGCTTCAGGGCCAGCCTGAATAAGGCTCTGCAAGGGGAAGTTTGTGGATGCAACAAAATCGTTCCCGGATAACTTGTCTCTATCAATGACGGTGAAGTTGATGGAATAGGCCTGTTCATGCTTCATCACTTGGAATACCATCTTCTCGTCAAAGACTGGGTTCAAGTTGTGACGGATGACACGGGTTCTCATGGTCTTTCTACCAAGAGACGTGACCACAAACGGGTCCATGTCAAAGGATGTGCGAGTCACTATAACAAATGTCAGCAGCTGCTTTTCCCTCCCCTGCCCGGCGCAAAATCAACTTTGAAATTGACATACTGTTCTTTTCTGGGGGTAGGTCAAGGACCTTGTTTATTTCAAGGAAGACAATGCCAACCACCCCGTCTTTGGCTCCGCAGAATTCATATGCCCGCACGGCAATAGACCGCCGCTTGAGTCGGGCAACCTTTGACTTTTGTCGTTGCTCAGCGATGGCATCCGGTCTGGTCAGGTCCTCCTTTGAGCTTTCACCAACTTCCTCGTTATCTCCGGATGTAGTGGGGGTAGCATCTTCCTCCTCATCGTCACTGTTGCGAATGAGATTCTTGAACTTTAAGAAGATCTGGTCTGAGGAAGCAGAAGGGTTTGCGGGGTCGACAAGAGAGAACTGCAGCTGGATCTGACCGGAGACATCATTGTTCTTCTTGCTGCTTGTCTTCCATTTCGATTGGAGATCGTACCATCGGGGCTGATGCGGCATTGTCAGTCGGGCACTCTATATTTGAAATTTTGTTTCTTTTCTCTCCCTTTTCTCGTATAGAGAGAGTAGCATAGAAATATATAGCAAGGATATATGTAGGGCAACAACAGGTATGCGTACCTCCTGGTGAATCTGGCCGTTTGCAAAGATATCTTCCAGGGCGATATCAAACTCGCCCATGTAATCCTTGCCAAACCTATCTTTATCCCAGCAGACACATTCGAGCAACGGAACACCAACAATAGGCAGATCGAAACAGACGTTCCACTCTGGGTTTAGAGTCTTGCTGATTGTAGGGGTGGACTCTCTGGCATGGCCTAGCGTGACCACCAGATACTGGAGAAGCAGGCAGTTAAGTTAGCCAGGGTATATCATCCAGGGGGTGGGTTAAGAGTTGGTTATTGCCTGTTGGGACAGGGGTAAACATACAGGATCACTCATGCCATTCCTATCCTTTGCAGCTAGATTACGGCCCTAGAAGGTAAAAAATAAAATGACCAGTGTCAGATCGGATATCTCAACCCTCATAGCCTATCCGGGAAAGACGTAAAAAAAAATTGTTTTCGGGCGAGGAACGTACACTGATAACCTGAGTCTTCAAGATCAGCGGGAATTTTGTCTCGGAGGTCGCGGTCGAGGCGGCAGAGAGGTCATCTTGAGAAGAGGCGGCGCCAATCTTTGGGGAACGGTTCCCACTGCGCCGATGAGGGAGTGGCAGGCGGACCATCGTTGGGAGGAGAGAGGCCGTAGCAGGACTGGGTGGGAGTTCTTCCTCTTCCTGGGCGAATGAGCTGCCTGCGGAGGCTATGGGATCGACGTAATCGAAAGGAGGCCTCTGTCAGCTACGATCGCAAGGTCATAGAGGCTGGTACAGGTCTGCTCATCGAGTATGACCGTGTATCCAGGCAGGCTGTGGCCTGTTGGAAGATGGCTTTGTCGTGTTGTCTTAGTGGGCGGCAGCGGCGGTCGTTGAGACGAGGCTCGTTTTGGGGTTTTTGGGGGCTTTGGGGGTTTTGGGGGGTCGCTTTTTTGGTCGATGGCGGTGGAAGAACTTCACCGACTTCCGCTATCAATTAACGTCGGAAAAGACGGGTGGAGATGGAGAAAGACATGCATACGACGGGGAAGAGGGCAGAGAAGAAGAAAAGAGGCAGTCAGGCAGGCAGACGGGCAGACGGGCAGACGAAGACAAGGTCGAGTGGTTTTGTTTGTGGTTTTTTCGTTGCTGTCGATGTTGATGTTTTTTTTTCGCGGGAGGATCAATCAAACCAAAGGAAGAGAAAAATAAAACATACAAAAGAAAAACACTGCTGCTTCTCCTTCTTCTCCTTCTTCTGCTTCTCCGTCGACCAAAAGCAAAGAGAGGAACAGTGAGCAGGGTCTCGAGTCTCGCTTTAGGGGAATCTTTTCTATATATAGGACCGTGTTCTCATCTGCGAGTATCTTCCAGGAGGACTATGCAGGGAGAGAGACAAGGCTGGGATCCATTTGCAAGGAGGAAGTAAGAGAAAAAGGAGACGCAGAGGAGAGAGAAGAGAGAAAGACGAAGACGATACGAAGGTGATAGATTTGTTATGCTAATTATATTATAATTAGCAGCAACAACAACAGCAAGCAGCAAGCAGGGCCTCGTTTATCGATAACTAAATAACCAAACACGGGGGCGTGCGGCTGAGGAGAGACACGAAGGAAGATGCTTGCTTCTAGTCGTCGCTAGCTGACGGGGACGAGGCCGGCAGACGGTTTCCGTAGAGGGTCCAGCGGTCTTTAAGGGGCAGGGAAGGGGGATGCGAGGAAGTGTTAGGCGGCTAGGGGGCGGCTAGGGCCTAAGGTTAGTTAAAGCAGGCAAACTCCAGTTAAAGGTTCCAGTTAAAAAGCCAGTAAAAGCCAGTAAAAGCCAGTTAAAGCCAGGTAAAGCCAGTTGGGGCCACCACCAAAGCAAGGATACGCCACACCCTCCATGAAGCAGCAGCCAGCAGGAGCCTGTCGGGTTCCCAGCATCAACCCAGCAGCAGCAGCAGCAAAGCCGGAGCAAGTCCAAGTCCAAGAACCAACCCAGCGTCAATCATCTGCACCTGCGATGCTCTCTGCACGATAATCTCTTGTCGGTGGTCTCGGACTGATGCCGCACTGCCACACACACGCAGTCTGCGAGTCAGCTATTGACACTGACACCAACATCGACACGACACGACACGACATCAACACCAGACAAGGGACGAAACACAGCAGACGAGCAGAAAGAGCCAAAAAAGCCTCAAGGCCGTCTTTGGCCGGTGCAGCCTGGTCCACTCCTCCTCTCTGCATTGCGTTGGACGATGACTTCACTCATGTCACCGTTGACGCGGAGCCCTTCGGCTCATGTCCAGCAACCAACGACCTCCACCACCCGCCGTCCATACGCCATCCCGTCGTCCGCCGCGCACCGTCCGTCGTGCTACTACTACTCTACTTGACGAAATGAGGGGGAAAGGAGGCCAGCCATCGGGTTGGAAGGATTAGTTAATTGGGGAGAAAGAAAAGAAAAGAAAAGGAGAAAAGGCTCCCAGAGAGATCCCGTTCGTGGGCAAAAGAAACGAAGGAGCGAGTCCAGAGAAGAGCAGCCGCAGCGTCTCTCCACTCTCCTGCATGTCGTGGATACATAGAGAGACTTCGTGGAGGCATGAAGTATGGTTAGTGAAGCAGAGAGCATAAAGCACGGAGCATATGAGGGGGCTTTCTCCGACTACCAACTATATGTACTCCATATGGACGGTCTACTTGGGATGGCCATATATGGTTAACTGTTGTTAAACTTATGCAAAAAGTTATGGGTGAATGGACGGGCCCATGCCATGTCTACATGGCTGGTCTCTATTGGCAGCCTCCCAGGCAAGCCACATCGGAGAAACACTCTCCTCTGATACGGGCGGACGAAGGGCCAGGGCCAGGACAGGGGGCAAGGAGTGATGCATTAAATTATTCTCTACGCTGGCTTTGAGATAACGATAACTTAACTCGTTGGACCTCACTTCTTGCCCCTTAGACTGGTTCGAAAGGTCATCGGGCCACCGCTTAGTCGTAAGTACAATAACTATACTTGACAGGTACGGCTTGATGCTGGAGATATCTCGGATAAAGGTCGATACCTAGGGTAACTTACTTCGCGAATCTAACTCATCAGGAGACAGAAAAGGAAAAGGAAGATCTATGGATATCCCTCATTGTTCAGAAATAGTTACATTAAGCAGTGCAAACGGTACCTAGCTGTAACTAACTATCTTGACTAAACCGCCCCCATAACCAAATGCCGGATTATATATATCATTCATGCATGAGAAGGCTTACGTGGACTAGTGGACTAGATACCAAAACTCCTGAGTTAGTCAACATGTCTGTCTCCTCTACAGCAGATGAACATGCAGCTTACCTTTACATCCAATGCTTCCTGGGACCATCGATCATCAACCTACTTCTTCTCCTCGACTGGCTTCTGCTCGGTCTTCTTGTCGCCCAAGAAGACACCCTGGGCAGTGTCGATACCTACGCCAGAAAAGTCAGCAATTGAATGGCTTCTTCTCAAGGCCCGTTATTAGATGGTGTATATATCTCACCCCTGTTGATCTGGTCGTTGGTACCCTGGCCGGCCTTGAGGAATGTGGACTGAGCAGCGTCGATACCTGTTTTGTCTCCCATTAGCATACATGCATGCATCCATCATCACATCTAATGACGCTGCACTGGCGGTAGAATATCTTACCCTTGTTGAGGGCAGTGTTGTCTCCGCTGCTGCCGCCCTCCTTGTTACCACCAGCGAGGCCCTTGACGAAGTCCATTGTGATTTGGAGTAAGTAGCTAACGGCTTTAAAAAGTCCTTTTGAGTGGAAGATGCGAGAGTTATCTAACGGTAGCAAGCAATGGCAAGTTAGCTCTGCAGGTCCAACTGCTGGGTCAGGGCAAGGTTGAGGCAGACGGCAACCACTCACCAAGAGGAAGCAAAAGTGTTTCTTTCTGGTGTCTGGGAGATGTAGTTACAAGCCTCAGGGGCAGAAAAGGGGGGGATAGCACCAGCTTAAATATTCCAGCAAAACCCACCGAGATGGAACCGAGAAGAAGATTTCCACTTAGTTACGTATCATCAGATCAGATCAGACACTTCCCTTCTCACGATCAGATCGGGACATCGGGCCATCCGGAGGGATGGGGAGGGGCACCTCGCGCAACCCCCTCCCCCCGTATAAACGGAGCATACTTCCATAGCGTACCATATAACTAAGCTATACAGAGGCGGGAGGAGGGACTCAAGCCTTCGCCACCAGGCAACATGCACAGCCTCGATTCGATCGATTCAACACATGCATGATGCCGCTATCTACTGGTTCCTTCCTGCACCAGCCATTGGTAGCTATAGACACGGACATGGGCATGGGCATGGGCATGGGCAAGCCAGTCAATCAAATCGTCCTTTCGTCTCTTCCCGCTGCTGGCCGGTACAAAGTGGACATACATCACCACCCGTGATCACACCAAGTCACCCACTCAATTTTCGTGGGCGTTATATGCTTAGTTAGTTAGTCATCGCATGGACTTAGTTACGACGTCATGTACCCAGTTACAACGCCACATCAACATCATCACCAAGATAGCACATAACAGCTTGCCATCCACAAGCCATACCAGAGCTTACAAATAATTTAAGTCAAAGCTTAATATTACTATTTTTTATATTTATTAAATAACTATAAATTAGTAGTATTAAGCTTAGTAATACTTAGAGAAGAGTGAGCTCTCGTGTATCACATGATATCATGTGATACTCTTATGGTTGTATCTTAATCCTTACCAGGAGCAGTAGAGAAAAAATAAGCAACATACACATTCTATCAGTTCTTACTATCAGGCTCTTAAGCCCTTTCTAATAGCTTATTCTACCTAAGCTGTACCTGTCAATTTGCTCCGAAGCCTTAGATACTCAAGGCTTTATCCAAGAGCTCTCAGGATAACCGTTTCATACCGTTTGAACCCAGTGACCCCCTTGTCTCTCCCAAGCATTCCTCTGTGTAGTATAAAATATTCTATACGTAGTATATAAGTGAAGGAATATATATCTATTGTAATAACCTCCAATTTGTAGTATGGTTCCAAAGTAGCCAGTAAGGTGCGATGGTAGCCAGTGAATGTCGGCAGATGTAAACATACGACTCATTGACCCGTATCAATTAAAATGATTACCGCCTGAGGGACTAATTCACTAGATGCCATTTATTTCACATGTCTAATATACTAGAAGGATGAATATCTTCTTTCGAGGGAAGACTCTCATTTGAACAGTTTATTGACAGACGATAAAGTAAAGGTTCATCCAATGGAGGGGAGTTATTCCCTTTTACAGTTAAATAAGCTCATCCGGACTGAAATTTGATCAATCAATGGGGACACTTTTGGGTTGATGTGCCATCCCCCCTGAAGTAACTAGCTTTACCCCGGGTCAATGGGCCCTATGTTGTACTCTAACGAGGTGGTGAACCCAAGGCCGACAATTTGTTGTCTCCCTAGAGTGAGGGCTCCTCGATGTGGAAGGGTGGCATCTCGCTGGATGAAGAGGTTCATCCGCGGGATTCTGCGGTCCAGGGAAAGGTGATCGGCTTTTTTTTTTAGGTGTTCTGTTCTTATATTTTTTAGCAATGTATTTTTTGATTTCCTGTAAATGGCATTGGATGCAGACTTACTATCTTTTTCAGAACACTCAATTAGTGATCAGTAATGTGCCATAACTAGTAGGCCGTTATTTTTGGTAAGGTAATGTCAGGATATATGTATTGGCCATATGCTCGCTACATTTTGCGTGGCCTTCTACCTCGCATATCCGATAGCTCAATATTATTATCCTCCCGTGGAGCTGGAACCTCAACAATGACACGCACTGGGACTGCAACGTCTGGAGGTCTAACCTCCCCAGGAGTCAGATCCTCAGTGGTTGAGGCTCCAGCTTCGGCGGCTGTAGTTTCCGGGGCTGCCACCGCGCTAGCCACGGGACCTAAGTGTTGACCGGCGTTAAGCGCCGTCCTGATGGCCTTCAAAGTATCCAGTAATTCGGGCCTCTCCATAGTTTCAGAATCAATGAAGCGTTGACACTCGGCCTTGAAGCCCTATAGAGTTACCTTCGACCCTCCATCCGTAGAAAGAGGACCGGAGGCATTGACACCCTGAGCAACGGGTTGGGTGGCTTCCGTCTCACGGTCCAGGTCCAGGTTCTCGGCGTCTCCGGCTCTCCTCTTGGCCAGTTTGCCGGGATAGTAATGTAATACCATCCCAGTTAGGACCGGGAAGAGGAGCCATGACAGGTAGTCGATGGCGTCTTTAGCTGTTCCTCCCGTTTCAAGCATGGTGAGGTTACACAGACAAGCCATCACGGAGGTTGAGATCGGGGGTATGAAAATAAGTAAAAAAAAAGCGAAAGTCAATGGTGTCATATACGGTAATAAGTTATATTGGAGCGAAAGTGATATATATGAGCGCCGTTGGAGAAGAGAAGAAAAAAAAAAAGAAGAGAAAGAATTTGGGAATTTCGAGCAATACTTGTAGAGCGATCGAACGCCTTCCATGTCTGGCAATGTCTTGTTTACTTGTGATATCACTCGATAAACACAGGTTGATGAGAAGGAGCGACTGGTATCCTAGAAGGCACGACCATGCCTTTGGTGATAGTAGGAAAGAAGCTGGCCAGTCGAGAGTACAGTAACGACAGTGAGAATATCTGGGAAGAAAGAGCCAGGGAGTCGCCTGGTAAAACTAAGCATCGGGAAGGAGCGATTGATAACTTGAAGGTCGTGGAATGCCTGCCTTTCACGGGGCCAAGCTGGGGAAGGGCAGATTGCAATTCACAACTATTTCATCTTTATCCGAAGGAGGGCTGTCTCTGAAGTATAAGATAAAAAAGGGGCCAGACATAACGAAAAAAGTGACCAGATCGGAAAGGAAGAGTAGGGTCGCTCCTTAGTAGAAAAGGCATCATGGAAGCATGCCGATAGTTACTAGGTAGCAACTAGTTACGAGTTTTCGCTTCGAGCTAGTGGGAAGACTTCGGCGAACAGTCTTAGTCTTTAATAGGTCCCCAAAAATCAATCTCCCTTCCCCATTGATCTCGAGACGGCAGTTCGGAGTCAAAATGGTGTTTGTACTTGAGATCTCCAGGCTTTATGGCAACCGGGGCAAAAGTGCAGGGAGAAAATTCGGTTCCATGCTCTCATAAGCTTCCGTCGGAATTTTTGCAGGCCCCAAGATTCTCCCAAGTAGTACTTCGAAACAACATACAACTTGGTTTGTATCGTAGACGGGAGATTCTGATTTCTCTCTCTGAATGGCTTAAGGGGCATCGGTAACAGTAGTGACAGTCATTCGCTTTCTCAAGTCGCGAAAGTTTAGGTAGCAGGTGTGTCTTAAAGCCATCACAATATCTAGTTGCCTCCGATGGATACGATGCTCGATATATAATCCATATATCTTCTTTTAGAATCAAGTTATTGGATATAAGTTTGATATCAAAATTCCAGACACCCTTTTTGAAATAGGAATCCTTCAAGAACATGATGTGCATACTCATAGCCGCAGCCGCGCACCGACCATGTGTAGGGCCAAACCGATAATGGTTCATGACCTCTTTCGCCTGTCTATATAGAAGGCACGGAATGTCCGTTTTATCTCTAGGCCCAAAAAAATGAATGGCAGTTTCTGTATCGCATTGACCCGGCTTTAAAAGGGGCTGTTTCTTGCATTGGGTATGGAATTTCTGACAGCGGTAGCAGAGAATATGTTGGGGAAAGTGTGCTTCAATCCTCTCTAGAAAATCCATCCGACTGTCACTAGGCTTCGACAGTCTATTGAGGATTCTGCCCGCCCGCGGCTTGCCAAAAGTACTTGGATGCAAGAAAAAATCAAGCAGCGTCAGCTGGTGGCAGCGACGAAGCAATGTAACATATTGCATCACCGTGAAGTGCATGTATAGGCGCTTGTGGTTTCCGGGACAGGGATTCAGCGGTCTTGCATTCAGCGGTCTGGCATTCAGTGGCCTCTGGGGATGTAGGCCACAGTAACATGCGTATCTGCCGTATCACTCGAGGACAGATGTCCATTTTTACTGTTGAATAATAGTTAATAAAGTAGGCAGTCTCACTTCTTATCAGCTGGTAGGCTTGCCTCTTTGGTTCAACAGTTTGATACTAGTCAATGAGTTAAATCTTGCTAGGTCCTTTCGTGGCCCTAGTATTTTCTCTCGGCAGTAGTTTCGGTGACAGTTGTAATAGGTGATCTGTAGTAGCGGTACGAATAAATGGTAAGATGTATTTTTTGGGGGAATAATGGGGGATTGCGCTCTTGATATCTTTTTTCGAGCTTTTGACGTCATTGACTCTGCTTTTGACGAAGTTTGGAATGATGTAGCGTCAATGAAATAACTAGTTACTCTCTCCGTCGCCAATTGGCGGATTCACCTTTTTGGTTGGCAGTTTGATATATAGTCGAACGAATCTAACTTATAGCTATATTAGCAACCAGCTTCGTTTGCCTCAGATTTAACTCTTAGTTAACAGGTTAAGTTAACTAGTTAAGCTATGGCTTGACCGTAAGGTTTCGTAAATTTGTATTGGTAGGCTGAAATGTTTTTGTAGGGTATATAATCCAGGTTTCGGTATAACTGGTGAGTTATCTGGAGCCTACGAGCTCACCGGTTTTCCCAAGTTATTATGGTTGAGCATACCGCCATAGGTCATGTCTCAGTTAGAAATATCTCACCGATCAAGGGTAATGGTAGAAACGCCAGCGAGGTAACCGTGTGATGGCAAATCTCGTTTGGGGCTTGTCTTTGCTCTTGTAATGAGCGCCACGAGACCTCAACGACTTCTGATGGCGTTTGCAAATTACTGGCGAGAGATATTTGTGTGGCAAGACCGAATTTTGGGCTAGTAGTTGCGTCGATGACTTCTGATGGAAAAAGAGAACTATTGGTGAGTGGTCCAGGTTATAACCATGGAAGCAGTAAAGGTTTAATTCCGTAAGCTTGAATGAACTGGACCGGATATCATGCATTCGCCAGGTGGTGTTCGGGCCAGAACAGTGCGGGCAAAAATCTTGGTTAGCTATGTAACTCTAGGCGCGCCAGGATTGAGAATTTCCGGCCTTAGTTAAGGGCTGCATATACCATAACGTTTTGAAGAGGATGGCCGGGTATAGGATAAGGCCCTCAGTCTTCGTCCATCAGCTATTTTAGCCTTCCTGAGTGGTTTTATCATATGAACCCGCCTGTTCGGCTTGTAGTCCAACTCGGGTTACCCAGATGGAGCTGTGGAGGCGCGATATCATGTACTTGTATATTTCTATCAAGGTGCTTCGTATACTGATCAAAGAGAATGAACTCGCTCCTGGAGAAAAAAAGATTGTCAATTTGTTATTTTACGTCTACTACAAATAATATATGGAGGAAAGAGATTTAGAAGAGGCGAGACGGCATGGCTTCCAATCCACCCATATCTCTTCCAGCGAATTCCGACTCCTTTGCTTTGCAATATCATGAAAGCTCCGCAGCAGGTTTTGGCTAGGGCGCCAGTTGCCAACATGCCACTCAAGAAGCGGGTGTCCGCTATCTTTAGGAAGAAGATATCTTAGTCCCCATATATACTCCTTGCCGTAGCTACTTTCAGGATAGTTCTCGTAGATACCTTCACCGGGACTAAAGCGTATACACGTGAATAACTCAACCTCCTCTAGTAAAGACATTTTCTCTAATGCCTTAACAAACGCCCCCAAGAATGGTTCTATAGCCTCATCAATAGGCATGATTCGAAACATATTAGGGTCGAAGTCATCCCAGCGACCACCGTTATAGTCCCAAACCTCATCCCAATGCTCATCTTCGGGATTCTCTTTAAGTAGGGGGTAATGAGTTTGGGTAACCTCGAACGGGGTTATATCTCGGCCTTCCCCCCGCGGACCTTGAAAGTACCATGTTCCAGAAGGTGACATTGGTTGAAATTCAACATGGAGCTTTTTTAAGTACGGCCAAGAGAGAGGGTCCACTATATCTTCATTAGGTGAGGGCCAGAAGATATTTCCATCAACACATGCACGAATAGCTAAATCAACCACACGCTGTGAGATTATACGAAGGCCCGAGCTTAGTAGATCGTAGGATAGTGGGCTAATCAGGTTAGGCATAGGGAGGGTTTCGTCATGACACTTGAAGGAATAGCTATATCCAAAGAAGATCTTAACACGGTTAATCTTTACCGGTAGGGTAGTTGTATTCTGCATGATGCTACCAAAGGCATGCCTTGTGTCGCGCCTAGGGCCTTCCCATGGCCGGGTAAAGTGAGTGAGAACAGGGTCTTCGTAAGCTAGCAGCCACCCTTCCTCGAACCTCGGGCAGTCCAAGGCAACTAAATTAGGGAGCTTGGAAACGAGTGCGGGTACAAGCCCATAGTCCAACGGCTGCAATACACAAGGTATATCGTATCTACTATCCCTTTTACCAGACCCACGCTCACCAACACTGAGGCTTATAACTGAGAGGAGGGTAGGCAAATTTTCATGTGTAAGCAGGCGGAGGCGCCAGCTAAGATAGCCACGGTGATGGCAGTAGTTGTCAACCTGCTGATAATGGCAGGGAGGCCAAAGGCAAAGGCGAATATTCCTTGGTCGATTATACGGGAGCTCTCGTTCCTCCAAGGTCTTGATCATGGTAAACAGAGCTGAGATTCGATGGGTAAAAAGCTCATTATATGACTGGAGATCTTCGGCTGTCTCGCGGCATGGAATTCTTGTGCTCCCATCAGTAGGGACCTGGGTTGGAAAGTCGATATCGACGTCGATAGCGCGGAGATAGCGGCTGCGATGGCCGTGATATTTGCCCAGGAAATCTTCGGCACTGTCTGTTCTGAATGTATAGCTACGCCACGCATACTGCTCGACGGCAACTTGAAAAAGGCGTGAGACCGTGAGTAGCTGGCCGCGTACCTTATGGTCAGCATGACGAACGATGAGATTGACGAGCTCTGGCAGGCCAAACACATTTATAGCACTCATAATGAGGTCGTAGAGGATCAAGACGTTGATAAATGGAATGGCGAATGCGTGGTTAGGGAAAGAATAGAGCCCAGAGCGTGTAGGACGCCTGTTGTGCGGCGTGGTAGACCGATAGCCGAGCGGAGATAGAAGAAGGGCGAACAAGTAGAGCTTTTCCAAAGTATATAACCTGGTCCTAGTAGTTATTTGAACAAGGATCTTGCTATCCTTGTATATATAATTGAATTGTAAACAAATATAGAGCAGAGAGTAAGGTCAAACGCTAGGTGATATCGCCTCTTCGGCTCAACATCCCTGACAATGGGCGCTGGTTATACTCTGGTAATAACAAAGGATTTTTCGGTATCCTCACTCCAAAGGGGCCTCATGTAGGTATCGTTTGGCTGTACTGAGTATGTCAAGGTACTCCATTCATTATTGCAGCATTGATCGCTAATAATCAATCGTGGTCGAGATTCAATATTACTTAATATCTGTCGACAAAGTGGATGAGTCAATAACGTCTTACTTGTAAGGAAGTTGGAACCGAGGTATGGCATGCAACAACTAACGCCACGCCTCACTATGTATGTAAACCAATGCAAAAATCGTAAAATATTGAAAACGAAAGAGAAGACGTTGAAACCAAAAAATCAAAAGCTGAAGAGCTCGCTTCTCCTTTTTCCCTCGGGATAAATAATCAACGCTGCGAGAAATAGTCCAACCGTAGTGGAAATGCTCACTTGAATCATCGCGTATGCTAAATCAAAAACGACATCACCGTACACCTTGCTCGAGCCAATTCGGGCTGCCAGATCCTGGAACGCTGCGTCGCTAGGGTTACCAGACCCACCGGGATGGCCTGCCAGAGCGGACGCTATTGCTGTCGTTGCGGCACTGGCTATTGTCGAAGTTGCAGCGCTCGCCGTCTGGTTTGCAGCGGTCTGGCCTACCGAGTTAGCCTGGTTGGCGAACGCAAGGCCTGAGACTAGAGAGCCGCTTGCCGCCAGTCCAGAGGGTACCTGAACCAGTATTCCAGGCAGCATGGCGGCGGCAGCCAGGCCGTGGCCAAGCCGACTGTAGAGGTTACCCATAATGCCAATAGCAAACGCGCCCATGCAGTTTGCTATCTGCAGGTTACGCGGGAACGCCTTGCTGCTAAAGAAGTTTACCAAATATCCGATAAACGAGAAAAGGGCCATGACGGGCACTTGCTTCCATTTTGCCTGATTGATCAGCGTGAGGCAGACGGTAAACGCTATCACCGACGGGAAATTATGCGCATATTCGTTTTGGCTGGGGCTGGTAGGACATACATACGCCGAACTGGCGTCGTGGTCGATTTTGCCGTAGAAAGTCGTGCCCAGCATCATTCCAAACCCAAGTACAAGAGAGTATATAATGGCATAGACAAGACGGACTGAGCCGGCGAGAATGTTCTGTGACTGTAGCTCGAGACTGCTGCATAGAACCATGAAGCCAGGCAGGATAAGGGCGATAGAGGACTGGGCGAGTGCGGGGAAACAGAAGAGACGGTCATCCCCTGGGCCATGGCGGATGCTTCCGATCGCACGAGCGAGAAACGAGAGGAGCATGGCGGCAGTGAGCTCGAATATGTTGGCATACAGACGGGAGCGCGGGACGGCAATGTACTTGAGCGCACCCAGTATACAGCCAAGTGCAAAGGAGACGGGGAGATCAATCACACGGCCGGTGAACGCGAAGGGCCCAACAGCAGCACTGGCAAGTCCGAACAGGAATATTAAGGTCAGCACGTTGTATCTCGGCTTCTCGTTTTTGGGCTCTTCCAGGAGCTGCATTGCCTCCTCGACGCCAATCATATCGTGCACCACATCTTTATATATCTGATGGACGTCTTGTAGCTTCCCCAGGTCCACGCCTTGATCGCAACGCTGTAGTTTCAAACTGGTGGTGTGTGTGGATGTATCATTGAATGAGACAAACATGCAGCCTGGGAGATATAGGAACTGAGCATCAAGCTCAAGCACACGGGACGTCATTCGTAAACACTCCTCGAGCCGATGTGTAGGTGCTCCATAGGCCATCAGGGCGTCGCACAGCTTTTCCAGGTACCGTTGTCGAGAAATTGTTTCCGCAATATGCACTGTAAGACGAATCTCGTCTTCGAGACGGGGTTTGTTGCATATCTTCTTCACAGCATTAACCATTAAACCACTACTTCGAGATCGTTTGAGCTCTGGCCGTCCTGCGGACTCAGCGCCCAAACAACCGCCAGTCAAAGTAGCCTCCGAGCCAAGAGTATTAAGTGACAGTGCGGATGGATTCTTGTTCTTCTCGTACCACTTGGGGCGTGGAGTGGATTTTCCCGGAGTTGTTTTCCCAGAAGTGGGAGCACTATGGGGTGCAAGGAGAGGGGAGGTGGTGTTTGCTTGCGGTGTTGGAATTTGCTGTTGTGATGTACGGTTTGCTTCTGCCTCTTGAAGTTGGCCCAATCGAAGAATATCCGTCAGGATACTCCGTCCATGTTGTACGGGTGGTGATTGCGAGCCGCTAGATTCTGTGTCAATAGAATAATGCCGCCTGCTCTTGGGTTCTGCCCTGGCACGTATACTCTTCACAATACCATTGGCTTCCTCGGCACGAAGTGTGAACTGCCGTGCTCGGTCTTTCTCGTGCTCATATGCTGCTTTGGATCCTGATGCTGACCTTCCTATATAATGCCGTCCTTCATGATGGGGCTCAATAAGATCCTGAGATAAAGACTCCTCATCTGACCTCCGACGACGATGAAAGTATGATGCTCTTCGAACCTGCGAAGCAAGATTTTGGGCTTTCTCGTAGGCTGCCTGAATTGCCTTGTTTTTAGTTTTTGATGATTCTGTTGATTGAGCTGTTGATATTGGGGATGGAGGTCTCCCGGGGCTGCCAAGGGGGGTTGGAACAGGGCTTGCTCTTGGAGAGGATTGTGCGGATAATGAGTCTCGATTTTTATACATGGGGATGAATTCAGAAGACTTAAATGTAGGAAGAGAGGGCCTGTGGACAAATGCAGGCGCCTGGGGTTCAGGGGGAGTATAGCTATCCACATAATCCCGCAGAGGGATCTCTTCTGAGCTCGAATCCGATCCATCCGAACCAAGAGTAAACTTAACTCGGTTAAAAGGTCGTTCTCTAGCATCATTGTTGTCACTGGTATTGCTCATATCTCTGATATGAATTGCAGGGCCAAGTCGGGGCGAGGTTTTTGGCGAGGCGTCCTGCTGTGGCTGCCGTTCAGAATTGCGGGAAGCATAGTTGCTCGATGTAAATGGGTTGCAGTTGGGGAAGTGTGCTGGCTGGCGAGGCCAGTCTGCCATAATTGGCAAGAGTAGTTAAGAATAGAAATGTGGCACAGTGAGTCGTAAGATCTCAACCGCACAGAAATGGGAAAGAAACGAGATACTTAGTAGAAAAATAAGAAGGAAAGTTCATCAGGTTGATTTGGTTATATGATGAAGTGTGTGCGAGGGTCAAAATAAATAATGTGTAGAAGGCAGAACTGAAAACTCGATTAACAAGATATCAGCCGTCTTGTCTATCAGTCACAGCCATCGGTCTAGATGGTGTTCCATGTACCCGTTCGCCACAGCCGTAGTAAGGAGCATACATATAGCTGGACAAACGGGCTTGCAGCTTAAGAGTTTGAAAATAAAAAAAGAAATACGCCTTGGTATCAGTGGGGCCGCACAGGAAAAGTGAATCCCGAAGATGGGATTCCCAAGCGCCAAAATAGCCCTATGCAGTATGTTAGGACCGTTATGGGAGGTCTAAGCTGATAAGGTCAAACGCGCCATATCCGGTCGACCTCGGCGAGCCATACAATTTTTATCAGAGCTGAATAGTTGCACTGATTGTATCAGACCCTGGGAGCTGGCGTGGAAGGCCCTGCGCATTGGCCAACATTAATAATCCAGCAAATTTGAAGATCCGGTCCCGTGGTGCCTGGGATCTGATATCATAATATATTAATAACAGTACCTTGAGGAATCCAAAGACAAGGAAGACTGGCAGAATACAGGTGATGACTGGATGAAAACCCTCCTTCCCAGGACTAGATGGCGAATTCCCTGCCACACATTCCCACACGGGGGTGATGCAAATAAATGGAGCTGTTTACTCCGTTGCTATAGATATCAGCTCCACTGAAGCAGAGACTTTCGCTCCACTAATTGGCCTTGATGCCCAAGCTCTTTGAGACTCTCGTTCCTTATCTCGCATTTTGCGCGTCAAAAAACCTAGCAAAACCCAACAAAATACAAATATAGCTCTCGAATAGCTGTGTGCGGTGGCAACGGAGCCATGAGGGTCTGACTTTCGGCAGTTCAGACGAAGGTTAGTTTTGCACAACGGATCCACGGGTTCCATTCATCTTGTAGATCTGGACCTGTCTCCTGGAAGATAGTTAGTCACGACATCCTTATCACAACTCGTCACCTGCATCGCATAATGAAAGCTGATCACTGACGACCAGCGAATTTGTCGACAGACTGGCCAGACTGTAGTTGGATAATAGCCCGATACAGATGAGAGAGGATGATGATGATGGATGAAGTTGAAATTGAGGTGGACGAAGCGCAAAACAAGCGACGCATGGAACAAGTAAGCGCCGACTTCTAGAAGCTTGGCATAAAACTTAGATAAGCAACGACAAACAAACCGCCTTAAGCGAGACTTTTTTTCTGCCCCTTTTGATAGCCTAACATACCTCAATCCTTTACGGATACGATTCTCGGGATGGTGCATATAGGCCTCGGAAGCAGCGGCTTGTGGACAGACAACGTAACTAATTTACAGAATGGGTGTGGCGGATGACTCTCAGGAACAAGTTATGATCAGCCCTGGATGCAAAGAAGGTCGCTGCCCGATCTCGGCCTGTCCTACATGGGCTGGATGTGTCGATATACCAAGGAAATATAAAAATATCAAAAAGCACATGATGCTCATTCAGGGTATACAAAGTGCTTGTCTAATTTTGTCTAATAACTAGGGTATCAAGGATATAACGGAGTGGGACCCGGCCATCAAACTGTTGTGCAAACGCCCTAGCCCCATGCTCTAGTTCCCAAAACAGTTCCTGATACATCAAACAAGTCCGCGAAGCCCCTTTTAGAGTCGTAGGCATATATTATGTATGACCATCCAAAGCCGATGATTAACTGTCAAGTCATCTATTCTCAGCCGTAACTGTCTACTGGGAGTATAGCATGCGAGTTAGAGGGTACGTTAACGTGTAACTTAGTCTCAATAACTAGGAATCCTTGCTGTTATATCCAGCCATCTGTTCAGCAAATTCATTTACCCAATACAGGCACATAGTAACCCTATATCCACCTCAATGTTGCAGTTACTTGCAAAAATTCTAGATCGTTTGCCAGAAATCCTACCTCATTGGCTAAGATAAGCAGGCAATCACTGCAGCGATGGCAGCAAGGGTACCATTTGGGTCCTTGACGCAAACGGTCTTCAAGCCAAGCTGCTTAGCGGGATAGTCATTCCCTCCTGGGAAAATGGCATCACCAATAAACATCATCTGATCAAGAGGGATGGTGCTTGCTTCGCTGAGCCTTTTCAGCCCGTAGGCCTTGTCCACCCCTTTCTGGGTAATATCAATGGAAGTTGCACCCCCCATGTTGATTGAAACATCAGGAAGGCGCTTCCGTAAATCTGCCTGGATGACTCTTCGTTTTGCAAAATCAGGATCCCAGACCTCCTTAGCATGGATGGGTGCTTCTTGTCCTAGTGCTGAGAAGGTGATTTGACTACCGCGGTCCTCGATACGGTTGCCCCAAGTCTGCTCTGGTTTGAACCCCGTTGCTTCTAATGCTTGGTCGAAAGCAGTTAGAATCAGCTTCTTGGTTTCGTCATCAAAGAGTTCCGCATATATCACTTTCCATTCTCTGCCGTCGTGTTTATACAGCTTCGTGCCGGTCGTGGGCATAAGCCAGAGTCTTGATAGATCAGCTCGTGGAGGAAGACGGCTGGCGACTTGTTTCTGAAACTGCGGCCAGTCACCGCCGGATATTACTGCGACGTGTGCCACGGCGAGTAGGTCGGCGAGCATTTCTCCCATCGAATTCAGCAGTGGCTGTTTGCTGAGGGCAAGAGTACCATCCAGGTCGAAAGCAACGAGGGAAATCATATTGCCGGTATCTAGTATGGGGCTCGTCGTTTATGTAGCCAGTTCTTGCAGAAATCAAGGGGTTTATCCTGTTAATAGGACCAACAATGATGGCGATAAGATCAAATGTGTTGATGGCACGAGTAAGTTCTAAGGCTGCGGGGGAGAACCGAGTTATCGGACTAAGCTTCAAGGGGGTTGGGGCTCAAGCAGTTATACCCCAGGGGTCTGCTTGCTCTCAGGCCCTGAGGTCGCCATGCTTCGAAACCAAAACCCTGAAATATCTAAACCTCATTTAAGCAGATATACGGAGCATAGGCAAACCAGCGCTATTAGAGGGCGGTTATCCGCCTAGCACATGGCACACGCATTGGGCTCCTGTGCAACAGGCACGGTTAGCTACGTCTTCAACATATGAGCTTGATCAGTACAGTAGGACCAAAGACGAGGCGCAAGTCAACGCGTTGCTATCTTGATTTCTTTAATTCATTAAAAACAATTTCATCTCATCCAAACTGCTTCCCGCCGTACCATGCCATCACACCATCCTGCCAGCTTAGCTTTTGTTCAACTGTCCGCTGACAAAAAGAATAGCAAAACCAGATCAAAGGAACAACTTTGACTGATAAAAGAGTGGACAAGCAAGAGATCAACTCGCTCAAAATCATGCACAGAGGCACAGATGGGAAAGGCCAGGGGAGGAGGCAGGTAGGCATGGGAACATAAAAAGTATCAGAAGCGAATGCAAAGAAGCAGAGAAAGAGACACAAGAACAATCCTATTTAGAAAAGCAAGAGCAGAATATCAAGATACCAGTTTGGCAGTGGTTGAAGTTGCACGCACGCACTCTTGTAACCATAAAGGATGATAAATCACGCACCCTAAAGAAGAAATAGGAGAAGAGAAAAATAAGGGAATAAATAAACGGCTAACAATCACACCCCATGTCATATGCGCCTGATATTTTATAAAAGAGCTTCTCCGCGCCAGATACCAGGGCTGGGGAGAGTTACATAACCGTGCTCTTTCTTTTCTCCGCATTGGAAAGAACCATAATCGGCATCTTCCTACGGCCTGCGTCGAGCTCCCCAGCTCCGCCGTTGGGACCGCCCACAACTTGTTTTCTCTCTGATCCGATGGCTCCGTTAGCAGCAGCACGTAAGCTTCCTAAGCTTCGTCTGCCAGATAGGGAGGAGCTGCTATCGGCATCACCGTCGGATGGCGAGAAGGAGAATTCACCATCGCCATCTTGCTCATTTCCATGTTCACTGGAAGGAGTCACACTGCCTGTGCTATGTGAGTTGCCGTTTGACGTGGAAGTGGAGGTGTTCCGCTCTAGTCTAGCACGTACAAGACTGTGAACTGCCCTACGGCGTTGACGGGTAGCAAAGTTCTTGCTTCCCTCATGCTTAGTTGTTGGCTTGGCGACGAGCTCCTCAAGCGGTGGTGGCCCACGGGGTTGACGGATTGCATGCTCTCCAGCGCGGTTTTGACCGGGTCCAAAGGTGCCAGGTCCCGCGGAAGCAGGAGTCTGTGGGAACATCGCTGACTTGGGGGTGGAGGAGCCATTGTTGCTAGATCGAGTGGTCTCGTTAATAAGCTTGACGGCCAAAGACAGCGACTTCTTGTGATCACGCTTGATACCAGGAGCAGGAGACTGAAGCGGAGGGGATTGACGGGCCTGTTGCTGGGGGTGCATTTGAGACTGAGCCTCGCGAGGAGGTGTGGGGTTGCGGGTAGACGGGGTTGAAGAGTGGTGGCGGATGGGAGACTGGCGGGATTCCGCTGGAGGTGGAGAGACACGAGCGGAGGCACGGAACATCGAGTGCGTGTTTCCGTTCGCGTGGCCGTTTGAGTTGCCGTTTGAGTGTGCATGGAAGCCGCCGTTGGTTGCGTGGGACTCGACCGGAGAGCGAATCTGGTCTTCGTAGGTTGACGCGGTTGGTGCAGCGGACAATGGAACGTCATCATAGACGCTGTTGTCCACCACGTAGCTCTGCTGCCCAGTCATTGGGTTGAACACTGAGAACATGCCGGGCTTGCCGGGAACGGGGTGCACAACGGGCTGCATTCCATGCTGGGCTTGCTGTTGATAGAATCCCATGGTAGGCAATGCAGACAAAATCTGCTGCTGTTGTTGCTGCTGCTGAAGGGCCTGTGCATGTGTGGAATGCATAGGAGTTCCGATGTGAAGTGCCTGGAACTGTTGAGCAGCAGCAGTAACGCTGGCAAGTTGCTGTTGGAGACGCTGCTGCTGGGCGGCGAGGTACAAGTTGGTAGAGACTAGCTCTGCATACAAGGCCTCATCCATGGGCTCACCATTTTCTTCGAGAATATGGTCGAGAGCCGGGGGAGCTAGGACGTGTTCGGGGAGAGAGTACATCTGACCGTAGGTCTGGGCAGTGCTTCCGCTGCTGTACGACTTTGAGTGGTTGAACGACACTCCCGTAGCCGTCTGGGGAACCCCACCGAGGTACGCGTTGGAGTGGTTGCTATAATTTTGCATCCCGCCAAAGCCATTCTGATGGGGGTGTTCCTGCATCAGGGGAGCGGTGGATGGAGTGGTAGGCTGTTTGGGGGCAGTCCTCAACCCAGCAAGCAGGTGAGAGCGGCTTGTGCGTGGAGTTGAGACGGATCCATGAGCATCATCTCGTTGGTCAAGCTTAGATGGGTGCGGGACGCTGAGACGTTTGATATGAGAACCTTTACCACGAGAAGCAAATCCGGATCCGGGAACGCCGAGAGAAGAGGTGTTGAGGGACATGTTGTTATAAGTCATTTGAGCAAGACCGCCAGTGTCCATGCTCGTAGTCGTCAAAGGTTCGATGGGCGAGAAAGAAGTAAATCAGATATCAAGTATTTTTTTTTGGCTCGTATATGCACCAGTGCCTTGCTAGAGATCGATCGATGGACGGACGGTGGTAAGAAGAGAAAAAGATTAGACCGAGAATTAAGTAACGAGATATGCCGGAGAGTAGATCCGACAGGTCGCAGAGAGTCAAAGGTAGATATCAGAATTAGGGGATTAAGATGTATGTAATGAAGGGTCCGTTATGAGTTCCGGCTGCAAACTGTTAGTTGTTAATCGAGATGCATCAAAAGAGCGGTAACAACTCACCAGAGTCAAAAGAGGTAGGTTATAAAATGGGGGAAACGAGAAGAGTAAGGGTAACGGAACCAAATTAGAAGTAGAAAAAATATACAAGTGAAGCAACGCGGTCGTATGGCAAGAGAGGTTCAGTTTGCCGCGGAAAGGAGGACGAAAAGACCGAAGATCGTGACGACGAGGATGCTCTGCAAGCCTCGCGTGAGGGTTAGACTGAAGGATGTGAGAACAAAGGGTCAGAAAGACGAGTACCGCGTGTACTGGCGAGGAGTACAGGCAGTAAGAACCAGATGAACGCAAGATACAAGCAAGTAAATGGGATGCAAATGCAAGTAGACACAGGAGGATGAGCAAGGAAAGAGTATCCGGACGCGTTTCAGTCAAGGGCTGAGAAGACTATCGGCTTCAAAGGACGAGAATCGGGGAATGTTGAATATAACGATGCAGTACGCTATGAGTGTTGGACGTTGGCGATGTTTCCCTGTTGTAGGATCTCGAGATGAACGGGCGAAACAACCAAGGAAAAAGCAAAGATAACGACCAAAAAACAGGGCTACAACGTAGCAAGCAAGGTCTAACGGGAGGACAAAAGTCGGCTTTGAAGGAAAACGGTGTCTGTCTCTTGTTCACTAACGGCCGGGTATGCGCGAAAACGTCTGCTAGGCTCCAAAAAGAAAACGAAAGAGAAAGGCGAGAAGAAGGTCGGAGGAAGGGTGAAGGTATTATTTAGAGTCGGTTTGCTGGTTTGCAGCGGTAGAAGGTGGTGGAGCGAGATGACTCGCACACGACGGCGATTGACGTGGGCGTGGCGGTCGTCGTTGGAGCGCTGTTGGTCGTCCGGCTAGCAGAGCAGGCGAAAAGGAACGAAGAGAAGTTGTCTTTTGGTTTTTCTTTTTTGAACGCAGATATGCACTAGAGAGAGCGAGAGAGGAACAGAGAGAGATAGAGAGAGAAGAGAGAAGAGAGAGAGAGAAAGAACAAGAGGCGAGGATGAGGATGAGGATGAGGATGGAAGAAGAAGAAGAAGAAGAGACGAAGATGAAGATGAGACGAAGTTGAGGAAGAAGAAGAAGAAAGTCGAAGTTTTGGCTCAAAGGGGGAAAAAGGCAAAAAGAGACGCGCGCTAAGCTGGTTTAGGACTAGCGAGCGCCAGAAACCGCAGTTTAGCGCCGGGGCTAGAGCCAATTAGAGGAGGGCAGCAATTTGCAATATAAAGTTGATATCGGGCGGAGGCGAAGGAAGAGACGGTGATGAGGGAGGAAAGGGTCAGGATGCAGACAGGCAAAGAGGCAGCAGGGTCGGGAGGAGGTTGGAGTCAGTGCAGGTGTGATGCTGGGACTGGGCTTGATGATAGTGGACGAGGATACTACGGAGGGACGACATGGAAGGCACTCATCAACCGCTGCAGGGTCATTCATTAACTGCATACATAGTACGGAGTACAAAAAAGATGCATGCCAGGATATACGGGCGGACTGCCACACGGACAGACGGATCCCTCCAGCCTATGGGCCTATGAGAAACAAGAAACTAAAAAGGTACATTTGATACCCCTGGTTTCAAGACCGGAGTAGAGAAAAACAAAACCAACATTAAACTGGGTATGCAGCCGCCATGACCAGGCCAGGACCATGACCCCAACCGTAAGCGCCAACCAGATGAAACAGACGAGCATCAAACGAGAAGAAAATAGAGAAGGGGGAAAAAAGATGTAACACCTAGCCGTATATGCAAGAAAGATGGTAGAGAAAGAAAGATTAGGAAGCCACCGAGCTAGCGTCGACAGCATGGTCAATGTCCAGCCCGTTTGTAGTCTCGTTGCCATTGTTGCCAGCACCGCCAGCGCCGTCATTGCCATTCCGGCTGACGCTTCGACTACCTGTACCGGGAGTTTCGGGGTCTGGCTCCCCAGTACCCATGAGTTGTCTGGCAGTACTTGGACCAGGACCGGATCTCTTCTCATTGGCACGGTCAAACTCCAACGCGTCTGCCAGCTCGCTGCTCATCGGGTCTAGTTCTTCCTCCGCCAGACCTGTGGCTAGCGAGACGAGCTTTCGATGCACGTCCAGCTTGGTGCTGACGCCCGCATCTGCTCGTTGGCGGATAAGTTTAGCCACGGCCTCCTCTCGGTCGGCTTGTGCTTGAGCCAGTTCGTTAGCAAGCGTGTAGAGTTCCAGCATTTCGTCTGGTGCCAGTTCGCGGTTTGAGTCTGACTCGCCTGTATCGTCCGTGATGCCGTTTGATTCGTATAACGATGTGAGTTCGAGGTCGTGTGTCTGGTTCAGTAGAGACTCGTACTTGGCTTTGATCTCGTTGAATCGGGTTAGCTGGGAATCGAGATCTTCGCTTTCTTCTTCCTTGGCTTGCAGAGCTTCTGTTTGAGTGCGGATGTTCTCCCGGTCGGATTCTAGTTGCTCATACAGGCCCTTGGGGTTTGTTATATCCTCTCCGCCACCGACACCGCTTCCACTGCTGTGTGGAGGTGTCTTGGCCTCTCCGTATGCGCGAGCAAGTCGTCTGTTAGCTTCAGCCATTATAGAGCCAATTCGGACAAGTAATGCATTGGTTGCCTCTGTTGCGACTGCTGACCCTGCGTAGTTGCCCGCCGTGGGTGTGGTGACGGCATATTCGCCTTCACCGTCGATATCCTGAGCGTATGTGACGGACGAAGGGGGCGGAGGGTTCTCCTTTCGCCGCTTGTATAGGGCCATCAGCACCTCGTTGGCTGTTTCGTGGTGTCTGTTCTGCAAATCGCCTGCTTCAGGACATTGCGCCAAAAGTGTGGTCGCAAGCCTATAGCATCCATTCTTTGCCGCAGTTAAGGCCGCCGTATCTCCATTCGCGTCCTGCGACGAAAGGAGTAACGAGATTTCATGTCTAGGAAACACTTGGGAGAGCTTGTCGATTAGGGTCTGGCAGTAGTATCGAGAACTCTTCCATTTGCCTTTACTCCGTGTCGTCGCCGCAAGGTGGTTAAAGACGGTTGCGCCAAACCAGTCGCGGAATGTGATAGTGCTATGTAGCAGGTCCGCCAGTTCTCCCATTGTGCGCTTTTCATAATTGTTGGTGAACAAGACCGCACGGACAAGTGGTGTTTCGTCGTGCTTTGATCGTACACGCACATCGGCACCTCGGCTGATAAGATCTTTGACGATATCGATATCACCCATAGCACAGGCCCAGTGGAGAGCGGTGTTACCTTGGTCATCAATCGGCCGGTCGACTTGAAAGTGTGTGGGTGGCACTGGAGGGAGAACACGGGACGCGCTTGGGTCGTCACCAACGGTCATGAAGTAGTCCAAAAGTTGGTCTCCGTATAGTATGTGGTTCTGTTCTATGATACTCATGGCGACATCGTTATCACCTCTCTTACGCTTGCGAGACTGGGTTGATTCAGGAGACATCTGCGCAAGGTCGTCGTCCGCCATGATGGAAGGGGTCTCAGGGCTTCCCTGCATTATCGACGAGGCCTCATTGAAGGACTGGCCTACGCCATACTGCTGTTGCTGCTGGTGGTGTTGCTGATCCTGGTGGAAGCTGGCCGGTGCCGAGTTAGCAGGCGGTATAGCAGGCGGTGCGGGAGGGATGTGCTGCTGGTTGGCGGTTGTAAATGAGCCACGAGTAGATGCGGCCGCACCTCGACGGCCACCAGCGCCCCCCCTTTGTGCTCTTGGTTTAGACGCTGCGGTGGTGTGTTTGGGTGCTGGAGGAGGGCTGGCATCGCCGGTCATGAAGTCGAACAACGGCCGTAGTCTGTCGAGTACGCCGTTCTTGTCTGCCAGGGCTCGAGCTTCGGCAAGCGGTATCCATGTTCCTGTGGTATGTCAGTACAGAGGGAAGACAAGATCGTTCTTCAACAGTAAGTAGGGTAGAGGTGACCTTGATATTTCCCGTAGCCTCCCTGGATCTTCTCATGAACGCCGCGCTGGACTTCACGCTCGAGGATGCGAGTTCTCGACGGCTTGTCCAGGCCGGCAGCTTTCAGGATATGAGTCGCATTAACCCAGTCGTCCACCCGCCGTCTCATCACATTCTCAGTCCCTAGTTTGTATTCGTAGACGGGTACCTATAGCAGCCAGCCAAGTCAGCATTGCAGTGTCCAGGCTAACTGAGAAGGGAGGGGGAAAGAAGAAGAAGAAGAAGAAGAAGAAGAAGAAGAAGCTGACATTGCTGTAGGTGGCAGAGTAGATGTTCCCTTCATTGCCCGCCGAAGAGGCCATTGCAGCCTATCTTCCGACCACCGCCGCCCGTTGTCGTCAATCCAGTGAAGCGTCCAGTCAAGGTAGAACAAGTGGAGTGTATTCGACGGCTGTAGAGGCGCAGAGATGAAGGATGCTTAAGTAGTTAGTGGTTGGTTGGTTGGAGGTTGTCAGACAATATCGCTTGTCCCTGGCATGCTGCAAGCTTCCTGGAGTGACTAGAGGCTGCTGCACCCGTCCACCGTAGCCCGTCCGTCCGATTCCAGCGCCGGAGTGTAGCTACCAAATCCCAATTTAGATAGATAGCTGTCTAATTGCTCGTCGCGTCCACGGAAAGAAGAAAAAAAGGCGCCGACAAGCGAAAAAAAGACGAGAAAGACGCGACGGCGTTCCGAAGGGCGAGGCCGGAAGAACCTTTGGCCGCGAAGTTGAAGTTGAAGCCGACGTTGAAGACGAGGAAGAAGAAGAAGAAGAGAAGAGGAAGAGACACCGCGGCATGATCCATTGAGCTTTGTTGCATCGAAGAATATATACAGCACAGCAGAGAAACATGACGGCTGGAGAATCAGTGAAGGTGGCGGACGCCAGACGTGAGTTTCAGCGAGGTTGAAGTTGAAGACGACGAAGACGAAGATGAAGATGAAGATGAAGATGAAGATGAAGATGAAGACGAGATGAAGAAGAGAAGAAGGAGAGAAGCTGACAGAGGACAGTGGCTACGCGGGAAGAGATGTCGAATGCTCGTCTTCCGATCGCCTACAGAGACAGCTGCGCACACCTGTTGATACCGCTGAACCGATGCCGATATGATGAGTACTATCTTCCGTGGAAGTGCGAGGTAGACATACCCTTTTCAGGACGTCGGGAAGATGAGATGCTGACGGCTACGATAGAACGAACGACACAGCTACGAGAAATGCCAGTACGAAGAGTTCAAGAAGCGAGTAGCGAAGATGGACGAGCTGCGGGCGGCCAAGGACGGCGCACGAAGCAACTAGACAGGACAGTCCGGCAGACGAGCGTGAGGCGGCTCTGTACGATCATAGAGAAGACGAGACGCAGAGGATGGAGTGTGAGAGAGAGAAAGCAGTGTGTTTACTCGATGTTACCTTTTTTTTTAAAACCTGGGCTGCCGGCATGATAGACGCAGTTCTTCTCTACCAAATATCTATCAGCAAATATCAGAGATATCAAACCAAAGGCCCCCCCCCAAAGATGCAACCAACCATCCACCCACAACCACCCACAACCACCTGGGGACGCACAGAAGCAACAGGATGCAGACAAGGACATGCGAGATGTGCTAAATAAAGCAAGGCTGAGGGGACTGTTTGCTGATAAATCAGTCCAGACGAAGGCCATCGTCCGGGCTGACGGCTCGTGAAAAGCGTCTTTTTGTTTCCGTCTGTCATCTGCCTCTCATCCCTGCTGCGGATGTCTAACAGTAACTTGTAGTACGGAGGAGTTGTTTGGTTTGTATCCAGTAGCTGCCAGGCATGAGATGGGGGAAGAGGCCGAGATATCAACGCCGTCTCTTAAGGACGGGCTCTTAGCAACTCCTGCTCTCGGCCACCGCACACACTCGCTTATGTAGTTACTCGACTATGGAGTGATCAACGTGCCTTCAAGGCTATCTTCCGCGTCCTCGAGGCCTGCAGCGCCGACCAGGGTGAAAAAGAACGCTCGCGGTCTTAGGTAACTCAAGTATCTCAAGTAACTCTCTTATAACGTATATGTCCAATGCCCAAGGTGGTTGTCAGGATATAAAGTCCAAGGCCCTCGTCCGCAGCCCCTTCCCCCTGTCCCTCTACTGGCCCCTTTACCACCGTCCCCTCCTCCTCCCTCCCTCTTCTCCCTCTGCTCCCTCTGTCCCTTCAGCTCTTCGTCTTTCTATCTCTTCCCCGTCATCCTCGTCTTCTACTTCTCCATCTCCATCTTACGCCCGAGAAAATAACCGCGCTTATTAATCCGTCCGGCCAAAAACGAGCAGGACGAAGTATAAGTTCGGCCGTCGGCGCAACCAGAAAAAGATATCCTCGTGTTATACGCTCTATAACTATTTAACGGACATAAGCATAACATAAAATATATACTTACTTACTGTTGTGACTGCGATGCCTGCTCCCTGAGTACCGCTGGCCGACCGTCGACATCCTCATCGCTATGGGTTTACTGTACGAGATGCCTCCTCCACTTCGTCCCTCCTCGCTGCTGCTCCCGCTGTGAATGATCTGCTAATTGATAATCGGACTGGCAGCGCGCTTGGCACACCACTGGCATGGCCAGAAGCAAAAAAGAGAGCCGGCCAGGTGAGGGAATGGGGTATCGAGGTATTCCTCCTTGCGTCATCGTTCAGGATGAAGGCTCTCTCTCGCTTGTTCGAAGTTGGCGGCTTTAGTCTGATGTTTTGTGCCGCAGCAACTACTCGCCATATGGAAGAAGGCCCGGGGAAAGGAGCGGGATGCGCTGTTGTGGGGTGATGAGGTATGTGGGATGTCCGCTGCAAGAGAAAGCAGGAGTAGGGAGTTTTGCTGGTTACATACATACAGCTGCTGACCGGCTGCCTGCCGTTTGCTAGGTTGAATATCTCGTCGTTGCGGTTGACGATAAGGAGGAGAAAGTGCGGCTGTCGCTGTGCCAGGCAGAGATCCTCAAGGCACTTGCGCAGGATGCAGAGCTCTCCAAGAAGACTGCTGTCAACGGAGACGCTTCAGAGTACGGTCTACCGGGTGGTCTCTTTATTTTGGTTTATTTTATTTATCTTGGAGATGATTCTGACTTGACGGTATAGAAAGGAGCCTCTGCCGACTTTCCACCCTGAGTTCGGCCGTTTCATGCTCGAAGCCACACCGGGGAAGCCATGGGGAATCGGCTTCAAGGAACTGCTCAAGGTGGAGTCCAACATGAAATGGAGGTATGGCAGCCAGACTCTCTCGATTTTGTTGTTTTTGCTCCTTTTGTGATATGGTCTAATATTACTAGACGAGTTACGGCTAAGAACCATATGGCTGCAAACGAATACCCCATCACGCTCACTACATTTCCCCGTCTGGGGTGCAGTGATGACTTTACCTGCCCATCATACCCGCTGTCAGGTCCAGCTCTGCGCTCACAGTTTGTACCTGACGAGATAGCAAACCCTCACATCAGATTCCCGACTCTGGCTGCCAACATCCGTTCGCGCAGAGGGAGGAAGGTTGAGCTAAACGTGCCCGTGTTTAGAGACATAAATACCCCATGGCCGTTCAAGGATCCTACAGTCAACTACGACCTGCATAACTGGCCGGAAGATGACGATGTGCGGAACGGAGCCGCAAAGGAAGGCCATGTATACATGGATGCCATGGCCTTTGGAATGGGTAGCTGTTGTCTACAGATTACCTTCCAATGCAAAAATATTACCGAGGGGAGAAAACTATACGATCAGCTCAGTCCTCTGGGCCCCATCATGTTGGCTCTAACCGGGTCAACACCTGTATATAAGGGGTTCCTGGTCGACACCGATGTCAGATGGAACCAGATTGGCAATGCAGTTGACTGCAGAACACGAGAGGAACTAGGAGAAGTTGTCAGTTTAACCCTTTCTTTTTGCCATTTTAACACGCAAACTAACATCCAATATAGCCCCTTAAGAACGACAGATGGCGCATCCCAAAGTCGAGGTATGCGTCGAACTCAACATATATATCACAAGACCCCCATTTACGGCCTGAGTACATGGACCCCGACCTCGTCATCGACGAAGATATTAAAAAGAAACTGATGGACGGTGGCATGGACGAACTCCTCGCAACTCACTTCGCCCACCTGTTCATCCGCGACCCCATCGTCATCTTCAACGAAGATCTCCAGGAACTCGACCTCACGAAGACAGACCACTTCGAGAACCTCCAGTCAACCAACTGGCAGCACATCCGCTTCAAACCCCCACCCGCTGACAACGACATAGGCTGGCGCGTCGAATTCCGGCCCATGGAAATCCAAATCACCGATTTCGAAAACGCCGCCTTCAGCATCTTCATGGTCCTAATCACCCGCGCTATCCTAAGCTTCGACCTAAACTTCTACATCCCCATACCCCGAACAACAGAGAACATGGAGATAGCCCACGCTCGTAACGCCGTGCTTGATGAGAAATTCTATTTCCGCAAGGATCCTTTCCCACATCGGTATCCGAGATCCCAGCGTCATCAGCAATCCCGGCCCCCGTCACCTCCCGGTGGTTCGGCCTCCGACCCGCCCTCACCACCTCCTTCAACGACACCTTCGTCTCCGCTCCTACAGCCCATTGAGTCAGAGTACACTCTCATGAGCGTTAATGATATCATCAACGGCTCCCCAGATGGGTTCCCGGGCCTCATCCCGCTGGTAGAATCATACCTAGACAGTCTCAACGTCGATGTCGAGACGAGATGCGCACTAGCCAAATATCTCGACCTTATCCGTCGTCGTGCAGATGGTTCGCTTTGGACCAACGCCAAATGGATAAGGGAATTTGTTGCAAAGCATCCCGATTATAAGCAGGATAGTGTTGTTTCGGCCAAAATTAGCTATGATCTCGTCAAGGCCGTGGAGGAGATTACGGAGAAGGAAGGGAAGGATGGAAGTATAGGGTGGGAAATGTTTACTGCAAAGAAACGGTAAACATGCTCGGTGAACAAAAAAGAGGGGGAAGAGGTAGCCCGAAAAAACAGGAATAGATATATAACTAGCTTAGAATTATTTTTGCATGATACTTTGGATATGAATAACACACTCGTCCATATTAACTGGTTGCGTTGTCAGTATGCGCCTAAAATACTAGTTAAATAAGTACGACTATCAATATATCGGAAGATACGAAAAGAACTCTCGAGGCAGTTTCCCTTAATCATAATATTATCCAAAAGTCCAAGAATATTGAAAACTTCAGTCATGTCTCATCAGATTTTCACCTTTTTTCAGTTTTTGATGCTTTTAAGCCACAATGAACAAGTTGGGATGAATTGAGCAGAGAAGTTCGATAGCAGCCAAGCAGAGAATGCAGGATAGAAAGAAATGTAAGAAACAATCAACAAAAACGCAAACCACCCCTAAAGTCAAGGAGGGAAGAGAGGGCTATGGACGATTCCACAGCTCCCTCGCCAGTTCTCCGCTTCTCCTGAAGTTGAGGCTAGAGCTACTACTGCGTCGCCTTCGAGTGCGATGAGCATTAGGATCTGTAGGGTATAATCCGCTTGCCCTTGCGTAAAGGTTAAGAATGTCAGTCAAGCTGACAACTCCAACAAGGCGACCGGATAGGCTAGCTCCTGGTAGTGCCGAGGCCGGGATTGAGGTAGATATAGATGCTGTGAAGGACGGAGGAGAAGTACTGAAGGAAGAATGATGTGCTGACGATAGAGTTTGTGGGTATTGGAAAGGTGAGATGGGGTTATGGGCGGGACGGGCGTTTCCGTTCCCGTTCTGAGGATTGTGGTTGCCGTTGTTGCCGGAAGCAAAATTGGCCGATGACGGAGATGATAGAGAGGCACCCGTACTGCCCACGGCAGGCCCAGCGATGCTGCTGGTATGATTGGGTGCAGAGCCCAGGGGAATGTTTGTTGTGGAGTGTGATGGTGTCGACGGTGTAGATGAGGCCGGTGAGTGAGGGTCAGTAACCCACATTCTAGAAAAACCGTAAGTAACTTGGTTGGGGAATGCAGCCGTTGATTAAGATTCAAGGCTTACCTGTGAGAACGGGTGGCAACAAGTTTGGCAACTGTATGGGCAAGGGTGGACTGCGGGTTAATATGGAAGACTGGGAATGAATCTTGTCCTTCGATTATACCACGTGTAGATAAAATGACTGAGATGAAGTGGATGCAGGTATTGTGGAGCAGAGGAAGGGATGTAGATTTCGTCAAAAGCTGGATATTTTCTTTCGTTAGTATGTTGTAGTCTGCGGTTGAAAAAGAAAAGGCACTGACCTTGACGTCAACAACAGATATGTTACCAACAACATTCCATTGATTGTCAACCACTGCAAGAGACGAAACACCTTCGTTGTTCATCAGTTCCAGTGCATGACAAAGTGGCCGGTCTCCGCTGTAACATGCGTGTTAGCTCGTAAAAACACTGAAAGTAAACCATGCTGTCTAGGACAGGACAGGGTACTAACTTGATGGATATCACACAGTGCGAGCCTAGCCTCAGCTCTCTTAGATGTTGCGGGTATAGTTGCTCAATGACCGGGAAACTACGTCCGTTCTCCCACAAGAACTTGACGAGTTTCCATTGAGTGAACACTCCAATCACCTCTGTGGTACCCTCCTTCACTACTATAATGCGATGTACGCCTCCTCCAAACGTTTCAACGGCAGTCATTAAATTGGTAGACTGTGGCATAGTTGTGAGGGGTTCTTGCATTCCGAGCCCCTTGACGTCCTTGAGTGGGATCTTCTCTCCCTCCCTTGCTCTCCTAGCAAGCTCACGTAGAGACGCAGCCTGTTCTTCATGGCTTGGTTGTATCAATCCCACAACGAGGAGGAGGTATGCATTAAGGTCAGCGAAGCCGAATGTGCCGACTGCAGTAGAGGAGCCAGGCGATTCTCGGATAAGAAGTGAGTGCACACTGGACTCAATAAGAAGCTATAAGATGTATACATATCATCGCCAGTTAGTCAACATTTCTAAACAGCAATAAAAAGAGGGATGAAGCATACATTCGTAGCATCTTCAATGGAAGTGTCTGCATCCACAAACTTTAGATCCACGGGCTGTACCAATTCACCGATTGAAATCTGCGTCCAATCTCGGCCAGAGAAAGCTGGATCGGCAGCTGCATGCGACGGCGGATTATCTATCAAGCTCTGGACAGCAGCTTGAGTGAATGAGGGCTGCCGACGGGCTCGAGGCGACGACGGCACGCCTCTCAGCGAGTCACCCAGGCTTTGGCGGTGGGACAATTTCGCAGGCTCTCGCCGCAACGACGAGCTTCGAGAAGAAGACGACCGTGAATCAGAGCTTAGCCTAGGCGAGACGACACCTTCTTGAACTGCTTCTCCCGCCGCTGGCTGTGTGTTCTTGCCACTCATCTTAAGCTCCTTCGGGTTATCGGCTGTTTGGAGGGGAGAGATATCGGCGTCAGGGAAGCGGAGGTCCTGGCAGGGAACAGACAGCCCAAGCCCCTCTTGAGATCGCGGTATCTTGCGGATGATATCCCGTTTGCCCAGCCGGTGCAAAGGCTTTCAACAGGAGAGCTGCTCGGTGCGCAAGCTGAAGAGCCAGCAAGGTAGCAGTCTCGAGTCTCTGGGGTTGAATCACTTAACTAGTTAACTAGTTAAACGGTTTATTTTTAGCTGGTAGTTATCAAAACTGCTTCGTATCTGGTTTTAGGTGGGGCGTCGAAATGGAACCAAGTCATTTTTTTTATTTAACTAGATAAGATATGAGATAGACATCGCAGCAAGTCCAACGGCGCAGAAGCATAACCATAACCGCCTCTATTGATAGTGAGGCTCAGGCGATTCCCGCAAGCCCAAAATGAAGAAAAATACGGTCAAATAGCAAGATTTGGCTACGAAAGAGGCGAAAAAGGGTTGGGGACAGTGGTATCACGTGATGTTGGATGGAAGGAGGCGAAAGCCAGGAAGATAGAAAGATTAGAAGACATAGAAGAGGTTAAATGGAAGAGAAATGGCCAGGAGGATGAGAGAGGATGGCGGTGGTCAGTCAGGTTATGATGCTGCTAATTATCTTACCTATGCGGGCTGTTAGTCTTCTGGGATTGGAATATCTCAACCAAAGGTAAAAGGGGAGGGGAGAGAGAGAGACGTACTTGAATTCGTCGAGGAGGCGCTTCATGTCTTTCTGATAAATCCCCTTTACTGTTAGTTTTCTCTTTTTCAGACCGGGTGTAGACGGGTCCCTGTCTAAGCAGCTATGGGCTTTCAGCCTCTTTCCCCCCTGTGAGCTCAAATGATCCGTACCCGGCGGGTGTTTCCTCATGAAGAGTATCTCTTTATGTGTATCGTACCGCAAGTCGCGAACTAAAAGAGCAAAATGCACGACTAGCCCAGCATTGATCGTGTGCAACTGGTAGTCCATTTGTTGCTGGGCTTCTAGTTTGCTACCCAGGCCCTCTATAACCTTGTGAAGTCTACTGTTTTCAGTGTTGATGGTGGATGGTTTCCAGCCATGCTCTGCTGCCATCTCCATCGCCTCTTTACTGTATAGCCTCGGAGAGCCTTGCATGATGAACACTTTCAGTGATGGGAACGCATCAAGGTATGCAAATATGTGCTCCGTCAAGCTCGTTTGGGCGCGGAGAATGAGGATCCGGAGATGGCCGAACGCTTGGCCTGTGAGAGCCTGCTCGCTCCATCCTTTGATATCGCGATCGGTTATGGAGACGCCGGATCCAGGCCCGAGCTGCCTGCGTGGGGGCTTGGAGCAGAGTTCCAAGCCGAATAGATTGGGGACATTGGCGACCTCGAGGGCGTCATGAGGCTCGAAATACTCGACCGACAGGCTGAGGACGGCCAGCCAGTCCCTTGATGCTGAAGATATAAACTTCAGGTATTTGCTGACAGGCATCTTTTTGGTCCTTGGCATGAGGAAATAGGTGCGAGCTATCTCGTTGAACTCTTTAGGGTAAACGGTTGCATAGATCTTCCACATGTACAGGCTTTTCTTGGTGCTAGAGAGCGGGTGTTAACGAGAGTACCATCTGGTATTCATATTGTTAACATGTTTTATGGTCATACCTTCGCTCTAGACATTCCCAAAGGTACTTCGCAATCAACCAAGGGATGCCTTGAAAGTGCGAGAAGCTCAGGGTGCGCTGGTCAGATAACACGGCTCTCATGGCCATATGCTTCAGAGAATGCGCGCCAACAGGACCGTACGCCTCCCATCCCGCAGGCAGGAATGGAGATTCGTGAGCCCATTCGTATCCCATCCGCCCGAATCCTCTCTGCTTGGAGACAGGCGGCACAACCCGAATCACCTCTTCAGAGTACACCTGACCGCTCTCTCTGTCATAGTTCATTATGTCTGAATGACAACTATTAATACCCATAGATACCCTGGTCACATTTTAAAAGACCTTTAGACATAAATGCCTTAGTTATCGGGGGCTGCGAGGTATTTGGACAGTGGCATCTGACTGTAAGATACTCCTGTCGCGATCTTGGCCCTGCTAAGACCTCTTTTAGCCTGCCAAGGAAAGGCAGTAGTTATAGCCATATAACTAGTGGACACAGCAACGACGACATAACGAGCTTGGAAAGGTGACAGCAGCACACCAACTGGCTAGTTGTCCCTTTTATATCCGTGGAGGGTCGTGTGAAGCTCGCAGAAGCTCGCAGAAATGGCGGATAAAGTAAGCATCACGTAACGAGTGGTGTTTTCCTTTTTTGTCTCCAACTCCATTACTGTATTGAAGAATGATACCAACAGCTAAGCATATTTGACCAGTACTCATAGACTACCTCTACACAAGGACGACACACCAATAGGTCTTGGTTGCTCATTGTTCGATGCACTGAGTGCATTTTCATTTCCCCATGCCTTGACCTCGCCCTCAAGAGCCTGTATATCATCGCAATTCAGAATTCTTTCCCCACCAACTGGTCTCTGCAAGAGTGCAAGAATCCATAGGAGCCAGATTCGACAAGTGCAGACAACCCCGGGAGTATTGAGCTTGTCATCGTATGTCCTCATAATGCCGTCTAGACTCTCTCGAAAAGATAGAGGAACATCACCAATCTTAAATAGACCGACAAGTAAAAAGGCCTTCATCACACCAGCTGTTGCTCCATGGTCTGCCATCCATCCGCTATTTCCTTGTTGTCTGACGTGATATTTCATCCCATCGTTGAGGCCACGGTGGAAATAGAATGCCCAGTGGAAATCGTTTAGGGTGGGCGGATGGCTTCGGAGAAACAGCATAATATAGAGGCTGTCTTGTTCTAGTTCAGTGGCAGACATGGCCTGAGGTCTCGTGGGTATATCCGAAAACAAACCTCAATCGGTACAGCCGGCGTTTCTCAGCCCTTTCCGCTCTCTTGTTGACGACGGTAACTACCGAGCTCAATGTACCTTATCGATATCTATCAGGTATAAAGTAGAAACATCAGAGTGCTTTCCCCCAAATGCTCAGCCACTACTTACTGTTTGGGATAATGTAGAACCGACAGGCACATGAAGGCTCCCAGATGCCAATGAAGGAAAGAGTTTGGCGAAAAGAAGGGATGTGTGAAACTCAGGCGTTTTACCAGCAGCATGGACGGCGCTTAAATTTCTCCTCAGGCCAGGCTCAGTTCTCCTCTTCCGTAACTAGAACAGGGAGGCCAATGGATGATAGCCACGCCTTGGAACCCGTATCAGCGGGTCAGACAGATGGACAAGAATGCATTTCTTCCCATCCAACAGAAACCACGGGGATTGGGACCAAGAAGGTTTCGTTGGTTGTGGAGGTTCGAGAAGGAAGCATCCGTGGACGGCCATGAGGCCGGCGCCTAAAAAAAGGGGGCTAAAACGCATGCACTCCCCGGAGAACTCCATCCTCTATATGCAATGTACACCGTATTCCCCATGCAGCATTGCTTTGAAATAGCAATATCTGCGCTATCTTTTTACGATGACAGTGGTTGAAGAGGCGACTTCGCTCGGTCCCCTGTACCCTTGTGGGAGAGGGACAGCCTCCTTTCCCATACATCGGCCCCTTGTATGTTTCGCCTATGACCGATAAGTTTTTTGCTTCTTCAGTCCCAAAGAACTGCTGGCATTGTGCTTCGTAAACCAATGGTTTCTGGCGAACCGTTCCTTAGTCACGGCTCAGGCGTTTTTCGACGGACTTTTCTACTCCTCACTGCCCTAGGAGTTTGCGGCTGTGTAGACTTAGGGCGGATAATCTACCATCCTCAATCTAAATAGCTCTCTACCTTTCCTTTGTGATATACATCCTTTTCATCAGTTGTATATTAACGCGAGCTGGTCTCTGGTAGATCACCGCTTTCCAACTGATTACCCTCGTTCAACTTGTTTATATTACTACTGACCTTAATCACCAACATAGAGATTCACTCCTTTGTCTCTTTTCTGATGTCTTCATTCTTCTCTTCTAGATCTAAATCGCAGGTTCGAATTAGTTCACAGTCCAACAAAAGCTCCAATGACGGATCTGGTGATTTTGACAATAGAAGCCGGCTGTCATTCTCAAAGATGCGGAAGAAAAGGCCACCTCCTATCAATATCGCCGTGGCCGGTAATGTTATAATCACGAATGCCACACCCCAAGTGATATATTCAGATATTCCGTGGTCGGCTTCAAACCCGCCAACTCCTCGCGCAAACACCTGCTCAAATCCAGGATGTATTATGGTTCGAGAGACGATGCCCATGGGCCCACCCCTAGACTCTCAATTGAGGCTGGCCGGTCCATGCACTGCCTGTTCCTGTCAACAGTACATTCAATCAACACCATCAAACCCGTCTTATGTCTCCCCCCGTCATGCATGCTTCTCAGCAGCAGAGCTTCCTGGGTCAATGGCGTCTCCCAAGAGCAGCGTTGAGCTGGATGTACCCGCAACGCCAACGAGGCTCACATTTGAACATTTGGATGAGCATATCTTAGATTCGCCTCCAAACTTGACTTTAAGCCCAAAGGCGGAGACAACACGATCGAATAAACAAGACCATTACCAGTTTGGTCGGTTGCTCGAAACAGAGCCTATTCGCAGGGGGAAACGTCTGGGACAGATGGATTATGATGAACTCATGGAAATCCTCCCAGATCTTACCCCGGATCAAGTCACAAGATACTGGAGCCCAGCCATCCGCAAACAACTTGAGGGAGCAAAGAACAATCAGAGCAGCCCTTCTGCAGCCACTCGATCGAGTACATGGAGTGGACAGGTAAATACCCGTTAAATTCGTCTCCATATAGTATCCAGACAGCTAATGTATGTTCATAGACCGAGGTATCAGATAGCAAAGAAGACCCCGAGCAGGTCAGGGCCGAGTGCGAGATCCGGTTAAACACTAAGGAGAACGAAATCACAGGTCTTATACGGCTTCATGACTCACGGATCAATGCGCTCTGCAAGTTCATAAGCAAACATCTCAAGGACCAACTTGAGAGCTCCAACGATAAAAACCACCAGGCAGTACGGGAGATCGTTTCGGCACAACAACGTCGAGGAAGAGACCCCTTCGACGCCGACCTCCAGCACATGTACCAGTCCCGACAGATTCAGGAACTGCAGGACCATATATCCAAACTTGAGCCAGTCGCTATACGCAACGAGAAGCGAGCTAGGGCATACAAGGACAAGGCCAAGACGCTGCAAGAGGATATCATAGCTTCAAAGGAGACCCAAGAACTTCTCAAACAAGAGCTCGTTGAGAAGGACGCCTATATCGACATCCTTAATAACAAGGTGACCCAGCTTCTGACCATGCGTCCTGATCCGTTCCCCCCGTCTGATGCACGAGGATCCCGGAAGCATCTACCTTCGCCGGCTCCATGTGACTGGAAACGGGTAGAGGAGCTCAAGCACCAGGTCGCTAGCTGAGCATTCACTGGCGAACTGATGACAATAATATGAATTTTGTGACGGAGAGATGTTGTCAGGGTCATAATTATATAACCTTTCCTATCTTTTGGCGTGTTGTCTCTCCTTTTGTTTTACTGGCTGGTTATGGTTTTGGGCTTGTCTGTCGTATGTACCAGGGGGTATCGCTGTCGGCGTCTCAGTCTTCGAGAGGCTCCGTAGTCACTGTCTTCCAAAAGTTTTCTAATTAGCATTCAAGCTGAAAAGACGAAAGTCCTCAGGATAGCGAGAAACACTCATGTTTCTACGCCTCTTCCATGACGATGTCGGTGTTGATGCCTGGTGTTGCTATAAGTAGCATCCTTGTATCGACAGCGCTAGTTAAAGGGGCTCAGGCAGCAAACACACACCCTCAGGGATAGCTAAAATATGACGTTTCAGAGTCGCTACATCACATTCTGGACGCTTTCCGCCCGGAAGATTCTACTGCAGAATGGTGCCTGGCGCCATGCATGTAACTAAAGTCCGTCCAACGAGTGATATACCTGCGGAGGGAGGAGTCGTAACCTGCAGGATACGTCAATATCTTTGCGCACGAACTACCCAGCCGACCAAGCCGCCGAGATGATCATCGGAAGCAAATGATAGTGCTAAGCTGCCATGGGGCCATCGGCGCAAGCAGATATAGCTAGTCATTGCCCATACAAAAGGAGGAGCTGAGTTTATCGACTTTGGCTGTGACTCGCTGGCTGTTTGGTTCATGATCAGGTCACGGTGACGCCTGCTGACTCCGTAAGCCACCTGGTCTGCCGCTTGCCGCTCTCCTATATCATCTTCAAGATCCAGCTCTTTGCTATCGTTTTCTGGAATGGATAGCTCCTTGACTCGATTTCTGACCTGTATAAGATTCTAGATATCTATCTACTCGAGCCAGACGTTGAACCGTTTCGCCTCCGAAGAGTATCCATATCAACTACTCCCCATCAACACCCCGTACCCGCCAGTGAAACTACGTTACGAAAGTCACTATGACCAAGACACCCCGGCCAGATTCAGCTGAGACGCCGGAGGAGCGACAGGTCCGTGAAAATGGAGGATTCCCACAGGTTGAGAACAAGCTCACGTTGGATCCTACTTCTGTACTACGAGTAGCGTCGTGGGTCACGTACTTCACATCTTCATTCACCTCCAAGCTCAACACAGGCAACCAGCTCGTCGACCCAAAGAAACATATTGTCTGGTTGTTCGACAACACCGCGTACCAGCCAGATCATGGCCCAGTATACGGTCCTCCTGGATGGAAGACTCATGTGGTTGCATGCGCGTTTGAGAAACACGGAAGACGGGATATCGGGAGGTGGGTGGCCATCATCGCTGATTTGGTCGGCTTGGACGGCAACCCAGGGCTCGACGACAAAAAGGCTGTCCGTAACCGGATAGCCATGCGTATCCAGCCGTTCCTGAACGCCGTTGTACCAAACCGATTCATCAACTTGGAGGTCCCCGTGTCAAAGGATGAGGTGCATGAATTCAAGCTGAACAGCACCAAAAAGGATGGTATAGCCGAAGATGATATTCTGATAATCCCGGCACTGGGCATACATGACGGGTCGGTGGTGGAATCCCACGCGAAGAACTGGGGTCCAAAGCCCCCGACCATGAAGACGGTCTTCGCAGATCAAGATGGCTGGGCCGTCATCTCAGATGTCGATGACACGATCAAGTACACCCAGACACCAGATGCCATCGGCATCCTCAAAACTACCTTTGTTGATGATCCAAAGCCAATCGATGGCATGCCAGAGACGTACAAGCGTATCCAAGAACGCCTTAACCCAACCTGGTTCTATCTCTCGGCTTCCCCATACAACCTCTATTCGTTCTTGCGTGGCTTTCTTGGCTCACTCTATCCACAAGGCACCCTTCTTCTACGCGAAAACTCTTGGATGGACCTGGCTGGTTTGCTCAGATCCTTCACCCAAGGCACTCAGGAATACAAGATCAGCCAACTGGCTAAAGTGTTTGGATGGTTCCCGAGACGCAAGATCCTATGCATTGGGGATTCGACTCAGAGTGATCCTGAAGCCTATGCAGAAGCCTATAAGACGCACGATGGCTGGATCAAAGCCATCTATATCAGGAAAGTGACCGATGTGGCGAATATGGAGGGCAAAAACGATCCCGAGAGGTTTGAAAAGGCATTTGAAGGTGTCCCACGGTCTGTTTGGAAGGTGTTTGAGACTGCAGATGAGCTTGGGCAGCTTGTGGACGACCTCCAGGGTCAACAGTCCTAGAGGTCAGTAACAGTTACGATGTGATGATGGTTGTATCGATGGTCAGCTTCGGAGATTTCGCTTTTCCTTTTCATATGTTTTAATAGGGGTATATTTGCTGCATTCCGCTATCTTGTATTTTTTTTTAACTCGTTCGTTCGAATTCGGCTTTTTTGCTAGTACTTGGGCTGTCAACATACATCCCAGTGGTTTAATGGTCATGGTTTTTTGGTATTAAGGGCGGTTATGTTCATTTCTTTCATGAATCGTTTGAATATTTTGCTTACCATTTCACATCATGCGTTCTTCCGTTGCTAATATTTGATATTTCTTATTTTGATAGCCCGCTGCGCTCGCAAACCATCGTGCGGCTACGGGGTCTCAATAGGCTATTATAGCTAAATTCATGTACAACGTTTCTGACGTCATCTCAAAGTTCAGCTCTCCGTTGATTCCAATGAGACCTCCTTCTAGGCAGAGCATCTGCTTTTATCTCATCTCTGCAGTTAAGTCCGATCTATCCGTACGGATATCTCAGCTCCCGTCCTCAGGCCATGTTTACATATCGCGGGACGCTCTATATAATGGACATCCCTTGCCGCCTGTGCAGAGTGATAACTAACTCAACACTTCACATATAAACAACTCCTGCGTGAATATCTACTAAACCATGGCAGACCAGGAGCATATTCCCCCATTTATGCCAGCGGTCCATCTTCCCCCCGGACCCTACGACCCATCATCTCCTCCTCTAGCCTCCTCCCTGATCTATGACCCCAAATTCCCAACTCCCCAACCAAACCCATCTCAGTACTTGATTAAAGTGCTCAGCACCGCTCTGTGCCGTGATGAGCTCACCTGGCCTGAGGTCATCTCCAATTCACGCGCAATTCAACCCCCTATCCCAGGTTACGACGTTTGTGGCACTATTCTCTCAACACCATCGGACGACGAACACAGCTACGATGGCCCCAAGTTCAAAGTTGGTGATGATGTCTTTGGATGGCTGAGTGTCCATAGAGGAGGCGGTGCTGCTGATTGTGCTTTGGCGGAGGAGAATGAGCTGGCATTCAAGCCCAAGAATGTAACGAGCGTCGAGGCAGCAAGTATTCCTCTATCAGCCATGACTGCATGGCAGGCCTTTTTCGCCCACGGAAACCTAAAGCATATTGCCGACAAATGTGGACATCTAGACAGCGAAGTGGTGCGAGACGACTGCATGGATGAAAGCAAAACAGACGGAGTCAAGCAACTACAACCTAGAGAGGAGCCCGTTCGAGTGCTGATAACCAATGCATCCGGCGGAGTAGGTGTACAGGCTATTCAACTCTTACGGTCAAAGACTCTATTCGGAAGCCAAAAGTTCTGGATATGCGGTACATGTTCAAGCCGCAATGCTGCGTTTTTAAAGGACACATTGCATATCGACGAAGTTATCGATTACACCGTTAACTCAGATTTGGGCGAGGCATTCAAATCAAAAGGTTGGGAGCCTGTCGACTTCGTCTTTGACTGTATTGGCGGAGAGTTTCTAAAGCAAGTTCATTCTCCGTCCATCATTTGTGATAACGGCTCGATAGTCAGTGTTGCACATCCACTAAAGGAGGAATGGGGAGATTTAGGTATTGAGAAGAGGGGATTGAACAGCCGGTATTTTATCATCGAGCTAAATGGGAGGCAGCTTGAGAAGATTGGTACACTGGTGGAAAAGGGGGAGGTGAGAGGCTTCGTCGACAGGGTTTTTGATTTGCACGAAGCCAGAGAGGCGATGGAGCTGGTTGAATCAAAGCGGGTTCGCGGAAAGGTCGTCTTGAGGGTCAATTAATTAAAGATATAGTGTAGAGTTCATAGCTGCCAGAAAATATAACCACTCGTTATTTGGCCTCAGCTCAGGGTCTATTTATATGCAATCTATCAATGCTAGTCTGCTAGATATAACGCGCTGGTATTGGCAAGGTATCACAGACCTATCCTTGCTCAAGTTTCCAACTTGAGTCGGCAGTCACCCCAAGAAGCCAACCGGCGTATTTAGGAACTGAGGCCTTGTTCATTACCGCAATTAAGCGGGCAAATCACTTCACCAATGGAGAACGGCCATGCAGCACCATCCAACAGAACATGAAGGAGTTCCGCAATCTGCCAATGCTCCCGTCCGCATTAGCGCTTTCACATTCTAACAAAAGGGCGCGCAGTAGGCGTCTCTGGGCAACAGGGTTGAATTCAGGGTGTGATGCCACGTTGAGTCATATACCTTAGAGAATTGATCATAATGGCTTCATGGAAGCGGCTAGAGGCAAGATAAATGGATTGGCTCTTTATTCTCCTTCACTTGGTCGCGACAACCACAAGCCGTGGAATAGACAATGTTGCACCTTGTCTATGTTCTTCAATACCGTCACTAACCATCTTAAAGATCTGAGCCGCCGCCTCATGCTTTCCCATGCGAATAATCGCCAAAGCAAACTCATCTAGAGTCAAAAGATGCAGGCTATGAAACGCCGTTACCAACTCAGGCTTATCATCAAAGTGTTCATTAACTAGAGTCTGGAATCCCTCCTCGCCCAGCAGTTGAGGCAATGCTATCGTCCAGTCATGGCGCCCATCCGAATGCCATAGTTTAGCAAGCTCCGTGAGAGATGGTGCTGTCACTGCAGGTTCAGTCTTTGCAACGCCCATGTTTTTGTAGTCTGATTCATCCCATTGTAGGTATCCACCGGGTTTAAGTAGTTGGTATAATCTTCCGATAACAGACTTGAGGTCCTTGCCAGCCAGTCTCATTGCCAGCGAGCGTACATGGATCAGGTCGTACTTCCCCACGAGATCAGGGGGGACAGGGTTCTGAAAGAGATCCCACTCGCGAAAGGCGATGTTTGATGGCAGCTCGCGAGGGGCCAGGGCCAAGTTGATATCCAGCCCATCGAGTTGTGCCTTGGGCAGTTCGCGTGCAACATCCATCAACCAAAGCCCAGTGCCACAGACGATATCAGCGATATTGAGAGGAGCTTCGCTCGGAGGGCTGGAGATAATACGAGGGAGAATGGAAGGGTGTATGTTAAACTGGAAACTTTCTCTCCAGAGAAAATGCTGAAGATTAAGACGGTTGGCTTCACGGTATCCGTAATTTGCGGGATAGTTCTGGCTATTGAGAAGCTGGAAGCCCTCTGCGGCGGATGGGGTGGATGGTTGATTGTCTGCCATTCTGCTTCCCTTTGTCAAGTAGTAATCTCACGGCTTGAAAGATTGCTTAAAGGCGAATTCACAGCAATCTTTGGGGAGTTCTCGTTGCCTATAGAAAAGATCCACCACTCGAGAGTACATGATGTCGAGCTGGCAGTTGTCTCTCGACTGGCCGTTTATATACACCCAAGAAAGCTCCCCTTGTACGGCCGCTACAAATCCGCCGATGGAGTGTAGCAGGGGGGATAAGTTGACTGGGGCGGCAGATCCCGCGGTGATCCGGAAATGTTGGCTGAGTTCATCGATGTAGAGAGTCTGGCTTGGATTAAAATAGGACAGGGATTAACGGAGCGAGTACTCGGAAGCAGGGTAATACGGGGTGTTGGAGGCTTTACTAACTAACCTGTTCATATCGGTGATACGTTCAACTCGAGAGAGCAGATAATTGGGAAACTAGGCTATGGGGCATATTTGACTGTTTGACTTTGCCACGATTTGGTGTAAGATCTATCTGATATCAAATGTTCTTTGGTGACATCCTTAGCAGCCTTTTATATATAGCCTTAGAATGATCAATGAGCGAGCAGGATATCTTCCCTGAGTCCAAGGGTATTGGGGGTATATGCAGAGGCAAACATTGGTTAATCGCCGGCCGCCGATTTTCGAGATTAAGAGTTTTTGAACCCTTGAACAGTGTTTAACGGCACCATTGATGCATAATAGGTGCCCCTTTTGATTCGATGCTCAAAGGGGTGAATAACGCTCTCACATCATCCGCCCTCCAAGTCTTGCAGTGGTCATTGTCTTTAGTTTAGACATGTTATTATGCTTCAGTTCTACCTGCTTAAACCGCTTGGGTAATTGGAACTATTCAAACATTCAAACAGAGTATCGAATGAAATAAAAATGCAAAAAGGAAGAAATACAGGATTATAAGCATGAATAGAAAATAGCAGAATCATACCGGAAACTCTTGAATAATGCAATCATTTTGATATCTCTTCTCCTATCCTTTTTTAAAGTCCGGTAGGGCATGATGGTTAAGAGTTATAAATCGCTAAGAACACATTTGAGCGCGAGCCAAGAGAAGAGAAGCGAAGCGGATAAAAGAGGTGTCCGGATGATAATGGAGGTAAAGAAAGGTAGATGTGACGAAATGAAGATATAAGACATTAATAGGCATTGAACCAGCTGCATCAAGGGCCAGGGTAGGGTAGGCCTCTAAAGCAAGGAGTCAAGGCGGGTGAATACACCTAAACATGCGGCCACAACCTATTGCAAAGTAAAAGGTTAGACTTTGAGCAACGACAATACGTATAGCAATGATGACGTGACCCTACTTACCTCGAGCTGGAGCTCCTTATCTTTGGCCTTTTCAACCTCTTCTGCCACAGCTTGTGGTAGGTTTGCTCCGATAACATGTGCGCCAGCGCCCTTGTTTGACACAAATGGCCACTGTGAATATTCAGCTAACAGCTCGTCGACCTGCGCAAAGGCTCGTTCCCGAGCCTCATGACCCATTGTTACAAGCGCATTTTCCAGTACATTCGCAGCATAGGCGGCGCACACCAATGCAATAGTTCTCAGGTATCTGAATTCAATGTCCTCTGGAAGGAACGGGTTTGGGGGTAGCATGACAGTACGGCTGCTGCAGATGTTGCGGACTCTCTTGTGTAGTTCTTCCTTTGCGCCGCCATCTGCGACTGGGTGTGTGGCCATGTCGAAGAGTAGGAAATTGCGTTTTTCGGTCCGGAGTACACCTTTGTCAACTAGGCCTTTGGCAAGTCGCTCACGTACTTGCTTTAGTTGATAGCCAATTTTCATTAGATTCCACGTTTCACCTGTACCCGGGTAGTTAGATATTTTGTATATTGATAAACCGTCAAGGGATAATAATGATAATAAAAGGTGGACTAACCGCTCATAAGGTCGATCCATGAGCTCACGCTCATTTTCTCACTAGCTTTCATCATTTTCAATGCCTCGTCCAGCAAGACTTCTCCAGTCAAGGTATCGTCAATAACCTCAATTATCCGGTCAGCGAGGGGGAACCGCCGCCTCGACGAGTCTTTCTGCATGCTGATTCGACCTCGGAATGCTAGTTCGATCACAATACAGCCTCGTAGTGCATATGAGATGTTCTCATTCCAAAATGATAGGTATCCCTATACCATAGGCAAAAGGAGAGAGATTAGACTGTGTTATTCATGGCATTCAACCGTGATTCTGGATAATATTACCTGCTTATCCTTTAAGCCCAGGAGCAGCACCTCTTCCATAAGCGTGAGCTTTGGTTGCTTACTCCGTTCCTCATTCTCACTAATATCTCTAGGGTCAAATGCGATCTTGTGTCCATTCTCGCCGGGAAAACGAGGACTCTCCACGGCCTTCCTGGGGAAGCCCCCATTCAAGGACGCTGGCGAAGCCACTCTGCCGCTCTCTGTACCGCCGTCCCTCGGCCAGCTCCTCGCCGGCGAGTTAAGCCGCTGGTGGACGCCATAAGGAAACAAGGAAATAAACGAAGGAGCTCGCTAGTAGGTCGGTAAAGAGCCACAACAAGCTCAGAGAACAGCTGCGTATGGCATAGAAATGCGCGTTGGAGGTTCTCGAATTCGAGGGGGGTAAAAGGAGAGAAAGAATCAGGCAACCCCGAAACGGCCGTAGCAATGGGTGTGTGACGGCGACGGAGGGCGAAGGTCGAGACCGGAGTAGGGTAGATGCAACTGCAAGCGCCGTGTACACAGCCAGGTAAGCTGAAACCTGGCGCAGTCGAAGAGTTGTTGTCTTGTAGTCTTTTCTGTCTCTTGTGGAAGGGAAGAAGTGATAAAAATGGCCCTTGGTCTATTTCGGCTTGGCGGCCGTCAGATTTTAGCAGCTTGTTGGAATCGACCTTCAAGCAAAGAGTATTCTTTCTTGTATTTCCCCTGGCCTAGTTAATATGAAACTTGGTTACTTGACGGATCACTATTTGTGTTGACTATCAAGGTTGTTATACAGCCGCATTGCTGTGGCTTTTTTTTGGACGCCGTTGGAGTTCTTGATTTGCGAGCCGAACGCCGTCACGAGAGCAGTTACTTTACACTGAAGCCACCGTAGAAAAGCAGCCAGCGGTTTGGGCCGGTAGGTCAAAGAAGTTCGCCAAGTGGACAAGGCAGTGTGCAGAAGTAGAATACACATGAGATATTCTCTAATTATATCAAAATGCGATCGTTTGAGCTGATGTACACAATATAGCAAATAAACTTGGGACAACTATCATAGAAGGACTGGCGCCCTATTTTCACGCATGTCTAAAATAGCTTAGAAAATTTTGTTGGAGGCGTAGCCCAGTTAAGGGGGGTTTGACGGCGCCATTTAGTGAGCTGCATAGGTTGTCAGCTGAGGACTTCAAAAAGAGGTGGGAGTTGGGCCTAGCGGTGGCTACATACCGTCAGGTGCAGCGAGGATATAGTCAACGGCGTTACGGACTATTATTTAGTCAGTAGATGTGCGGCCAGCAGAGCCGGAGGCCAGGACTGCGTTCGTCCGGCCTAAGCTGGAAAATAAGACGTTGAACATACCGCTGTGGATCTTCTCAGCTTCCAGATCTGGGATCTCAATGCTGAATTCCTGTTTTTTCAAGTCAACACCTAGATCATAATTCAATTCCTTTAAACGATGGGAGTATTACCTCTTCAATTGCCATCACAACCTCGACGGCGTCCAAGCTGTCCAATCCAAGGTCATTTTGGAAGTGCGATTCGGCAGTGATCTTGATAACGAGTGAGAATCCGCAAAATATGCGCAAAAATGAGTCGAACGGGCCATCTCTATCGTAAACATACCTTAGAGGCATCAGAAACCTATAGCATATTTCCCGTTAGCAAGAATAATAGACTGAGAAACCAATATATTTATATCAAAGGCGTAAAATTGGTAGCCGTACATTGTCAAAGTTCTTCAACAGGTCGATTATTCTACCCTTAACTTCCTGCTCACTGAGACCGGCTGGAGCAGAGTACTGTCTTATGGCCTGGTAGGAGAATCTAGGAGCAAATTGAGCTTGTCTGGCGATGCTGACGGCAGCTGGGGCCTGGCGAGAGACGGGCGAGGCAACTCGGGCAACGCGAGGAACGGACGTCCTCAGCGATCGGATAACGGCAGAGCGGAACATGGTTGCGGTAAAGGTCGTCTTTGAGAAGGTCGATTGAGCAGGAACAACAGCTGAGTAGCGAGATATTTTGTCGTCCGGATGCGTTTGAAAGCTCGTCGGCGTCGTTCTTGTCGTCGTCTTTTTGGTGTTTTTTTTCCCAGACATGAAGTCGTAGTTTTTTTACTCTCAGCCCGCGAGCCAATCAGAGGCCACGTGAACAGTCTTACCTTTCCACGCTTCAACATCAAAAAACGAAGACCAACCGAAAACCGCAAGAAAAGCGACGGAAGACAGCGAGATAGACCGAGATCGAGAGAGAGGCAGAAGAGAACTCGATCAATTGAAGCACCATGGTCTCGTCAAGGGCTGCTACCAGGCTGCTGGCCTACCGAGCGCCGTCACCGCTGACCCCAGCGTATGCCTCGTCCATCGTCCGCGCATCGACGTCGTCCTTCTCAACCTCCGCCATCAGAGCTGCCACTCCCGTCGGGCCACCACCGTCAGGCTTCCGTCTTGCTCCTCCAAAACGATGGGACCAGCAGGGCGAGACCTCTCTTGATAGCGCTACCAAGTACTTTCTCATGGCCGAGCTGTTTCGCGGCATGTACGTGGTGCTGGAACAGTTCTTCAGACCTCCGTATGTACCACATTTATATATATGCACATCCAGAATCCGTCATTGGATGCTCGATGATCCAATTGCTGGTTATTGGGGCAGCTAGGAGTGTGTACAAATAGCCGGGCTAACCATTGGGATAGATACACCATCTTCTACCCGTTCGAGAAAGGCCCCATCTCTCCCCGCTTCCGTGGCGAGCACGCTCTCCGCAGATATCCCTCCGGAGAAGAACGATGCATTGCTTGCAAGCTCTGCGAGGCCATTTGTCCAGCTCAGGCCATCACCATCGAAGCAGAAGAGCGTGTTGATGGAAGTCGACGAACTACCAGATACGATATTGATATGACCAAGTGCATCTACTGCGGATTCTGCCAGGAGAGCTGTCCTGTAGATGCCATTGTTGAATGTAAGTTCCACCTTTGGTTTCGAATGATAATTGGATAATACTAATGTTTGGTGTCAGCGCCCAATGCCGAATATGCTACTGAAACAAGAGAAGAACTTTTGTACAACAAGGAGAAACTACTGGCAAACGGTGACAAGTGGGAGCCAGAGCTCGCAGCTGCCGCCAGAGCAGATGCTCCATATAGATAAAACATACACACCTAACCTCAGACACATTTCCTTCCCCTTGCTTCCCCTTTCCCGTCCCTCGATATCTCTTTAGTACATGTACTAGTTTCTTCCCTTTTTCTTTTTCTTTTGATTCCTGTAAAATGGACCCCTCGGACTTGGTCGTTAGAATGATCGGAAACAATCCAATTGAGCGTTGTGTATATCATTAAATTACTGGTGGAAGGTTCAAATTACTCCCTCTAGGGCGCTCGTTATTGATAGTTCTGGCAAATGACTTTGTTGTCAATACATATATGCCCTTTAATCCGCTTAACTAGGTGTATCAAAGCAAATTGAACATGAGTTGAGAATCCATGTACACAACAACTCCATAACAATAAGCAAAACTAGCTAACTACGTGAAAACGAACAGCTTCCCGGAGAATCCATGCGATCAATTATCTTTTCCCTTTCCCCAAACCGAAGAATATAACTCCATAATACAAAAGGAAAAAGCACGGCTCAGATGCTATAGAAAAGGACACAAGCGAAGAAGTAATAAAAACAAACAAGAATGTCATCGCCTACTTCTTCTTAGACTTGAAGCCCCCTTCAAAGCCAGGCCTGCCTTTACCTTTGCTTTTAGTCACTTTCTTCCCACCCTTGACCCCCTTGTTCTCCTTTCGTTTGCGTAAGTTCTCATCTCTCTTCGACTGCCTGATTTCCTTCCCTTTAGCAACCCCGTCTATTCTCTCCTTCCATTGCTTCTCACTCCGTTTCTTAAGCCCTTCTTTTCTGTTTAGGGCTTTCTTAAGCAATGATACGTCATCCTTGACACGCTCTCCATGAGCTCTCTTCTTAGCGTTAAGCCACATATCTTTCTCCTCAATATCGGCCCGTTTCTCTTCGTCGAGGCTAGCCAGACGAGCCTTTTTAGCCTCTGCGGCCTTGAGTGCTGTATTTGCATCCTGGGGTCCGCGCTTTTTGGCTGCATCTCGGAGACCAGTCATGCTGGAATCAACCTGTTGACCATCGGCAAAGACCACTCGTCCAAAGGAGAAGTTGTTTGGTATAGATGCTATCGAGTCAGCGGGAGACCCGGGGGAGGACAGAAGGGAACCAGGACCATTGGCGGCGAAGCGTTTGGAGATAGCCTCGTCTCGAAGCCGCTGCTCTTCTTCTTTAGCCTTTTGTCGTTGCTCTTTCTTCTGTGCTCGGCGGGCCTCTTCACGCTGCCGTCGACCTTCGATGAGCTCCTGTCTGTTCTTGGCGGGTTTGCCGTTGACGCCGTCCGCATGACGGGCTGCACGAAGTTCGTCAAGTCGCTTTTGCAGCCTTTCTTTCAATTGTTCAGCAGTACACTGAGGCTTTTTGAGTTGTGGGGATGGTTTGATATCGGTAGTGGTGGAAGGCTTGGATGTAGATGATTCAGTGGGTGGAACAATAGAGGACGCAGATGAGCTACCAGAGGGGGGATTGGACGGGTCTGATGCGTTGTTTGGTGAAGTGGGAGCAGAAGATTCATGGTCTGGCTGACCCTGGAGAGCCTCAGAAGAGAGCCCTTCTAGCGATATGTCTTCCATTTCGTCATCACTTTCTGCAGACTCTTTAGCATTTTTCGTCTTGGGTTTGCTGGATTTCTGTACTGATGGTAACGGCTGTTCAGCTGTATCGCCGTCCTTTGATTCAGATGGCTTAGAAGTTGCTTCTACGCTGGCATGCTGCTCTCTTCTCGCAGCTTTTAGCGCCGCTATTTTCTCTTTTCGTTTCTCTCGCTTCTCAGCTTGTTTCTTCTTCAGCATCTCTTGCTTTGCTGCCTTTGCTTCATTCTTTGCTTGCTGTTTGATATCTCCTTCTTTGGCTTCTTGGTCTTCTGGGTTGGAAGTGGCAGTGGCCTTTTTTGGCTTCTTGAGCTTGGAGTCTCCCCGCTTCAAGCCCTCCCTCGGCTTTTCTGAGCCTAGAAGTTCCTCCTCCGAGTGTGAGCCGTCTGCACTTTGCGTCTCATCTTTATGTGCCCCCTCCCTTTTCCTCCTTTTGGCATTTTCATCCATCACATCCTTTGCCGATTTCGAGGTTTCAGGGTCTAGTTTGGCTCTCTTTGCGTCTCTAGCCTGTTCTTTGGTCTGCTTCTTCCGTTGCCATTGTTCCTATATTCCGGAGCTCGAATATCAGCATTGCCTCTCGAGAAGACCGACAGTATTCAAGATAGGCCTCGGCCATCGAGCGGAGCAGAACGTACACTGTTGTCTTCTCCGTAGTAATACTTTGCGGGAATCAGCGACAGCAAGCCATCAAACGCGCTCGCATGGCCTCTTAGGCGCTCCTAAACGAATAACATTTAGCAGATGAAGCGCATAGGAGTAAAAATATCTTACCTCTAAGCTATCCCCCATAATTACAAGCAACTAGAAAAAGAAAATGCTCTAGAATAAAAACCATCGACAGCTTCCTCGAAGCCTCAATGAAAATATTTCGAAATCTTGAACGGTGGGAAGAAATCTTGGCGTTTTCTCTTTTTCTGCCGTGGGGCTTTTCTCACCGCCTTCGGCCCAATAATAGAACGTTTGATATCAACATCAACATCAACCTCAACCTCAACCTCAACCTCAAACAACATAACAACCCCAAGAGAATATGTCAATAGCAGCTATAGTTTTCCGAAGCGCTATTCTTAAGCTATGGAGGTGGAAATATTATTCATTTTATTGACAAGATGACAGACCGAAGGCTGTCGGTTGATTTCTAGTGGTAGTATGGTACAACCTCGTTGAACCGTTCGAGACCTTTAACATGTCCAATGACGATATAAATGTATGGAGCCATCCTCTGCTGCAGACATCCACGTTGCTGCATATATATTGCAGGAAAGTCGGTAGGCAGAGCAGGGGAATGGGAAATTCTTTTGCCTTGCCTTATGGAGTATGGGCGAACTGGTTATCGGCACCATTTGCCCAGGTGCTAAATATCATATATGAGAGACCTTCTGTCTATGGAAATCAACTAACAGACGTTACTTTTCATTTTCAATAGTAATACCCTAGGCCTGGCGGCTAAAAGGATGCTAGATTCGGTCGGTTGGCTCGGCTGAACGCACATAAAAATGGGGCACACGCCCGAACGATTGATTCACCAATAAATTGTATGTTTCAATCGAATATTCTAGGTATTCGTTTCGAGCTACCCCGTATGGAGTACGGAAGTACGGAGTACCTGATGTTACGTCGCGGAACGCATCCAAGACGAAGTTGTAATTGCAACTTAGAAATTGCTGTCAGGGCCCGGCACCACTCTTCCGACAGCTTCAAAGCAACACGGCCGCATGGTAGTGGAGTTTTAGTGCAAGATGGTATCCCGAATAAGAACAAGCTTCACAAAAACGATGCTATGATTCCTATCCAGAATTATACTCCGTCTTTGCATATACTTACTCGATCCGTCCCGTCGTTGGCTCTGGACAGCTGATGGTAGGGGAGATATTATTAGCTAAGCTTTCCTGCGGCGGTGCATGGAATTTAGCATTGCTAATCAGCCACGATAGAGGCTTTGACAATCAGTGGGGGCTGAGGGATCAGCTTGATACTAGCCTTCAAAGCCCCCTGTATCGCGCGTACGATAAACTCCGTTGAGTATCATGGTGCGCCAGACGGGAGGATTCGGGTAAGAGCAGCGTTCTGAAAAATGACCGGATTAAGCATGACGTTTCGAAGTAGTTGATTCCAACACCACCATATATCGCTTTGATGGCACAAGATGGACTCAGCTGATACAGTCAGGAAACGACTTAATCAGAGACTAACACAGGCGTGTGTTCACACCAAAACAGAGATCTTGAGACAGCGATCTTCGATATTCTTCTGACACGGAGACTGTGGATAGTGAAGTGGGTGGGATATTGCTCTCAAATCCTCGAAAATAAACATCTGCAGGGGTATGTTTGCAGAGCCCCTCGCCTTATACGGCTGACGCTCCGGCTTTCCCGTAATAGGCGAATATCCAGGAAGTATTCAGCTCGTCCAGGATCTCGGAGGAACAGCCCTACAAAGAAGCAACTGGCAGCTTCGATAAACGAACGAGAATGCGCAGGAACTCGGGTTGGAACAACCGCGCAGAACACAGCTTGGCGAGGCTTTGCTCATCGTATCCCAGCTGAGCATGACGTGAGTGGGTATCATGTTGGCGAATGAGGCCGGGCCTAGGTGGGCGATTACGGTGTGTGTGGCTGCAATCCGGGTGCTTGTATCTCATAACGGCGGCGTTTTGATGAGCAATGATCTCGTCTGATGCTGGGTGGGAAATTGCGGTGCATGCATGTTCCTGGCGCACTGCGAGGAAGGCCAACAACTTGCTGCGCATACGGAGCAAACCCCAAGGAGGATCAGAAGTTTACTGCGGCGCTCTAATAGTCCGGCGTAAGGATGCACGCCGCCTCCATGGGCCATGGCGACACGCCTGAGCTGACTAGCGGGGTCTCCTCATCCGATTATCATTTATTATTTAAGGCGGGGTCTTCCTCTTGCTGCCTTCTTCCTTTCCATCATCATCACCATCAACTACTTGACATCTCCCTACTATCATCAGTCCATCGTCTTTTAGACAGTCGCCCGCCTATACGATAACATCAACTATCAACATCTACATCTACACATCCGGCATTCTCAGATAACCCCGCCAATCAACATGTCTGGCTACAACGACTACAACAACCAGCAGGGCTACGGCCAGCAAGGCTACGGCAACCAGCAGGGCGGTTATGGCCAGCAACAAGGCTACGACCAGAACCAGCAGGGCTATAACCAGGGCCAGTACGGTCAGGGCCAGCACAACCAAGGACAGCACCAGCAAAGCTACGGCCAACAGCAGGGCGGCTACGACCAGAATGGCTACAACCAGGGCGGCTACAACCAGCAGCACCAATACCAGCAGCAGGGCCAGGACTACAACCAAGGCCAGCAGCACAACTACGGCGGCCAGCCTCAGTATGGGTAAGTAACCGAGCTAAAGTCACACATTACCCCACTACCGCCACTGATGCTAACATATGATATCTATCAACAGTCAAGATCAGGGTGCTCCAGGCGGTGCCCAAGAGGGTGAGCGTGGAATCGGAGGTGCTATTGCCGGTGGTGTCTCTGGCGGCTTCCTCGGAAGCAAAGCCAACCACGGCTTTCTAGGAGCCATCGGAGGAGCCATCGCCGGCCACTTTGCCGAAGAGAAGCTCAAGAAGCATGGAGACGGCCATAGCGGAAGCGGCCATGGAAGCAGCGGAGGCAGCCATGGCGGAAGCTCTTTCGGCTCCATGTTCGGAGGCGGCAAGCATTAAGCTGCGAACACCATCCTACCTGGCTACCAGTGGCAAAAACCACGCGAGCGGACGTTTACGGCATGCCCCTGTATGATTCTCCTATGTGCTGATGTACTTTGTTTAAATTCCTGCGTTCTACTCCGTACTTGATGATAAATTTGTTTCTGCTCTTTGAATGTCCCATGTTGACTTTTGGCAGCTCGCTGCTTTGCTTCGATATTACTACACATCGTGATATTGCCTTAAGACTTATACATGATACAGTATCCATTAATATTTATACCTGTGCTATTGTTCCCTGTACCAAAGAAATTGACAGACCCCATAGCCAACACTTAAATCAGAACTATTATGGGCCGAAGGGCCATGGTATAGAAAGAACCACTACAGAGTATCCAGAGTCCGTTTTCCGGTAGATCAAATCAGTATCAAAAGACCACTTGGTACAAGTGGGATCTCACCAACCACAACCCAGACATCTAGCATTCGTGGCTTTAGAGAAGCACTCTGGAAGATCAGAGAATGAATCTTTCGCCCTAAGTGGAGATTCAGCTTCTCTTAACGCCTTCGATACTAAAAGCGATCAAATACTGCTCGATACGAGCTAATCATTGCCTTGTGGCGTTCAAATGTAGAAAAGAAAAAGTACTTTGCTTTCTGGAGGAAGCGGAAATCGCCGATCCAGAGGTCAATCTTTTTTTTATTTTTCCCTGGTTTATGATGAATTTCATTAACGATCCAGAAAGAGACAACTAATTGGTTGGAAGCCAGGTTGGTTTACTTTGGGCTGGCCGTATTTGAGAACAGACAGAAGGACCGAGGATGACTAGATATTTGGTTGAGGCCTGCAGGCGGACGGTGACACTTGGACTCGGTGGTACAGGTTGACAGTGACGTCGCATAAGATCCAGGATGGAGATGCTGGTCTGGATGCAGTATGCTGTACGCCGTAGACTGTACGCTGTATGACGGGAGCAGCTTCCACTGCAAATAGAGACCTTGAAGGCCCTCTTCCCGGCTCTCATGGGTCTCGACGTCATCTGTGGCCCGGTATCGTCGACTGTCTCTTGGTATCCGTAAATAGCTCCCGGGATGGGGGGGATCAATTGATAAACAATGGATATATATAGAAAAGATGGACATTGGACACGGTCCCCAAAAAAAAGAAGAATTAATCTATTTTTCAGTGATGCCCAGCAAAAAAGAAACGGATGGTAGTGTACATCAACGGGCATCGCCTGGGGATAGGAAAAAATATAAGTATAGCTATAAGGTGTAACTCCCAAGGAAACGCAAGCCAAATGTATAGTATATGAGAGAGGGGAAAAAGACAATACGCAGACATTTCATAGATCATGCAACGGAACATCGTCCCAAACCTTCTAGTAAATCACTGGCTCGTACATCTATACCCCCCGTGTCTTGGTCTTCTATGCCAAAGCCAATGAACAACACGTCATCAAGGTAGCCATGGTATTTCTGGCCGTGCTTCTTCCAGCTTATGGAGGTGATGTAGAACATCTCCGTCTGGTTCCAAACTTGTATCTCTTCGGGAGTCAGGCCGGGCGGTTTCTTGCCCTGGCCGGCCTTGCCGCGGCCATGGATCCAGATGGGCTTCGAGGATATCCCGTACAGCTCGAAGGGGGCGCTCTGGCGGAAGAGCATGGCGTAGGGCTCATACACGCTGTGGAATTGGTAGAAGGTCTTGTGCTGGAAGATGGTCAGCACAAAAGTGTTTTCCTCGTTGGGCTTGCAGCTCGGGTCCGCTCGGCGGCAGAGCGTGATGGCCAGGGAGTTTGTGGCCTGGTGGATGGACTCGAGCTTTGGCGGGAGGCGAGGCATGTACCGCTGCAGACAGCGGCTGTCCTGAGCAGCCACGGCGGGCGCGAGATTCGGTCCTACGGCGCCTGTATACTCTAGTTTGGCGAAGACTCGCTTGGGAGCCACGTCGTAGTGAGCGTACATCTGGCCGTCCTTGTCCCAGAAGACGAACCAGTTCTTCTCGATGGCACCGTACGCCGTCGGCCGCTGGACCTCCGTAGGCACTCTGAACTCGTTCTGGAAGAAGTGCTCGTACCCCCAGTCCATCAGCATGCGGAAGTCCTGCATCCACTGGCCAAAGCAGGTGAAGAACGAGTTGGAGCCGTAGATGGTCAGCGGGAAGCGCGGCCCGTAGAAGACTCGCGCATCGTGAGGCCCGATGTTAAGGGCAAAGAAGGCCAGGTCGCCCGTACACTTGTTGCGGTCTCCTACAGTCGCGGGGATGGGCATGTTCATCGGCGGGCCGACACACTCGAGCTGGCCACCCTGCTTGAACATGGCGTTACACACCAGCTCGGTGAACCAGACAGTGTCCTTGATCTGGTCGCGCGGGTTCATGTGCTGCGCCGCGATCACCCAGGTATCATTGAGCTGCGGATGGGGGATGATGCTGGGGTTCGTAGCTGGCAGCCCGCCGAACTTGATGCGAAAGAACTTCTTGTCCGGCGTGGACCGCGAGAAGACCTCATGGTGTGTCTTTGATATATCGGACGACGACGACGACGACGACGACGACGGAGAAGAAGAAGACGAAGATGAGGGCGTAGACAGCCAGCCGCCGCCGCGATCAAAGGGCAGCGAGCCCTTGAAGGTGTCTCCGAGCGACCATGAGCGGGCGCTGCCAAAGTAGGTGGCGACCGCGAAGGCGAGCAGCAGGAAGAGCGCGACGGGGATGAAGAGTCGCTTGAGCCCGCGAACTAACATGGCCTATCGAGCAGGTCAGGACGGCCCTTTTCACATAATGTCCACCAGTCGTTGCCGGCAGGGGTGAGGGAGGAGACAGCGAGATGAGATATGAGAAGGAGACGAGAGACGAGAGACGAGAGACGAGAGATGCGAGGTGTGTACGGGGGTGTTATTACTCTGCAGTGTCACTGTTGTTTGAAGATTAATTACTCTGTACGGGGGTCTCTTTTGATATCAAAATCATGGATCCCATCCAGGACGGCCCATCGCTCGATCACAGGCAAAAAGAGGACCTGCTTCGTCGCCCTCCTTGGAACGAGCCATAAGACGAGGACGAGAAAGCAGCAGCAGAAGAAAAACTCTGCTCGCTCCTTCGTCTAATCAGCAGCGACCGTTTCCAAGGCTTACGTGGGATTCTCGCTGCTGTCTGTGGTTCGTGTATCCTACCAAATCTCCCCAGGGCCAATTGGAGCGCGGCGAGGCATGGAGAAAAAGGGGTAAGAAGCCACGGGCGAGCCAGCCAGGGCAGCAGCAGCTGTTATTAAAGTACGTACCCTACCTTATATAAGGATGTGTATGCATAAGTATGGATAAGCAGGTGGGCTTGGATCTGCTGTGGGCAGGACGGGTGAGGATGCGAGGCAGCGGGCCAACGACGGGATCCCCTGCAAGCCTCTTCGGACGTGTTACTCGATTCGATACGTAATTTGCATGGGCCCAAGTTCAATTTCCGTTATAGCGCCTGAAAATCTCTCTATATATACACAGGATGATACTGGATTCGTCACGCTATGAACATGTGAAACTGCTGCTGCTTCGTAAATACCAAACCAGAAGCCAAAAATCTAATCAAAAAGAAGATAAGAGGATGAACGTGGAAACATAACGGGTCTCCCCCCTTCCCAAGATTGCAGGAAGCTAGAGAGCGCTAGAAGCGAGCGAAAGTGACAAGCGAACGCCAGATGTAACGATCACATCGCTTTGGCGGCAGGCGGCAATGTCTTGGAATAAGCCCACTGAGCGAACTTGACGCTGGGTCCGTCAAAAAGCTTAGTGACAATCTCCGCAAGCCAGAGGGTGAGCGGAAGGAGAATAAGTTGTGGAGCAAGGAATCCAACCTCAAGACCGAGTGGGCCAGTCGTGGGCAGAGGGAACCGGTTGATCCAGCTAGGGATGGTTTTGTGGTGCGAATCCTTTACCCAGCCCACAGCGCAGTAGAGGCGGTCTCCCAGAATCCAGAGGACGGGCCCGTGGACGAGGTAGAGGGCGAACGAGACGCGGCCGAGATACTGGTTGAATCGGAGCTCGAAGAAGCTCTGCAGAGGGCGGATGCGCTGGATCGACGAGACGAGGAAGATGGCCGCCCAGAAGAGGTAGAACCACTTGAAGTCGAAGACCGCCTGGGGCTTCAGGTAGGAGAGCCAGTTCCAGCCGGGAGACTCCTTCAGCAGCGAAACGTCGAAGCTGTGGGACGGACAGCCGCCAAGGTACATGCTGATCACGAAGAGGCTGTAGAAGATCGTGTCCTTGTAGGGCTGGAGACGGTAGAAGAATTTAGGCAGGTTGTTGCTTTCCGCGAGCAGGTCGAGGTCCGACAGGTGCATGCCGGCAACAAACATGGCACACAGTGCGCCGTCGGCAATGTACATAAAGTAAATGAAGAGGCCAATCTCGCACAGCAGGCGAGCGTTCCTCGACGCCTTCGAGAAGGCGAGCAGTGCGGTGTAGATGACGATCGAGCCCTTGAACTCGACCGGAATCGACCACGCATGGAAGTTGTAATGGAACCAGGGCTCTCCTCCGGTCCTGAAGATGAAGCTGAAGTTCTTCATCTCGCAGTACCACTTCCACAGCTCGTCCTTGTAGCTCCCTTGCGGATCAGGGACCGCCGTTATTCCAAACATATGCCATATCGTCATGTATACGAACGTCGTGCCCATGACCGGAAGGTACAGCCGCAGCCATCGTCGGAATAATGCAGAGGACAGGGTATCCCCAAGCTTGAGATAGTCGCCTGCGTGTATCAAGCTCAGAGCTTTCACTGACAGCACGTACCCCGAAAGGACGAAGAACACGCTGACTGCGAAATGGCCGCCGGAAAAGAACGTCCGTATCCCAGGCAGGGCGATGAAGTGGTGCTTGTTCTTGTATCCATATGCGTTCTCGAATATGGGATTCTGGGTTATCGCATCGTGTGCCCAGAGCTCGTGGTGGCCGATATAAACCAGCAGGGCTGCGAATCCTCTCAAGCCATCGAGGTAGCTAGTCCGTCCCATCTGTTTCCGCCGGCCCTTCGTCGTTAGAATAGACGGCCGTACTATGTCAAGAAACCATCGCACTGCGCGGGAAATCCGAGACGGTTTCGACTCCCCCGTTGTTGGCTCCTGCCAGTACTGCTTCTCTAGTATGTTTCCGGGTAGAGCTGACATCTTCAAATGCAGCCGGTGGTGGTCCTGGCTGTCGTGTCCGTTCACTCAAAAAAAGGAGAGAGAAGCAGCTAATAATAAAAATAATAATCAATTAGATATATAAAAAAAGATAAGAGAAGCTGGAAAAGAGCTTCCTCGTTCCCTTGTCCGACTTCCACCCAGGCTCGCACAGCTAAGCTTGAAATCGAACGGCGAAAAGGATGGTGGAGGGCGGCGGAGCAGGAGATTATCTTGATCAAAGATCCGGGGTTAAAGCGAACCGAAAAATAATAACCCCCCCCCCTTTGCCTTCCCATGGATTAGTTATCGATGCGGAGTTCGTACGGCTCAAAAGAAAATTTTTGTTCGGTTTGACGTATATTTCGAGCAGACGAAGAAGCACCTGCAAATCAGTTTCACACTGTCAGGAAGAAGCAACGAAGCCGAAAAAGAAAGGAAGGGCCCGTCCAGATATTATCACAGGCAAATCCGCAGCGCTGCCAAGGAGTGTCATGCCCAGGTAAACCGGAGGGAGCTGGCCGGTACTTTAGGGGTTCACATGCCGAGCGCTGCCTGTTCCTTGCCCTCGTTCGCCCGTGGCCCTGGCCTGGCTTTGCCCTGGCCCGAGACGCAACAGGGTCTCCCCCCGGAGCTTCCAGGAAAGGGCGCCCGTATCCAATCCCTGGCGCGGTGGAGATTGGCTTCCTGATTTCTTTTTCGGCTTTGCCTGACCCACCCCTTTTTTGACTTTTTTTGCCATCCAAAATTTTCAGTTAGTCTAATTGAGCTTATCCCGAGCAATACAAGCGGAAAATAATATCAACAGCTCCCTCGGCCATAAAGCAAAAAAACGGCACTTTTCCCCCTTCTTTCGATCGGAAATCGACCGTGGATACGTTGACGGAGTCGCTTACTTCGAGTTTTTTCCTTGGTTCCCCAGGTCTTTCCAATTCCTCGACCTGAACAAACCCTCTCGTCTTCTCTTCCTCCCCCTTCTTCCTCCTCCACCCCCCGCACATGGAAATCGCCGCTCCTCATGTTTAAAAAAATCAACATGAAGCCGCTTTCTCCCTTCCTGAACCGTACTCCTGTGAGTATTCGTTCTGCAATAGACCAAGCAATGGGGGCAGTCAAGAACATCGCGCCGAAATTTGGAGGCTTCCTGCCACGGCAGATGAGGAGAGCTCTGGTAGGATGCATCTCCTGTCTGGTCATCGTCATTTATCTTTCAGTTGCTGGCACCTTCTCCGAGTCAAAAAGCGATTATACTCCCAGCATCATCCACAGGATGGAAAAATTTCCCCGGAAGATTTGGCAGACCTGGAAGGTTGACCCTCTGGACTTCGACAAGAGAGACTTGGATACTGCAAAGAGCTGGGTGTCCAAGAACCCCGAGTACAGATATGAGGTTTTGACGGATCACAACGACATGTACTATGTTGAAACACATTTTGGCCCTGACGGCTTCAACCGACCTGACATCGTGGATACCTACCGCCAGCTCACCGCGAAGATTATCAAGGCTGATTTGCTCAGATACCTCGTCATGTATGTCGATGGTGGTGTCTATACTGACATCGACGTCGAAGCAATCAGGCCAATTAAGAGGTTCATCCCGGAGCGGTACAACGAGAAAGACATCAACATGGTCATCAGCGTCGAGATCGACGAGCCAAGCTTCAGCGACCACGCGATCCTGGGCCAGAAATCCAAGTCCTTCTGTCAATGGACGTTCATGTGCAAGCCCAAGCTTCCCGTCATGATGAGACTTGTCGATAACATTCTCAAGTGGCTCAATGGCGTTGCAAAGAAGCAGGGCAAGCCGATCTCAGAGATTGTTCTCGACTTTGACGAAGTTATCAGTGGTACTGGACCCTCAGCCTTCACCAACGCTATCCTGCAAGAGATGAGCGAGGCTGTTGGTGAGCCAGTCAAATGGGATATGTTCCACGATATGCATGAATCTAAGCTCGTCGGAGGTTTCCTCGTTCTCACTGTCGAAGCATTCGCCGCTGGACAAGGCCACTCCGACTCCGGGAACCACAATGCTCGAGCTGCGCTAGTCAAGCACCATTACCACGCATCCGAATGGCCAAAGAACCATCCCCGATATAACCATCCTGTATATGGTGAAGTTGAGAAGTGCAACTGGGATCGGGGCTGTGTTGAGGAATGGGATAAGAACACTGCTGCTTTCAAGGAACTCTCACCCGAAGAGCAAGCAAAAAAGATTGCCCTTGCGAAGCTCGAAGTTGACACTCCACCACCCAAGGTACCTGAAGTCCCAACATGGAATCAACCCGGCCTTCCCACTGAACAACAGCCTAACGGACAGCCCCAGACTCCTCAGCAGGCGCCAGTCGAAGGCCAGCCCGTTGTCCAGAACCCACCTCAGCAGCAACCACAACAACCACAGCAACCACAGCAACCAGGTCAGCAGCTCCAGCAGCCCCCGATACAACAACTGCAACCTGGTCAGCAGGTACAGCAGATACCACCCACGCAACAGCTGCAGCCCGGACAGCAAATCCCACAAGCTCCACCACAGCAACAGCAGCCAGGACAGCAGCTACAGCAACCGCCGATACAACAGCAACCCGGGCAACCCTTGCAGCAACCACCACCACAGCAGCAACAGCCTGGACAGCAGCTACAGCAGCCACCACCACAACAGCAACAACCTGGACAGGTACTGCAACAGCCACCACCACCGCAGCAGCAGCAACCTGGACAGGCACTGCAACAGCCACCACCGCCGACGCAGCAGCAGCAGCAGCCGCAACAACCCGGACAGCAGCTACAACAGCCACCACCACAACAGCAACAGCCAGGACAGCCATTGCAGCAGCCACCACCACCACCACCACCACCACAGCAGCAGCAACAGCAACAACCCGGACAACAGTTGCAACAGCCACCACCACATCAACAACAACCCGGCCAGGGGCCGCCTGAACAGCCCAAGGCTCCTGCAGGAAAGGAACAACCTAAGGCGCCCCGGCCTGATGGGCCTGCATCTCCAGATGGACCAGAGAAGCTTGAAGATAACGAACTTAAAGAAATCGCCGAGCTTAACGATGAGCTCAACAACCTGGAAGGTTCTGAAAAGAAGAAGCGCGATCCTAAACCCAAGCTTCCCTGAGGAGTTGTTGAGATTGCCTGACAAGATTCCACGGCTGCATGATATCGGAGCCTCTTCATCCGCCGCCTTTATCCCCTATCTTTACTGGTTTCCTATCCTCCTTATAGGTGCCGTAAAGCCAGTGGGAGCGGGATATCACAGGAGGAAATATATACATATATATAATATCCCCGCTCAATAGAGTGGACGTGTGGTGTAGTAGCTGGCTAATACTTCCTAGCACGGCGCGGTACATGACACACCCTTTATCAGCCCGAAGCAGCCCGAGTATATTCGAGAAGAACGGTGTTTTAACGGCGTTATGGGTCATATCGAAGGGAAGCGCGTGATGAATATGGATACCTAAAGATTTGTGATTTCATTCCATTTCCTATGTCTTCCATTATATTTTTTTTTCCTGTCTTATTCTTAATATCCTGAACTCTGATAGCGGTTGGTTATGTCTTTATGCGGGGATTTGTTAGCACGTTATAGACTATCATTGTCAGTTATCACGGCCTCCAATTTGAATGTGGTTTAATGTTGAATATAACCTGTTAATGGCAAATGAATATTGGAGACAAGGGTCTCGTATCCGAGCTTTCAACCATCTTGCTAATCAAGGGTGCTTGTTCCAAGCCCACAAGCTCAAGTAACCATCATACCCGAGGCCTCTGGGTGAACTTCACGTCGCAACAGCGCCGTCTCGCTCTGTAGCATCTCATCCTCGCTGCTCGCGTGTTTGCTCGTCGTTGAAGTTGCTCTTTTCAGACGCTCAAAGTGCCGAAGGTTAGAACTTGCTTATGTAATCGGAAATTTCTCCAACTCCTTTGAAAGTCTTTCTGCGTTTTCAAAAGGTGCTCTTCAATCGCAGTGCAAGATCATACAAGCCCACAAACGACAAAGATGATATTAAGACGGTTCGCCATAAGGCAGGGTAAGACCTCCTCTGTGCATTTTTCGCCCTTTAGCGGCTTCAATTGCTGGACTAACAGCCCGTTCTCATGCAGCGCGCACCTTTGCCCAGAACAGCCACCAACGACCCTTTCAGTCTCGATTTTTGTCCAACCAAGTTCCTACCGATACCATTCCTGTGGCCGAGGCGGAAGCGAGTGGATCTATTCAGACCAAAAATGTCAGCCCAGAAGTAACTGTTCCGCCAGCAATGGCTCAGTACAGGTCCGGTGTAGTTAACAGTACGTGCTAGAGAGGGAGCTTGTATATTGCAGCTTATCCTGCTTATAACGTTCCGGTTGGAAGAAGGAAACTTGCATCTAGAAATGGTTGGCTGACATTGACTTATCCTGACAGAGAATAAATTCAACCAACTTGGATCTGATATCAGAAACAATTATCGACCTGAAGACCTAATCTCCAATCCTCCCAGGGCTTCTGATGTCACGCTCGAACTGCTTCTCGCTTCTCAGGCCCACATCGGACATTCGACTTCTCTCTGGAACCCCGGAAACTCGGGCTATATACATGGCATTCGCGAAGGAGTTCACATAATCTCTCTCGATGTTACTGCGGCCCATTTACGACGAGCAGCTAAGATCGTTGAAGAAGTCGCTCGAGTAGGGGGTCTGATCCTATTCGTTGGTACGAGAAAGGGCCACAAACGGGCTGTTGTGCGTGCCGCAGAATTAGCACAAGGTTGTCATGTCTTTGACCGCTGGGTTCCCGGGTCTCTCACCAACGCTCTGCAGCTGTTGAATAAATGCGAAGTTAAACTCGTTGATGCTCTTGATAGAACTGTGGATCATCCCGAATTCCAGGGAGTTGACATCGAAAGAGCTCCATTAAAGCCGGATTTGGTGGTCTGCTTTAATCCTCTAGAGAACAAGCCTTTGCTCCAGGAATGTGCTACCATGAATATTCCTACTATCGGAGTTATCGACACTGACGCTGATCCGACCCGAGTCACCTATCCTATACCCGCAAATGACGACAGTCCCCGATGTATAAGTGTTATTGCGGGCGTCCTGGGGAGGGCCGGAGAAAGAGGACAGCAAGAACGGTTGAAACAGTCGGCCGCTGGAAATTTACCTTATGAGCCTATCCATCTCAAGTCTGAGTCCTTGGAAACTACGGAGGCCTAGGATGCTGGCTTTGCTCTCTTTTCGAAAGATATATACCCTGTTCAAAGGCCTTTTAACAAAAATTTCAAAGCTATCAATGTACAATATCATAACTTTTCTTCATTGTGTATTAACTCTGGTTCCGTTGATTCTTCAGCTAATCCAGGAGATTTTATCTTCATATCTCAGCCACGTTCTTGGTCTCAGCTGCCAGAATGCCAGTTTGGTATATACTCTTTGGTCTTGCTATTTGACTTTGGCAGAATCAGCGGACGTTGCCAGCCGTCAAACCATAATTAATTTCAGAAACCTAGTTAGATACCAATGAACCACGGCTACCATGTCTATATGCCTCAACGACGTCATATTGCTCTATGTTTACCGGCGATTAAATACCCCATTATATAGCAAGAGTGACCCAGGATTTCGATATCGGAAGCGACCTCCGTCCCACAAACAATCCATCTCAGCTCTCGACTAAAAATTATTCTGCCTATACTTGATCGTATCGTTTTGGATCCTACACATACCTTTCACGATGGAGCTGGGCTTTGGTGATCAAGACCTTATCTACGAAGAAGAGGCCAAAAGGCTAGCCGAATCGGCTCCAGTGCCCCGGCCTATGTGCCTTTCATGCAGCAAGCTTGTCGCAGAATCTCCAATGTTACAGTGTCCTCTCGCCTACCCGCCGAAGAAGTGTGTCCAGTGTGCCAAATTCAACCTGCCATGCCATATCGTTCCACCACAGTTCCGAGGTGATCTCGAACGTATCCAGGCTCTTGCACGAGAATTTCATGTCAGGCCATCCCCCAAAACAGCCGAACAACTTCAAGGATCCTCTCCAAAGTATATCGCAAGAGCTGAAGCTTACGAGCTCAAGGAGTCGGCATTAGAGGGATATACGCCCTATCAAGTACCCAGGCCACTACCACCCCCCGTCCCTATCAATCCCCCTGTCAAGACTGTCACCCCTATGAACTCCCTAGCGCCCACAGAAGATGCATTAGCCCTGAAGATTCGCAATGTTCAGCAGATCAACGATATGCTCAGTAAAATGACGGAATTATTATTCCGAAAAATGGATTTACCCTAAGAGAACGATAATATCGAGAAAGACTCGGAAGCCACTTGGTTACGGACTAACCAAGACGTCGTACGCGGAAAATACGTTAACGAGCCTGTAAAACAACACCATTGAGAAGTAAGCTTACCATTGATTACTGCATGGTTAGATTTACTGCCGACTCAGAGTACGCAATCCTGTCGATTTAATACTCCCTACACCAACATTCTTGCATCAAGCATACTCCATGGAGCCTGGCCTCGTTTCGAACCTCAAATAATCAAATGCCGATAAATATCTCGATACTGTCCTATATACTATATCGCAAACCCTAGCTATATATTGTTCAGCCTGTTGGCTAACCTGGATCATTACATGACAGGCCAAAGTGACAATGATTGCTATGTTTCTGGCCGTCCGATATCTTGCATCCGCTTTAACGAGGCGCAACCCTAAAGCGTACAATCCTACTTTGAGTAAAAGTTTGATTTTGTGTACACTCGACCTTCCCCGTACGTATAGAGCCTTGTCTTGGACCGCCAAAAGCTCTTTACATATTCTTGTACGCGCTACTCAAGAACTATATTGCCCTGCTCCTCTGCCCCCAAGCAATATGCTACGTTGGGGAAGATATAGAAGGAACTCGGCAGACTGGAGGCACATATGAAATCCAATGCTAGTAAAATGGATTATTAGTTAACAGAATACGACGCTTCTTTACATTGCGACTCCCTGTAGAACGGCGCATTTGCTATTCAATGATTTAAAGTTAGTAACTTTCCACGTTTTAGACAACCTTGTTTTAGGTTCCGTCGCCAGAAGGTTGCCAAGCCTAGGTTAACTATGCAAGGCGCTTTGGCGCAGGGGATTGTCACTATTGTCCTGTGGGAAGCTCAAGCTTCACTAACTAATCCTAGAAGCTCACTGCGTTCATATGGCTCGGGGGATTTTGGGTCTTAACACTGCATTCCTAAATTTCATAGCCTACAAGTAGATATACTCCACTTAAATGCTTACAATGGCCTTTGTGATTCGAGTAGTAGGAGCGTGGGGTTTGAGCGAAACCAAGCAATATTTATAAGATCTCAGGTCTATAAGCTGCAACTGTAGTTGGAAAACAGAAGATACACACGTATCTAGTCAAAAATGAAGCATTAGGACAAGCGCAGCCACGCCGAATAAGCCCAAATGCACAAACATGTCTACCTACCACATGTAGAAATACATGATAAATCTAGAAGGGTATATGAGGAAATAACCAGAACTGTGGTTGCACACTTGTTGAAAACGTAAAAGGGTTGTTCTCCACCCAAGGTAGTACAGAAAGCAGACAAGAAACCAGCGAGATGTATTCATTATCCCAAGGCTCTCTTGGTGAGTTCGAAACTATAAGATTCAGTTAGCATCAAGGCTGCGATTGGGTAGAACCTAAGGGGAGATGGAAAACATACGCCGCGAAAGTGCCGGCTGACACAGGGGCAGCCCTTAGGAGAGTTGGAGCAAGGCCTTTAACAAAACCTCTCATCCCCTCTTGAGCGAGTGTCTGTCTAAAACAGTCTCTCATGCTCTTGTATCTCTGGTGCTGCCCGAAGCCATCACTTTGCATTTTACTCTTGACCACGTCGAACGGATAGCTAGAAAGCCAGAGCACCTCACCTGCCAAGCCACCGTATCCTGCTATTTTATAAGCAGGAATATCTTCACGCCGAGTGTTGGTTCGCTTTGCTTCCCAATTCATCATGTACTCGAAGGAAAGGAACCACATTCCATAAGCCTGGGCTTCACGAAGGATTGTAACCGCCTCTCCACGATAGAGGCCATTGAATAGCCCTCCTTGAGATGACAATTTCTTTATACAGTCCAAAGGCCCACTGTAAAGTCTCCCTTCTCCATGAGGTTGGGTTTGCAGCCTGATACGGACATGTTCGATGGGGCCAGAAATCACGGAGTTAACAATTCCTGCAAAAGCACCTGACATATAAAATTGGGAGTAAGATAGGCTGGCATCCTTTGATCCCTTCTGTGCATTCATCCTTTCGAAATATCGACGTGCTTCATGGAAAGCTCCAAATTGAACGCTTACCTGCAGGAAGGAAATATCGAGTTAGGTAGAACTGTCAATACGACCATGCATTGTAAGGTGGGGAAAACATACACAGGCACCAATACCAATCAATGGGGTCAAGGTCCCCTTGTAGAATGCAAGTGGGCCCTCCTTCGCAAATATCTTTGTAGCACAGTCCAAGGCATTGGAATACTGCGTCGTCGTTTGCAATCGGACTTTGACAATATCTAGGTAATAATGATTTAGCCGGTGCTATCATGGCCAAGCTCTCCTTCACATACCGAAAGGCTGTCCTATAAACTTTGTCAGTAACACGGTCCGACGAATGCTAAAGCGGTAGAATACAAACCGAGAAGAACTTGTGCAATTCCTCCAACAGCACCTGATGTCAGGTCCTTAATGGTCTGCATCGGGTCTTCCACTTCTCCCTTGTGTTCGGAAGCCATTGTTGCTGTATTTCACCGACAGCCGAAGCCGCCGAGGGAGGGGAAGGTGAAAGAGCAAGCGGTGAGCGACAGGAACAAGAGGCTGTCTACCTGGTCAACAGTGAATTAAAACCAAAATATAGAGAGAACACACTGCTCTCGCACAATTGAATATGCCCCCGAAGAGATATTTGAGCCAAACGACGAAAAATAATCAGTTGACAGGGAAAAGCTGACGATAACGAATGAGAAAGGACGAAAGGAGCAATCCGAATGGCGGGAAAGCATTACATAATTACCGGCTATCAATTGCGCGATAAGGCGCTAGATTATATAAGCGAACTTTAACCGGATTTTAATAGGACCGATATAAGTCTTGGCATCAAATACCTCAGAAAGTTTTTGGGCATTTTTTGATAACAGGAAAGCCGATGAGATAGATGGACGGTTAGGCATTGCGGACGAGAATGCCACACGTGAAAGGATGCGCAGACACTCAATCTTGAAGGTGAGAGCTGAAATGCCTGCCCTAAGCTATGTAACGAAGTTACTGACAGGAACTTTTGATTTCTAGGGCATTCGGTGTCAATACTGTTGCTCGCCGCGCCGGTTCCATTTGGAGCATATCAGCAACCACGAACTGCCCGGACAGCAAATACGACAATTGAGCTCGAGCTCTAATAGTGTGAACGGACCGGATAATAACAATGACAAAAATAAAAATCAAGCTTCGGGCTCAACATTCGGACGTGGGTGGGGCGCACCCGCATTTGGAGGTCAAGTGTCTTGTACAGCTGCGGAGTTGAAACAGCGGGAGGCTTTGCTAGCATCGCAAGTTGCTCAAAAGCCATCAGCTCCTGCTGGAGGAAGTGCCACACAGGTTAGCCCAATTCCTACAATATTTTCTGGGCTTGATGTTGAAGTTGTTCATCCAGCTAATATGTGAACTGCCTTTTTAGAACGTAAACAGGGCAAGGGAACAGCGAGCTACATGGGTTTGTGCTCAATGCCAAAAGGCCAATCCGGTCAAGCTTGTGTCATGTCCTGACTGCAACTGGAGGCCTAGCCAGGCCTATCTTACTTCGTCAAAATCACGGCCTGCCCAGCTTAAACCGTCTACTTCTAAACCTTCATCAGATGGCGTGCAAGTGTCTAGTGACACAAGGAACCAAAAACAAAGCAAATTTACGATTACGAAAAGCTGGGCCTCTGAACAATCCCTATACAGGTCTGCTAGAGGCAGGCAACAACCGCCGCATGCTAGCCAGTCATCGCGAGATTCAAGATTCGGCACGCCGAGTGCATCGTCTAGGGCCAGTGGAAGTACGGATACGGAGAAGCCATGGCAGGAGAGTGGTTTTAGGAGTATCTCTCGGAAACCACCCAGTGCGTTGGACTCTCAAAAACAACACTCAAGCGCCAGCGCGTCATGGCAGTTATCGGGCTTTAGAAGTCTACCTCCACAGCCCGAACAAGTCCGCTCATCTGATATAGTGCCAGAATCCGAGACTCCCGTTAGATCCAAACCCCCGCGGGATGAATTGGACACTGAAAAGTATACCAACGAACGCAACACTGGTCGGCAGCCCCCACGAGCCGTTCGTGAGAAAGGCCGGGATTTTACTACGCGTTACGAAGATGCCGATGAAGAGGTTTCCTTCAAACCTAGAAAACAGAAAGGTAGGCGTTCGGCGGCAAATGATGATTTGGACGAACCGCAAATGCGGCCGAATCGTCGAAATGCGAACCGCGGACGGGACTTAGATCGTGAGGTAGAATATGAGGTTGGGCGACCCAAGCGAAAAGACAAAAAAGATAGAAAGAAAGCCGCTCAGCGAGTACAAGAGCAGTCTGGCCCGACTCCAATAGTTCTTCCAGATTTTATTAGCGTTGGGAATCTCGCAGACGCAATTAACGTCCGCCGCCCTCAATTTATCAAAAGCCTGCAGAGCCTTGGGTTTGATGATGTCACAAATGACCATGTTCTCGATTCTGAAACTGCTGGATTAATTGTTACCGAGTTTAATTTTGAACCCGTCGCTGAAACTAACGATATCGATCTGGTTGCCGCTCCGAGACCAGAAGATACGTCCAATCTACCTCCAAGGCCACCGGTGGTCACAATCATGGGCCACGTTGACCATGGAAAGACCACTCTTCTGGATTATCTTCGAAAGTCTTCCGTTGTTGCGACTGAACATGGAGGCATAACCCAGCATATTGGTGCATTCTCTGTTACCATGCCATCTGGAAAACAAATCACCTTCTTGGATACCCCCGGGCACGCTGCTTTCCTAGAAATGCGGAAGCGAGGTGCTGATGTTACCGATATTGTCATCTTGGTTGTTGCAGCTGATGACAGCGTCAAACCACAAACTATTGAAGCTATAAAACATGCAAAGGGCGCAGATGTTCCCATTATTGTTGCAATCAACAAGATCGACAAAGACGACGTAAATATTGACCGAGTTAAACAAGACTTAGCACGTCATAATGTTAGTGTTGAGGATTATGGTGGCGATGTCCAGGCAATTGGAGTCAGTGGGAAAACAGGCCAAGGAATGTTGAAATTGGAAGAGGCTGTTATTACACTATCCGAGATGTTGGATCTTCGTGCTGATAAGGAGTGCAACTTTGAGGGCTGGATTATTGAAGCCTCCACTAAACGAGGAGGTCGGGCCGCAACCGTACTAGTACGACAGGGAACGCTTCGTCCAGGTGATATTATTGTCGCCGGGACTTCATGGGCTAAGATTCGAACGCTGCGTAATGAAGCTGGATCCAAGTTGCAGAGGCTCTTCCAGGGATCTCACGTGGGAGGTCGATGGTTGGAGAGATCAGCCGGTTGCTGGATTCGAAGTACTCCAAGCTCCAGATGAGCAGCGTGCAAAGGACGTTGTTGCTTTCCGAATTGAAAAAAGAAGACGTACAACGACTGGGCGGCGATGTGGAAGCCATCAACCAAACTCGCCGTGAGACGCGCGAGAGGCGACAACTGCAGGCTGCACTAGAAGAGAGTGGTGAAGTGTCAACCGATTCTGCTGAAAAAAGTGGCCCTCAGCCCATTCCATTTATTGTCAAGGCTGATGTTTCCGGTTCTGCAGAAGCAATCGTCAATGCTCTGTCTGCTGTAGGAAACAATGAGGTTTTTGCAAGAATCCTACATTTCAACGTTGGCAAAATTGGAGAATCGGATATCCGACATGCTTCTGCTGCCAATGCTGATGTTATATCCTTCAACCAGTCTGTTGATCCCGAGATCATGAAGCTTGCTGTTGCTGAAGGAGTTGATGTCCTAAACCATAACATTATCTATGAATTGATTGATGATGTAAAGATGAGACTGAGCGAGCATCTTCCCCCAACCGTCACTCAACGCGTGTCAGGAGAGGCAGAGATCGGCGAGGTCTTTGAAATCAAACTCAAAGGGAAGAAGACTACCTCTGTTGCCGGATGTAAAGTCGGTAACGGCGTCATCCATCGATCTCACAACGTCAGGGTTCTAAGAGGGAAGAACGTTATTTACGATGGTATGCTTTTCTCTTTTAATTTCATTTTTCATTGCTTATACATATTACTAACCAACCCACTTTGCTTCAGGGACTCTTTCATCTCTAAAGAACGTCAAAAAGGACGTGACGGAGATGCGAAAAGGCACAGAGTGCGGCATGGCATTCGAGGGCTGGACTGACTTCGCCGTTGGCGATGAAATCCAAACATATGAAGTGGTTCGCGAGAAACGTTATCTTGAATAGAGGCGTTGAAAGCTGGTGTTGGAAGAGCCGAAGTACCCTTCTCCTTTATCTCATGTACAACCATTTTCTATAGACGGAGTTTTGGTGCCTGACAGCGCATACTGCAAGCGGGAGCTTCTTGCGGCGCGCATATTTCCCATTGATAGACTTTACCCTTCAAAGCCTTGTATTATATTATTATTACCCTATCATGTCATCCCCTATCTCACTGTTCCTAATATTTTCTACTCTTTGTGTTATTATCAGACCCCATCATAGCTGTTACTTGTCAAAATGACATTTAAGGGACCCTGCCTTGAGTTAGCGCCCTACGTGCCTTAGTTAACTATATCAACAGGCGAGATCACCACCATACTTTTGTTTTTGTTTCCTGCTGCTGTCAACAACCACCATGTCGCTCACCAACCAGATGTTAAACGACCGGAAAGAAAAAGATTGTATCAGTATCACCCACGAGAGGAAGTATTATCGTTCTGGTGTCTCGTTTATCAAGCGCTCACTGCGACCGAAGGAATGGCAAGTCAGTCAATTCAAGGGAACGATTCATGTCCCACGGAAGGCGAGAGAGAGAATACTCAACGAAGCTGCGACCCTGCGTTTTTTGGAGGAAAACTCAACTATTCCTATCCCGCGCCTATACTGCTGTTTCGAAGACGATGATGCCGTTTATCTCGTAATTGAGTATATCGAGGGGGTCAGCATGGATCGCCTTACTGAAGATCAGAAAGCGATAGTTAGTTGGGGACGAGTTAGAAAAACATATTCTGGATCTTCACGCGCTCCGTTCTTCGAAGATTGGAGGCCCTACAGGCCTTGTGATACCCCCTTATCGTGTTATGCAGAAGTCGTTTATTGATAACTGGGAGCTACAACAGTCAGATAAAGATGAATTTGTCTTTTGTCACAATGATCTCTCCCAGCATAACGTTATCGTTGACCCGAATTCATTGAAAATAAGGGCCATTATTGACTGGGAATATGCTGGATTCTATCCTGCTTATTTTGACCGTTCGTTCTTCAGGCGCAAAGGGCCGTCGGTGGCGATTGACGGTGAAACAGACGATTCAGAGATATTGCTTGATTTCCTCCAGTCGCGCCTACAAGGCAACCTAACATGATGGGTATATACGACTCTATCAATTGACCTTATTAGACCTTATTATGAGCCAGTAGTTTAAGTTAACTCCTCAAAATTTTTCTCTCATCTTGGATATCGAAATTTCTTGCGATTTCTTAGAACAATAACATGAATCTCAAAGCAAACACTAATAGGCAAGAGTGCAAAGTAGAGAGGTAGCCATAAGAGCATCAGAGATGTTTTATCAGGCTAGATTAGCTTCTTTTGCCTTCCCTTTTTCTTTCTCCTTCAGGCCAACTCCTTTACCCCTTTTTGCCTTGCTAACACCGGCGCCTGTTCCAGCGCCCGTCCCTTTCTTTCTAGCCGTTTTAGCTTTAGATGCTCCAATAGAGCGAGCTGGTGCCTAATGTAGTTGTAAAAATTTGATTAGTAACTCTCTCTCTATTTAGCATATCTTACGCGGGTATGTGTTGCATAGCAAGGAATCCCACCTTTGTAGGAAGCCAGAATGTGCCTCATGTTAGAAAATCTGCAAAACGTACCTCTTTCTTAGGACCACTGCCTCGTTTGCGCTTTGCGGATGTTTTTGACTTTAAAATGCCAGATTTAGGGACGGGAGAGATGGCTGGAGCACGTCTTGGGCCGCTTATTTGTACCCCGAATGCTGTCACCACTGAGTCATCAAAAGAAGGGTCAAGGTAGTCCTCATCGTCTAATGGATCGTCCATTACTAGATCTGCCGCTTGTGCTGTGTAGTCATACTCGTCTTCTCCTTCTGTCTCATTGATGTGGTCGATGATGGACTTCGTTTTCTTGACAGGTGTTGTACTAGGGGTTGGGTATAGTGGGAGTGGAGATGGGCTAGAAGGATGAATATGGGAGGGGGCTTCATCGTCAGATGGAGTAAGGACATTTGTTATGTCTGAGTCATCATTTGGATGGTCTTTTTCACTCTGCTCAGCGTCTGAGGCTTCGGACTCCTCGTTGGATGTAGATGTGAGGGTGTCAATAGTATTGGTGCCTTCGAGATCATGAAGGAGGGACATCTTGGGCTTCAATTGAGCGATTGATGAGTTTGGCAGGTCATGGAGGAACTGCTGGCCAAACCAGTAGATGTCAAATTTGTTGGTATGCAAGACCTGAGAGTTTAACCACTTATTAGCTGTGCGACATGGATCGTTATTTGGTACTCACTGACCATCGAGTAGAAGATGATCCGGAAGGTAGTAGGGAATTCTGAATTGTCAATCCCCTCCAGGATCTGGAGCTCAATTTTCTTCCTTGAGATCCTATGGGTCTCATTCTTCGCAACCATGCGTTTGATAGTCTCATTTGCATGGTTTAAATATATCTCCGTGAACATATCGGTCTTTGTAGATAGAAATTGGTCAGTGTCTAGAGAATTGATAAGAAAGGCCTAGTCAACGGTGCCTCATACCTTTTTAGTAGAGGAAGTCATGTTTCTTCACCCGCTCAGGGAAAATTTCTGATAGAGAGTTTGATGTAGTTCAAGTTGCAGGTCCTAGTGAAGATGGAGATAGAGTGGCCGTTGCAAACGCTATGTACTGATTGTTTATAGTATAGCCAGGAGACCAAACAGCCACTGTCAAGATTAAGAGAATTGAAATCAAAGGCAGGAAGGGACTGATTTATAGGAAGATATAAATCGGTGGCTGGGGCTGACACCGTCAAATCTGGAGGACATCGGATATAGACACAAGTCTCGGCAATAGAAAGAAGGAGAAAAAGGCTAACAAATAGGCACGTGAGAGACCAATAACACAAGATATTTGTATTGGTTCCATCAACACGGAGGGGATATTGTTGAGACAGCTAGGTATTATGGGCAAAATATCATAGCCCGGGATATTGAGGTGGAACCTTCTTCAGCTTCCTATTCATGAAGCGCTGTAAACACACATCACACAGAAGGTGAATAGTTCTGGTCTATTCAAGAAAATAATGCCAGAAACAAGACATCAACTGGGTAGGGTAGCCTGACAGGAGATAATATAAAACTAATTCCAAGTTAGAAGGCAAGAAGTCGATATTAACTCCAATATGGAACCAGAAAGTTCAAGGCTTTCCTTTCACCGCGACTTCCAACGAAGTCTACCTGCCCACTTTGCCCATTCCTGGGTGTCTTCCCTCCCCAATATCGCTTCAACCGTATACCATTCCCTAGCCAGCTCTTCATTAGACGCCATTCTATGCACATAGCTATGACAGGCACGACACAGCCAAGCAACTTGGTTCAAATCACACTCTTCATGCCACCCACGCTTTAGAGCTTTGCTGTGGACAGCCTTAGGTATAAGATGGTGATAGGTCAGGGGTATCCAATCCCGTTCACAAATCTCGCAGGCTGTGGTTCTAGTGGCACTGAAAGGAGGCGGTTTTGCAGTGACGGTAGATGAGAATTCCATGAAGATAGAACAAAGCATAGTCGTCAGGTCAGAAGCCTCCGACATTAAGCCATAGGTGACCAGAGACTCGGATATTGATGGGTCAACCAAGGAAGCTAGAAAGTCGATAGTATTTCCCGAGATACCTCCTGCATAGGTGTCTGCAAGAGCAGGGGATGATTGTATGGCGTTGTATGAGAGAGTCTGCACGTTTTCTGGGAATGACCTGAACATCTCTTGGGCAACAAACTAGTGGCATTTTTAAGTCACTGTAACACGGGATATTCAAAGAAGTCCAGAGATCGTTTGGATCACATACATCGATAAATTCTGCTAGCTCAGCAGGGTCATTATCATCCGGGAACGAAACCCTGCTAAAGCTGGCTCTGGCGTTGCGTTTTCTATTCCGCCGCCGTCGAGCCGCGCCGGATTTCTCTATAGAGCGGTTCAGGATCGACTTCGAGACACACTCGCGGAATATCCCATAGTTCTCCTTAGCTTCGTTTTTGATTAGGCCCGTCATGATGAGGAATGTATATGGCAACTCCTGTGGACTGATATTGATGATAAGATGACGAAAGCGATGCTTGAATACATTTCAACTGCTTCCCTACAGTGGAAATAGGGAAGATATATAATCACTCAGTCAGACATCATTTATTTCCCACTACGACAGGATTAGTCTACGGACTACCCCTATTGCTGCTTGTGAGATTGATATCCGACCTTGTTTGGGTCTCCGACGTTGATTCTCGAAGTTGGAGTTTGATAGTCGGGCGAAATACGAGCTTAGTCATCCGCTATTCCGCTGCAGAGGCTGCCAGCGAGACCGTCACGATGATTGCCATGGAACGTATGGTGCCTGGAATATCGATTCTCGCTTTAAGTCAATGATAATTAGAGCTGATGAGTGACTCAGAGCGGTAAGTTGGGTCCTACGTGGCTTCGTCTCTTTGGCGGAAGAATATGTCGGCACTGAACGAAGCCAGCCATGCAAAAGGAAGGATAGTTGGTGTCGAGCTCAACGCCAGGCAAATGCCCAATAAGCGATGCGGCTGCTCCTAGGCTTGAAAGATTTTATAGCCTCTCTACGGCTCCGTTTCAATATTTACGGATAGCTCTTAAGCAAGCTAGGCAGACAAACTGTGGATGTACCGCTGTTAAATATTTCCGATGATTTTCATTATGAAGAAAGCTTCGGGGTAAGTCAGCGAAGAGATATTCTATCCTTCAATTTCCCCTCCAAAGCGATCCATTGAACAGGAAGTCAGAGTGAATATGAAGGAAACAGTTTTATGTATGAAGAAAAAAAGAAGAAGAACCAAATTTGATGAAGCAAAAAAATACTTTTATAAGCAGTTTTCACGTGACACTGCGACCCACCAGCGAAACGTCAATACAAGAAACAAACGGGCATCGCAGATGTAGTCAAGGACGAAGATGAAGGAGTGCACACTCCGAGCTCGAACGGATCAACAATAACAGTCCAGTAGAGCGCACAGGAGCTATATACAGGATGTCTAGGCCATTTAACTTTAGAAGTGCAACATGGCTCTACCCCTTACAGGTCAGTCAAGTGCTGTATCTAGCCTTGGAGGCTAGGCCGACATCCCATGCAAGTTACTGACAACCTACGGATACAGGGGATAGTATATTTTGCCTTCCATCCCTTCCTATGGCCTCTATTCCGGTCCCGTTTATTACCTATAACGCTGCTTTCGTTGTTCATCTACACAGTCCTCTTTGTCTTCACGTACCTCCCTCAAGTAGCATTTCTAGCCATCTTCCATGGGCCCGGAGCATGGATTAACGGTGCATTTCTGGTCCTAGCAGAAGGAGCTGCGATAGTGGCGATGCTATTTGAGGCATTCTTCGTCGATGAGGCACAGGTTGATGTCTTTGATTCGGTCTTACTCTACGAAGCAATAAAAAGGCCGCTTGAAGACCCGACGTCGGTGTCTGACCCGGCTTCAAACGCACAGCCTTCGGCCTCTTTCCGGGATCATATAATTTCCATGATGTCCGAGTCAAGGTCACTAGGTCTGTCAAATTATACCAATCCTCTCACTCATAAGATTGAAGACCCGGCAAAGTGGCTGGGGAAACCCCTGCACACAGCTATATACGCTCCATTCTCGTTCAGGCAGATAATAGAACTGATACTCCTGTTACCGCTAAACTTGGTTCCAGCTATTGGAACCCCTCTCTTCTTGGTATTGACGGGATATCGGGGTGGTCCGTTCCATCACTGGAGATATTTCCAACTACGTGACTTTAACAAGAAGGAAAGGAAGGAATATATTCATAGAAGAATGCTTAGATATACCTTGTAAGTTGTCATTAATAAGGGGTATAGGTTGGTATTCTGTATTACTAACGTGGCCGCTACTAGGTTTGGTACGATGGCACTTGTACTGCAACTTATACCTGGGCTTTCAATGCTTTTCCTCTTGACCACTGCTGCAGGTTCAGCGCTGTGGGCAAGTGACATGGAACGACGGAGATGGCTCGTGGCCCTAGACACAGCCGGTGACAACGGTCATCACGATCGGCCTTCGGAACAGTATCACGATAATCCCGTTTAGACCCTTTTTGCTATTTTATGGATAGATATACTAGAAGTATCTAGTAATTTTTTGTTGGCCTCGAGATGAATTTCGTGTCTTTAATACCTAATGATCGTAATGAATTACAATGTTCTTTTAAATGGCTGGGGATTTGTCTGAAGCGATAACACTTCGTATGTACATGCATATTTTTAATGAAATATTACCTAGGTAGTCAGAGATGGCGAGTTAAATAAGATTGATAAAGGAAATTTTAGGGAAATGAAAGGAGTGGGTTGAAATGAAAGTCGTGAGATAGGCCAGCTAATACATCGAATATGATATCCTAAATGGAGTTAAACAAAAAGCATCACTCGACGCTTTTTAAGGCTCTATAGGTATGAGTTCGATTCCTGTTGGGGCAGGGGCTGCGTCTGTGACTGGAATTACAACAAGAGGGTTTGAGGAAGTGGTAGGAGTTTCAGCCGGTGGGGGAGCAGGAGCATAAGTAGAAGTTACTGCCTGCGAAGTTGATGTTTCTGATGGGATTGTGGTGACAGAGGATAGAGTGCTGCTAAATGAAGGATATGTCATAGTTGCTGACTGCGTAGCCGGTTCGGGGGTAGAAGTGACTAATGAGCTGCTGGTCGATGGTGTACTAGTGGCTGAGGACTGAATGGTCGACTGAATGATTGATGTGGATGAAGGCAAACTGGTAGTAACGGGGCTAGTGAGGGAATTTGAAGAGAAGCTCGAAGTCACAGTGGTTGACGTTGTGATTGATTGCGTGATAGTGCTGAAGGACGGAAGGGTGGTGTTCCAGCCCGGGTATGCAACAGAAGTCGTTGTTGGGATAGTAGTATGACTTATAGTGAACGCTGAGCTGGTAGGTGGCAAATATATTGTTTTTGTAGTCGTATTAAAGATAGTGGTGGGCAAGGGTTGTTGAGACTCGGATGTCGACGAGATGTGTGAAGCCGTAACCTGCACGGAGGTGCTGGTGGATACTGGCAGACTTGTGGTTTTAATTGGGGTCCTGCTAGTTGTTGTAGAGTCTTGAGCAGCTGTTGTATCTGGCGGGACAGCCGTAGATAGAGAGGAACTTCCAGTGCTGCTTTGCGTATCCATTGATATTGTTGACTGGGTGGTAAGAGGTGGAATGGTTGAAGATGGGACAGAGGTAGGCAGGCTATGAGAACTGGAGATTGGTACCGTGGTTGGGAAATAGTACCAAGATGATGAATATAGATATGAGACAGGAGGATTCCCAGTCCCAACACCGATCGTAGGCACTTCTCCCCCTTTCTTCGAAGTGGAGCTGGTTGGAGTAGCCGTAGCAGAGGTAGTGGTGTCTGCAGGCATCTTCGAGGTGGTAACCATTGGACAGGGTACAACTGAAGGAGTACCGGTACTGCCAGCTTCTTGCAGATCAAGACACATCGTCACAGGGATAGTCGAGCCAGCGACGGTCGGGGTAACGGTAAGTGTCATAACGGTTGCGTTTTGGGTATGCGTTGAGTATAGGCCTCGATTAAAGAGCACAGCTCGTCGTGGGTGATGGATCGGACTGGAAGCAACATGGGACAATAAGGCAAGGAATATTACACCCACAACAAACCGTAGATTGGCCATCTTGAAGCCAGCTGTCAAAGGGGCCTCCAAAAGAAAAGTAATAAGTGATTGTAAAACAGAGACAACAGAATAATAAGGCCTATGGTATATCCTTCTATTTGCTATAACAAGTCAAGAGGTATGAAATTATAAACGAAAGAGGAGCTTTGTTCCAGACAAAGTCTTGAGATGAAATCAAAACGAAAAAGTGGCGAATATGCAGATACAAGAAATGATGAGGAGAGAAAGGATTTGCTGAGGTTTAAGTATAAACAGACTACCTGACCTCAGCAAACGAAGAAGAAATGCTTCTCCGTCGCGAAGCGCGCAGGTAAACAGCATCTCCTGGAAGTATGTAGATAAACTATCTTTGGAAGTTTCCCCTTGGAGACAAGGAGTTGCTTGTCTGAGTCCAGGTTAGGGGGTTAATGCCATCAGTATTACTGGTTGGTATATATAGGTCATCCTTAATGTCCTGGAGTTGCATGAAGTCGACATAGTCGGCGGCAAACGGCTGGACGTCCGTTCATGATATCAATTTTATCTTCAGCGTTTGCTTTGCTTGTTTCGTCTCAAACATGGCCGGAAGTCAGGGGAAGACGCGCGCTGATTGGTCAGAGCATGAAACAAACCTAATTTCACGTGATATCATTTTTCTCTAAGCGCCGAAGGGAAAAACAGCGATGGTGACCTACCCTATTAGCAGCCTAAGCATATAGTAGGTTAGAAGGAGTATTATCTGACTTGCTCCTCAATAAATAGACAAAGTTGGATTTTGCTATCTTGCTTCACCCTTAGTAAACAATCTCCCTATATATCAAAATGAGCGTATATTTCCTCCCCTTATATAGCCAGCTTTGCTATCTAACTCCCGCAGATGTCCAATCTCCAACCTAGAGAAAGAGAATCCAAAATTCCCATAAAGTGGCGTGTTCTGTAGCGGAAGTTTGAAGGTAAAGGGCGGCGTCGAGATCACGACTCATTACTCAGGTACGTGCCAGCAACATCCTACTCCAGCAGCATCGCGTCCAGCGCACGGCAGCTCCACAGGGACTGACCGTCCATCTGTGCAGAATCCCGGTATAATCGGGTCGCAACTTGCCCCCACTGCTTCACATGGAGTTTGCGCATTACCACCTAGCTAAATAGTTAGCAGAGGGAATTTCAGTGGCTTGAATTCAGCACAAACCGCAGATGGTCAGACTAGCAACATCAGTATTACTTGTAATTTTAAATCTATAAGGCGTAAGATACGTACCTAAGCACAACGAACAAGAAAGTGTATCTCATCTTGAGTAGCAAATATGATCTTTTGAAGGTCTTTGAAAATCTTTAGTATACTCTGGGATTGAAAGTGATGATCGAACCATCCATTCAAGGGGATTAGAGTAGGCAATTTATACCCTTCAATTTCGAGCCCGCCCCCTTTACTATCCTCCCTTTGGGCCTCTAGGCTTTATGGAAGGGAATATTTCACAAACATTCTGGACTCAAAATTAATCCACAAATGTCAAATAGTGCTGGGAACCTGCATGGTGTTTATCACCAGCCGTATCACCGGCCACGCCACCTTCTAGAACTTATTCGCTCATAGCTCTACGTATGATCCTTTCTTACACGTTTATACAGAGGCTCAGTATGGTCTGTTCGTCTAGATATCACCATCATTATTCATTTATTTAGGCCTATATTTTCGCCTTTTCCGATAGTATCTTGAGTTTCTAGCATTAAATGCTATCCCACTGTATACTCTACAGAGACTCCACAGCCGTGCCGATCAGTGGCATGTTCCTGATAAAGAGTAAAAGTTTTTGTATCACCCTTATAAAAGAGTTGTGTGATGATAGAAAGCAACTGCATAACCTAGCTTTGAAAACTGGGCACATTTCAAGTTCACCAAACCGAGTGCGGACAAGACACCAAGGCGACGCCAGACCGGATCGGGGCGAGGGCCACATCTGGCCATGTACTCAGCGTGCGAAGTTTACCAAGATATCTTGTTGGTTGCCCTCGCTTGCGTGATCACAACACGCTGGTGGAGTCGCAGAAGGGTACACGGACTATCATGCAAGATCATGGAGACTTTGGACAATATCTGGGGTATAAGATGAATATATAAGCCAGGATAGTCTGCTATCTTCTAATAAGACACTAAGTATTATCGGCTGATATAGCCTGGCTACTCTACCCTTTACAGAAAAAAGGCAACATTGCATTGACTTGGTTGGAGAGGAAATGCAATGTCATCGTAAAGCATGTCAACTATAACTAGTTAGATGGCTGGTATATTCAAGGGTGTACATGCTGAATCGCCGCTTGTCAGGTAATTCCAAGGAAGGGTGTGGATTTAGGACGCATCCTATCAGTCTTTCGTTGATTGTTCTTAAAGACTACGAAGCAATAGATATTAAGAGAGCTGTTATTGCAGTGAGTCTCAAATGCTAATTTTACAAGAGGTCTTGATCGGTGGTGGTATTAATTAGCTTTGGCTATGTACAAGAGACGGATACTGTATAATGTGACCCATCTTTACCTCTCGTATTCAACCGAAAAATAAAACAAAAGATGATTACCGAAAATGAACGTATTATATATATGTGTAGTATGGGTATGCCGTTATACCTCAACCTTGAAGGCGGGTCCAATGCCTTCGAAAGCAGTGATCGTCCCAGTGACTGGAGCCTTCGAATCACCGTAATAACGGAGGCGATAAGTCCCGCTCTCCAGCTTCTTGTTGTTGCCGGTGGAGTAGTAATCGTCTTCAATATTCCATTCAACAGTGACCTCGCTGGTTCCAATGATTGGACGCTTGCGCAGCCAGCGGTATACCAGGTTCCAGTCGGCATCATCACGGACAACTTCCCATTTATTAGTGTTAGGGACCTGGCGTTCAACGGCAGTAAAGGTCTTCTCCAGTCTGAAGTTGTTGCGAGGGTTGGCGCCGACGAAAGTAGTCTTGACGGTGTCGCCAGGACGGAAGGTCTTACCCATCTCAGGGCTGCTAAGAACATCGCCGAACTTCTTGCCGATCGGGGGGTTGTCATGAACCACACCAGTGATGAAGCTGAGGGATTTGTCGGTGTTGATTGGTGGGTACGGGCCAGGGGCGGGGTGATTATTGGAGCTTGCGGAAAGGAAGGGGAGGTAGGTAAGGGTGAGGTTGACATGAGCAGCAAGGGTATTCGGACCGTGGAGTGTAGAGCCACCCTCGTAACGTTGGACACCGTATTCTTCCTCTGTTGTGACATAGTGGGCATAAGTGTTTGACGGCGCACCCAATACGACGAGAGGGTTGCTGACGCCCAAAATATCCTTGGCTTGGTTTGCAAGTGCCTGTTTCCAGCGGCGTCCAGACATGGTAGAGACTTCAGGAGTGGCAACGATAATGAACAAGGGGCCAGCACGCAGGACCTGGATATCAATAATGTTGGCAGCCCAGGCATAGGGGAACGTCAGATCACCGATATCAAGGAGGATTTTCTTGGGTTTCTGGCAGGCAATTTGTTCCTTGGATGGAGGATGAATGAAATCTCTGGCAATTTTCCAGATGGGGTTCCTTGTGCTGGGGGAATCAGTGCCGTTTTGAGTGAAGTCGAATCTTCCGGGCCCGTCGGTAGTACCTCCGGCGAAAGAGTAGCCCAAAGCCGCTGAGCAAGTGGTCAAAGTCTTTCGAGGGTTAAATGGAGATTGGAATGTGTATCCATCAAAGTCTTGGTAGACATGGAAAGCCTTGACGGCAGAATTATCTCTAATTCTCTTTGCAGAAGTATCCATGCTGTCGTAAATTCCCTTGGCAGTGTTGTATTGACGACGACCTATTTCAAAGCAACTCTTAGTTCCTTGGTCGAGCTCGCGGAAGAAGGGGCCGCGTCCATGGCATTTGGCGGTGCTGCCTCCGCAAGTACTGTCTTCCTATTAGGGAGTTAGCTACCAAACCAAGGGTGGTAATAATATAAACAAAACGATCAATCATACAAATTTGCAGTCTAGGCCAGTATCCTCGCAGAAGGGGCCCAAGGTGTTAGGAGACGTGTCTCCAACGGAAGACTGGGAGAATCCGGCAACGAAGCCGTCGGCAAATCGGTCATCACCCTTGGCAGCTCTTTCGAAAAGGTAGGCTGCGACGCCCTTGTTGTCACCTGCAACAAGTGTGTTGTTTCCGTAGAGAGAAGTTCCATGAACGGAGTAGAAGGTCAAAATACCAATGGTCTTGTCATCCGATGCACGGTCAAATCTAATAAGGCTGAGTGACTTATCGGTGTCATACTGATACCGCTTTCTCTCTTCCTCAGGGTTCGCCAAGTAGGAGAATGGGCTTCGGTTAATGTTTCCATCGACAAGGTCTTTGACATCGAAGCTCAAACGGGCCGGAGTTCTGGCCTCGTGAGCTCGCTTGATAGAGAGGAGAATACCATCGACGATGGCTTGGTAACTGGCTTTGTCAAATCCAGCACTGGGAATCTGAGGTAGCAGATAGTTAAGCCAGGCGCCAGGTCCAGCATGGGAGTGAGTTCCGGACAGAGCGAGATTGTTAGAGTTGTATCGAGAATACTCTGGCCCCATGGCAGCAAGCCCCTTGAGGACACCATCTCTCACAGCTGTATCGCCAGCAGCGAGGTCGGTAACGAGGTAGATAAAGGTATCATCAGCCTTGTTGGGGTTCTCGATGATGAAGGCGCGAGAGTAGAGGCGCTGACGAAGACCAGTTCCCTTTTGCTCGGAATCGGCAAATCCCATAAACGTGATCTCTACAACCGGTCTATAGAGATGATTAGAACATGCTGCGGGAGATATACCAAAGGAATGATGAGTTAACTATACCCAGTAACATCAGCCTTTCCTACACCAACGTTGAATATGTCATCCTCAGTGGCTGGCTTATCAGCACGGGTTGACTGAAGGGGTACTGAACGACTGAATTGGCTGGCCCGACTGGTTCCATGGAAGTTGAAAGCGAGTTGAACGGCTACAATGACGCCCAAAAGGACGCCAAGTATACCAACCACAGTGCCCGTACGTGGTGGCATGGCTGTACTCTGTATATGGTATTCAAAAATGCCAAATTTCGAGTCAAAAGAAAAAGAGAAATAGGGGCTAAAAAGATTTCTCCGATGTTTTGAGGATCACTAGCCTTTTTTGCCACAAGGCAAAAAGTAGCATATCCCTTAAATACCAGACCTCGAGACGGGCAACACGATCCAGGTATGAAACAGACGGCCCTTTTATATGGGCCGGCTAAGTTAGTTAGGTACTTCAGCAACAAACTTTCTTGATCTGCCTGCTCCTTTTTGTTTATGACCGTTTGGGCGTAAATCTTTTGCGGGGGCTGATCTTATATTAACATCGCTATAACCTGTGGGTCGAGAATCGTCGTTTTCGTTCACTCTTCACGAACTCCGTGGCCGAATAGACCCTGGCAACCCCGCGATGTGGTTATTTAGCTTCGATCTAAGCAGCGGTTCGTCATGTACGGCCGGCGTGACTGCCCCAGCTTGACCCGACGCCCGATGCCTGTCGGCCAACACACCTGGTGATATCCGGCTGCCCGCCAAGGTCGCTGCAAATCCTATGCACGAGCTGACCTGCAGAGCAAAGCTGCCTTTTAGTAAGACGGCGGGAGGAGACGAAAGGTGAAGTTGAAGCAAAGTTTCACTTAAGGGCGGACGGGCGGGAGGCACGTGAAAGCGAGGCTGCGGCACTTTTAAGGTTAATTAGCTTAGGCAATGGAAACATAACACTCACGTGACTGAGATCGGCAAAATACGAGCTCGGAGTTGAGGAGTTTAGTCATCATTCCTAATGAGGTTAGTATTTGATCATGTGACAAGGCGTGTGCCAAGCGCCGGCCGAGATACCCACAAGGGGAAAAGCTGAAGACGCTGAAAGCGACGAGAGGGAGAAGCAGCGCAGGAAACAGAGACAGGGAGAAAAAAAATATAAGGAAGATAATACAGGAGACAAGATGTCATTGATCAATGAGACGCATGACTCGCTTCCATGTAAGTACACAGGCAGGATGGACAAGAAAGCAGGGAGACTTACTCGGTTCCAGACATCGACGAGGACGTGACACCTCAGGTGCGCGCAGAGCTCAGCAGGCTCATTGACGCGGAGCTTCCCCCAGACTACCGCTCGACCCTCCATCCGTCCCTGCCAGAGCTCCCGCCGACCAAGTTCTCCCCTCTGATAGAGCAGGAACTCGAGAGAAAGGCCAAAAACGAACCGATCTCGGGCGGGATTGACCTGTCTCGCTATGAAGCTCCAGAGATACCTTCTTCTTCCACAGACCCGAATGCCGACCCTGCCACCGTGATAGATGACTGGCGACAGACCTTGCAGCGAGCATACGCGGCACACCTGCATCTGTCCACCAGGAAGGAAAACCTAGCATTGCTGGATGCCCATGGCAAAAACGCGTGGTTGATTGGCAACTCGCAGCTGGAAGAGATTCTGCGGCGCACAGAAAAGGAGCTGCACGATACCACTGAGGCCACTGAGGCAATTAATAGAGAGAGGAAACTAAAGCAGGAGAGCGTCAGGGGCGAGCTAGCGGCCTTGGATGATACGTGGAGACGGGGAGTAAGCGGAACGCTGGATGTTGAGATTGCAGCTGAGAAGCTCAGGAGGGACATTCTAGACGTGAGGCGCCAACAAGCACAGTCTTAGAAGCAGCGGTGTGCGCTTATTGAGTCACAAAATAAGGGCAACAGTCGAGAACGACCACGCAGGATGAGAATCCCTACTCCAATAAAGACCGACATACAGGGGCAGAGCTTTCGCGACGCAGGAGTTGTGTCTGTCCCCGTTAGCAAGGGGCATTCTCTAACTGCACTTAGCACCTCTCAGGATGGCCCTGCCCGGCCAAGTCTACAGGCGAAATTACAGCTATTGGGCCATCATCGTCCGTAACCAGCCTGTCTATCATGAGCAGGCATGGTTCAGATCTTAGTGTTAGGCTAAGATAACTATATTGAGAGAAGCACGGGGTAGAATTGTGAGAAAAAGCATGAGAACATCAGCATTTAATGGAGTTTAGCCGTTTGGGAAATCTACTTTCAATGCCATAATCTGATGATCGAAACGTTCTCGATCTCCAGCGACAAGTCTCGAAGGTCCAGCGGGAATATAGCTTTCCAATGGTGTATAATAGAACCACACTCTTGGTAAGCTCTAATTTTGCAACTTTAGCCTCGTGTCAGTTACCTGAATACCCAGCCCCCTTTACTACCAAATCGCGTCTGCCGTCGTTTGTGTTATTCGACGGTTCGCCATTAAAATTTTAGCTTCCAGAGCGGTGCACGTTCCAGCCCCCACAGCAACCCTATATATAAAAACCTTCACACTATAAATCTGACTGTCAAGGACTTTTACACCTTCCACTCAGCCGTGCCTACAGAGTTCTACTCTACTTCACTGGCTTAACTGCGGCTAACCGTAGTAACCTTGCTGCACAGCCGGCAATAGACCCGGAACCGCGAATGATACACCGTTGGGGCTGAGGCTAGGTGTGGCGAGGATGTGATGGTGGAACTTCAAGGGAAGACTGCGTCTACATCAACAGCTTGCTATATGTGAGATAAGTAATAACGTATCAAAGAATGTGATATAATGTTTATTAGTATTTTTTTAGCGAAGTTGCCCTCTTTCTTTATGGAAGTAGGTCAATGGCCTTGGGAGCTATGTGGAGGATAGCTACTTTGGCACTTAACTTCAGGCGTTTTCCCGGAATTCCGCAAAAATATGGTTATGTGAAGGTTTCGTAGCTTTTTAGGCTGGAAAGCGTCAAGACAACAGCCTTGGAAAGGAGAGTCGAAGGGAAGAAGACGGGTGACACGCATATTCAATCTCAGATAGTTACTCCGTAGAGATTGTTTTTATGTCTCCTTGGCTGCTGCCGTGATCCGAGGGTGTTCTTGCATGGGTTAACGACCGAGTCAGCCAACCAAAAATAAGAAGCGACTCCCTGCATGACGGTTGGATATCTTCTCCTTGCCGCCAACAGGGTATCTGTGAACCGCCCCTCTGCTTGATCGTCTCGCAGGGCTTTCTCTCGGTTCTTTTGACTCTCCTATACTCTGTATACATGAGAATGGAAGGATCTTCCCTGGGCCATCACCAACCTGAGGTCAAGACATATTCAATCCAGCTCCAGCTCCAGCGAGTAACGAGTGAAGACCGAACAAGGCCCAAGCTACTGCGACCTGAGAGGTTTCGGATTTTTATCCAAGTGACTCGCAGTCCCACCATGTGGCGGTTGACGCGTGCACATACATAAGCCTAAGACTCCGTATATAGCACGGAGTAACTATGTACACCACAGCCCAGCCGGCAAAGTCGATCTGAGACATCTTTTCCCCCCTCAGCCAGCAAGCTTGGAGGAAAATTATTCGATCCTTCTTTTGCCTTGGACACTCGGCTTCTCCCGGCCATCTCTCGCTTTTTTCTCTCATCTTTGCTCGCTTTCTCACTGCGTTGTCTGTCTTGTCTTTCACTTCATATCCTGACGGATCCTACGGGCGAAGCTCCTTTGTTGAGAGTGTTTCATCGAGAAACCTCTTCAAAACTGCCCTGGAATTCCTCACGCCGCGCGTTACAGTCTTAATTTTTTTTTTGCCCTTTTTACCACACTCCGGCCATGCTGGTTTCTGGTGATTGTTGGTAAATAATAAGATGTCGCTGCCGGTGCCGATGGCGGTCGGTCGTTTTGCATCCAAGCCTGCGTCCATGACGTATCTCCTGCTCACACTACTTGTTGGATGTATACTACCTCAACAAGGCATACTACATGCTGATGCGAGAACGTTAGCACGGCGAGACAATACTCCCACAGATGTATGCAAGCGGTGGTCCCAGCAGACAGCTGTTGTTAACGGCACTCTTTACATCTACGGTGGCCGATCGACGACAGATGCCAACCAGAAGGATAAAACTTGGAGTATGAATATCCATGTTTCCCCTGGCTTCGATATATTCAAGGCTAACTCGACTTGCTAGATGACAATTTCCTCACTCTGGACTTAAAGTCAAGCTGGGGAATCTCGGCGCCAAAACTTACCGGCCTTCCTCGAGGTGATAACGGCCCTCCTCCAGTCTCGAACGGATATCTATGGAACTCCTATAGTTCACTCTTCCTATATGGTGGAGAGTTTTCGGATAACCCTCCAAAGGACCCCGTTGATTTTAGTTTGTGGGAATACAGCATCCCTTCGTCATCGTGGATAGAGCACAAATCACCAACCACCTCGTCTGGAGAAAACGCTTCACCTGAAAATATCCCGGTACAGCGATCCGCCGAGGGAGCCGGTATAAACGTTCCAGATTTAGGCAGAGGCTGGTACTTTGGCGGCCATCTAGATGGATATACTACCAAGGGCTGGTCGCAGTCTATCCCAAGAGTGTACCTCAAGTCGATGATTGAATATACTTTTCCAGGATATACCAACAACGGAGTCAAAATCAACACAGATGATAAGCGCGCAGGGCCCGAGGGCGTGTGGCGAAATATCACCGAAGGAGGACTACAGGACTCTGCAGGTTTCACTGAACGCGCTGATGGAGTGTTGGTGTATATACCCGGTTTTGGTAAAGAAGGCATCATCCTTGGTCTTGCTGGTGGTACAAATGCTACTTTTGTAGGTGATCCATGATTCCTTTTTCCCTCTTTACTTGTTTTACTTTTGCACGCGATATCATCCGGTAACTAACCTCTACGTCTAGACTCAAATGAACGTTATCGATGTGTTTGACATCGCTAGTTCAAAATGGTATAAGCAAGCTACTAGCGGGAAGACTCCAAAGATCAGAGTAAACCCGTGCGCAGTCGCTGCGTCCGCAGCCGATGGGAGCAGTACGCAGGTCTACCTATTTGGTGGGCAAAATTTGATACCCTATGGAGAACAGATCCAGTATAACGACATGTGGATTCTATCGATCCCTAGTTTCACATGGATCGAAGCTAAGACGGATGGTCAATCCGTTCCTCCAGCGAGAGCTGGACATACGTGTAATATATGGAACTCCCAAATTGTGGTGACGGGAGGCTACGTGGGACAAGATCTGAGCTGTGATAGCCCAGGTATATACGTATTTGATGCATCAGAATTGACCTGGAACAACCAATATACGGCGCTTAAAGGTGGAAATGATTTGAACCAGCAAGCCTCGCAAACTCGAGACGGCAGTGGCCTTGGAGGTAGCTATGGATATCGAGTCCCGAAAGTGGTTCAATCTGTCATAGGAGGCGACGATACGGGAAAGGCAACCCAGACAATCCCCGCTGTCGCGCCAACAGATGGGCCCTTAGCTACAGGCCAACCTCTCATATACACCGTCCTTCCAACTTCCACTTCCGGTCCGCATACAGGTAAGGACGACGACGAAAACGGCCCCAACATCGCAGCAATTATCGCAGGCGTTATTGCTGGTTGCCTTGGTGTCCTGGCCATATATCTCGGCTTCGTCACCTGGCTCTATCGCCGGCGTCTTGCTATCTATAAGAGCCATCTCGCAGCCACGCAACGCTCTTCAATTGGGAGCTACGGAGACAAAATCTCATCCTTTCCACCGCGGTACTCGGACCACACAAGTAGTAGCAATGTGCTGGGGATAACCGGTTCAACGGGTAACCTAACGACTACTACTTCAACGCGCATGTCGTGGATGGGCGGAGACGTTCAGGGGCATCACCACACACGAAGCAGCAGCGGTGGGAACTTCGATCATTTAGGCCAACCTGGGCCGTCCGCTAGTAGCAGTGTGGAGGATCTACTCGCTGGGCAGGAACCGACTTTCCTGGGCGTCATGTTGAATCCACGGCAGACCCTGAGGGTTATCAATCAATAATTATCTCCCTCACACGGCATTTTTCTTGTTTCTTTCCTTCCGATAAATACTAGGTTCTTGACCCCAGAAATCCATTTGCTTTAGGGGGGAGAATGTACGATCGCCGGATCCGAATGATAATGTATGACATTTACCGAGCATGCTTCGTTCCATCGTCTGATTGATACCCTATAACCTGCTTTGCATTTCTGCTATTCATTGCAGCAGTTTCTATGATTATTTGGTTATTTGTCTTTGTATTTCAGCCTCTTTCATCTGTGAATAGTTAGCGTGTATATGGGGATTTCCACTCTATTAGCCACTCGAGCATAATATAATATTTGCATTCATGGTTTGGACGAGGACTCTACACGCAACGCTCTTTCCTAGACTATTCAGTCATCATATACTCTTCTTTCAACTTGTTGCATGTCTCGTAGGATGTTCTCATACTCTCCGATTCTAACGGGTCCAGCCGGTAGAACCGTCACTGCTTGAACGTAGACAGGCCGGTCAGTCAATATATGTTCCGATTTCTCATTATTTCTGCGACTACTTTCACTCCAGTTCACCCCGCAACGGTCGTCAGGGACCTCCTCACGTATGTATCCAAAAATGTTAAGCCAGACACCTATTTGAAGGCTCGTGTAACTGATATCTCCAAGTAAAAGATTAATATCGACTTCTACTTTGGAAACTTGAGAATTCCGTTTGTTGACATTCTGATTGTAATTGTAATTATGGTGGAGTGTCAGGCGACCACTTGCAGTATTGTATCTCGAGACGCTGTGCGTGTGATGTTAATATTGTTGGTACCAAAGTAGAACTAGGGTAAACACAGCATACCATCCTAGGAACCGGATCTTGGAACCCACAGGATACGTTAAAATTTGCGATAGGAAGACCAGTTTAGTGGGAGCAGGTCCTGATACGACCTGGTCCATCCCAAGTGTAATCCCCTTCACTTCGCAGGGATGTTTCTATCCATCTTCTTCTTTCCGATGTTGAAGTTGCCAAAACGAGAAAAGTAAACTCTTATCGATAAATCTGATGACTAGTTAATATGTTGTTCATGTGACTTATCACGTGAGGCTTACATCGCGCCCGCCTGGCGGTGGATTTTGATATCATCAAAAGTTGACGCTGCATAGCGATAACGAAGAATATCTCTGCCTAACGACGAATACCGAAGCTGCCCTTGAAGACCCGTAGAAACACTCTTTGTTTCATTTCTCCTTACGTCTGGCCTGCTGGTCTTTTGGATTTTTCACCACTTACCGCCTCCTCTATCCTCTATATTCGCCCGAGCGGCTCGTTCCACCCCGCACACGCCGTCTACCCACCGTCATATCGTTTCCTGAGTGTTAAAGCGATATCAGCGTTTATTCCGACGGACACGCTATTGATAAAGGGAGCGTTTGCTACTGTTGTGAAGCTGCTGGCTGTTTGGAACCCTTCCCGTTGTGCTTAACGGCTAGGCAACCTTGACCCCGTCACATCCCGACCTCGAATTTTACCGCATTCACATACTACGCCGAGGCAAAATGTGGTCATTTTTTGGCGGTGCTTCGGCACAGAAGAAGAAAGATATCCCTAAAAATGCGATCCTCAGTCTCAGGGAGCAGCTTGAAATGCTGCAAAAGCGAGAGAAGCACTTGCAAAACCAGATGGATGAACAGGATGCCATAGCTAGGAAGAACGTCACGACAAATAAGAATGGTGAATTTCCCTTCCCTTTTCCCGCTGGCCTTCGTTCATATCTAACTGTGAGGGAATAAATAGCTGCCAAGTCTGCTCTGAGGCGAAAGAAGCTTCATGAACGGTCACTTGAGCAAACGAGTGCTCAGATTCTACAGCTCGAGCAGCACGTATACTCCATCGAATCTGCAAATATCAACCAGGAAACATTTAATGCTATGAAGGCTGCCAAGGCTGCCATGGAACAAATACACAGTGGACTCAACATAGAAGTCGTTGATGAGACAATGTACGCATTCTCTTTCATCATCCATCCTGATATGCTGCACTATATGCTTTATTTTAAACAAGACGATGATTTCTAACTATACACTTTTACTCAATAGGGGTCAACTGCAAGAGCAACATGACCTCAGTAACGAGATCGTCAACGCCATTACCAACGCTCCTATCGGCGAACCCCTTGATGAGGCTGATCTCGAAGCGGAACTGGAGGGCATGGAACAGGAACATATTGACAATAAGATGATAGGAACTGGAACGGTACCTGTTGGGGATAGAATTGATAGGCTACCTTCTGTAGCAAACGGAGCCAGTAAGTTTACATCCGTCCTAATTCTAATGGGGTAACCACCTGCTAACAAGTATACCAGTCAAAGAGAAGCCCAAGGCCAAGGAAGAGGATGACGAGGAGGCCGAACTAGAGAAATTAAGAGCCGAGATGGCCATGTGAGCAATGAACTTCAAGTAATATATGGAACCGAAGCACGAAAGGAACTAGGAGAGTAAGCATTTATACTTAACTTTTTTATGGAAACTGGCGTCTGGAAGGAAGGGAATAGCTTTATTCATTTTATTCTTTTATTTTTTTTCTATCCATTTTTCTCTGCCGAGTACCATGCTATAACAGTTTCCCACAGTTTTTCCAAATTAGCAGGATATACTTTGCATACCGGGTTGCTCTCCTGCTTTTTCATTCACTCGCATGACTCCAGTGTATTTCTGCCCTCTACATTTGCACGATGTATCATTTAATAAACTCCACTGCGTATAAGATTTGTTATGCTCTACTGAATGGACCGGTTCGGTTCACTTTTTGTTCACTGCTATGCTTGAGCAATTCCAATGAACTACCTAAGTTATGAATTTAATATCTACCTTACAATCCAGCAAAGCGATATCTACTTCCTTCAGCAGTTCAATTGCAATGCTCAATAAATGTCCTGTGTTGGAATATATAATTACTTCCTATCGACAACGGCGCCATAACATGACGAAATCATGATAACTATTTTCTTTTCAACCTCCCGCCTCGCAATGCAACGCATGAGCTCGGGATACACGTAATATCAAAAATGCAAAACGAATAGAAACGTCTAGAATGCACAAACGATAAGCCACCATGCCACTCCCACGCCGTGCCACTCTACGAGACGATTCAACGGCACATAAGTAACCGAACCGGCCAAGAAAATAAAAAAAGCAGGTGTAAGGGTCACCAAGGGGGGAGGGAGAGAGAATCAAAACACCTGGGGAAAACATAATAAGATATCTTTTTTAGGTCAAGGAAAAGCGTTTCGCATCATTCGTATATCTTGCACGGGTAAATCGTGCGAAAGGGTTATGTTAGGCTGGGTATAAAGGGGGGTTGACTGGCTGGCTGGCTGGTATACCGGATAATGATAATAAAGGGCGAGGAGTACCTAAAGTTGGGTTCAACAGTGGCACATTCCCAAATAACTAATTAGGTTCATTTCCTTAACGGACATCCAAAGCCTTCCAAAGTTCATCGTTGGCAAGTAGTTAATGATCTTGCCCGTTGAGACTGCCGATTATCCCTCTCAGAGCATCAATAATGACTGTTTCATCCTTCGTTTCACCGCCTGGAAACGAACTCTCCTTTGCATTGTGTAGAACTCTATCGCGTGCACTGCGTAGGACTTTGCGAATGTAATCTTTATCCTCGTAGTCTTCTATAAGGACCGCTTCGAAGTTGTCGATTGCTTGGTTGGCACGAGCTAGGAAAGCAGGGTCCATGCCTCCTGGTTTCTGCATTGGGGGCTGAACGGGAGTGGGGACTGGAGCCGGAACGGAGATATTTTGCTGGGCAGGAGCTGGGGCCGTTGAAGATGGTGGATGACTGGGCTGGGTTGCGGGTGCTGAAGTAACGGGAATATTATGTAGTGGCGGAGGCGGCGGTGCCTGGGTATGTTGTGGTGGTGGGGGATGGGATTGTTGCGGAGGACGATGAGGTTGGCCATGGTTAGGGGGTAGTATCTGATTATGGAATCTATACTGGTTTGGAGGAGGTTGTTGTTGTTGCGGAGCGGGTTGAGGGTGATGCGGTTGTTGCATCTGCGGTGGCGGCGGTCTAGGTTGCTGCTGTTGATGATGGACAGGAGGATGAGTTGGAGGTGGTGGATGCGGTTGTATAGGTTGCTGATGAGACGGTCGTTGCTGTGGCTGAGCAAATGACGGAGAAGCAAGGATGTAAGGAGAGCGATATGGAGTAAGATTCACGACAGAGAGGGCAGGGGGAAGGCTTTTGAGTAATTGTGGTGGTAGAGCAAGGGCGGGAGGATGAGCTGGGGAAGCTGCTACAGCTGCTGGAGGTGGAGGCGGAGGCGGAAGCGGTGGAGGTTTAGCTGCTGCCACAGGTTGTGACGGCTGTGCAGCAGAGGGTGCTTGTAGTGGAGCCTGCTGCTGCTGCTGTTGTTGGGGCTGCTGTTGCTGCTGTTGCTGCGGTGGAAACTGGGTGTTAGCCGGTGGCTGTTGGTACGGAGGATATTGACGACGGTTGTTGAATTGGCCTGGGGAAGCAATGTAAGGGGCGCCAGGGCCTGTGTTTGGTGGTAAGAAGCGTTGTTGGCTGTTGCTGGATACGTCTTGGACCGGCGGAGGTGACGGACGACGTTTCTTCTCCTTGTCCACTGAAGCACCGGGTAATAGTTTCCATGACCATCCTTTGCCATCTCGTTCCGCATGCATGAACAAATGTGTGTTACCGTTGAGATTATGTCGTACACTTGACGTCCAGCCCTCGGTTTCACATTTGAAGCGGAAATAGGGGTATTTGAGCTTGAGAGCACGGTATATCTGTTTTAGCGTCATGGGTGTAGGAGATTCTGATAATGCGTCGAAGATGAGAACCGCATAGTTGTATGGCGGTTTGGCGAGCTCCTTGGGTGTATAGAAGCTCTCTGGCGGATAATCGGGAGAGGGAGACCTGGAGGGTTTTCGTTTCTTCGGTGCCGGGGGACGGACGGGTTCGGTGTGCTGTTGTATTTCCATGTTGGCTCCTAGTCCTGCAGCTCCCCCTTCGATAGACTGCATTACAGTTTCGCCGGGAGTCGAATCGGGCTTCTTCCTCTTGGTATATTTCCGTTTCTCTACTTTGACAGTAGCCGTAGACGGGTCTTCAGGGGCTAGCTGCAGAAGGACCAGCAGATGGGGGCAGCAGCAGAAACAGAAGAAGCAGGTTCTTTGGCAGCTTTGGGCAGGCTTCTTGCCAGCCGTTGTAGTAGCTGGCGGAGGAGAAGTAGCTGTAGTAGTGGGCGGCAGCACCGTTAGCTTCACGTTTTAACGCCAGCTTCTGTTCGCGTGCAGATTTCACGCTCTTTCACGCTTAGACATGATTCCGTCCTTGGGCGGTCTGCCGGGTCCACGTCGTTTATTAGGCTGACCAGGTTCTGTTGCGGTCGCTTTTGAATCGGGACGCGGCTGGCTCTTCCCCTTTGCCTTGACCGATTCGTCAGCTTCGCTTCGCTCCGACTCTTTCTCTACAGTAGGTCGCTCCGCGATGCTTCAGGCTCTTCGTTCTCGGGTTGATCAGGCAAGCCCTGACCCATCTCTGGAGGTGAGGAAGGCGTAACATCTGCACCGGTGTCTCCAATCGGGACATCTGGTAGCAGGAATCGAACTCTGACACCTCCTATCTGAATGAAATCTCCGCTGTGAAGAGGCCGGACTTGACCAGGGGCCAGCCAATCGGCGCCCATAAAAGCACCATTTCGACCAATGACTTCCATCTCGAAGACATTTTTATGGAAGTTGTATGCTATTTTGACGTGTTTTCTTGAAATTGCTCTATGTGAAGAACCACCGTGGGCAGGCACTGGCGGATGGATGGGGATGGTCGGACATGCCTCTGGTGAAGGAAGTAAAGACAGAGTATCGACTCTCTTGGGTTCGTGATGTCCTCTCTGTAGCGACTGCATAGCTAAAGCGTTGTAATCTGTCATCTCCCGCGGTTCAGAGTTTGCCTGTGATTCTCCATGGGATATATGCAGTAGCGGCCGGGCAGCCTGGTCTGCTGAAGAATTGGATGACTTCCAGCTCATCTGAGGCGGACCGTTCTGGGGAATATCTGGATCGAAGCCCATGATTCCGCCCTTGTCACTGATAACACTTCCCATGTACGCACTGCCTTCTCGCTTGACTCGGCTGGGCGTGCGTGTCTTGTGTCCAGTGGAACTATGAGCCCTGTTGTTCTGTTTAGCCTGGTACTCCCTCTGAAAAGCAGCGCGAGCAGCGCGGACATCACGGCCCAAGATGAAAGAGTATGTATTGACGTAGAAATGGCCGTCATCAAACTCAAGCTTCGCAAACGCCTGAATCCTTGGTTCCGATCCAGCGACGGATTCCGAGCCCTCGCGGCCCTTGACGTCCGTTGAATTAGAGAAATCCGGGTACCCTACAATGCGAGGCGTTGGTCCGCCTCCGTTCATGGTCGGCGAGTCACCATAGTATGCGGCGCCGCTGGCAAGCAGGCCGTTGTGGTCAATTGCATCTCTGGGGTTGACGGGCGTGGTCGCCAGCGCAGTGAAATCCGAGAAGCTGTGAGCGTTGAGGTCTGAGGTCTTGAAGTCGACGTTTTCCAGCGCTCCCAGCATAGACGTGTCGGTCTGCATGTCCAAGGCCGGCAGCGCATCCGACGCAGACAGGTCTCCCATCTTAGGCAGACCGTGGAAATCGTTCTCCGCGCCCGCATCCGTCGCGACAGTCGTCTGCTGGTGGTAGTTCCCTTGTTCGCTTGAGTTCGGCCAGGCGCTACTGTCACCGTTGGCCGCGGAGACGGGAGGATCGGGCAGTGAGTTATTACTATTATTTTCTATAGAAGTAGAAGCGGCGGTAGTAGTGGCAGCAGCAGCAGTAGCCGTTGCGTCCGTATTCTGCGAAGGAGTGACAGCTGTAGCAGCGGCCGTCTGGCTGGACAGAAGCTGTGCTAGCAGCGTCGTTGCGGCGGCCTGCTTCTCGTTGTCTGACTGGGGTGGATGCTGCCGGTCTAGGTAGAGGTGAAGGGGTCAGCAAAGAAATACGTCAGAACCCAAGGGCTCGACGAGCTTAAGTCGACGTACCGGAGCCATCGTCAGACGAGAGTTTGCAGTCATTTGTCGCCGCCGGTGGCAGCGTCGCAGCGCCCTCGCCGTCCTGTCCAGCGGCCGCTGCGGTCGTAGGCGTCTTTGGTCGCTGAGATTGCTCGTGATGGTGATGCTGGTGACGGTCGTCGAGCCGGTCAAAGCGAGACCTCTCTGGCACGGCGTCGGGAGGCGGAGGCCCCATGAGCGACGCCGCGACGGCCTGGGACGAAGACATGGTCATCACCGTCGAGAGCGCATCCCTCTGGCTTGCTCGTTCGTGCGTCTTTTTGCGTCGTCGTCGCCGTCGTCTTCGACTTCGTCTTCCTGCGTCTTCGACTTCCAACTCCTTAAGTTACGACAAAAAAAAATGCCGAGCGCGGATTTTGCATGGGCCCGCCTTTGCCTGTTTGGGGTTAGCGCGGGCCTTATCCAGACTTCTTTTTTTATTATTTTATTATTTTATTTTCTATTTTATGTTATTTGATTTGATTTGATTTTGGATATTGAAGGTGAAAGAAGGAGAAGGAGAATGAAGTTCGAGAACAAGAAGTGAAGCGCAGTGAACCATAGAAGGAGTAGAGACAGCGAGACGGGGAACAAAGCTGTGGTTGTGAGTGGCTGACGGGCAGCTGCCTGCATATTCAAATACGAGGAGGCCTTCTTTCTTCCTACACATGCGACTTCGAGATACCCAAAGAGAAGACAGGAAGAGAAAAAGAAAAAGACAAGAGGATAGACAAAGATGCCAAAGAAAGCAGCCAAAGAGACAGTCAAAGTGACGTCGAAAGTGGCAGCCAAGTCAAAGGAAGAGTCCCCTGCCCAAAAGACTCCCAACTGGCCGGCTCTACGTCCCTTACCACCAACATCCGACCTCTGCTTAACCCCCATCCTGCCTGCTCAGATCTACATCATACGCAACCTCTTCTCCTCTGCCCTGTGCAAGACCTACGTCTCCTTCCTGGCCAGTCTGCCTCTGATCACCACGCCCGGCCGACCCAAGAAGAACGAAGCACTGCGCGTCAACGACAGGTTCCAAGTCGAGGACGCGTCCTTTGCTGAGCTTCTGTGGTCTGGTACGGGACTGAAAGAGTTAATCTGTAGCACTAGTAGTGCCGGGCAGAGTGAGGATGAGAAAGTAGACTGGGACGGGGAGGTGTTGGGGCTGAATCCGAATATTCGTGTATATCGGTATACCAAGGGCCAGTTCTTTGGTCAGCATTGTACGTTATCTGTAACTTGTTATAGATGGGTGATGTGTTGACTGGTGTATTGTGTAGATGATGAGTCGGTGCAGGTAATGCATGGTACACCCCCAGTCAAGGGGCGGACGAGCTGGACCCTGCTGATATACCTGAGTACCTGCTCTGGCGGCGAGACGGCTTTCTACCCCGAGCCTGAGCCTGAGCTAGGCAGCAGGAAAGGTAAAGCGCAGCAGAGACAGCCTGAGCCGGTCGTGGTGGGAATGGAGACCGGCATGGCGCTGCTGCATCGGCATGGAGATGAGTGTCTACTGCATGAAGGGCGGGAGGTGATGGAGGGAGAGAAGTGGGTTATCCGAAGTGACCTGGTAGTTAAACGATGACCACAGAAGAGTAAGTTATGGGATAAGTATGGATGGTCTGGATTTTGGGGTCTTGAAAGCAAGAAAGCATGGTAATAGAATTTAGCATTATCCATCCAAAAGAGAAAAGCATCTTTAAATACCTAAAGACAGGAGTAAACCACCACATGATGAGCAGAGTAACTAAAGCAACCCAAATAAAATGATAAATAGATGAATAGATGAATAAGAGAAAGGGAGGGTTAATAGGTTTTAAACTACTAGGTACCCTTTTGCTCTTTACCGGCCTCCGAGTCCGTCGCGCTGGCGGTGCCATAGTCCTCTCTCCGCATAATCTCCTCGACGGGCCCAAGCAAGCGCTTGAAACCATCTCTACCGAGCTTCGCAACTTTAACCTCCGTCTTGGAGACGACGGTGGCCTGTCTAGGCTTATCGTCTAGCAGAGCCAATTCACCAAAGTAGTCGCCACGCCTGTACTCTTTGACGGGGCCGTCGATACCAGCCTTGTACGCCACCGCCTCACCAGACTCAAGCAGGTAGAAGGACTCTCCTGGCTCTCCCTCTGCGATGATGGTGGCTCCGCTGGGGTGCTTGATGGTGTCTAGAGCATCAGCTATCTTGGAGCGCTCGTATGGCTTGAGGGACGACAGCAGCGGCACTTCTTCCAGGAACGCCTCGTACATGCGTCGACGCTGGAAGGCACTGTCCATTAGTATACGTCTGAAGGTGATTCGGTCCAGGGCCCAGAGGGTGGATGGCTCCGTTGAGATTACTGTAGCTGCACGCGGGGCGTTGTACATCAGAGCTAGCTCGCCGAATGCCCCTCCCGGACCGATAGAGGTGACCTTTGCACCTAGGCCGGCGAGGCCGCCTGGCTGGGCGGTGCCGGAAGGGTGGATGTGGATGTCGAAATGGCCTGACTCGACGATGTAGAAGAAGTCTCCGGCGTCTCCCTGGGTGATGACCTTGATGTCCTTTGCGGGCACGGGCTTCTCGACCAGGGCGTCCAGCACGGTCTTGAACTGGTCGTCATCCAGGTGGGCGAAGAGGAAGTTTGACGAGACGGCAGCCTGCAGGCGGGACAGCTGGGCGGGAGTCTTGGGGTGGTGAGGAGGTGTCCAGCTGTCTGTGCCCGAGCTCGTTGGGTTCAGGGACTCGGCAGAGACGGAGGTGCGGCGGCCTAGGGAGTAGTTGTTCGGGAAGCCGCTGGGTCCCCCTTCCTGGTGGTGCTGGCCGGCAGCGCTGCCAAAGGGACTCGTGCTGAACATGTTGCTTCCGGGCGATGCTGAGCTGCGGGTATTGGTGTATGTGCTTCTGGGGACCTGTCTGCTGCTGATGCTGCTGCTGCTGGCATCTAGTCTGACGGGGTCTGTGGGCGAGGTGACGTTCTCTTCCTCCTCGTCGATGCGGTTGACGCTGCTGCCGCCACCGTTGGCACTGAACGGGTTGGAGACGAAGTGCGATTGAGACATCGGTCTCGTCTCGACTTGTCTTTTCTGTGTATCAGTCTGTGTCTCCGGCAGCCGTCTCGATGTCTATCTAGTGCTGATGCCGATGTTCAAGCACGCTTCTTGTCGTCTTGCTGTAGTTGTGGTGGTGATGGCGTCTTTTTTGGTGTTGCTGCTGGTGTCTGTCGACTCAAAACCGCCACAGCCACGAAAACCAGAGTGCAACCGTAAAAACTGGCCGACAAGCGAGTCTATCTATCAAAGAGCAAGACGTCTGCTTGGTGTGTAGTGTGCAGTGTCCTTTTGTCTTATTGTATCTTGAGTGTCTGGCGTGCTGTGTCTGTGTCTGGGGGGCAGAAGATGGCGGCTGTCCTGGCGTGGGGTTTGGGCGGGATGGAAGACGAACTAGCGTGAGAAGCAGAAGTAACTCGGACAGTGAGTGAGCCAGGCAGCTAGCTGGTTAGTTACCTAGTGACTACTTGCTTGCCCATGAAGAGAGAGAGAAGTGGGAGAGAAGGAGAAGGAGAAGACGAAGGAGAGACTGAAGCAGTAGAAGGTGAAGAGGTCAAGGCAGTTAAGGTGAACGAAGCCAGCGGGAGAGAAGACGAGGAAGAAAAGCGACTTCGACCGTCTTCTTCTTCTCTTCTTCTTCTTCTTCTTCTTCTTCTAGAACGTCACCAGAAAAAGCTACCCGACCTTGAGCTCCGTTAGTGACTTTCGTGGCTGTAGAGATACTTGAGATACAGTATAATTAACAGTAAAGACAAAAGTATCTCTACCAAGTTTTTAAGTACCACCACACGTGAGTTCTGCTTTTACCATGGGACGAGCGAGCAGCTGAAGAGCGGAAGCTGGAGCTCTTCTTCTTGCTCTTGCTGTCTTGTCTGTTGATCTATTGTCTTGTTTATCGCTGTCTGTAGCTGTCTTGCATCGTTCTATAGCTTCAGCGACTCCGTCTTCATCTCCAGCGACTTCATCTGCAGCGTCTTTCTTCCTCCCTGCAACCTGCAAGCTGCTGCTGCTCTCACCGTCGACTTCCATCCAATAAACAACGTTCGATAGCGCTTGCTTTGCTTCTTTTTACCAGCCTTTTTCTTCTTCTGCTTCTTCTGCTTCTTCTGCGTCTTCTGCGTCTTCTGCGTCGTCTTCTCTGCTTTTATCGTCTTCTGCTTCTTCTACTCTTCATATCCAGCTTCGTCTCGTCTATCCATTGCCAATTGATATCGACCAGAGATGGGCTACTACACCTTCAGATGGTAAGTCCCAGCCAGCTCCTCCCTCCTCCACTTACTATTTTTCAGACAAACAAGAACAGCCGGGAAGAAGCAAAGAAGACAAGAGACAAGACAGCCAGGACAGCCAGGCAGGAAGAAGAAAACATCCCATTGACCTTCTCCAGCTTCAACCGTCTTCGATCTATCGACTTTTTTGCTTCTCCTGCTGTTCAACTTGACAGCTCTCACTGTCGCCTCTTCTTCTTCTTCTGCTTCTTCTGCTTCTTCCTCCAGCTGTACTCCGTGACTACCAGCTAGTCATTAGCTTCTTCTGCTGACTTGGCTGCTTTTGCTGCCCAGGCCTCGACAGGCGCAGGAAGTCATCGTCACCGGCAGCTTCGATGGCTGGTCGAAGAGCATCAGGCTCGACAGGCAGGACGACGACGGCTTCGCAAAGGAACTGCTCCTCCCAGAGACCGACGAGAGAATCCTCTACAAGGTGAGTGTCTTTCCATCTTCTCTCCTCCATTCCACTCTTTTCCTTTAGCTTCTGCCCTCTTGTGGTCCCTCTACGGAGCCCTCCGTGGCTGGGGATAAGGCGATACCTCGAGGTACTTCGTCTGCCTCGTACTTTTGCGCGTCTCCCGAAGTACCTCCTAGGTCGCCTTTTCGCCCCTACGTCATAATCACCGCCAGCAGCAAGACTAGCGCCGGCCGACTTTCCTCCTCCTTGAATCACAACATAAAACATTAAACTCCCCCACCAGCTCGATCATACGAACATCTTACACAAACATCCCACCATCTCTCTCTGATAATTCTTGGTTTCTTGCATTGCTAACATCTATTTCTCTTACTGCTCTGCCAGTTCGTTGTTGACGGGAACTGGCGTACTGACCCTGCTGCGCTGCAAGAAGAGATAGACGACCACAACAACATCAATAGCGTCCTGCTTCCAGAGCGCATCTCACCAACGTCTTCCACCGCCAAAATGACAAACGGCGATACCACCAACAAGGACACCCTCCAGACTGCCACATTGTCGGGAGTCACACCCGAGTCGACGACTGCAGGACTTGCTGGTGCTGTTCCCAAGGAGCCTGATGCTCACCAGGCTACCATCTCCTCTGCAGCTCCAATCTCCTCCACTGCCGACCTGGCGAAAGATGTGCCCCTCGAGACAACACCAGGCACCTTTCCAGAGAGCCCCATCAATGAGGGAGAGTTCTCTGTCAGGCCGCTGCCGGGTTCTTCTAGTCTAGGCAACCCCGTCCACCTTGCTCCAGGTGAGAAGCTGCCAGATTCAGCCAAGAATGGCACCCCCAAGGGCATGAACAGCAACGTAACTACCGATAAGGAGAGCTACGAACAGGACGCCAGTGATCCTAGTATGGCAGCCATGGCTGCCGCAGCAGCAGCAGTAGTAGCAGCC